ATGTCAGGTACGAGATTTCGGCCCCCTACGACAAAGTTCACGCAGGGAACTCCATCTTCAGTTCACCAGGGAACATGGCTGTTGGTTTATTATCGAGTGTTTGAGGTATGGTGCTTGACATGTTCCACTGTGTTTCCGTGGCTGCCTTGGCTTCCCGCTTGCGGCTAGTTTCCTGTGGCTGTCTCCCTCTCTTCGACCCTTTCTGCTCATGGCTCTACCTCCATCGCATATTCTCGCAATCATCATGGCCAAGGACCATACGACGGGAGAAGTCGATGTAGGCTTGACAGCTTCGATCTTTATGGATAAGCTTACGGTCTAGCATCACGAGAAAACCAAAGCTAGCTAACATCTCTGTGCAGAGAAACGTTATACAGTCCCCTCAAAGATCACCAATGGACAACTTTTCTGGACACAGTTTCCGAACCATGACGACCCATGCACCGGAAACATCTCCAAGTGAGGTGCTTCACACTGAACATCAAAGAGCAGCGCTTGACCAATCGTGAAAGCAACGTGACGGCCTCGATAACCTCTCTTGTTCGCTCACAGCAACACGTTGTCACTTTCGCCGTTATGTCGGAGAGAAACTCACCATGGGATGCAAATGACACTGAATACTCCGGGGTTTGACTACACGCGGCGGTTGTTCCGGCTAATAATTGCCCCTAAACTTTTGGTCCAATCCAGTTGGGGCAGTTTGGTCCCCGACATACCATGTCGCCGACTGGTTACCGGACTCCCATCCACTCAATATGCTTAGATTTCCCGGAACACCGACTCTAAGAATGCGAGGCGTACGCCATGCGTCGTGTCCTTTCACGAAAGCTACAAACGGCCGGGCCTTTGTTTTAGTTCACGGGCGGTGCCAACGGCCTGGGTCACCTTTAAGCACAAGGCCTGAATAAATGCAGCCACCCGTGGCGGGACATAGGTCACCACTCCCCAGTAGTATAATATTAGAAGCGATCAGTGATCGGTGAAACCTTTGCCTTGGATCGTGCAAGATCAACCAGATCCCCCCGCATAATGATGTATGCAGCTAATCTCACGAGCACTACGAGCTTAGCGACCGTTTGTTGCCTAAGACAGCGAGGCACGCGAGTAGTCACATGTTCCTAGGTCATCTGTGGCTTTCCAGTCGCGTCAACACCACGAGATACCTCTGATTTGGGATTCCACTTTTCATTGCCATGCCGAATCGCTGTATTTTGAGGCTTAGTATGGCTGCGAATAGGGCAAAAGCCGACGATCAGTAACCCTTCCCATGAGTCTGCCACATTTCTGGACAGCCTAGACTTGTTCTGAGACAAAGTCCTGCGAGAAAGCTTCCCTCTCCTTTCCCAGGGAACCTAACGCCACTCCCTCCACTCCGCCCCGGCCGTTTCCTCAGGGCTGACTTTAGAGTGATGCTCTACATACAGCCCCGCCTTCTTTGTATGCTGCCACCGCCCGATGCAAAGGAAGTTCATCATACGGGTCCACAGCCATGTTTCGATAGTCCATGACGTCTGCACAATCCCTACCCACATGAACGACATGGGGAGTGTTAATCAATACGAGCAAGGGTGGTACGGGTGCCGATCATTAAGGAGCACAAGTTTTCTTTAAATCGCCACCCCGGCCTCGCGCTTCCAACGTTTTGATATGGCTACGGAATTCCAACCCACATATGGAAGCCAGACCTTGCCTGGTGCCTAAATATTGTTAAGATTCGTTTATCCCGTATGAGAAGCTTGATTCAGACGAGAACGAGCCTCGGACTTCTTACCAGCCACGAAAATGTAGACCGCGGGTCGGGTTTGGCGGCTTCGGTGGAAGGTGTGTGCCGATCCGGAAGGAACGGAAGGCTCTTCCGATCAGTGGTTGAAGGCTGATATGCAGATTTCTTTTTAACATGCGTACGCTTTTAGATCCCGATGCTCTTCGTCGGCCTTCCTCCGAAATCGTGGGATTCGAGCTCATCTCTTGTAAGCTGCTGATTAGGGGTCTGCGATCGATGGTTGTAGCTTCACCACGTCGATGTCGGTAAGCAATAAAATCACAGGAGGGATGAAGGGCTGGAAGATGTTGCGTCACTCGCCAAAAATTGATATCGGCTATGGCTGGTCGGTAAGCAAGTGACCACGCTTTACTCGAACTTCTATAATTCTGCCAAATTTCGTATCCGGATCTTCTTCGTTGGATCAATGAGCATAGCTGTTATTACCATCCTCCTAATGGGGGACATGCCAAATATACATGTTGAGAAACTTACGAGTCACGAACACAGGAACTATCAGTCAACCATGGCAAGCCCATACACTTAACTCCGACTATCATCTTGGAGGACCTAACAAAATCGAAACAGGAGAATACATCATGTGAGTAGAGCAGTCTACACATAAGATCTCAAGTGGATATACCAAGGGCGTCTATTGTCACTTGCTCACAGAGCGTCTACTATCCCTAAAGCTCAGCGAATCTTGACTATGATGATCAACATCGTGATCGAACTAGTAAGATCACTCATCACCACTTCCATTACACTGTAATAACCTGTGAGTCCTGCGTATCCGCCACGCCCAACTCTTTTGCTGTTATCTGCCTCCTCAAGCTCTTCCGCCTTCTTTGACAGATGACTCGAAACGATACCTACCTGGATCAGGTATTCGTTTGTCTCCAAAGGCGTGTCCCTGAGAGCGCAATGGTGCTGTCAAATTGTCAGGCTCACATTAAGACTAGATTTTATCCTTCGGACGTTGTGTTGTATGTCTGGTTAGACACTCAGAGTCGACTCCCAACCGCAAGGGAACATCATATAGATGTATTCTTACATCGATAACTACCCCCATCTGTGGTGTCGAAATATCTTGTAACTATGTACCAGCGTAGAGTACTCCCAACCGGTGCCCTTTTTGCGGCACAAAGAAGACACGTGTAGAGGTATTTCTGCCATGGATGCTGAAAATTGGCTGGTGGGTGCTCACAGCCTTCGTCTACAATAGAGATTTTGGATACCTCTAGGTATGATACATTCCTATTAAACACTGAAGGTTACCGTCCACTTTCAACCTTGTCGTCAAGCCTATAAGTGTATGTGACGGGACATCCACTTTGAATACGGTCGTCGAATCTCTCACACCATATTGACCGGAGCAGTACATATGTTCCAAGTGAGGTTCCTGGAAGTTGAGTAGATAGCTGTAGTAAGCCGTCAGGAACTAGTAACGTCTTCCAAGAAGTATGGGCTATAACAGAGCAAAAAAGAACCCCAAACATCAATGATGTCAGTAGGTATTTCTACGCACAAATACTGACACCAACGGCACAAAGGTTGGGAAATCAAGATTGGAACCAGCCAATCCACTGGCCCCTACGGGTACTAAACATTTTCGCCCTGTCTATTCTAATTGACAAACTCACCATATCTCTTCATCCGCAACTATTTCTCTCAATTTAATGGATAGCAGGTAAGGTCATGTTGGAATCCAGCGTGAGATCTTTCTGAGGAACGATCTGACATTATCGAATGCCCTGTGACTGTCCAAGTCACCTCGTTATGTGAAGCAAGCGCTGCAGTACTGCCTACAATGCCGTGTGCCTGCCTGTTTCTTATTGCCATTCGTTCCTGCCGTCGCTGCCAAGATGGCCGGCCGGCACGCCCCTTCCCAAACATCGGATGACAGACGCCCCTTCTTCCCGCGTACCTTCCCGCGCACCTTCCCAAACTGACCCAGTCACTGGCACCAGCAGTAGCAGCCGAGGCACCATATAAGGGTCGCTACCTGACCCCTCCAGCACAACGGGGAGCTCTGTCGTCTCAGCTCACATGGTTGCATGGCGCAGTGGTTATCGTTGATGAAAATCTGCGCGGCGGTTTTCGCATGGTTTCACAGCTGAGCGCATTGTTGTTAGTTCGACAAGCGTACTCTGGGCGAGCTTAGCTTTTTTACATTTTTTTATTTGATTGGGGAAGGGATGGCGATATTAGAAATGATGGTTTGACACTTTTTTTTCACTGGTTTTGGAGCTTTTGGAGGGTGTTGTTTGCGTGGTAATGGAGGATGGGAAAGGGGTGATATTTGCTGCACTGACCGACCGAACATGATATCACTTGCTGCACCTCGGACACTCCGTCTCGATGTCGACACAAGGCACCAAAATAATCTTGGGCTAAGTTGGTTGACATTGGCGGTTGCAAATGGATTTAGTATTCCCTCGGAACGAAAACTATAGGGTCTGCGAAGTTCGCTGCTAGTTAGGGAAGGCGAACGGACTGTCTTCAAGTCTTTTGACAGCATGGAGGCAAGATGATCAAGGACGAGCATCCTCTCCACAAGTGCGTTGTCTTTGAAAACAACTACGCCGTCCATATGCAGTCATGCTGCTTATTTTGGATGGCAATTTGGAAACGAGAATGCTTTAGCGTTTTCGTCGACTCGGAGTCCTAGTCTTCCTCGAGCCGGCCTCCTTCCAAATGTTCCTGAGGACGGCTTGCTCTTGTCAAGAACGCTCGTGCGTCAGTTAAAAGACGTATGAATGCTCAGCTTACTAGCAGCATAATAAATTGGTCAAAAGGGGAGTGTCTCAACGTAGGTAGCTTTGTGTCGATAACCGTGTTGATCATCTATGTTGGATATAAATGACTTGCAAATTGCTTGGAAAGGGGAAAATCAACTGATGGATTCACCAAAATGTTTATCGTCAGGCTACATAATGGATCTGTATCCATTCAACAGCAACTCATGCCGCATTTTCAAACCCCACCATGCAACGGAAAGTGCAGTCCAGCATCGAGATTCCGTACAGCGGGAGTGAGGTGCTTCGTGTAACGCAGCTGCATGTGCAGTTGATGTCTAGTACCCCGCCTTTTTAAAGAGACTCGATGACCACGATAGAGATCGTGGCACTGACTAACCATTACTTCAACTGCTGACGTGGATCAAGTCAACAAACGCCAAACAGCATCATACCAAGCCAACATCACAAGACCCAGCCAGAACGAACCAAACCCAACCATGGGCGACTTTACCCACCCCCAACGAACGATCCACGGCCCCCCTCGCCTCCTCGACATCCAAACCACCGTCCCGGACCTACGCCTCCTCTTCCTAAAAAACGTCTCCATCCCCCTCCAATCCTCAAACTCTCCATTCCCCATCCGCGCCAACATCTACCTTCCCAAAGAAAAAGAAAAAGAACCCCTAGACCAACCCGATGATGACCACCACCAATCCAAGAACAAGACCAAGAAAAAGAGGAGATACCCAGTCCTAGTAACCTACGGGCCCTACGGCAAGGACATCCCCTACTCTTCCTTCCACTCTTCGTCCTTCGCCGAGGTCAACGCCGAGCAGCGGTCCGAGTTCTCGGCCTGGGAGACGCCCGACCCCGTGTACTGGTGTGGCCAGGGGTATGCGGTGGTGCGGGCGGACGAGCGCGGGACGGGCCAAAGCCCCGGGTTGCTGGATACGATGAGTAAGGGTACGAGTGAGGCGTTTTGTGGGGTGATTGAGTGGTGTGCGGAGCAGGAGTGGTCGAGTGGGAAGGTGGGGTTGTTGGGGGTTAGTTATTATGCTGGTGAGTTTTTTTTTATGTCTGTTTGCTTGGTTAACATATGGGGTTGCGTCTGGTGGTGGTCGAGAGGAGAAGGACCTGGACAAGAAGGGGAAAGAAAATCCGAGAAGAATACAATGGTTATTGACAAAGAAGAACAGGTTCGCAATGGCGGGTAGCTGCCCGTCTACCGAAAGGCTTAACGGCCATCATCCCCTGGGAAGGCATGTCGGATTACTACTGTGACCGGTGTCGACATGGCGGAATCCTTTCTAACAACTTCATTGATATCTGGTGGAACCGCCAGGTACTCGTAAATCAGTATGGCCTGCCCGGCCGCTCCAAACTGGAGTTCCCACCTGACGGACCCGGCGCCAGGGGACAGGAAGACACGATCGAAGGTGACCTGACCGAGGAACAGCTGGTATCGAACAGGAATGACCAAACCAAAGACAACGAAGTGCACCGGTTCCGCGATGAAGACTACTACGCCAGCAAGGAGTATCGACTTGAGGATATCCAGGTTCCGGTGCTGAGTGTGGCGAATTGGGGAGGTATCACGCTGCATCTGCGCGGTAACGTGCTTGGTTATCTGTATGCCGGGTCACGATTCAAGTATCTGCGTTTCATCACTGGTCGGCACGATCTTCCGTTCTACTACAAGGAGCAGGTTGAGATGCAGAAGAGCTTTCTTGACGCCTTTCTCAAGGGAGAAGACACGGTAGGCTGGAGTGTCCCTGGCAAAGTCTCTCCAGTCGAGGTAACACTGCGCAAAGGTAATATCGGGTTCAATGATGCAGAGAAGGAGAAAGCGTACGAGAAAAGGTCAGAGGGCGCATGGCCGCTTGATTCAACAGAGTATACAGATTTCTATCTTGGGTGTGATCACACTCTCTCCCGGAACGAGCCAAATCCAACCACGCCAAAGCAGCAGATCGGATATAAAGCTCTCGGAAGCCTGGACAAGCATGAGCTGGTACAGTTCATCACGGCACCCTTCGAGAAAGAGACCGAGATAACCGGCCATATCGTGGCACACTTGAATGTCTCGGTGACACCCGAGAATCCGCAAACCGAGGAGGCAGATATTGACATCTTCCTGACCATCCGCCATATTGACCCATCAGGGAACGAAGTGTTCTACACCGGGACGGCGGGTGACCCCGTTCCTGTCTGCAAAGGCTGGCTCCGAGTGAGCAACCGGAAGATGCACGAGGAAAATCCCAAGCACAAGCCCTGGCTTCCTTATAGAGAGTACTTGTCGACCGACGTTCTCCCCGTCAAGTCCGGAGAGGTGTACGGCGTTGATGTTGAGCTCTGGCCAACCAATGTGGTGGTGGATGTAGGTGGCAGGATTGTGCTCGAGGTCTCCGGTGGTGACACGCAAGGGGCTGGGATCTTCCAGCACAACTCCGAGACAGACAGGTGAGGTTTCCTTTTAAACGTTGTGACATTCCATGGTTGTGGGGGCCGCGTGCTAACTTTTGCTCCAGACCCGCCTCCAAGTTTGCTGGCCAGAACCATCTCCATTTTGGAGACGGCCTTGACAACTATGTCATCCTGCCGATAATCCCATAGCTCTTCTGTCTGGGCTGTGCAACGTGGATGTCAGGCAATCGTTCGACAAGCGAGAAATAGTGTTGGATTCCAGAAGAGGGGGTGTCGTATGCCTGATGTATAGCCTTCCACTGAAGTGCTTTCTCTGCTAGTGTTACCAAAAAAATCCCAAAAAAAATCATAATGAACTCCGGGTATTGTACGCCAAGTTTGGTTGTCCGTAAATTCCGCTGAAAAGATATGCTTCTTGTCGATTTGTCGTGACCAAGTTTCCTCCTAGTCGCTGCTTCCTCCACCTTCTTGGCCGTTCCCGCTGTACCTCCGCGTCCAGCCCGGCATCCCCTTTCATCCACCATCCTCCCCGCGAGATACCCAACGTTGCCACGCAACATCCATCAGCGTTGGCGCAGATTTTGGTCTGGTCCGTTTGCCGTTGTCTTCGTACCAGGCGTTATTGAGTAGATGATGATTTAGCCGAACTTTCTGGTGCCGCCCTTGAATTTCTCCTTGTTCTCCTCCTTCTTGCCCTTGCCGATCAGCTCCAGGTGACCAGCTCTGGCGCCCAGCATCTTCTCGGTTTTGGCGACCATGCCGGCGGTGAACTTCTTCTGGACCTTGTCGGCCTTGGTCTTGTTCTTCTTGACCTTGGAGACGCCCGACTTCTTGGGAGTCTTGCCGCCCTTGGACCGGTTGAGTCCAGGGTTGGGCTTGGTGATTTTGCTGCCCGAGCCTTGAGCCATGGTTGGCTGGTTTGGTTCGGATGGGATTGTGTTTGAATGAGGCGACAACCGGATTGTGGAGGTCGCGCAAATTGAAGAAGGAAAAAAGAAGAAGGAACGGAAAAAGAAAAAGTTGCACTGCAGCCAAAAGTGAGGCAGGGAAACCACCCTCACACCGCCAAAATTATGTCCGGCAGAATTCTTAGGATCCAGACGAACCCGACGTTGCGCACAGACCAATCCCCACAATCCCCTCCACGCGGCATGTTCCGCCTCCACCAGGACAGTTCCCACGTTCGAGGTACCTTGTACCCGTCTGACTGTCCACTACTCAGCTACTGGCGTTATCCCCTATCAACCACTGAAGCTATACTGAACTGTTTCACATCATTCAAGAACCACGTAACAACAAACGATATATACGCCTTTCACGACATCAATACCTTACCAGGGGCATCCCATAATTGAATATCAGGCCGGTCCTCGACGCCAACAGTTTAATTCCGTCCTCGCTACCAATCGATCCATACCAGCACTACCACCACTTAATATCCTCCACGAATACCGATAATCAAGATGTCCGACCCCTTCGGAGCCGAGGCCGAGTTAATCAATATCGAGAGCCACTTCCACCAAGGCCAATACCAAGAAGTCATCGACTTCGACACCTCCTCCTTCAGCGCCGACAACGCCCTGCCGGCACGCGTCCTCCAGCTGCGCGCGCGCATCGCGCTCGGCCAAGCCGAGGACGTGCTCGCCGAACTGCAAGGGGAGAAGAAGCCGGAGCTGGAGGCGGTGGGCGCCTTGGCGCAGCTGAGCAGCGGTGACGTCGAGTCGGCCGTGGAGACGATCGAGCAGCTGGCGGCCACGGACGCGGGCGAGATCGGTATCGTGCAGGTCGTGGGCGGGACGGTGCTGGCGGCGGCGGGCAAGGCGGACGAGGCGCTGGCGCTGCTGCAGAAACACCAGGGCAACCTGGAGGCCGTGGCGCTGATTGTGCAGATCTACCTGGCGCAGAACCGGACGGACTTGGCGGTTAAGGAGGTGGCTAGTGCGCGGAGGCTGGCGCAGGATAGTTTGTTATTTAACCTGGCCGAGTCGTGGGTCGGGTTGAGGCTGGTTAGTTTTGTCCCATTTTGATGAGGCAGAAGCTTGAGCTGGAAGCTGTTTACTGACATGTTGTACTATGAACAGGGCGGCGACAAGTACCAACAAGCATTCTACGTCTTCGAAGAGCTCGCGCAAGCACCGGCTACCTCCTCGGTACGGAGTCTGGTCTCGCAGGCCGTTGCCGAGCTCCATCTCGGTCGCACAGAGGAGGCTCAGGCTGCTCTGGACCAGGCGCTCAAGAAGGAGCCCGGATTCGCGGACGCCATTGCCAACCAGCTCGTCTGGAGCGTCATTACTGGTCAAGATTCGGCCGAGTACAAGGCGTACGTTACACATATACACCTGGCTACAATTCCCGATTCCCTTCTTTCCAACTATATATATGCTAACATGACGTGTCTGCTTCACAGTGCCCTCGAGCAGGCTAACCCCAGCCACCCCTTCCTGACCGACTTGGCCGAGAAGAACGATCTCTTTGACAAGGCGGCGACAAAGTACAAGGCCAAGGTGTCTGCTTAAAGCGAAAGAGACGTGTTGGGCGGAGAGGTGACGATGAACATGAAAAACTATCTCTTAATTCACACACAAAAAGGACAAGCCGGGGAAGGGACGAGTGAAGACAGATGAGGGTGTGGCATAATGTTTTGTTGAATGAGATTTGAGCAGAGGAAGATAAAATCTGTGACCTTGGTAGGCAGTGATGCTTGCTGACATGCGAGTGGCATAAACATACTAGACAGAGAGGAAATAATGGTTCTCACGGCGATGAAGTCGTCACAACGCCTCTTCGCGATCGATGTAGTGGGAGATGTAAAGCCTTAAAGCATTACGCGGCTACCCTTGGGTGATGAAAGAACCCGACCGATCATGTGTCTTTCGAACTACGTCTCCCAATACCGTAACCATGGCGAAATGATTCAAGTTTCAAGTTTCAAGTTCAGCCTCAATACCTACCTGACCCTCGGCTGAACTGCCAAGTCATGGGTTGTGTGTGTGTGTGTGTGTGTGTGTGTGTGTGTGCAACTGGAAGATGACTGAAGTGAGGGCGGTTACGCTCGATTAAGAATGGTTGGATGGGTTGAGGACAATGGAGGTCGGACATGAATAGTCGCACATCCATCGGAAATGGGCTGCCGCGCGCTCTTACACACATCATCTTACATCGGTGTAGTGTGTTTCCGTATAGTGGCGCCCGCGCTATACCTTAAGGTATTTCCTTAGCGGTGAAAAAGGCCTATTTTGTATCTCCAGGGGTGTTGACCCAATGGATAAGTGTTGATAACCCAATGCTACCTTTACAACACTTCTAGTGACTCGGCAATTAACACTAATGCCTCGTTGTGGCAGCCAAAACTAACGGTAAAAGTGTTACTCCAAGAGTACCTCAAAGTTGTTGTGCGGAAGGTACAAAATAGGCCTTTTTCACCGCTAAGGGGATACAAGTGGGTTTGTGGAAAAGGGGGCGAAGGAGGTGGGTGGGTGAAGGGGGTAAGGGGACCAAGTGGACCCTGATGTAATTCGATGAATGAATGAAGATCTCAGCCTTAAACTGGTAGGTGACAGTGAGCCGGAGTTTGAGTGGCCCCGACGGGAAGGAATGCCTCTATGCGATGACCGAGGTGCGAATGCGATTCTGATATCACGGCGTCTTCCATGCTGACGATGCATTCTGTTGGTTGAATTTTCCAAACATATTGTCTGTTGGGAGCTGACTAGATCACTTCAAAGGGAAGAGGTGCCGAGTGACAAGTCTAGAGTGAGAAAGTCAGCCTTGGCTGAGTTGATGTTGGCTGAGGGCGAAAAGGGAGGGGTAAAGTGACGATGATGAAGGTGGCTTGTACCAGGGACCAGCGGCAGTCCTCTTTTGTTGGTCCAACATGAGGTCTGGTGCCGTGAAACATTGCAGTTGCATCATTGGAATCCATCATCCCCCAGAGAGGGACGACTCGAAGGAGATGTTTAACCTTGAAATGGCGGGGAAATGTTGAAGATGAAATGGTTTGACTTTGGGCCGCCTGTGATCCCATCTTGCCCGTCCCTCCCGTCTTCTACAAGTGTCAAAGGGAGCATATGGGACCCAAAACGGCGGCATCGGTGCGGACCCTACCATAGAGGGGGGCGGCTGGGCGGAAGCGGCAGCCCTGCTTGGCTTGGCTCTCTTTCCGCTGGGAAGCCGAGGAAGCTTGGCCTGCACGGTGCATCTTTAGGTGACCCCATTCCCGATTTCCCGTTTCTTGTACATATTCCAATTCCAGTCTCAAAATGGCCAAACAATGTCAGCAAAAAGTCCGAGAATAGAAACCTCCTTGAGAGAAACACACGACTTCAGTCAGTCAACAGTCTGGAGAACATCGTACTTGTAACGTCCAACAGCATTTTGATGCAGGTAATCAACCCACTGCCACTACACTAGGCAACAGTTTCGCAGTGTTCCATCCATTAGGTTACCTACTCGGAAAGCATGCTCGATTCGATTACTTCCCTACCTGCCAGTTCGGAGAGATATATCGTAACAAGCAGGTGACTATCAAAGAACAGGCAAGTTTCGTACCGAGGACGCGGTTAGGTAGGGGATATGATTTGCATGCGCGGTTTATTTTATGGAAACGACGGGACACACTTTCCCTTCTCTCTCTTCAGCCCGTCTCATGTTTACACCATCCTGGCCCTCCCATAGGCTCGTTGGAATGACGGCCCACCGCTTGTTGAGGGCCAACGGCGCGGTCACTGTCAATTTGTGGGTTGACGGCTTTCAAAAACAGTATGCGCCCTTGGAGATTTGAAGACAGACTAATAAACAAACGCGGGCCCGAGTATCCGGCCGGAGATCCCCAGGGGTATGTATGTAGTTGGTAGGAGGCGTCAAGGCGGTGGACAAAACTCCTCCTTGGCGGATTCAAAAAGTTGAAACTGTCCTTTGCAAGTGTTTGAGCATCACGCAACCTCTTTTTCTCTCTTCTCCATCTGTTTGTTTCCTCTTCAACCAAACATCAGCCTCACAGCCTCGATACAAGAAGAGAAAGCATTGGATCAGTCGGAAAGTGGGAACAGTTCCAAGACTCCAAGCCCCTCGCCGATCTCAGCTTCCACGACTTCCATCCAACTTGTCATCCACTTGGCTTACCCAAGGCCCCCACTCCACTCGAGAATCGCATCGCATTGTCTGGTGTACCTACTGTGGTATTTAACCAGCAATCCCGGCCCGAATGACGTCTCTGTCCTCCAGCTTCAGCTGTCCCTGATACACACACCGTCCCGAGTCCCGACTGTCACCGATCTCCAGTACTCTTCAGCTCTCGGTCAAAATTCGCATGGCTACCGCCCAGTTCGTCTCAAAGCCATTTTGAGTCCAATTCCTCTTTTCCAATCGATCTTGGTGGTTAAGCCATAAGGACTTTTTGCCGCGGCATCATTGCATACCTTACCTACGAACGCATCATCATTGACGCATTAACGCCGGGTGTAACTCGACAAATATTCCCAAACCACAGCAACGAACCCCTTTTACGTTTTGGTCATTAACGACGGGAGACACGATATAACCACCACCTCTTATTCTTGCCATTGAACCCCAATAAAGTCAAAAGGAACGAACCTGTTTGGGACCCTTTCTCCCCCACACTATTCCCCTTCCAAGCATTGCCCATCAATCGATTACACACAGGCACCCATTACCTACCATACATAGCGGCGCTACCAAGTACCAACCAGGACAAGCGAGCAACTCCCAAACAAGAAACTTGGAAGCAACCACAAGCAGCAACAGGCGCCCGCAGCACCCACCATTGACGATTGACGACGCTCTCCCCACGACAAATCGACTCTTACGCAGCACACTACGATTATCGGGCCCCTCCTTTTTGCCTTGTCCTGCCTTGGCTTGGCTGATCGATCCCGTCGATAGTGACCCGTCAATCCCGTCACTGCATCCGTCACCCTCACTGGGGAGCACTGCCACTGCCAATATCACCGTATATAAGCTCCATAAGTACCGAGCCGGGCGACCCCGCTAGGTCCCCCTTCCCGCTGCCATGGTTCGCATTATTCCAAACCGTCTCAAATCATCCAGCAACTCCTTAGCAACTAGCAGAAGCGCAAGTCCAATGCGAAGCAAGGGCGATTCAGCAAGCCCCGAGGGGCGCAGAGACACGGGCTTGGTTCTGGATGTCAAGATCATACAGGTGTGTGTTTATGTTTACTTATGTGGATGCGCGTTGGCCCGCATGATCCGGATCGGATCGCATCGCATTTCCGCGGCGGCAGCATTACTGACGATTGTGTTTTGTTTACTATAGGCCAGAAACCTTGCGGCAAAGGATCGAGGAGGAACATCAGACCCTGTAAGTTACGCGACACCCAATTACATCTTTGACAATTACCGACTAGAGGTATCGTTGCGGTATTGGTACCGACACTGACTGCCTGCTGCGTTCAGTATCTCGTATTGACCCTGGGCGATGCCAAATACACAACCTCCACGATACCAAAGACTCTCGACCCGATCTGGAACGAGCACTACCAGTTTCCCATCAATGGCACGACAAGCCTCACTCTCGCCGCTATTTGCTGGGACAAGGATCGCTTCGGAAAAGATTACCTGGGCGAGTTCGAGCTTGCCCTTGACGAGGCCTTCGCCGAGGATGGCATCACCGATCTTGGGCCAAGCTGGTTCCCCCTCAAGAGCAAAAGGACCGGAAAGAAGAGCAGCTTCGTGTCAGGCGAGGTGGAGCTGCAATTGACCATCGTCGACAACTCGAACCCCGAAGCCACCCCCAGAGAGCTCTACGATCAGTTCATTTCCGTCACCAAGTCCGCGCCTGTGGCCGATACCGCCTCGCAAGTGTCGTCTACGCGCTCCCCAGGAACGCATACGAATTTACCAATGGCGATAGCGACACCTTGGGCATCGTCTACCTCGAAATTGGAAAGATCACCGACTTGCCTCCCGAGCGCAACGTAACCAAGACTGGCTTCGATATGGACCCCTTCGTCGTCATCTCGCTCGGCAGACAGACCTTCCCGCACCAAGACGATCCGACACAACCTCAATCCCGTATATAACGAGAAGATGATCTTCACCGTGTCCAATTACGAGCAGATGTACTCCTTCAACTTCACCGTCATTGACCATGACAAGGTATTCCGGCAACGACTTTGTCGCTTCCGTGAACCTTCCAATTCGGGAAATTATGGAAAAGGCACCAAAGCCCAACCCAGAAACTGGTCTCTATCAACTCGAGGACATTCCAGAATACGCCCCAGTGCAGAAGAGCAGTGGCCGATTTGCGAGATTGGGCCTGTCTCGGACGGCCTCTTCTCAAAGCTTGAGCAAAGCCGCCAGACCCGGTCTTTCTAGGCAAAATTCCACAGCCGCAAAGGAACCATCGGTGGCTGGGACTCCTCTCCAGGTTGCTGTCGACGGTCCTTCGGATTCCAGTCGGAGTTTCCTTCCCCCACCTAGCCCGGCCTTGCTGCCCCCTGGGGAGAATCCCATTGCGGCCGCGGGTGCGGCTGCTACGGCTGGCGAGGTTGCGCCCCAATCCGAAGGAGACGATGACTTCACTTTCTTGACTCTTCCCCTGAAGATGAAGCACCTTGAGAAGTGGGAGTCCAAGCACAACCCTCAACTCTATCTTCGCATCAAGTACATGCCATACCCCGCGCTGAGACAGCAGTTCTGGCGGGCACTCCTGAAGCAATACGACGCGGATGAGAGCGGGCGCATCAGCAAGGTTGAGCTGACCACGATGCTGGACACCCTCGGTTCCACATTGCGCGAGTCTACCATCGACAGCTTCTTCCAGCGATTCCCCCATAGGATAGAAGGGGACGACTCGGATGATTTGACCATGGATGAGGCTGTCATTTGCTTGGAGGATCAGCTGGAGGCCAAGTCACGCTCGACCACGCAGGGAATGGTCGACAAGGTCAAGGACAACGTAAAGAACCTCCTTCCTGGTCACGGCAAGGACTCTGGTACCACTAGTGATCTGGAGGACGGCGAGACTTCGGCCGGCGGTTCGCAGCTTGCCGATTCGACCCTCAACGTACCGGATCTGGGCGCCTCGGGTGAGGAAGGAGACCTGCTTGATCGTGATGACTTGAACCTCTCATCTAGTGGCGAGGAACACGTCGTGGAGATCAAGGAATGCCCTATCTGCCACCAGCCTCGCCTCAACAAGCGGAAGGATACCGACATTATCACTCACATTGCAACTTGCGCCAGCCAGGATTGGCGCCAAGTCAACAACCTTGTAATGGGCGGCTTCGTCACCTCCAGCCAGGCCCAGCGCAAATGGTACTCCAAGGTCATCACCAAGATCTCGTACGGCGGTTACAAGGTGGGAGCCAACTCGGCCAACATTCTGGTGCAGGACCGCATTACTGGCCAGATCAATGAGGAGAAGATGAGCGTCTACGTTCGACTCGGCATCCGCTTGCTGTACAAGGGTATCAAGTCTAACAACATGGAGACGAGACGCATCCGCAAGCTCCTCAAGAGCCTCAGTGTCAAGCAAGGCAAGAAGTACGATGACCCGAACTCCAAGGCTGAGATCCCCAAGTTCATCCAGTTTCATGGTCTCGATTTGTCCGAAGTCGCGATGCCTTTGGAGGAGTACAAGACTTTCAATGAGTTCTTCTACCGCGCACTCAAGCCCGGTGCCCGCCCCTGTTCCGCTCCTCACAACCCATGCATCGTCGTTTCTCCCGCCGACTGCCGCTCCGTTGTCTTCAACAGCATCGACACGGCCACCAACGTTTGGATCAAGGGTCGCGAGTTCACCGTCAAGCGTCTGCTTGGCGATGCCTACCCCGAAGACGTGGCGCGGTACGAGGGTGGTGCGCTCGGCATCTTCCGTCTTGCGCCACAGGATTATCACCGCTTCCATATCCCCGTTGACGGCATTTTGCGCCAGCCCAAGACGATCGAGGGGGAGTACTACACTGTCAACCCGATGGCTATCCGGTCCGCGCTGGATGTGTATGGCGAGAACGTGAGAGTGCTGGTGCCGATTGACAGCCCCGAGTTCGGCCGCGTCATGGTTATCTGCGTTGGCGCCATGATGGTCGGTAGTACCGTCATTACAAGGAACGACGGTGACGAGGTAAAGAGAGCTGAGGAGCTCGGATACTTCAAGTTTGGTGGTAGCACGATTGTTGTGCTCTTTGAGCCGGGCAAGATGGTGTGGGATGAGGATTTGGTGCAGAATTCCATTCTGCCTTTGGAGACTTTGGTAAGCCAAATCCATTGACTGTCTTGTAAGGGCCTTTGACTAACAGTAACAAACAGATCCGTGTTGGCATGTCGGTCGGTCACGCGCCCAATGAGCCGCAGTGGACTCCTGATATGCGCAAGGACGAGGCCGATATCACCTCCGAGGACAAGGCCAATGCCAAGCGCCGTATCCAGGGCCAGGTCGCCGAGGAGTCGCCGGAGGACAGCGGCAATGATGAGATGATCTCGACCATGCCTAGTGAGGTGCCCCCTCCCCCGGCGATGGGACCATGAGGAAGAGGTCTCCGCCGTTGGGCTCCACGGTGGTTCAGGTAATTTTGTATTAGTCACTTTGGGATATCGGTGTATGTTTATGGAAGCGCTGAGTTTGAGCGACGTCCTGTATAAAGAGTTGTAATGTTATGATTTTACGAAGTATCGATATTAGTAGCACGCCAGACGTCAACAGTCGTTGCATTACGCCGAATAACTAGTACAGGCCTTGTGTGTTTGCTTCGTAGTATTTTTGGGGTATCATAAACCAACGAAAACTAGTCACTGGTTGTTCTCAACCTAAACGCATACTCCAGTCCATTTCCCAACCGAAGCCCAAGCCATAACTCCCTCAAATGCATCTTTCCCCGCTTCCATTGTCTCCCCCATCCGGCGCATGTCAGAACCGCCCACCAAAATCAAAAGCTCTCCAATAACCTATCAACCTTCTTCCTCTCATCACTAGGCCCCTCCCCATCTTCCCCTTCCCTCGCCCTCTTCCTCCTCCCACTCCCCTTTTCTCTCTCCTTCTCCTTCTCCTTCTCAGCCCTCTCTTTATCCAACTTCTCCACCCTTCCCCCCACCCTAGCCAGCAAAACCCTCATCCTCTGTAACTCGGCCTCCATCTCCCCGTTCTTGGTCACCAGATTCTCTTGCACCGCTTTCATTCCTCCTCCTCCTCCTGCTGCTCCTCCTCCTGGTCTTTCCACCCCTCCTGTCCCCTCCCCCGTTTCTCTTTCTCTTCCCGCTTCCCCTCCCGCATTTACATTTAAGCAGTCCTGGTCCTTCGAATTAGAATCGGAATCCTCAAACACCTCAACCAACCCCCTAATCTTCCTCAACCTCGCCACCCTTTCCAACACCTTCCGTTTCTGCCCATCCAGCTCCTTTAATCTGGCAACTAACTCCTCAAACCGCCTCGCTTCCATCGGATATTCTTCGGCTTCTTTTGACGAGATGGAGGACCAGGAGTCGGGTATGGAGGTGATTATGCGGGGGAGGGTTAGGTCGGCGTTTACTCGTAACCAAGCTTGTGCGTCCTCGTCCTCTTCAACATCCCCCTCATCATCACCCACCTGGTGACCTTTTGCTAGTGCGGTGGAAGTGGAAGTGGAAGAGGTAGAAGTGACGGTAAAATAAAGTTTATCAATCTGCTCCGCAACATGCCGCGTCGCGACGGGCGGGTAGGCGCGCCGCGAGTGTTGGGTGAGCAGGTGGTTGAGTTTTGTGAGGGCTTCGGTGAGTGGTTTTTGGGGAATAATGTCGTGGTCTTGGTCTTGGTCTTGGTCGTTTTCGGAACTTGAAAGAAAAGTGCGTGACGGGGCCAAGGGTTGCGAGAGGGTGCGAGTTTGGGTAGTGAGGAAGTCGGATTTTAGGGAGAGGATTGTTGGTGGTGGTAGCATTGTGTTTTTTGTTGATTTTTTAGAAGTGGTTGATGCGACTGAGTTGTGAGAGGTTGTTGTTGAGATTGACGGTTACAGTTATTCCTGGCTGATGAATGATACGAGAGTGATGCTGTTTTGAGAATGATATTGATTGGAGAACCGCGCGTTGACCCTAACCCTGACTGCCTCGGATAATGACAGCATGGGATGAGGGGTCGCTGTGGATGCGCGCTGCAGCGGTTAACTGTACCTGGCATGGGGTAGTGGAGCTTGGGCCAACCACCCGATACTCGCAACACTTATGTTGGCTGGAAGCTTGCCCCGGTCAACAGGAATTTGGAGATTTCGAGAAAAGAAAACACCTGTTCCTGCCACCAGAAGATTCCCAAGGTCGCCTCAGTCGCTTTGTTGTGTTTGCGACGACAATCGGGGTTGTCATTTCCACCACCACCATGCACCAGTAGTACGTACCCTTCTTTTTCGGAAACCAACCCGACTCGAGAAAACGTCCGACTCCATGGAGAACTGGAGAAAGATGGAGACACTGGCAATGGAGATGGAGACGAAGCACATGGAGAACCCCTCAACTTACTCGAGTCATGAACCCAGGACAGCGCTCTACTAGGATCCCTTTCCCAACCATGCGGTCGCATCATCTGGCACGCAACGCGACGAAGACGACGACGACACCGAATGTGTACAGACGACTTCACGCCGCTCATCATGGGTTGTTGCGCCCACAATGCTCTGTAACAGGAGCCCTCTCTGCCGGTCGCTGTCTCCTCGACTCCTGCCAACAACATGACGTCGTCCCCCACATTCCACGAACCTCCAAGAGGACATTCATCAGCCTCTTCACGCCGAAGCCCGAACGAGTCGTGAAGCTGCCCCATTTTGACCCGGGCTACAATGTGCTTCTCCAGTACCGGAGGAGCGAGGTCGAACAGGAGCGCCCTCCTCCGCGGGACCAGCTGGTGACGGCGTTCAGGAAGTTGACGAAGTTCAAGGCCGACACCAATAAACCACTGAATCCCAACCAGGCCTTCCTCTTGAGAACGGTGTTGCATTATCTTATGGTCACCAAGCCCGAGGCGGACGCTCCCGTTGACCTTAAAATGAAGGATCTCGAGACGGCCATGGACGCTGCATTGCTGCCGCCTCCTCGGGGCTCTCCCGAATTCCATCTTGCGCTGGCCCGGTTACTGCACGAGGAGATCGTGCGTAGGAGGCTGATCTTGTTGAATCCCGACGAGCGCAAAGCACACATGACCGCAGACGACTTTGCGAAATACATCAAGGCATTGACGCAATACGGAGGCTCCCTGGAAGCAGCAGCTCAGATGAAAGAGTTCTGGAAACAACTAAAGGACGAAGGGAGCGCTACCAACTTCAAGGGGGCGGGGAGAATCTTGTTTGCGGTCCTGCAGGGCCTGGCGAGCGAGGGTCGCGAAGAGGAACTATTAAAGGTTTGGGAGGAGACGCAAGAGACGGGAGCCAAACTCATTCCGGGCGTGCACCAAGTCTTGGTCACGTTTTATGCGAAGCAAGACAAACTCGAGGAGGCGAAGGAGTGGTATAACAAGCCTATACACAATGGCTTCTCTCCCAACGGAGAGACGTTTCTGGAATTGGTGCGATTATCGCGACGGTCAAGCCAGAAGGAGAAGTGGGATGACTGGCTTTTGTCGGTTTTTGAGGAGGTGGTCAAGGATCCGTATGCGAAAAAGGGGGCAGTGGACGCCTTCTTGCAATGGTCGGTTTTAACTCTGGATAAGGGGCCGGACGGCATCAAGAAGTACCTCCACACCATGGCCAGCGGCGATTTTTACAAAAGTCACCTCAAAGGCAACTACAAGAGTGACAAGGTTACAGTTAATGCCACCACCATCAACCGGCTTATGGAAGCCGCCATGGAAAAGGGGAATCCGTACCTGGCTGAGAGGTTTTGGCAGCTGGCCAAGGACTTTGAGGTCAAGGCTGACGTTCACACCTACCTGAACCAAATGTCTTATCGACTCGACGCCAACGACATTGAAGGCGCTCATCAGATATTCTCGAAACTCGCAAACGGCGCCGTCGAGATCGAGTTCGAAGAAGACCTACCTGTAATGAACAAGTACCTCCGCGTCTTGTGCGCGCAGCCGGAACCCGACATCCAGCGTATCCTCACCATCACCTCGGCTCTCGAGCAGCGCCACGCCGTCCTGGAGCCGGAAACCATTGTTGCGCTCTGCCTCGTCTTCCTCAACCACGACAAGAAGTTCGACGTGATCGACACCCTCTCCCTTCACTCCGTCTCCATCAGCCACATCGAGCGGCAGCAGATTTACAAGGCCTTCGTCGACTACATCTGCTCCCCCTCAACCACGACCGACCGCGCCTGGGACGCCTACTCGCTGCTGCGGCAGTACTTCCCCGAGACCTCGATCGACGATCGCGTCCGGCTCATGGAATCCTTTTTTGAGCGCAAGAAGCCCGAGATGGCCTGTCTCGTGTTCGGCCACATGCGCGCCCACGACGACGACAACATGCATCCCACCGCCGACATCTACGTGCGCTGTCTCGAGGGTCTGGCCAGGTGTCCGCCCGCCGAGCAGCGGCCCACCGACCCGGCATCTTCGCTGAAGATGGTGCACAACATGCTCAAGATGGACACGCGCATCGATATGAGCACGAGGCTGTACAACGGGCTGATGCTGGCGTACGCGGCGGGCGGCGACCCTTTCACGGCGCTGGATTTCTGGGAAGAACACATCACGCGCTCGGCGGAGGGTCCGTCGTATAACAGCTTGGCGATCATGTTCTGGTGTTGCGAGCTGATCCCGCTGGGCGATCGGTATGCCAGGCCGGTGTGGCAGAAGATGTTGCGGATGGACCTGGAGGTGCCGCAGTTCGTATTTAACGCGTATTGCGCGGCTATTGCGAGGAGTAACGCCGGGTGGGGGAGGAAGATGGACGAGGTGTTTAAGCTGATCAAGGGGACGGATGCGAGCTTGGGGTATGGGGCTAGTATGATGACGTGAGTTTTGCCTCCCTCCCGTTCTCTGCCATTGTTGAAAATTTCCTGTAAAAAGAAGTCTGAAAAGCTGACAATAACCTGAACAAACAAACAGGCTCGGAACAACTTACAACGCCCTTCCCGACCCCTGGTCCAAGGAGGAGTTTGCCGCCTGGGCAAAGGAGGAGTACCCGGAGGAGTGGGCGAGATTGGAGAGTAAGGGGCAGAAGGGAACTGAGTACTCGGGGCCGGTGTTCAACATTACCAGGGTGTTTGAGGCTTGATCTATCATCTACTATATAAGGATATCGACAGTAAAGTAAAGGAAAGGAAGAACAGGACTTGTACAGAAATTCATGTTTTTATAGTTAGTGAGAGACGCAGAGGGAGAGGCTTGCATTGTTGTATTATTGTTGCGTTAGGTGGTCTTTTTGGCTGTTGAGCGGAAAGTAAGAAGAGGATGTTTGACCGTCTTTGGGTCGGTTGTACAGTACTACAGTTTTTAGCATACTTAGACAATAAAAGAGCTTTGGTAGATGGTGGATAGGTATGATGGGAAGCGGTTTTTGTCTAGTGCCTTATTTTGTTCGTTTCTTTCGTCAGTGCAGTGTACCAGGGGCAGGGGGTCATGGTGTATTCCAGGTTATTAAGTAGAGAGGAAACTGGTCGTTCACCCGTCGTCTTCTCACCCAGCTCAGATGCTTCACTAGGTATCCGCTTTGCCGTCCTTCAGAATCGCACCTTTGTTGACCACCCCGCCACCCAGACCCAAACTTTGCAAAATAATACCCATTTTCATGTGCCGTGTGTATACAGTAATAATAATACACCAAACTCTATATAAAAGCTGTTATAGAGTCCACCGATCAACCACCCGGCATCTTTCCGGCCCATGCCATGCCATCCTGACATGCTGCTAACCACACAGCATCATCACTCACGCCCAGGAGTCAAGCGCAGTCTCCCTATAATTTCGCCTCACCCGTCCACTCCCAAGCTATAGACAACCTAGTGCTCATCCTCTCCATCAAAGTTCTTGGTCTTGTTCGCCTCGCGGCCCTTGGGCACAACAAGCGGCAACAAGTGTCTGCCCGTGCTCTGCTTGAGGATCTCGGGGTGCTTGTGCACGGAGGGGTGGATGCCGAGGCCGATGGCGCGCCGCACCATCTTGGCGATCTTGCGCTGGTTGACGGGTTTGAGGCCCGTCTGGTTGGAGTGCTTTATGCGGCCGAAGGCGGTCATGTAGTCGGAGACGAGGGAGAAGTTCTGTTTTTTTCCCGAGAAATAGTGTCAGCAATCTGTCCAACTTGGCCAACAAAAAAGGTATGTGTGTGTGAGTAGAAGGACGAAAAAAAACATACACGATAGTTATCCAAAGGACTAAACCCCAGCTGATCAACCGCGTCCGCCGGCGGCGTCCACTTTCCCTGGCGGCCGCCCTTCATCTCGTACGCCGACAGGTCGCGCGGCGCGTACACGTCGCCGTTGCTCCACTGGCGCTTCATCTGCTTCATGTAGTTGGCCGCCGTCACCTCGGACTGCAGCATCTCCTGCACCTTCTGGCTGTTGTAGTAGGTGCTGTGTCCTGCGTCGTTGAAGCTGCTGCTGTTGTTTCTTCCTCCTCCCCGGCTGCCGGAACCGCTGTTTAGGAGGTTGAACATGTCCGACTTGTACTGGTTGGAGCCCGACGAGCTGTTGTTGTTGGTGTGGTTGTTATTGGTGCGCGGGGCATTTTGGAAAGAGGTGGTGGGGATGTCGCGGACTATTGATGGTGAAGCATTGTTAGCTTATGTGTTATGTCTGTAGAGCTGTAGAGCTGTGTGTATCGAGGTGGTGCATCGTGTGTTTGCGACACCGAACGGAGCGACATACTGGCAGCGGCTGGCGAGGTGGTCGAGAACTGGGCGGTCCTCTGGCCGGCAGCGCGGGACTGCCTGAGCGCAGAGGAGAGGAATTGACGAGAGGACGACATGGTGGTGGTGTGGTGGGGTGTCGTGGTGGTGATCACAACACCTTGAACAGCTGGTGGTGTTGACGATGTGTGTAAGTCCTCCCGGCAATTGGAGCTCCGTTTCGCGATCGGTCGGGCTCGGGGGTCGGAGGCTTGCGACGGGAGATGCGGCGGCGGGGGGCACACAACGGTAGGGTGATTGGCTCCGGGCCGGCAGCGACACTTTTTGGCGGATCAATCAACTTTTCGGCGCACTGCCGGGGCCTGCCGCGAACTGTGGGAGCTGTTGCGGCTGACAGCTGGCAGGGCGGGAGCTGAAGTCCTGAAGCAGTTTGTTTTGTGGGGTAAAATATAATCCATTGCAGGCCAAGAGCGCGCTAAGCAAGGGGGTCCGGCTGGCGAGAAACTGTGGGGCAAGATTTTTCATTGCAGCAAAAGTTCAAACACCAGCCCAGAACACCACCACCACTGCAGCTGCTGCTATCAGATTACGATAGTGAACCATCCATCCCCTCCATTCCGTCGCCTCCACCCTTTCACTTACGATTGATACCGCATTTTGATACCCTCCCACGACGACGGCCTTTTTCTTGAAAGCGACCAAGAACACCACTTCCACCACTAACACCAACAACAAACCGTCAACATGGTCCGCAAGCTCAAGCACGCGGAACAGAAGCTCCTTCGGAAGACCGACTTCATCAACTACAAGTCGGACAACAAGCACAGAGATCATGATGTCGCCAGGTGAGCTCACTTACTCGAAGTGTTTATCTTTTTGTGAAAGAAGATTCCGCTAACAGTCAAACAGACGGTACATGATTCAGAAGCCTGAGGACTATGTATGTTGATTCATGTCATGGATGAAATTCACAGTGACGTTCTCATGGTCATCATTACTGACCCCCTTCTAGCACAAGTACAACAGGATGTGCGGTTCCCTCCGCCAACTCGCCCATCGCCTCAGTTTGCTTCCCCCAGACAACGAGGTGAGGCGAAAGCACGAGGAGCTTTTGCTCGACAAGCTTTACGACATGGGCATTCTTTCGGTATGTCTCCCTGTATCATATCAAACCTCACTTTGAGCAGCTATTAACGTCCGACAACAGTCCAAGTCCAAGCTGTCGCAGGTGGAGCACCAGGTCACAGTCTCGGCCTTTGCCAGGAGGCGACTACCCGTTGTTATGACCAGACTTCGTATGGCCGAGACCGTACAAGCAGCAACCAAGATGATCGAACAGGGTCACGTCCGTGTCGGTGTCGAGGAGGTCCGTGATCCTGCTTTCTTGGTGACGAGGAGTATGGAGGACTTCGTCACTTGGTCTGTCGGCAGCAAGATCAAGCAGAACATCATGAAGTACCGCGACAAGCTGGACGATTTCGAGCTTCTCTAAATGGGAGAGCATAGCATGGCTGTGGACGGCATATCAAGAAGTGGTAATGGTACGTTGGGGGAAAGGCTGGAAAACGGTCTACCGGGAAAGAGCATACTACTGCGTTGTTGTTTGCAAGTTGGCATTGGGTGGAGTGCTCATATGCGAGCAATCTTCTGTGGCGTTTAGGGTAAAGGCATTCAAAATTTGTGAAAGGGATTTCAAGATACCATCATCATTCGGATTTCCAGGTCAAGAACTCGGAGTTGCCGAAGTGCAGAGCTCTGTCAGTTGAACTTGCCATGTCGATGACTAAAACTGGTGAGTGTTCCTTCCAAAGCGTGGAGTTATCTGACCACCCGACATCTCTCAGGTCTAGCAGGTACCTATGTTTGCTCCCGCGTTCCTTCCGTTAACCAGCACTAGAATTCTAGGGAACAAAACATCCGGCAAGCATCGGTCCTTCCCTAATGTACACCATCAGAATACCGTTTTTTTCCATAGTTGTGGGCTCATTTACCTCGCTCACTCCTTCGTGGGTGTTGTCCTTCGCCCGCTCCTCTTCTTGACTTTTCAGTTTCGTTCTTCATCTCCTGCTCCACTCCCTACTCCCTAGAGAGACTGGCCTAACAAATGTCTCCATATTCTTAACGACGTATCATCACTCACTTCACCTTTTATCCTCAGCTTTATTCCCTATCCTACATGGTCTTGGCACCCCTGGTGGTCTTTTTTCTGTTACCAAGGTTCCCTAATACCCTCCTGCTTCCTAATCTTGGTCATAATCTCGAGATCAACAACAGCTGGATTTCCCTTCGGCACTTGGGGACACCGGGCCCCATACCAGACCAACACCCTTCTGTATGAGTTCTTCCCCCGGAAGAGCTCTCCAGACTTCAAATCCCTAGTCTCACCCTCTAAGACAGACAAACCACCATGCCTACCTTCGACAAGAGCCACATTCGAGATGCGAACCCATACTCTGGGCCCATCGATCCGCCACCATACCAGCGTTCTCCCTCTCCGGAGATGCCTGTCTCTAGCCCCAGAGGTAACAGTGCCTACCAGGAAGCGCTGAGTAACTTCTCGCATTCTCGTTACTCTTCGACGGATCGTGACTCGGTTCCCAAGTATGAGCATCTCGACTCGGTTCCGAGTCCGAACATAACCATCGAGTCAGGCAACATGAGATTCCTGATTCCTCCGCGACAACGTATGTCTAAGAGTCATCTTTGTCCCCAAAGTCCGCTAACTGTTCAGATCCTTTCACTCCCACGGAGACTACACCTACGAGTTCTAGAGTCCTGCACAAGGCAAGCTCCCGAGTCACATTCGACCTTTCGCCCCGTGATCTTGAGTCGCCACCGGAATCGTGCCGCGACTACTTCTATGGCGCAACGTACGAGGAAGACCCGTCTGGCCCTTCTGCCAATGTCAACGGACCGCCCGGGAAGAGCTAGAATCTCTACCCACTCAAAGAATGGATGGAGACGAGCGGAAGCCAGGATCCATCAAGGAGTGACTATATCCACCATGCATTGCCCGATAGTCAAGTGTCCCAGCTTGTCACTTCAGATCATCATCACCAACATGGTCACAGCTCGGAACCCAAAGTTCGAACGGTTGCGGAGCTCGCAAAGTCTAGAACAAGCGATCCCACCGGACGAAGGGGAGTGCCAAAGGTTGTTCCGTCGTCGGATCTGCCGCCCTTGTACCGCCCAGAGGGAATGCTTGACTTGGCTACATACATTGCCTCCCGGGATCCGAATCCCTTCGGCGATCGACAACCTCAAGGGTCTGTTACAAGCCATAATCTCGATGGTACGACGCGCTATCGTGGACAAAGGAACGTCTCGAACCTCAGTTCATCCCGAGCGGAGTCTCTTCGTCACCACAAGTCCACCGACGGCCACATGACCCATTATTCTGGCCATTCCTTGACACCAACATTGCAGCCATATAACGATGGCGATGGCTCAAGAGATTTTACTGTTGATCAAGCAGTGATTCCTCGCTGGTTTGTAAAACACAGATCAGCATCTGAGCTTGTCGCATACTGGGAGTCGATCCAAGGTGATAACGATGCCAAAAATGCCACGCCTGCCCCCCAAGGCTTGCCACAACGACCTAGGGCTGATAGTACGATCATCTCTCCCAATTTTATGGGAAACACGAACCGTACTCTTCTCGGTAAGGCACCCGAGGAGAAGCTTTACCCTGTGGCCGAACATATTTCAGTCCCAACGGACAATAATTCGGACCCAGTGGCAACGTCGCCAGCCATGGCAAATTTGAACCGCACAAGAGCCTGGCTACGAGATCTGATCAAGCAACCGCAGCCTTACAAGACCAGGTTCACCGAGCTCCCGCACAGAGATCCAATGCATGAACCCTTATTGGAAGACTACGATTCTGCGGATCCTCGATCACTGCTAAGGAAATCCACAGCCGACGCCTCCATAGACATGAAATTCCGGAGTACTGTCAACAATCTGGAGAACCTTCTCAGTGAAGCAATGGAGCTGGCGGCAGCAACTGCCCAGCGAGAAGTTGATCACCAGTGCCCAGACTATTATGAACTTGACGAGCTCACCCATCGTGATGTGCCAACGCCTGCGAGTTTAGACGAGAGCTTCCCCAGCGAAAACGGGTCGATGGTGAATGAGGTTGGCGACTTTGACTACTGGACTGCTGTGGAAAGCGCCTTGGGAATCCAGCCTAGCAACGATAGTAACAGACGAGAGCCGAAGCACTACCGGTCGGCTCCAGGAATGCGCAGTAGGAACGTGGCAGTCAAGATTCCAGTGAGAAAATCCAGTTTGATGAAACCCAAGGTCAAATCAAGCTACTCGACTCTGGGTGGTCCTCATTACGAAGATTTTGACGAAGAACCTCCGGTTCATGACCCGGCTCCAGGGCCAGCTGATCTAAGGACCAAGCAGTCATCGAGATCAGTAATCCCGGCCAGTCCACCCGCCAGTACAGACTCACCACCGACATTAGGGTGCCTGCCAAGGGTTGCTTCGAGACTCAGAAGCTACCGTAGCTTTGGCGCGATACGGCCTTTACGCCGTGTCAGCTCGCTGCGACCGCAAGCTGATGGTGCTATGGATACTCCTGACGATGAAAGTGACTCTACAATCATTCGTGCATCACTCAAACACAGAGTTCCAGTTTCAGGTGAGTGAATGTCTGGTGCAACTAATAATCACCAAAAATATGCTAACTTTTAACAAGGGCTCGATGGACCAGCCGCATCAACTGGAAATCGTTCACAGCAATCCCATAACTCGTGGAATTACGGTGATGATTCCAGGGGTCTGGGAGAAGGCGAGCCAAGGGACGCGCCAGATACTCGGATTGATCTACGTGGAAGGTCTCATGTCAGCCTCCGTGGCTACCAGGGCTTTAGCCTGGCACGAGCGTACCGTCGACAACCAGTAGCCCGAGACTGGTCTACTGCCCGTAAAAGGTTCGTTGCCGGAGTCGCATGTCTGAGCACGGCCTTCATCGGTATGGTTATCGGCATCTATGCTGGTCTTGTCCCATCCATTCAGTACTGGATAGCTGATCTCAATCACTATGCAATCCTGGGTAATGTCTTCTTCTACTTGGGCTTGGCTGTTCCCACCTTTTTCTTCTGGCCTTTACCGCTGTTGCACGGCCGGAAACCGTACATCCTGTCAAGTTTGATACTCGCGATGCCTTTATTGTTCCCCCAGGCTATTGCCGTCAGCACATGGCGGTCACCATACGTGAGCACTTGGAGATGGGCTCTTCTAGGCTCACGCGGGTTCATGGGGCTCACTCTTGGGTTTGCGAGTATGAACTTCCACTCCATGCTGACGGATCTGTTTGGAGCCTCCCTCATGAGCGCCAACCCACATCAGGAGGTGGTCGACAAGTTTGACGTACGCAGGCACGGAGGCGGCATGGGCGTGTGGCTGGGGCTGTGGACATGGTGCTTCACTGGTTCCATTGGCATTGGGTTCCTGATCGGAGCAGCGATCATCAACAATCTCAACCCATCATGGGGCTTTTACCTCAGCATCATGATGCTGGCTGTCGTGCTTCTTCTGAATGTCATTTGCCCGGAGGTCCGACGCTCTCCTTTCAGACGGTCTGTGGCAGAGGTCAAGGACGGTAAACAGGTGTCACGGAGAGTTGCTCGCGGGGAGGTCATGATGCACCGGGTGAAAGATGGTCCGACCTGGTGGTGGCAGGAAGTCTAGCACGGTATTCTGCTATCACTGGAGATGCTTCGACAACCCGGATTCATGATTATGGCCGTGTATGTGGGATGGATCTACGCGCAGGTGATTCTCATCATCTGTCTGCTTGGCTCTCTCACGTCAAAGGATTACCGGCTCAGGTCGCCTTTGGTTGGCCTTTGTGTTGCGTTTATCTCAATTGGCGCACTGGCTTCAATACCTTTCCAGAAGGCGAGCATATTCTCCCGCCACAGGCACTACCCTCAGCTGTCCAACATGGACACCCTTCTCGACAAGAAGTTTACCTGGACGTCACATCTTCTTCGCCGCGCCATATTCCTTACCCTGTTACCTATTCTTGGTATGGCATACACGGTGTCGTCAGCTGGAGGTCACATACCGGTACCTGTTCCTGTCCTTTTCGCTACTCTGATAGGCACCATATCCGCCCTTGCAGTAGCCGAATGTAATGGACTAATCATGGAGAACTTCGACTGCTCCGACCTACTCCCGGGTATGATTGGCCGTCCCAGAGGCTATTCGAACAAGCAACCTAAGCGCACAAACTATTCGTCCCATCCGCGGATAGCTGCTGGGTTTGCTGTCTGCCATACCTTTGGCTTTCTCCTTGCGGCACTGGCGACCGCTGTAGCCGGAACAGCACAGCGAAACCTCGGCCAGCGGGAGGCAACCGGTATTGTAGCTGGCGTGCTGTTTTTGTTGACTGTCCTCTTGCTTGCAGTCCTTGTTCGTTTCAAGGAAATTGAAATCATCCCGGTCTCGAAGACCGTCGAGATGGAGAAGTGGCAGAAGATTCGTCGTGAAAGCATTCGTAAATCTATCATTGAGATCAAGGCTGGAAGACCCCTTCCAGTGACGATGACTGATGAGGAGATCTGGCGCCCTCACCTTCCCGGAAACCCATCAAGCCAATTCCGAAGAGTCAACATACTGGAGTTGGGCGCAATGACAAGATGGACCGAGATCCGGAAGAAGAACAAGCTGATTGACGAATCGGCCGCACATTTGAATCGCGCAGCGCTCGAGTCTGCGCGCATGGCTGTCGAAGATGCCACTGGAATTGGTGCAAGAACTACAAACCTTATTCGAAAGGTCAGCAGTCGCAAGGGAAGGAGAAAGCAGGGCCAACCCCAACGCACGATGTACAATCACCGAGGTGTGCCAGTTCAGACGGAAGAAGCAGGCCCAAGCCGCGGTGACACAACGTCGCCCGACAAGTTTGGTCTTTATCGGTTTGATGCTGAGCCAACGAGGGTAGGCAAGCAAACACCTACTTTGACAGTGCCTCGTGAATCGGATGGTTTCTCCTTCCAAGCACATTCTGACCGAGAGGCTGGGAGTGTGCTTGAGCGTCCCGTCCCTGAAAATGATGAGGAAATGGATGATTTTATCACTTCCTCGGAAGATGATGGGAACGACAGAATTGAGTTGGACGAACTGGGACCCTTGGAGGGCCCCCCAAGCGGGCATGCAAGGAAGGAGGTTTGAACGTTGTTGGTTCGGTGAGGGTGGGTTGAGTTTGGTCGGGTAGCCCGGTTGCAAACATTCCTTTATCATTCTCGAATATGAAAATCCTAAGAATCATATCCTGAAGAAGACCTTCTCCGTGGAAATCGCAATGTTGGACGAACGTCTTTTCGGATGATCAAACACTAAGAGTTCGGATAGTCGCTCCACTTTTCAGGGGATTTTGGGTTGGTTTGTTTACTTGTTGCCGTATGAGGTTAGCACCCGGCTTCCGTCCCGAGAATGTGGGGAAGGAGCGGGGTTGGTGAGGACCTCAATAACATGCCGTGGTTCCCTCCCTCCGTTGATCTGCGTTTGCTATCATTGGCGGTGAGAAGAAAGTGAGACAACCCACGAGGTTCCCCTGAATGATAAGCATTAAAAACCCCAGAGCCTCGCGTAGTTTCTCTCCTCAGTGCTACTCTCCATTACGACATCCGTCTTGCATAGAAATCACAGCGATACCCAACGGCGTCGTGCCTATCGACTTACCTCTAATTGAACTCACCTGAAAATATCATCACCAACCAGAGCCAGACCCCATCAAAATGGCCCTTCCAACCCTCTCCAGAGTCGACCTCATCGCCCTCTCGGAAACAGACGTAACCCAGCCCATCCCCAAAGAATCCATCTTCGCCGCCCTCGCCACCCCGCCCTTCCTCTACATCCCCGGGACTTTCAACACCCGCGACCTCGGTCTCCTCCCTCTCACTCCTCCTTCCCCTAGTGGCAATACCAATAGCCAAACCCGCAAAGTCGGAATCCGCCCCGGCCTCATCTATCGCTCCGGCGGCTTTTTCCCAAACGGCGGCTTCAACGACGCCGCCAAGACGCAGCTGGCTACACAGCTCGGCATCAAGAAAATCTTTGACATCCGCTCCGTGCGCGAACACGCACATGCTCCGGACCCGGAGATTCCCGGTGTGAAGAATGTCTGGATCGCCGCAACAGAGAAGGAAGCAACTGTTAATTTGGCTGATTTCTTGGAAGGAAAGGGCGAAAGGGGGTATGTAAAGATGTATATGGATGTTCTGAGCGGGTATAGGGATGTTATTGGGGCTTTACTTCGAAGTTTGTTGGAAACTCCTGACGAGGCGGTACTGTTTCATTGTACGGCGGGGAGGGACAGGACCGGCGTGGTCGCGGGATTATTACTGAGTTTGGCGGGGGTCAGTGAGGAGGATGTGCAGATGGATTGGATGTTGAGCAGGATTGGGACGGAGATGGCTAGGGAGCAGTTACTGGGTTTCGCCATGAAGGGGGCTGGAGTGGCCAGTGTGGAGAGTGAAGGGTTTGGAAACTTGGTTAGTCTGAGGAGGGAGTGTTGGGCTGCGTTTGTTAAAGAGGTTAAGAGGGTTTACGGAGGGTGGGAGGGGTATGTGAGAAGGGAGTTGGGGTTGGGGGTGGGGGAGGTGGAAGCTTTGGGAAGGGTTTTGAGGGGGGAGTGAGAGGTGTGGAGAGTTGGAGGTGAGATACGGGTGGAAGTGAGGTGTAGGTGGAAGTGAGGTATAGGTAGAAGTGAGGAGGTATAGGTGGAAGTGAGATGAGATGGAGGTATGAGTGAGGTGTAAGTGGATGTGAGGTATAGGTGAAAGTGAGGTAATAGGTACGAGTGAACTGCAGTTGCAGATAAGGAAGGGTATGGGCATGTGGGAAGAAGTTGACCGAATTTGGATGCATTGGTCTTTGATACCGAGCAGCCGACGAACAGACATACATTGGTGATGCCACGAGGGAGGTGATAGAACCGAGAAAACAGAGAATACCATAATGCCTCGAGATGATTGAGGGAAATTGGAGCAAGTGACACTCCCCGACTGAAACCCGAAGACCATGAACTGTCAAACCTAAAATTAGCCTTTACTCCGTCATCCCATCTTGGCTCACCCGGAGCCAACTCCGCGGTATTTATCCCATCCGTCTTCACCACGAACAGAAACCAATTCGACAGTCACTTCACCTTGAATTTCACCTTGTTGTTCAAGTGACATCACCCTTGAACTCACCCCAAACAGGTTTAATGCCCAGCGCTTATGCCACCCCTGTTGGACCCTGAATGTCCTGAAAGACGGGGGCTTGGCTTCGCTTGGTAGACTTGGTTATAGGGCAGCCAATAAGCGAGTTTCAGTGTAAGGCGGAATGACGCCACTGACGTTAGCGTGCAACGTGCAACGTGGGATGAAATGTTGGAACGGAACGGAACTTGGACCCTAGACCCCAGGACCCTTACCCACTTTCAACGTTTTTCTTTCTTTAAAAAGCAACATGATATGATGCTCGTTTACGATAGATGCGGCACGGGCATGGCTTCTAGGTACATGTTCGTAACCCGCAGGGCCATGTCAAAAGAACGGGTGTGGATGCAAGTTCAGATCGAGATGCAGGTTTAGTCTAAGGGTCCTGCGAACGTCAAACGTCAAAGGGTCCATCTACACACACCCAAACACCCAGGCACCCTCAACACCAGGGGCACACCTTCAAGAACACTGATAGGATATAAGGCCCGAAAAGCCAAGCTCGGCTATGGCATCCTCAAGCGCTCAAGGTCCGTTAATATGGGGGACCACACCAACTTCTTTCCTTGCTTTTGATGTCATTCTCGCAGCATGTTGCCGAAGCCAAGGGCCCAAGGGCGAGCCAAGTGGTGGCCAAGCAGACCAAGGACATGTAAGGTGTGGCTGGTGACGAAGTGTAACTGTGTAAGTGGGATTGGTTGGTTGTTTGGTTGTTGGATATCACTTTGCGGAGTGGTATTTGTTGGTTCAACTACCTGGCGTCGTCATATTATCATGTGTGGCATGTGTGGCATGTGTGGCTACGTAGGTAGTGAGCAAAGAGGAAGGAGGGAGGAATGCCGTACTGTGTAACAGCGGGACGACAATCGACGAAAAAGACTACTGCGTAAGAGCGGGATGGCTTGACGGGATCTTCGAAGAAACCTCATCACCACCACCACCACTGAGAGGCAAGATGACGTCCGATTTGACAACCAACTTAACAAAAGATAACCAAATTCAACCGAACCATTTGTCTATATAACTCTGTCCTTGCTTCACTCTTTCCAATTTTGTCTCATCTCATCAGCATCAGCATAAACATCAGCATCAGCTTCAATACCAAACCAAGCTACACAGTACACAACTACACACACACACGCGCGCATCCAAGACTTCAAACCAAGACTTCAAACCAAACCAAAACAACTAGAGACAACGCTCAACCACTACTCTCATCTACAACCCAACAACAAACCAAAACCACACCAACCTCCAAACCAAACCACAATCAATCAAAATGTTCGGCCGTCGTCGCGCCCACGCTCCCCTAACCACAACACACGCTGCTCCCATGACCAGCACCCGCACAACCCGCACCACCCGTCGTTCAGGAGGAATGGGCGGCATGACCTCCCTCTTCAGCGGTCGCAAGCGCCGCGCTCACCACACCACCACCACCCCCATGACCACCACAAGTCGTCGCCGGGGCTACGGTACCGGCGGCGGTTACGGTCGTCGCAGCAAGAAACACCAAGCCGCTGCTCTGGGCACCACAGCTGCCGTACATCATCATCAGAAGCGCAAGACGAGTATTGGGGATAAGATCAGCGGAGCGCTGATGAAGATCAAGGGAACGATTACGGGACGACCGGGGCAGAAGGCTGCGGGGACGAGGAGGATGCGGGGGACTGATGGGCGTGGGAGGAGGGCTCGTTACTAGGTCTATTCTAGATATTCATTGAGAAGAGGGAATGAAGGAGAGAAGGAAGGAAGGGGAATGGGAAGGGGGTGTAAGATTATTGTATTGTTTTTTTTTTGTTCTCTTGCAGGCTTTTGTCATTTGGTTTCTTTTTTTTGTGTTGGTGGTTATGTACTTTTATGTGTGAAACTAGAAGCGCTGAGAAAGAGATACCCGTGAATATACACTTGAAACATAACGCATTGCATGATGAATGAGTCTAAATGATGCAAGACTAAAACAGGGCAATGCACTTCTTCATGCACTTCACTTTCACCAAGTGCGACTGAACTTTGATCATGGTATGAATATTATGTATTAGAGTGGATGGTTCTTATGCTATGTTCAAGTGACCAAACTAAGTGCATAGTAGAGTGCGGCTGTAGGTATCAGCCAAAGTAACCGAGAAAGACTGCACGAACGATATAGAATATGTAAATCGCAGTGCAAGTCTATGTGCTTTTCGAAATGACAACGCCAATGCTCCAATTCCTTCCTTGCAAACCTAGGTACTCCGACAAACTGGTAAGCCAGCTAATGACCATTAAACCATTCCTAAGTAAAAAGAAAACGACGACCAAGACCAGCATGACTGGGTAGTGGTCGCGTGAGAAAGCAAACTTTAGACTGCTCGACCGAAAGAAATGACCGAGCTGAATCGTGGGTATCATACAACATCCAAACAAAAAAACGTAAGATCGTGGCGTCAAAAGCTGTAATCCTCATGATCATTGCCATAAGCGTGGTCTTCTCAAAAAACTTCCTGTGAGCCAAGAGGTCTATAACCATGCTTCGTGGCGGGAGAATCCCTCTGGAGCTCGTCAGTCTCCATATGGCGAACATACGGGTTGCAAGTGAGCTGCGAGTCTGTCCGAGAACGTGCGATGCCGGCAGGTTTGATGACAGCTTTGCGCGGGACACCGTGAAGCTGCCTGGATCGACTAGGTCTCAGCAAGGGTACCATTGCCTCGTCATCCTCTGTACTCTCCCCGGATCGGTTGCTGGCGGAGCGACTGGCGCAAGGTGGACGAAGGTACTTGTTCTCGCGATCGGCGTCGTAGCCGGGCAAATGAAGGGTACTACGAGCAAGCTCGTCTTGCTCATCTTGCTTTACTGCGGCGCGGCCCAAAAGCACGTCCGGATACTGCGTGCGAAACTCCATGGTCATGAGCTCCAAGTCACCCTTGGCGGGGGAGGGATGTTTCTTTCTCTCGAAGTCATCAACAACAGGGACGTAAGAGAACATGTTGGCAAGTCCCGAAGACAAAGCCAAGGGGTTTTTCTTGGGTTGCGCACTCTCCGAGCATAGACCCATGGGCAAAATAGTATTGAAATCGATGCTGCGGCTTCGCAGACCACCACGAGGTTTCTTGGTAGGACTCTCGCTGGGCGACGAAGTGCGCTTGTAGCCCCTTCGGGGGGTTGATGAGGCAATGGGAGCAGACGGGAGGATTGAGTCCAGGCTGCCCTCCATCACTCTCTCCGACTCGAATGGATTTTCGGATGAAAGAGGCGGCAGCACAGAATCGTCCACAGAGTCTCCTCGAAGACGGGTTTCAAACTCGGTGACATGCCGCCGGAGTGAGCTTGGAGACGAAAAAGGATCATCCAGCGACCTACGGGTGCGTAAGGTCTTGCCGTTCATGGGAACGGGCTTGCGACGGACTTTTCCGCCAAAGATCTTTTGAACCTTGTCTTTGTTCAAGTTCACACCCTCATTAAGGCGTAGTTCGATCGATTTCAGACCTGTCCTCTTCCCTGCAACGTCTTGTGGTGCCACAAGTTCTGTTTCGTCCTCCTCTTCCACGGTGTTTTGCACCTTTGACTCTTTGGACTGATTCTTGGGGAAAAGCCGCCGTTCAGAAAGCGCATGGGAAACCTTCTTAAATAGGCCGTTCTTCTTGACTAGGCGAGAGACTTTTGAAGACGTGCTACTGGAGGGAATCGCAGTTGTAGGTTGTGCAGGCTGTGGCTCTGACTTTAGTGCCTGGGTAGCAGCCAGCATCTTTTCGATCTTGTCGGCAATCTCTGCAGGGTCAAAGCTGACAGGCTTGTTGGAGGTCGTCGGGGAGGCATTGGACTGTCCGTGAAGGGTTGTCAATGGCATTGTTGCCGATGCGGGCAACTTGGTCATCCTACTGTTCGGCGGATGCATTGCCAGGGGATTCAGAGCGCCCGTACTGGACTTTGGGAGTCCCTTGACGTAGTCACCTCGTGGAGGAGCTGGGGGAGATTGTCGCTGGCGAGTGGACCGGCGTCTCGACGACCTTCTGGGTAGGCTGGGTGAGGGTCGCACGACAGGAGCGGGTCGCTGGCGAATCTTTCGATTGGCGGCGGGTGCCTCCTCAACTCCATCATCTTCAACTATGGCGATGTTCTGGATAGGATGGGGATACACGCGAGTGACGGTGCATGGGGTCTCATCAGAGACAACTCGAGGGCCCCGATCAACCGGCGACTCCAAGGCGGAGGTCATGGTTGTATCTTCGAGAATCGCGCTGGCCAGGTCGTCGAGGCTATTGCGACTGCGGGTGTTGGAAGTGCCGCGACTGGTCCCTTGAGATTGTATATCCAGGAGACGGACGGTGGGATCTTCTTGGTGGGAGGGGCCAATGGATACTGTAGAAAGCGTGGTCAGGACCAAGGCCTTCAGGATATCGTGGTAGTAAATGCGCAAGACAGGCTGGCTGTTTGTCGGGCTTGTTTTGTTGTTTGCATTTTGGGGGAGAAGAAAGGAATGGACTTACTGGTGCTCATGGTTCTGGCCCGGGAAGGCATTGTGGTGTCAGGACGTCGGTGCATGAAAGAAAGAAGAGATTTTTTCTTGGAGTATGTTACCGTGGTGGAACTCATTCTCGTTGGATAGGTGACGAGTTTGTGGTTGCTTCAAGGTGTCCAGGTCTGGAAATTGGGTGAGCGAAAACTTGGTTCGTGGTGAAGGAGCGGCTGGGCCCAAGATGGGCACCGAAATAGATCAAGGTTGGGTCGAAGCAACAGTCCGGTACTGGCTGTTGTCCGGACGATGTGATCCACTGGGATGGCCGATTCAACTGCAACGAGGTCAGCGCCGTTGGTGGTCGGGAGGATTTGTGCACTAGCGCTGGTGTTAAGTAGGCGATGACTGCGGCGGGATGGGGGACGACGGGACTCACAAAATCAGGTCCGTTGCCTGGGCATGTTGCCCCACACGCCACAGTCTCTCGTGACTATTTTGCTACCTTGGTTTTTCTGCCTATTGCAGACCAGGTCACAAGCAATTGCGCGGGTGTAATTGTCGGCGCGCGCCAGGCTGAAGTTGAAGATCAAGATTGTCAGGGGCCAGCAGAAAATGAGCGAGTGGTTGGTGCTGGTGAAGGTTCGTAGGGTGTGGTGGAAAAGGTTGGAAGGAGGGAAGCAGGACTGAAACTAAAAAGCAAGTGCTGCCTGCAAAATGGAATTAGTCACGATGTTTTGCAATTGCAACGGGGGTGTTCGTCAGACCAAACGGCAATCGCTGGACTGCAAGGAGGAAGGTGGTGGGTCCGGGCAGGTTTCATGGCCGTAGAATTTCCAGATGAAAGAGCGTTCGGGTCCGAAGTTCAACGGGATCTGATAAGGGTGTATGATGAAACGTACAGGTAGGCTACAATGAGGCAAGTGGTCTGGTTCGGGTCCGTCGTCACCACGGACCCACGGCAGCGCACTTGCACTTTTACTCGCGCTCTTTCCTCCTTGATGGCCATCGTGACGACGCAGGGAGCTTTTGGTACGAGGCCTCCCGACAGTTCCATTTCTTGGGATAGAACCTTGATGGCCGGATTTGTGATTGTAAAACGTCCCACCTTATCAGATCAAGAGTTGGAAGAGGTGGAATCTGTCGCCAATCCGATGAAAGACACTCGCTCGAGGAAGAAAACAAACTGGCCCAGGAAAGACGAGAAGGACGAGGTGTGAACCAAGGGGTCCAGCTATATCTGATGATTTCTTGTCAGTCTCGTACCGACAGTAGGAGGCTTTCTAAAGGGTATGCGAGATCGTCAACATGTTCCCAGCAAACGAAGGTGGTGTCGACGGGGGCGTTCAAGAAAAGTTGCACTTTCACGGGTTAATATATCAGAGTAAAATGCAAACAGCCGTAGAAAAAGAAGAAGTCCAACGCCGAGTTCAAAAGCTCACGTCCGAGCAGTGCTCTTGCCATGCGATAAGTTGACTTGAACAAACAAGAAGGCAGGATGACAGCGATCGCAAATACTCGGCGTTCTATGTCATCTTTGAGTAAAGACTGTCTGCTGTCCAAAGCACCCCTTCAGCGGTTCGAGGAGTCCCACGCGGTGGAAATATAACGACTCCAGGCCTTGTATTCTGGATAAATCCGAACCGCCGGGCACCCGAGCTGTCGATCGTCCAAGGAAGCAAAGTCACTCGTGGAGCATCTCCTCGGATATTCCAGAATTTCTCAAATATTTTGTAAGAATATCCATTGCGGCTCACAGATCTATCGGATGCCGTCAAGAGTCAGACCTCTGGATTCTGAGAGGGTAACTTTTGTCATGGTCAACTCATGTTGTCCTCAAACCATCACGTAGTTCTTGGCGGAGTTGTGATCGTTTGTCGTTGAAAGACATGGGGTGATTATGTCAGCAAAATAACCCCTTGCACGTGCCTCGCTTCGGCTGTTCCGAATGTCAGCAAAGCAGGTCAGCAAAATCCGAAAAATCAATGTTTGAGAGAAGTGGACGTGCGAGAGATGGTGGGGTAAACGCACGGTCCACCCACTGCTCATTTTGAAATCCTCCGGAAGTGATTGGCGAATGGCCGATGGATAAAGAAAAGAGGGAAGCACTCCTCCGAATGCCGAGGCGGGAAAAGGCAAGTCCAAAGTGAGGAACAAAGTGCATTCATCCACTCTGGATTTCTGAAGAGAGGTTATCCGGATATCACTTTGTCACCAAACTTCCGGGAGAGGAACACAACATCCGATCCGCTCCTCACATCCCAGCCAGCAACATTTCCGTGATAATCAACTCAAATTGACTCCGAACACTGGAACTGCAACTCCGTCGTTGTCGCTGTGTTCCCAAATCCGGAAATCTCCACCTTGAACCTCGGGACGGCAACCAAGAAGCGAAGGTTACAGCAGTCCAGACACTGAGCAAGTTCCCCCAGTGCCCGCCCGCTATCACACGCTACCTTCCACATAGTGTACTCGGATCCGCACGCCGCCACTGCGCTACTTGTCCCCCTTGCACACCAACCCCGAGACATCTTGTTCCATCTGATTGAGTGTGTCAACGCGACCGCCGAGTACAATACACTCTTTTCATTGGCCGGGTCTACGGTCGACTTATCACAGCATCATATTTATAACGGTCACCACCACCACCACCTTCGTTGTCCTCTCCCCCGAGAGGCACTTTTGAATGCATCAGCAAGAACCACAGTCGGGCTTAACTTCTGCCTCGAATCCACCGTCAGACAACACCATGTCTTTCTCCAGCCTTGTACAAGATCTCTCGCTCCGGGACCCCAATGCGCCCAGGCGCCGCGGTGACGCTTCTGTCTCTACCATCGACGACCGCGCTTCTCGCACTTCCCACATCTCCCGCGCCATGTCCTATGCCAGCACCGCCGCCACGAGCGTCAGCATCGCCGGCGACATCTCCAGCCAGCTCCATGGCGGTTATGCCCATCCCCTTGCCCGCTCATGGCAGGCCGAGCGTCAACTAACAAAGGTGCGCACTCCATCGCCTCTTGTCTGTCTGGTGACTCTTCATTGTTGCTAACCCATCGTTTTCTCTAGTCCATGCTCATCTACCCCCTATTCGTTTCCGACAACGACGATGAAGAGGTTCTTATCCCTTCTCTCCCGAACCAATACCGCCGTGGCATCAACAGACTTGTTCCCTTCCTCGAGCCGCTCGTTCACAAGGGCCTTCGCTCCGTCATTCTCTTCGGTGTTCCTCTCAAGCCCGGTACCAAGGATGCTCTTGGAACCTCTGCCGATGATCCGGAGGGTCCCGTCATCAAGAGTATCCGCCTCTTGAGGCAAAGATTCCCTCAGCTCTACATCAGTGTCGACGTCTGCCTGTGCGAGTACACTTCACACGGCCACTGCGGTATTTTGCGCGATGACGGCAGTCTCAACAACCAATTGTCGGTCGATCGTATCTCGGACGTTGCTCTTGCCTATGCCAAGGCCGGCGCCCACTGCGTTGCTCCTTCCGACATGAATGACGGTCGCATTCGTGCCATCAAGCTGAAGCTTATCGAGGAGGGTATTGTCCACCGTGTGACTCTCATGTCGTACGCCGCCAAGTTCTCAGGCTGCCTTTACGGCCCCTTCCGTGACGCTGCCGGCTCATGCCCTTCCTTTGGCGACCGCAAGTGCTACCAGCTACCTCCCGGAGGCCGCGGTCTGGCTCGTCGTGCCATTGTTCGTGACATCAACGAGGGTGCCGATATCATCATGGTCAAGCCCGCAAGCCAGTACCTGGACATTATCAGTGACGCCAAGGAGCTCGGAAAGGACTTGCCTATTGCTGCCTACCAGGTTAGCGGTGAATTCGCCATGATCCACGCCGCCGCAAAGGCCGGTGTGTTCGATCTCAAGGCTATGGCCTTTGAAGCCACCGAGGGTATTCTCCGGGCTGGCGCCACCATCATCATCAGCTACTTCGTCCCCGAGTTCCTTGACTGGCTCTCCACATGATGTTGTCGATATAAGGGCGAGGGTCAATGCAACGGCTGGTGCAAGGTGTTTTGGCGTTTCTTATGTTTTCTTATACCAGGTTATAGAGTTTTATCGGGACTTCAGGGCTAAAAAGTTCAGGACGGGATGGGTCATGATGCAGGAGTACCTAAAGAGTACATGTCAATAAACGCACCTCTTTTATACCAACTCCGCGTCGTTCTCCTAAGCATCGGAGTTGATGAGCAATCCTTTTACATCTCCATGAAAAGCAAAAGACCGTCATTGCTCATTGCCGAAGTCGAAATTACACGTGTCCCTATAGTCCCTTGCATAACGAGCAGTGCACAGGGTCCTCCTTAGGAAACCACCCCTCGATGTCAACAAAACGTCATCCCACACTTTGTTACGGCTATTAGTTCTCCGGGCCGTGCAGACCGAACGCCATACTGTGTACCCCTTTAACCCCCAAAACTGCCCAAAGGACGGCTCAAGCTGAAATATGCCAGGGGCAATATCTACAGCCCTGACTGCCAGTTGACTGGGATCACAAGGCTGGGATTACACCGCTTCTGGAAAAGACACGAACCGGGAGTCCGGAACATGGTCAGCACGGGCCATATCAAATTCCCATGCACGTCTTCGGTCTCTCTGACTTCTGATTATCTAGACGACGAGATAAGTTGAACCAACCAAACAGCTAAAATTCATCACTTGGAAGGTTAAAGTCTGGGAAAATCTGGGAAAGTGAAACACTCCCCGACAGAAGATACAGTTATAGCATTTATGTGAATGTGGGTTCACGTCTTCCGTTTGTCTGTATTCTGGTACGGAAGGCACATTTCAGAAAGAAACATTTCAAGACGTGGAAGGGACGGTGAGCAGGAGCCATGCAGCGAGCCGCCACAATTTACGAGGAAAGAACTTGCCCATATGTGAGGTTTGTATTTTCCGTAATCTTGCGGACTAATTGGAGCTGGTTTGAAACACGGACCATCAACAAAAGCTGGCCGGCTTCCTAACCCTCCAGTTGTGGGTTGTGAATGTGGTTCTCTACTTCAACTTTTTGTAATTTTCCCACAATAACCAAAACACCCCAACATTCATCTCTTCCGTTCCTTGGACTGGATATCCTAACCGCGTCCCCGCTGGTCACAACTATTGCAATGTCGAAGCATGATGGTATGATTGAGTATTCTGCTGCTCCTATTTTGTTGTCTGCTGCTCCTATTTTGTTGTCAACTTTTTTTTTTTTTTTTTTTTTTTTTGGGCGAGACTACCGAGGTGGGAGCAATGACAGATATTGGGTGATCAGCCAAGTTCCTTTCCTTGCCACCGGCCTAGTTTACTTTATCTACGCTATGTGAGGAACATTGGGAACGCTGACAACCTGACAGATGATATCTGGTTGCTTCAATTTTAGTGCAAAACTCCGCGGCGTTGGGTTTCGGGGTTGTGACAAATCCTTTGCTATAACCCTCGATCGGGTGCCTTAAGGCTAGGGTTTTAGGTGTGATTTGTAAGAACCCCGAAGCTCCACGCCGCGGAATAATGCGGTAGTTGTCTTGTTGAAGTCGGAAGGAAATGGGAAACAGTTTTGAGGCCCCGAGGTCGTACGGCTCCGAGATCGTACGGCTCCGAGCTCCGAGGTCGTACGGCTCCTTTGGCTGAGACACGTGTTCTTCACGCGAGGCTAAACATGCCATTCTTTCTTCAAGTTATTTTTTTTATTTTTTTTTCTACTTCCGGAGCTTTGTCCGGCATACATGCAGTGCACCTCACACTCCCAGATGTATCTCGCTGCATATATGTTGGAGCATCTGTCGGACGTTCTTCTTGGTAAGCGCCCTTGGGTTTGCCGCCACTTTTAGCAGCTCAACGTCGAAAGTTAGCATTTGAGATTAGATTTTTTTCTTGTTCGTCATAGATGCACAAGACTGCCATCAAACCAAGAGCTGTATGCTATGAGGAAAAAGAAGAAACTACTGAATTCTGCGTCTGAAGTTTTACAAGATCCCGTTGTGCCTTGGAAATTATCGGCTGCTGTCTGGAATCAGACATTCCGTCAGTTCTCGAATTTTCGAATCCATCGTATGAACCTCTGGCCGCATATGCGACGAGAATCAGCGAGGCGATTTATGCTCTGATGAATACTTACAAGGCAAGTGCATCTTTGACTCTGCCACGTCGGGCTTCATTTTTTTGGGCACGAGCATTAGAAAACAATGGAGTCTCTATGTAAAGCCCCTCCCCCTCCCCTTGTTTTTTTCTCCTCCTCTTCTCTCCCTCATCATCACAATCAGACCTCCACATTCTCAAATCTTCTCCATCCTAGCATACTTCTCCAGTCTCACCTCCTCTTTATCCTTACATAACTTCATAGTCAGTTACCAGCGGTTTGACATCCTTTTCAGACACATTTCACTCTACATCCCTCAGACACTCTCGCTCGACATAGCTCGGACTCAAGCTAACAGTTGTTGCACAACACAGTAACAAACCGGATCAGGCTCAACTCATCAGAAGGCTTGGTGATTTGGGTAATCCCTTCTTCAGGGTCCCAAATTCACCAAGCCTCTCAAATGATGGGCAGTCATGCATAACCAATCCGCCGAGGAGGCACGAAACCTGGGTTTGGACCTCAACACAGAAAAAGTCGTGGTCCCTGACATCGAGTCCAATCCTGGCTATGGGCAAGAACTCTGGAGGGCGCCTCAACGCGCACGGCCCCGCCACTCCGGCATATTTGGACGGTTGCCCAGCCTTGACGTTGACTTTCTTTCCCGGAATCCGAGGCATTACGTCTCTCATTCAATGCGGCCCTTTTTGCTCCGTTCAGCATTCTTTCTTCTCCCGAGCTTTCTTCAGTCTCGCATACATGGACACCCCCCTTTTGATCCAACACCACAGGGAAATCAGAAGAAAAGAGACCATGGAGGCCAGGAACCTCGACCTCTGAGTCCAACGGCGTACCTGGACGGCATGCGTGGTGTCGCCGCTTTTTGTGTCTTTCTTTGCCATTACTTCTACACTTGCTTCGTCATTGCCGTAGGCTGGGGCTCAGAGGGAAGTAACTACCACTTTCTCAAGCTGCCCTTTATCCGGCTCTTTTACTCGGGGCCGCCAATGGTTTGTATCTTTTTCGTCATTTCCGGATACGCATTATCTCTGAAACCACTGAAAATCATTCACTCTGTTTCAAGTCCTACTTCTTCATCTACCATTTCTTCAGCAGCACATGGCGAAAAGCAGCAGGAACATAACGACTACTCCAAGCTCCTCGACACCCTCTCCTCCCTCGTCTTCCGGCGCGGCCTCCGTCTGTTTCTTCCTCCCGCCATTTCAACCTTCCTAATCGTCCTGCTTCTCCGACTCGGAGTCTACGAATGGAACCGCTCATTTGCGTCCGACGCAGAATTTCTGAGAAATGTCCAAGAGATTCACTACACGCGGTTCGACTCTGCCACCGAGCAGTTTGTCGACTGGGGATATGCAGTGCTCAACTTTGTGCATCTGTGGGATTGGGATGCGTTTGCGGGGTCGACGGGGATTGACGTCCATTTGTGGACGATCCCCGTGGAGTTCCGGGCTTCGATGGTGCTGTTTTTGACCATTTTGGGGACGGCAAGACTAAAACCAGGGGTGAGGATGGGAGTTGTCATGGCCTGGTGCGGGTTTGCGTTTTTGTGGGAGAGGTGGGAGATGTGCCTGTTTTGGATGGGGATGGTGTTGGCGGAGGGGGACGTGGTTAGGGAGATGGAAGCGAAACAGGAGAAGGGACGGGAAGAGGGAGGGCTTTCGGAGAGGAGAGGAGGAGGAGGAGTATTGCCAATTGTCGAGCCAACGGCGGTGGCGATGACGGGAGACGTTATGCTTATGCCTCAGCAGCGACCGCACAAGTCGCGACGCCATCCCCAGCCACACCCAGGGGCAACAGCACAAGGTGTGTCCTCGGATATGTATATTGTCGGATCCGAGGACGAGGCTTCCCACTCCTCCACATATCCTCACTCTTCAAACAACCTCTCATCAACATCCAGCCGCCGCCGCTCCGGCTCCGCACCTCTTCTTTCCACCACTCCCTCCATCTCATACCCATTCTACGAGTCTCGCCAGGCACGACCATCAGCAACAACATCTTTATTACCCCCTTCTCCGCCTGGGCACGCCATCCTCCCGACTATCCTTCTCACAATTTCCCTCTACCTCCTCTCCCAGCCCGACATCAACTCCCACCTCACCCCCGGCTGGATAACACTCACCTCCCTCATCCCACCCTGGTGGACAGAACACTACCGCTTCTACCAATCCATAGGGGCAGTCATCTTCGTCTACGCCGTCTCCCGATATTCCTCTTCCGCTCCCACCGCCGTCGCCTCCTCCACTATGACTGTCCCTATATTCTCTTCCTACTTCAACCCAAGAACCTTCTTCGAATCTTCCGTCGCACAATACCTGGGGAAAATCTCCTTTGCCATCTACCTCGTCCACGGTCCCGTTCTGCACACTCTGGGTTATACAGTGATGAACTTCGTCTGGACTCAGATGACGGGGACGGAGACGGACGGGCAGTACATCATAGGGTTTTTGCTGGCTAGTCTTCTGGTGGTGCCGATGGTGGTCTGGGTGGCGGATGTTTTTTGGAGAGGGGTTGATGAGCCGGTGGTGAAGTTTGCTAGGAGGGTAGAGGAGAGGGTGGTTGTTGCTGGTGGGTAGCGGCAATTTGGGGACCACAACCTGGCTTGTGCTTGGTTAGCCAGTTGATGTGGGATGATCCACCCACCCTTCTCTTTTTAATAACCAGTTTGGTGTTGGCAAGGCGTTCAGGCCAGATGTTCTCTTGTTTACTCTTTTGCTGTTTTTCTTCGGCTTTCTCTCCTCAACACGCTCGATTCCTTCTTGGGTTTCACTCCAGTTACTCTTTCCTACTCATCCATGGAGCGACAGCCTCGAGCAGAGCCCCCAGTAAGTTCTCTTCAGTCCCTCCCATTGCATCAGCATGGAGCGAGCGCAAACTATGGCATAGATGCCTTCAAGAGGATCCACGGTTTCAGAATACATTAGTACCACCGTCAAAATGATAAACGGTGGCACTTGACCAAACATTGTGAACAACGCTTAAACAAGCGTTGATTTCATGCCTCGGTAGCGAGGCCATTTCCCTACCATACAAACACATCAACGAGCTGGCCCTGCGCAAGGGTATCGATAGATCGGTGTAATTACATAACAACACATACCGACGACTTTCGCCCCTGAGGAGCAGGAGAAGGAGAGAAAGGAGCAGGTCGAAATTCCAAAACCCTGCTGCCCTCATACGGCTAACATGAAATCACCCCTCTTGTTGTCATTCCTCACTCGGCGTTGTGCGGCTGGATCAAGTTCATTTTCTTTGTTCTGCCATTTTTTTCTTTTTCTCTTCCCGGCACGCCCCTGGGCCGGGGATTCTTGGGGGGGGGGGGGGGGTTCATCCATTTAACAAAACCTGGTGTAGCTTTACATTCTCGTCCTTGGTTTTTGCGCTTGGTTTATGCCCTTGTTTATGCCCTTTTTGTTTTCCTTTTCTACTTCCTTTTTTTGCCCTTGTTCTTGCCTTTGTTCTTATCTTTTCCTTTTCGCTATACCTATGTCAGAGGGCCAAACACCTAACTAGGCTTCCCCTCTCGGCTGATTTGGTCGTAGACGGGCAGTGCCAGGTTTCCTTCCAATGGACACCTACCACCCAAGGTTTTGTTTGTCCGAGTCGGTTCACATTGTCGGTTTTTTTTTTCTTCTTTTCTCTCTTTTCCTCTTTTTCGATTGTTGTTCGAACGGACGTAGACGGGACGGGAAAGAGCAGTGCTTGGAAAAGGAGGGAAGGGGGAAAGGGGGAAAGGAGGACGGGAATGTGTATGTCACTTGGACAGACAGCGAGCGTTAGGAAAAGTAGTGGCTATTGGAGGAAACTCCTGGCGGGCCCCTGCGGCCGAATCATCTGGGAGGGGAGGGAGAGTTCGTGTTATTCATGTTATTATGTATGTGTAGCTGGGTTCTGCTTCCTTGGTATGGTTCTTGTTTTGCTTTTCCTTTTCTTGTTTGCGGCTTACTTGTAGGGAGTTATCTCCTAGTTTTTGTCAAAGTTTTGACCATTCAAAGACGGGACCTTGGTTTCTATACCGGCCGCATACTGGGAGGGTGCGGGTTTCAACAACTTGGAACAGGAGGACACTGCGCTTTCTGCGCGATTTCTGAACCGAGTATCACGAAATTTGGGCGGAGTTGGACAGGGGCAAGTGTGAGGAAACCGAAACTGATATGTACATATTGTTGCTTATGTCATGTGTATCCAGAATATAATGTACAAATACGACCATTAAATCCCACATCAAGGTCATACATGCGCCGACAACTATATATATATACATCCGAGCTATGCAACACATGGTGACTGACTTATGCACTCCCAACATTCCTCGCCCTGTACGCTTCCAGCCCTTCAATCTCTCCCGCCGCGGTCTTTTCCTCACCCCCCTCCTCCTCCTCGGCCGCCTCACCCATCTCCCGCCCTTCTTCTCCTCCACCTTCCTCATTACCCACCACGACACTCTGGCTAATATCTCTCAGTTGCTCCTCCATAATCCTATACTCATCCTGCGCCGCAATCCACTCGGGCACCTTGGCCATCTCCTCAGCCGAGTACGAGTTATCGTTCTCATCCGCCCCCGCCGCCTCGGCAGCAGCCAACTTGGCCGCAAACGCCGCCTGCCTCCTCTTCTTCTTCTCGTCCAGCCTCTGCATCATCTGCAGCGCGCCCTCTCGATTAAGCAGGTAGCCAAACGCCCTCAGCGTGAACCGATCGGGCTTGTAGCCCGCTGCCTCCATGCGCTGCAGCGCCGACGCCGTCTTGCCGACGGTCTGCAGGCGGGCGTGGCCGGCAATCAGAGTGTTCCAGGTCACGCGGTTGGGCTGGACGCCGTGGTCGCGCATCATCTTGAAGATGCGGTCGCCCTGCTCGCGGTGCTCGCGACGGTGCATGAAGCCGTGCAGCAGGGTGGACCAGGTGTAGATGGAGGGTGTCGGGTGACGCGGCTCCGCGTCGGGTGAGCTGGGGTCGGCGTCGAAGAGGGCGCGGGAGGCGGCGGCGTCCTTCAGCATGTCGCTCACGATGTCGAGGGCGACGCGGGCCATGTTGTGGCCCTGCCATTCGAGGATGGCCTTGATGACGACGTCGTGGATGATGGTGCCCTTGGTGGCGACGAAGCCGAGGATGGTCGGGTCGCCGTTCTTGAGCCGCGTGCGGAAGTTGGAGTAGAACTCGATCAGGCTGTAGGGCTGCGAGAAGTTGCGGATGAAGGAGGTCACCATGATGTTGAGCGTGTCGTTCCCTGGTTGGAGACGGGCGTGGGGCTCGAGTTCGGGTACGAGATCGAGCATGTTCCTGAGCGATCGCATACTCTGCCAGCCGGCCCATGAAGGGGCCATCCCATCGAGTTCTCGCTGGTGGATTTCTGCAGTATAGTTTTGTAGGTCGATGTTTAACAAGGCTTGCAGGGGGCCGAGGTCGAACAGCTTGGAGTACGTCTTGAACATGTACTCGAAGCTCGGAACGGCAACTGGTGGCTTCATCCTCCGCTTTCGGAGCTCCCAAACCGTTGTAATATGAATAAAGGTGAGGATGCCGTTGATGATGACGGGATCTTGTGATGCTTCCTCAGGCAAAAGCTCGAGAATGCGGCGGAAACTCCGGTGGTCGTTGGCTAGCGTAGCTCCGTATAGCAGCTGGGAATAAAAGCGTAGATCTGGCTGGACTCCCTGACTGGTCATAAGGTCAAAGACCTGCCACGCAGTTCTTAGCTCATTGTTATCGCAGAGGTTTCTGACAATGGTCGTGTAGTGGATGATGTTGGGTTGGAGTCCGACTTCCAAAATCTCTTGGTTCAATTGCGAGCGGAGCGTTGGGAGGCTGTCGTCGTCCTCCTTACTTGCCGCTTTACTTGCCCTTGTGATAACGGGAAAGGACAGGACGGCGGTGGCCAGAGCGGCGCAGTGCAGCCCGTTGACATCCAGCTCTCCCTCCCGGATCATCTCACAGAGTAGCTCAACAGCTGCCGGCTTGTATTTTGGCTCCTTTGCCAAGTGCCATACAAACTGCTGCTTCGTGTAGGCGTGTAATCGCTGCCGGTATTTTTTCATGGTCATGAGTAGCTCGTAGACCTGGTCCGTCGTTGCGCGCCGAAGAATATGGTAGAGGGTATTTTGTCCTAGGCAGATGTAGCGCCTCGAAGTGTTGTTGTAGCAATGAAGCAAGGCCTCAGCGACGGCCCTCCCATATTCCGCCTGTTTGGGCTCTTCTAGCTTCTGTATATAGTCGGCCATGTAGGTGAAACAATCGACGGCAGCGTAGAAGTTCGCTCCGTTTTGTTCAAAGATGGCCCGGAAGATATCAGGGGCTTGGTCGGGCCACCAATGGAGAGAGTTGAGCATAACGGACCCCCAAAGCTTTGATCGAGTCTCGGTGGGTATGAGCTGCCAGGCTTGCCGCATGTGGTCGACATCCCTCTGGCAGAGTAGGTCCTGTATTATCAGAACCTCAGGGGCCCCATTTTTCAGGGCGATTTCTCGGTATCTGTCCTTCCGTTTCCTTTCCCAGTCTCTCTTGGCCCATATTTTGCGGAACTTGTATTTCCAAAGTTGGAGCTGTCGTACTCGAGTGTGAAACTCGCTCCGGCTGACGTTTTTGCGAAGGACCCTTTCTTCGTGTGGCCACTCTTCGGACCATACGCTCAATGGTATGGATCGTTTCGAGAATGTGCGCTCGTTTCTGCCCGACTCGGTACTTGGGTTCGTCTGGCTCGAGGGCGCCAGGAACTGTTCGGGTCCGGTCGCATGACTATCAGAGGAGAGCGCGGGCGCAAGAGAGCTGGCTGTGCGGACCAGCGGCCGGGGACGGAAGGGGAGCCGGAGCTGAAGCGGATCGGCTTGTCGTCGGATGTTGGAGAGACATGACCGGCAAATAAATGGCGTCTGTTGCATGGTTTCCCGGGGAGGCCGACGGGCCAGCACCAAGGTAACGCCGTAGGTCGAAACGGTATCTATGACGGAGCGTAGGTGTTCATCATGTATCGCGCGTGGGTTTGGGGGTTCAACAACCAGAGTCGGGTTGCGATATTGTCGAGTGTCGCTGATGATGGTGGGATGAATGTTGCAAGTTCCAAAATTTTGGCGGGACAGGAATTTGGTGATAAGATGCGCGTGCCCGGTGACTGGACGATCTATCCCGCCCGCTATGCGCTTGTTACCAGACTGTAACGTCAGGGGTATAAACGGGACGGCAGGCGCTAAGCTTTAGCGAGGTCCGTGCTTAACAGCGTCCCCCGGGAACCCCACGCGGAGCGCGTCCCACTGCCTGCGATCCACAGCTTCAGAACCTCACTCCATCCACTGACGGCATCCCAGTGCATTCAGGAACTCGCAACCTGGAAGTCCCAATTGAACTGTCTACCTTGGCAATTACAAGATCCCCAACTCAATAATGTCATCCCACGCGACCCTCGCAGCCGCCGCCGACGACCGCAAGGCCCGTCTAGCCAAGCTCAAGTCCTTGAAGCGCAAAGAACCTGAGCCAGCCTCCTTCGACGATGACGAAGAGTCTCACGCCCAAGATCAAGATCAGAGCAAAAACGCAACAACAACCAGAAAGAAACCACAGAATCGAACAACAATAACAACAACAACAACGACGACGACGGCGACGCCCCAACAACCGACGTAGCCCGCCTGCACCTCTCCGGGCGCAACTTCGACTTCGAGACACGGGGTCCCAAACTCGGCTTCGAAGCCCCCCATCTTGTCTCTGGAAAAGCCGACGCTAGAAGAGCAGGCGGCCGACATCGAGGAGGAAGCGCAGCGGCAGGCGGCGCTGGACGCGCAGGCCGCCCAGGAAAACAAGGGCATCGACCTGTTCAAGCTGCAGCCCAAGAAGCCCAACTGGGACCTGAAGCGGGAGCTGAACCAGAAGATGGAGGTGCTGAACGTCAGGACGGACAACGCGATTGCGCGCATGGTGAGGGAGCGGCTGGCTGCGAAGAAGCAAGCGGCAGTTCAAGATATGACGAAAGACGGGAAGGAGGAGGAGGAGGCAGGCATGCTGGAGGGGACGGCGCTGGTGGAGGGGATGAAGATGAGGGAGAGGGAGGAAGCGGAGGAGGAGAGGAGGGAGCGGGAGTTGGAGGAGGCCGAGTTGGCGGCTTGAAAGAGGTCAAAAGTGGACAGAAACATGGAAACCGAGCGAGGGGCGACAGGACGAAAAGAACGATAACAACGGAAGACGAGAGCGAGAACGAGAACGAGAACGAGAGGTGCCTCCAGAGAGCTTCGGGAGGAAAACTGTTTATGATTTTGTTTTACAGAGAAAGTATGGCTATTCTCTACTTTGATACCCAACAAACAACCACCGCAAATCCTATCTACCACCCATATTCATAGACTTTGTTAAAGCTAATCTCTTGCTGAAAGGGCTGAGACTCCGCTCGCGCGGCGCTGGCGGGGGAGACGGTTCGCCCTTTGGAGGTCGTTGTTGCGGCGACGGACTCCTGTATCTCGGCTGTCCACGGCCATCTTCCCTGTCCCGGTAATATCCTCCTGCCCTGTGGTTTTCTCCCTTGCTATCCCGCCTGACTGGTGAGCGGACTGGTGACCTGGACCTGGACTCGGAAACGGAATAGTCGCGCCTGGGTGGCCTTGCCCTCCCAGAGCCACGTCCGCGCTCACGTCCGCGCTCACGACGGGGCGACGGTGAATGGCGACGAGGGGGTGGTGACCCTTTCCGGGATGAATGCTTGACGGGACTCTCTGACCTACGGCTAGAATACCGATCCCGGGAGTCGACTGAACGTTGGCGAGCCGAAGGCGCCTTAGGCGACGGCTCAAAGAGATCTTGCGCATGCGCTTTCCGTGGTGGTGGCGACCTAGAATGGCGAGAAGGCCTTGGGGATGGAGATCGTGTGGAGATGGTCGACACCGAATCGACCGAAGCTGATCTGCTCCTGCTTCTCCTTGGGCTCACATCCCTAGATGGCGACTCGTCGTCCCTTTCGAGCTCCTTCTTGGCCCGCTCAGCCTCCCTCTGTGCCAGAATCTCGTCGGCTACGCCTTTCTTGTCCTGAGCGGTACAGCTGGGTAAGCTTGGGCAACAGCTTGGGGTTAAAAAGCTGCTGCGTGCGCGACGGCCTCGGGATGTAAGGCCGCTCCGCAGCTGAAGCTTTACACTCGTACGAATAATGGCGTTCTAGGAATGTTAGCTGCGTGGTATGCATGGGTTATCGAGATGGAGGGAACACATATCTCTCTTTAGACATTTCTGACATTGGACGGTCGACGGAGTGTTTTTGGACGGTATATTGCGTCCTCGATACATGGTGATGACTTGGAGGTTGTTGGAATGTGGCTGGCCCCTGGAAATCGAAGCCTTGTGCAGAATTAAAGTGAACTATCCTTGTCCACCTGCCGTTGCTTGGAATTACGACAATTGTGAAGTGAGTGCAGCGCCAACCAGGTCGGAATGCCGTTCGATTCGGAGCTTGTTTCCTGTTAAATGATTTCGGTCAAACTTATAGAAGTGGTGGATTAAAGACGTAAAGCCCTTTTTCGATGGCTTTGTTGATTGAGGATGGCGTTCGTTGAATGTGTCTGGATAGGTTGAGCTTGTGGTAAGTTCCTGTTTTGTACCGTTCGAAGTGAGTGAATGAGATTCAAAGGGTGATTGGTGGGTTGTATGACAAACTGTCAGCGGTGAAATTGACAGTTGAGAAAAGGCCCAAGCCCCATGTTCGATTGTTGTTGTCGACAGGTGAGAGCACGTGACGTCGCCAAGATGAAGCATTCTGCTGCGGCACAGCGCACCAGGGTGGGCAGGCAGTGATGAAGATGGGAAGCATCCGGCACTGGTTTGCCTTTTTGGGGGCCGCTCTATATCCTCCAATTCCTTTACCGCAGACATAAAATGATTGGAATTAAATAATATGTCTTCAAGTTCATGTGTTGTCATGTTCTGGAAGTAGGTAAGCTTGAACTTCAGAGTGTCTGTCTCTGCCTGCTTCGTACTGTATTGTAAACTTGAAATCATGAAATCATGCAGTGGCCACCATTACTGTCTTGTTTCTACAGCCAAAACATTGAGCCCCTCTCACTCAATTGAATCAATTCCCTCCCATACTCCTCCTTTTTACATACTCCCAGTCGGACCCCTTTGAGCTATTATGCTTTATTTTCGTATATAGTTGGAAATATAGCACCTAGAGCTATAATCATGAGTGCCTCGAATTCATGTCCGATAGGTGGAGCATCCTATGTACCGTATTGTAAGGGTCCTGTTAAGTGAAAGTACTAGAAACCAGGCCACCAGGCCCACGGTGTGGCCCACGGCAGGCGGTCCCCTACCCGTACCTGCAACATGGTGGCAGCCCAGACCGACCCACGGCTACCAGAGGAGGAGGCTCCCGCCCAGACGATGGATTACTTTGGGTGCAACCACCACTCTTAATCGACTTTACCACTTTATCTCACAAACCAAACCCACACAAACGGGAAACAACACCACCACCACCCCTCCTCCCCATCAACCACCAAAGGTCTATCCGCCCAACCGCGGCGGCACCCTTTCCAGATACTTTGCTGTCTTCTGGGAGTTACTGGGCGTCGTCGACTTTTAGTCCGCTTCCACTTCCTGGTCCGCCATTTTGGATTTCGGCCTTTTTTCATTGTACCAAACTGCAACTGGAACCCGGACCCCAACCCGACAAGCCCCAGACGGAAAGAAAGCAAAGACAAAAAAGAGGCAACGACACAAGCAACAAGGCAGAGACGGAGGTCCAGGATTCGACTTTGGCAACTGGCTTCAACATTTGCGCATTCAAGCGGACAATAGACAGCAACCCCCGAATACAATGATCACCGGCACTCTTCTTTCGCTTTGCGCCGCTTTGATCCGTTTCGTTTCTTGATTCAGCTGGACTTCTTCCCATCCGAAAAAAGCTACATCATCCAATTCCGTCCTCTACCGGATCCGACCTGCTGAGCGCGTTCAACTCTCTTCGACCCGCTCTGCTCTTCACCGGACAAACATACATAACATAGAGGCACTCTCGGCTGCTTGCGCGACTCTTTGTAACATCCGCACTGCTCTTACAGCATCTCTTACACCGCAAAAGCCATGGCGACGTTCCAATCCATGGGCAACGACGTCAAACTATCTTTCGCAAAGGTACGTGGCCTTTCTTCACCTTGATCCCAATGTTGTGCCCCAAAGACTGTGTCGTGTCTGACTTGTTCCATCCAGGTTGCAGCTGCGTCGGCATCCAAAGACTCAGCTACCATGGCAACTGCTACGAAAGCAAACGCTCCGGTGATCGCCCGGGATAAGGTTGCGGTTCCGATCATGGTGGCTCCCGCTGTCCCTGTGCCAGCGACCACGATATCTGGCTCTGCCTCTGTTTCGATACAAAGTGATGTACACCCATCCCAGTCTGCGCAAAAGACTGCCGATGAGGTTAAAGCTTCCCAGGACAATATCGTCGAAGGACTCAGAGATCTGAAGCTCGAGACCAAGACATCAGATGTCCCTATCAGCGTTCCATTGGTCAGCTCTGTATTGACGCCCAACAAGGTAGTCATCAGCCAGACACCCTCGGACGACAATTCGAGAGCCGACTCTAGCTCCGAGCTCGGCACAAAACCGCCAAGCTTGGATGGCAAGAGCATCACCTCTGGGACTACCTTTAACGCATTGGACGAGAAGGAGTCGTTGCGTCCAGATGACAGTGCCAGTATGAAGGCTGCCACCGAGGATGACGACGCCTTCTCCATCCGTGGATCCTACTTCAACGGCTCACGAATGGGCTCCGAGGTTGCGGCTCGTATCCACCGCATCCAGATTGGAGATATGCCCCCACGGGCCATCACCACACAAGCTATGGCCGGCGGTCAGGGTCAACTAGGCCTTGCTACGCCTCAGAGTGGCATATCCGACAAACAGCCAGCGGCGGAGACTGAACTGCCACTGGCAACCGGCCCCGGCGCTCCTGATGGCGTGACGGCAAATGGTGGATTCCTAAGCCAGCACCCGGATGAAAAGCTCTTAGAGGCCATGCGATCAGAGAAAGATCGATTCAGCCTCTTGAAGATGGAACAGCAGGTCATTGAGTTTGTGGAAAATTCAAAGTACGTTGCTTCATAGTCACATTTCTTCAAAGTCTTTTTGATGCTAACGTACTGTCTTTCTAGGGAACCGTTCATGGATTTCCCACCAAACAATACGTTTTGGAGAATGTTGACACACAAGCTTGCTGACTACTACCATATGACGCATTCATATGAGGCGGTCTCGGGCGCAGTTCGTATATACAGAACTCCTTTCTGCAGAATTCCTCCACCACTATCCACCATTGCGCCGTCGACTTCTAACACCAGCTCTCCGGCTCCTGCTGTGATACCGAGGAAGATTATGCGACGTGGCGAGGACGGTGAATTTGCTCCTTCTAGCGCAAATCCATCAAAGCCGACTTCAGAAGCTGGCAGTGACCCCAAAGATAAGCCTGCGAATAGCAAGGAAAGAATGACTAGGGAAGAGCGGGAAGAGGCGTATAACCGGGCGAGGCAGCGAATCTTCGGAAACATGAAGGAATCGGATTCTTCGGGCCAAGGTATGTCTGGAGGAACCCCCCTAGATACAGGGAATGAGACTAACGCAGTGTAGACGGTGAGACCTCTAACGGAGTTTCTCGGGCGAGCTCGGTATCCGCCAAGGACAAGCCCAATGGCAAGAAGAAGGCGAACAAGCAACGTCGCGATGATTCGGAAACTTTCGACTCGCGGTCTCAATACGTTGTCTATTATGGAGGCCCCCAGCAGTCAACATGGGGACCGGCACCTCAAGCCTACCCCATCAACAACGTCCCTTATAACGTCCAGTATCAGGCACCATACCCAACGGCGGTCCCGACGTATGCGCCTAACCAGGCGTATCCGCAAAACCAAGCCCTGCCGCAGAATCAAGGCTATCCGCAGAATCAAGCGTATCCGCAAATGGTTCCAAGTAACGGATATGCTCCTCAGTATGGCGCAATGGCAAACGTAAGTCATCTTCAAAGACAGCATCAAGATTTACCCCTTCTAACTCAGTATCAGTATCCCGTTCCTTCTGTTCCGCAGCCTGCAGTACCAGTGCAACAGCAACAACGTTACCAGCCTCCTCCTAACCCCCAAGTTGCTCCGCCATACACTCCTCCTATGCCCAGTGCATCGCAGCCGGCATGGGGGCCGCCACAGCAAGGCTTCAACCAGCCTGGGCCCGGCTATTCATCTCGATCGAGCACCTCCCCAGGAGGAATTCCGTATGCCTACGGACAACTCCCAGTGAATGCCAACCCCCACGATCCGAAAAGCCAACACCCAATTCCCGGCAGCTACAACCGTCAGGCGCTTAACCCCAAGACGCAGTCATTTTTGCCCGGAAACGCCATGTCCATGATGCAACCGCCGCCGGGTCCGTATGCCAGCTCTAACCATAGCAGCCCTCAGTTCTTGCCGGCTCACATGAACTACGGTGGTTACCAACAGCCTATGCCACCACCACCACAGCCGGGCTATGGTGGTCCCGGTCCCATGGGCTATGCCATGTCGAGGCAGGGGTCGAACAATTCGATGGGACCGTATCACCACGTACAACCCCAGCATCATGGTATGCCCCCTAACGCATCTCCCCACATCGCCCACAGCAAGGTCGTAGGCGGTCCGCCACCGCCTACCGGACCATCGGGACCGCAAGGCTACAGCCATCTCCCAACATATGGCAACCCTGCCTCGTTGCCACAGAAACCTCCTATGTAGGGTCAAGGGAAGGGTCTATGGCCAAGCGCGAAATGGCAGCTGACGTCTGGGGCATGATCGCCGGCCGCCATGGCAAATGATGGAAGAAGAGAATGACATGATGGTAAAAGAAGAAAGGAGCGAGGCAACATTGTGAAGCATAAGCATGTGGCTGTTACTGACGGTTATTGTTATGGTTGACATGGAAATCTCTCCTAATGTTACTGTGCATAAGAGGAAGGAGGCAAAGAGACGGAAGGTTGTCGTTTAGTCTAGGAGTCGAAGGAAGGGGGAAATAAAAAATAGGGACACTAGCACTAGCACTCAGGAACGGCAGGCAGGCAACATAGCGCAAGACTCGGACAAATCCAATCGACAGTCGGTTCTCACTCGCTCAGTTAATCTAGGCTCTAGAAAAAGTGCAAGAACCAATGAGATTACCGTCAGACTATTTTTAAAACAGAAAATTCCCAAATCAATTCATCATGCTGCTGACCTGACTGAGTAAGAAGGCTCTAGTAGTATTCCTATGAACGCCATAATTGTTCGAGACCCAACCAAAGACGTCCCACACCTCCCTTCCCTCCTTTTTTACCCTTTCTCTCCTTCCCCCTCTCTTCCTCCAAGATTGATAACCGACGACCGAGAACCACGCGCGCGGGCTCTTGTACGCTGTAGCGAAACAGGCTAACAGCAGGGTATAGACAGCAGACAAGACATCCGCACAGGTCGAGTAGTAATAGAATGGGGGTAGACCGCTTTCTCTAAGTGTCGGCGGACTGAAATCAACGCGCGCGCAAAAAGGGACGACTCATGTAAAGAGAAATTGGATCCTTTTTGTGTGTGTGTGAACCTTTCTTTTCCCCTGCCTGGTTGTGTGTAGTGGTGGCCTTTCATTAAAAAAATGGAATGAGTTTTTCATTCTCTCTTTCCGTTTTTCTTGTCCATTCTTCCACCTCCTTCTTTACTCGGCAGACTCCCTGGGTTCCCTGGGCTCCCTCTGCTCGCGGCCACCGCGGCCACCAGCACCACCGCCGCGACCGCCACGCTTGCCGCCCTGGCCCCTTTGGCCACGCTGGCCGTCGTTCTTCTTGTCGCCGCCCTCGGCGCCCTCGCCCTCCTTCTTGTCGCCGGCCTCCTTGCCCTCGTCGAGCTTGGCAGTGGCCAGGCGCTGGGACAGCTCGATCTGGGTGCGGATCGTGTTGGCGAGGTACGAGACCATGAGGACGTCCTGGATGTGGTTGTTGAAGTCGTTCTCGATGGCCAGGTTGGACACCTTGGGAGCCAGCGAAAGGGCGTTCATGAGGTACTGGCCGAGCGCGTGGTTGCCGTCGCGCTCCTCGTCGAGCACGTCGCCGACGAAGCCGGAGACGCGCTCGAGCAGGTCCGAGACGGTCTCGAGGGCCTGGGAAAGGTTCTCAATGTCGGAGACGACGGGGGCGGAGCGCGACTCGACGTCGGCGGCGGCGGCGACGGAGCCAAGAGCGCCGCGCTCGGCGTCGGTGAAGAGGAGCTTGTGCGGCACCTCAATGAAGAGGCACGACTCGGCGGCGCGCTCGGGGCTGACGGCCACGGGAGCGGAGATGTACGTCTTGGTCTCGATGGGAGCGCCGGCCTCGGTGCCGATGGTCAGGTGGACGGCCGGGTGGGGGAAGGTGCCGGTCTCGGGAGAGGCGAAGAAGTTCTGGATCAGGGCGCTGAAGCTGTTGAGCTCGTGCGAGGTGGTGTACCAACCCAACAGGGTCTCGCGGGGGCTGGCCTTGAGGGTCAGGGCCAGCATGTTCTTCTGGTACTCGACGTCCACCTCGACCTGGTCCTCGTTCTCGGTGTGGGGGATGGCGAAGGTGGAGCGCACTTCGACCTCGCTGCCGTCCTCGCTGCGGACACCCACGAGGGCACCAATCACCCGTGTCGCCTGGGTGTCGCGATCGTCACGTCTGACGGCATGGTCGACAATGGAGAAGACGGCCTAGTTGGCGAGGAAAGCGTAAGGCTACATGTCAGCTATGTGTTGTATGGTCTTGGAGCCATGGTAGTTGGTGGTAGTGGTGGTGATGGTGGTGGTGGTTGCGGGGTAGTAGACAGGATGTAGGTAGTAAGTAGACTTGACAAGCGAAATGGACATCAAGGTAGGGGACTAGGTAGGATTAGGGAGTGGAGGGGCAGATATAGGACTGTAGTATAGAAATCGGTTGCTTCTGTTGACGTACCTGAGGCTGGATGTTGACGGTAAGCGGGGCATTGCTAACACCGAAGCCAAGCACGTTGGGCGCAAGGGGGCGCGCGAGATGGACGAAAGACTCCTGATCGACAGCCATTTTGACGACGGGCTGGGGCTGCTGTTGAATGGTGAGGTGGTGGGAGGGGTGTGGTGGTGGTTGATAGAGGGAAGCAGGAGTTCGATCGAGGAGGAGGGGAGGAGCCGTCGAGGTTGAGATTATGGGGCTCTTTGAAAATGTAGACAGCAGACGCTGCTTTCGGGTTCGGGGTGAGAGAGGCTAGCAGGTGGCCGGGGGGGTGGGCTTGGTGGGCACGGGCTGGGCACTGGCAGAAACAGAGAAGTGGAAGTCACTTTGCACTTTTTTTACTGGGGTTCAATGGCACTTGTGACTTGTGAGTCCCGGTGGCAGGCAGGAGCAGTCGAAGTCGGGCCACTGTTCGCAGTCACGATCGATGCAGCACTTCCATTCTTTGATGCTGCCTTCTTCGCCCTGCACTGCTCCATCCAGCTTTCGCAAAATGTGGGGACCAGCCGGCGGGACCTCTGCTCGAATTTTTGGTTTTGCAGCGCAATGGCGGGACCTTTGGGTTGTGCGCGCTAAGATAAGATAAGAAGATCCCCACTCTTGGCGTTCAGCTTGACTTCAGATTGTTCTTTCTCGCAAGGGTCAAGGGGGGTGGCGTTACAAGGCTGCTCTATGCCAAGCCGTTCTTGAAAGACTCCATTGGACTTTTGGACTTTTTCTTCTTGGCCCGTTGACAAGGCTGAATACAATTCCCGTATCTTTTTTCGACCTCCATTGAAATTTCATTTCACTTTCATAATTACCGATTTTCATCTCACCAACCTCAAATTTCGATTTTTGAGGAAATCTTCATCGCACCAAAATGGCATTCAGAGGTCGCGGCGGTGACCGTGGAGGCGGAGGCCGTGGAAGAGGTGGTGGCGGAGGCTTCAGAGGCAGAGGTGGTTCCAGAGGAGGAGGCTCCAGGGGAGGCGATAGAGGAGGGTCGAGAGGTCGCGGCAGGGGAGGTGATAGGGGAGCTTCCAGGGGCCGTGGTAGGGGAAGTTCAAGAGGTGGTGCCAGAGGTGGTTTCGGCCCTCGCCCATCCAAGTTCAACGACGCACGACTTGCCGACAAAGACGAAGAGTAAGGAATATTCAAGATTCCCGAGAAAAAAGTGAGAAACATACTAACTGAAAACAGTGGTTCTGAGGAGGACGATATTTCTGAAGATGAGTCCAACGTTTCTGAGGAGGAGATTGAGGGGTCAGAAGAGGAGGACGAGGAGGGGGAGGAGGAGGCCCAATCTGGCCAACCATACATGAGTCTCTTGAAGAGCTTCCAAAGTGCGACAAAGTCGAAGAAGAGAAAGCTGGATCACACTGAGGAGGAAGGGCCGAACAAGGCGACCAAGACGGAAGATGACGACGACAGCGACGACGAAGACGACGACGAGGAGGTGAAGGAGGACGTGGATGCGGTTGATGAGCCAGAGGAAGATCCCCAGGATGCACCACTAGAGGACTTGTTCGACGAAGATGACGACCTCGACGATTCAGACCCATTCGAAACTCACTTTGCTGCCCCAGACGAGGCGACATTCCAGGCAAGGATAAAGGCCGTTCAGGCGAACAAGTGGAGGACCGACAGGATAGCGCAAAACTCCAACAGGATATACTACAACACCCCCGAGACAGGCGACTCTACTGAGCGGAAACTTCCTCATTCCATTTCGGGAGTTGCCGACCTCAAGCTGAAGAAGAAACTGGCCGAGTCGATGGCTAAGCACACCGAGTTCGACGAGGCGGAGAAGGCAGTAGCACCTCTCCTCTTCAACTACCAAGACATGCTTTACTGCAACCGGACAGTGGCATCGTCTGAGAGCATAAGGCGGATGGCGTGTCTTCATGCGCTCAACCATGTTTTCAAGTAAGTCTGACGGGAACATGACAATTGAGAACAGGAAACTGACTTGATATGCAGGACTCGTGACCGTGTGATCAAGAACAACACCAAGCTGCAAAGAGACGACACCCTTGAGCTCAGAGACCAGGGGTTTACCCGCCCCAAGGTCTTGATGCTTCTCCCTACCCGCCAGTCATGCGTCAAGATGGTCGAGATGATCTGCGAGGTTGCCTCTCCGGAGCAGCAAGAACACCGCAAGCGTTTCGATGAAGGCTACGTCGACAAGTCCACCAAGTTCTCCGACGACAAGCCCGAAGACTTCCGCGACCTCTTCTCCGGCAGCGACGACGACATGTTCCGCCTCGGCATGAAGTTCACCCGCAAGACCATCAAGTACTTTTCACAGTTCTACAACTCGGACATCATCTTCGCCTCTCCTCTCGGTCTGCGCATGGCCATCGGGTCCGAGGAGGAGAAGAAGAAGCTGGACTACGACTTCCTCTCGTCGATCGAGCTCGTCATCGTCGACCAGGCCGACGCCCTGCTTATGCAGAATTGGGAGCACGTCGAGTTCATCTTCGAGCACCTCAACCTGCAGCCGCGCGACGCCCACGGGTGCGACTTCTCGCGCGTGCGGCCCTGGTACCTCGACGACCAGGCCAAGTACTTCCGGCAGACGGTCATCTTCAGCGCCTTCAATACGCCCGAGCTGGCCGAGCTGCAGCGTCTGCACTGCCACAACTGGGCCGGCAAGGCCCGCCTCCACCCCGAGTACCCGGGCGTGATCCAGTACCTGGGCGTCAAGACGCGGCAGACGTTCAGCCGGTTCGACGCGGGCTCCATCGCCGCCGACCCGGACGCCCGCTTCGCCTACTTCACCAAGGCCATCGTGCCCACGCTGGTGAAGCGGGCCAAGGACGCGGCGGGAACGCTCATCTTCATCCCGTCGTATCTCGACTTTGTGCGCGTGCGCAACTACTTTGCCAACAACCCGGACGTGGCGAGCGTCACGTTCGGCAACATCTCCGAGTACGCCGACACGCCCGAGGCGTCGCGCGCGCGCTCGCATTTCCTCACGGGCCGCCACCGCGTGCTGCTCTACACGGAGCGTGCGCACCACTTTAGGCGGTACGCCATCAAGGGCGTCAAGCGCGTCATCTTTACGGTCTGCGGATAACCCCATCTTCTACAAAGAGGTCGCCGGCGGGTATCTGCAGAAGAGCGAGCAGAGCCTGATGCTGGAGCACGGCCTGGGCACCGTCAAGGTCATGTTTAGCAAATATGATATCATGAAGCTGGAGAGGATCGTGGGCACCAAGAGGGCCGGGAAGATGATTACGGAGCAGGGCGATACTTTTGACTTTGTGTAAACAAAACAAAGATGTCAGTCAGTTAGTTGTGTGGTATGGTCTGTATAAAGAAGAGGGCGTCGGATAATAAAAATGTCAAAGGGAACTAGTTCTAGGTAAATTGGGTTTTGTTTGCACGGGTTGCTATAAAAGTTGTCCTGCATAGTTAGGCGGGATGAAAACAGAATACCTCCTTACTCGAACTACTGTATATAGTGAGCAATAAGATGGCATTTCGAGTCACCTGTTCATGTAATAAGGGTTCTAATGATGTACCAGTTTCCCATGTTCCATTTTGTGTAAGCCCACTTCAAGTGTATCCCAAACCCTTGTAAAATTACACTCTTTTTTGCTTTCTTGTCTCGTGATATTTGTACACTTTGGTTTCCCCCCACCCCTTTTCCTTGCTGAATCTTGCGACAGCTAGGTTGGTCTGGTATGGTATAGTGTGCAGGCTGGCTAGTAAAAGCTCCTTTCACACATATGTAACGTCTACCCCGAACCACAAAGAGAGAGCAGGAGATTACAGCCCCTTGCCCCTTCCCATGACCTCAAAAGGCGACAGGTGGCAGGTGGCAGGTGGCAGGTAGTGAAGCCTTTTCCAGCTATTCACGCACACCTGCCTCTCTTTCTCTCTCGCTCTTTAGAGGGGGAAAACCAAGCCCTCCATCCTCCATCCTCCATTCTCCATTCTCCATCCCCTGCCTCCTTCTTCCAACCCGTTTCTTTCCACCCATGCACAACCCAACCCAACCAGGCAACCGCACGTACTGCTTAACGATCAAGCTTCTTCCACTCGTTGGGATTTATCGCACCGGCGGTAAAGTTCATATCCCTGAGCTTGGCGACCATGTCCTCGAAGGCGCGCATGCCGTCTTTGCGGAACTTGGTGACCTTCTCCATGTTCTTGCGGGTGAGCTCGGTGCTCTCGGTCTTTTGCTCGCGGTCGCGGGCGACGGTGGCGGCCGTCATGGCGAAGCGCATGTCCTTGGGCCCGTCGACGAGCTCGAGGATGGCCGAGGGCGCTTGCGAGTACGTGTCCTTGGGCTCAGTGCGCAGCACGCGCGTGTAGCCTCCTGGCCGGGTGGCGTAGCGCTCGCGGATCTCGCCGAAGAGTTTGGGGAGGAGCTTGTCGGGGGTCTGTAGCACAAGGGTTGTAAGGTTAGCTTCTATACTATGTAGAAAAGGTTTATTAAGAGGGAAAATAAGAGAATGCGAACATACATAGAGAATACCCTGGGCACTACGCCGGGCTGTCTCGGTGTCGCGCTTGGAGAGGGTGATGAGCTTCTCGGCCAGGCGCTGGGCCTCCTTGGCCTTGGGATAAGTGGTGTGGATGGTCTCGTTCTTGATGAGCGAGGTGACCAAGTTGCGCAGCAAAGCCTGGCGATGCGCCGAGCTACGGCTCAAGTGCCTGTACTTGACGTGGGCGCCGGCCATTGTGTCTGTGGTGTTTTGTTGGTGGAGGAGGAACTAGTCCCTGGGTATGGACCTCGAAGTTGTGTAAGTCCCGGCGGATAGGTTGGCCCTTATGGTCCGGGAAAAGCGCAGTCGCAGGACGGCGAGGTCGTGTGTGTAGACGGAAGGCGTGGAGTGGAGGTCCTGGTGGGCGGACGGGTCGGGTAGGTCGTCGTACAGTCGGTCGGTCGGTGCGGCTGCCGGAAAACGGAGAATAAGGATCTCGAATCGTCAAAAGTTCAAGATTCGGGCTCGGCGCGGGCAACGGCACCCACTCAGTTGGCAGGGTTCCTGGACAGTGGACTGGAGTCGCTGTAGCGCGGATGCCGGACACCCCAAGGCGACGTCGGGCGGAGCTTTTGCGGTGCGGAACCCGAAATTTTCACGGCCCTGGGCCTGTGCTTTTGGGGTCCTTGTCCGCCCGCTACCGCGAATTCTACCGCGGGTCTACCGCCGTAAGGCCCGCTAAGGGCCCGCCTAAAAGTGCTGGATCAGCAGTGCCAAGGAGATCCACAGCACCTCCGGATCCCGCAACCGGACAGTGGGCACCACGTCCCTCAGCGGGATTCGCTAACAGCCCATTAACGCCATTATTTCGTCCCAATTCCCAACTACGTCACCCTTTCATCCCAAATCCCAATTGTCTTATCTCTCACGTTCATTTTCAACTTCTCAATCAACCACCCTTCGTTCGGTCGAGTCAAGACCTTTGGGTCTGTCTCTGTCTCTATATATTGCGACACTACCTAGAGTAGTTATTCCTCCAAGTCCCTACATCAACCTAAATCGACCGTCAGCCCACGTCAGTCGCAATAATGGGTTTCGTAGCCGGCCTCGTATGTTTCTCCTATGTCCCCATCTATATATACCAAAAGTAAGCAACCACAGCTAACCAGCCAACTCCCCACCAACCAGACCGGCGGCGCAACCCTCACTCTCGGCCTCACCTACCTCGCCATCGCCGCCCACGAGCGCAACCGCACGCACCAGTCCGACCTCCTGCGCGCGCAAACCCGCTTCGTCAACACGCTCGCCCGCGACACCCTGCCCACCAACCTGCGCACGCGCTACCCGGTAAACGATGAGGACCTAGCCTACTTCCCGCCGCCACGCTCGGAGCTCGTCGAGCGCGAGCGCCACCGCTTCGTCGAGTCCGCCAAGGACAAGTGGAACAACGAGATCGAGAACGCGGTGCGGTGGGCCCAGACGACTGACTGGTCCGTCGTCCGGGAATCGGCCGAGGACGCTGTTGCCGGTCTGTTCGGTATCACGATCGATCGCAGCGAGTATGCGGCCGAGAAGGCGAAGGAGGCGGCTAGGATTGCGGCGGAACGGATGAGGTATGCGGCCGAGGAGAGCAAGGAGACGGGCAAGATCATGGCTAGGGAGGCGCATGTCAGGTCGGAGGAGATGAGGAGGCGGGCGGCCGAGACGGCGAGGTTGTGGAGCCAGGAAGCCAAGGAAGGGATTCATGCGGCCGAGGGCGTGGCGCATAGGATTGCTGATGAGGTGAGGCACGATGCGGAGGTGGTCAGGGGCGTAGTTAACAGCGCGGTCGACAAGGCGGTTGAGAAGGGCCGCCATGGCATCGAGAAGGTGGAGGAGGCGGTGGGATTGGGCAAGGCGGCGGTTCGTCTCGCCGAGGACAAATTGGAGGCCGCGGCGGACCGGAAACTGTTGCACGTGTCGGATATCGACAGGGCGTTGCAGGAGAGGTATACCAAGAGCGAGGACGTCATGAAGAAGAGCGTGCGGGAGGTGCTGGCGGAGAGATATATTCCCATGGACAAGAGGGACAATACCCGGTTACGCAGTCTTATTTAGGGGTTGAGCGTTGGATACGATGCGAGATCAGCAGTACATAGAAAAAAGAGGCAGCAGCAGTTATGGAAGGGTTTTGAAGAGCGATGAGAGAATTGTCACGGCTACCTATTACGAACACACAAAAACCTATGATACGACAAAACATACATTCACTGTTCTAAGCCATTTATTCCCACTTGAGGACTAAACAGAATGTATCAGGGCGGTAATGGTGATCAAGCACCATCGATGTTCCACAAACCTTCGCTACTTTGTTCAGAAGAGTTCTCAGCCATCGTCTAGCTTAATAATAATCTCCAACTGTTTTCCCGTACAAGTCTCCCTCCCAGTTAGGAATACAAGAAGTCACTCGCTTCATCTATCCACTTTCAAACCAAACACCAACAACATCCGTCCGTCGCAGCCAAAGCCAAAGAAGAAGAAAAAAAACATACAACACCAAGCTCTTCATCGGTCGTCGCCGATTTGACTACTAGCCTGGCTAATAAGATCACTGGCTTAAAGATCTAGGTGAGAGCGGACAGGATCCCGAGTTTTTGGCCCCAGTGCCTATGGTCGTATGTCATTCATGAGTCAACATAGCAGGTCCAGGTTTGTTCGTTGTGTGGACATGGGAGGGATTGATCCTGGTTATAAATGCTGGCTGTGTGTCATGATTGACAGTCGAGTACAGCTTTGCCGTTGTTAAAGACATGGTTCATGGAGATGTAACTCGGGTGTGTTTTTAAATAGTAGAAAACGGAGAGATAGAGAAAGGTTGAGTTAGAATGAAGACAGTGTACGTGGAAGGAGTGCAATGAATTATGAAAGTTGGTTGTGCTGATAACCTACCGTACATATGTCCTGATGAAGAGTGAACAAGGTCAGCACGTGTTCATAGCTTCCAACCAAGAACCGAAGAAAGTAAACACAAGCAAGGTACATAACGGGTCGACTAACATGAGTGCTGATGACTTCTCAGTCCTTTAAATCGCCGACCACCAGAGCCACCGTACATGATTCTACAGACTACCATACAAATGAAGGGAAGAACATGTCGGGATACAAATTGTGTAAACCAAACCCTTCGTTCTACCTTAGAACCGAACAATCAAAAATGCTCGTTACCTACCAACATCAAAAGTTGTCTAGTTTAATGAACTTATATTGCACTTATACACCTTGCATACGAACCTAAAAACTAGGAAATCAGATTCCGAAGGGGTGGTCCGGCAATTAATTGATTGAGTGCAGTGAGTGGCCCCTAACATTTATCCTTATTAAATTAATATATCTAGCCGAGCCGTGTCTTGACAAGTAAAGTCGGTGGTACTGTACTATCGAGAGAGAAAAGACTAGGACAGATCGAAGATAGGTATTGGCCGTCCGGAATTATTGATACGGTCCCCCTATACGAAGGATAATTCAACACTCTGCATGCGGTGTTGGAACTGGTGTTCCATATCTTCATCGTCGCTTCTGGCCTGCCAAAAAGACATCTGAATCTCCCCTCATCGTGTACATACATGTGTCCGTCACACACACTCACACACGCGCGCGCGCACATCGCACCGTTCAGCATTACCTATTCACATTCACATAGGCTTAGCTGGGTATCCAGCTGGGTAACAGAGTTGATTCAGAATCCAGCCACCCCTGGATGCGGATGGATGTCTAACTGTTCACTCACCGCCCGGTCTTCTGACTAGCTAGCGTCAGTGGGAATTCTTGAGTCCGACACTAGGCAAGGTATCTAGGTATAGATTGAGAAATCAGTGCAACACCAAACTCCCCTGACCCCTACCTAACCCATCAATGCATACATAAGAACTCCTCCCAACCCTGCTTTCCTCTCTGTCCCGAGGACCTGGATCCAGTTGGAAGTTTGGTCTGTGAGGACGTCGTACAGGCGGGACATGGGCGCCGTCTTTCCCCAATCCCGACCCATTAAGATGACGTTTCCGAGCCAGCTTCTGGGCTTGACCTCCGTCGCCTCCCTAGCCTTCGTTCTCCTCCTCCTCTTCACCACTCCCGTGGTGGCAGCCAAATTCACCAACTCTTTTACGAACCTCAGCTACGGCTCAGCCGTCCGATTAACCTGGGATACCATATCGCCCGAGTTCTACCCGCTGTTCATCACCGCACAGCTCATCGACAAAGGTGAGAACACCGATGGCAACGAAAGCGGTGGAGGCGGAGGTGTGACGGCATACAAGATGAATATCACGACGGCGGCAATCGATTCCTCCTCCTCAGACAAAAACGCATTCGAATGGACTGGAATCCCATCACCTCTTCGTTGGCTACCCGAGGGGATTTACCAGGTTGAACTCCACGGCGGGTCTGCGGATGGGACGGGGACGACGCCCTTGGCCAAGTCTCCGTTCTTTGCTGTCGGTCAACCACCGTATGCTAGTGGGACGGAGGGCGGGAGCAAGCCTGCGACTTCTTCTTCAGGGGACGAGGTACGTTTTCTTTTTGCTTTTCCTTTTTCCTTCGACTAGCGCCATGCCATATCCAGGAGGGAACCGTGCTGACTGAGAGATTTTGCATGGAGTAGCCAACCCCTTCTGATGATTCAGGTAGTAATGAGCATCGTTCAGGGGTTAACAACAAACGGCTTGCTTTTGGCCTCGGTTTTGCAATTGGTATTCCCTCGGTCGTGGGGTTGTCGTTGGTGAGCTGGTGTTTGCTGAAGCGAAGGAGGAAGGTATTGGACGAGAAAAGGGAAGAGGAGAGGAGGTCGAGGAGGCGGGACTTTGTTATCCAGTAAAAGGCGTACGGACAGGTACGTGATGATTAAATCATTATCATTATAGCCGCGCCTTTGCCACTAGACTGCCAAATGGGTTAGTATGCGCCTGGTCAGATTGGTACAAGGGCTCGTTGAAAACATACCGTAAAGCTTGTGGTGTACAATGCCATTATCACCCAATTCTGAGCTCGACCAAGGGCTGTATCTGGATAGGCGTGTTTCCAATGTCGGAATGAGACCCTTGAGCAGCCATCTTTTTCTTCCGATGATTTTCCTTAAACTCCCAGAGGAGGCCGCCATCTTATTCATCTTCCATCACCAACTCCGTATTTTGCCTTTGATCTTGTCCCTACCATGATCGTTTCGTTGCCGCAACCTACACAGACAGCATATCTTGAATACGCTTCTTATTCTGCTGCTTCATCTTCCTCTTCATGATATGGCTATACGCACTGCCCATATCACCTTTTGTCCCAACCTCATACTGTAACGTATCCCCTCTGTCGACCCTCTGTCTCCAAAACGCCCTCCACGTCTTCACCATCGTCGCCGAGTCCGCCGAAATCCCTTGCTCAGTAGCCGTCATCTCCTCAATGTCCATGGCATCTTGGCCCGCCGACTCCCAGTCGTGCAGACCGGAGTAGGCCATATCTTGGGGCACCGAGGCGCGCAGGGCGGCGGAGTTGAGGGTCAGCTTATTATTATTTGATGGCGTGGCGCAGGAGGTGTCGTAGGAAGAAGAAGACGGATCGGGATCTTTTTCGCGTGGCCAGGGCCCGTACAGCGGGGACATGCGGATGTGTTCCTTGTGCGGGTACTCGGGGGCGTGGAAGGCTTCGAGCATAAAGGTCTTGGTTACGAAGGCGGTCGGGTCTCGCTCGGGCAGTGTTGGAAGCTTGAATGCGGACGGGGATAGCGGTAGCCGTTGTGGATTGAGCTTCTCTGTTTGTCCGGGTTTGGAGTTTGAATTCGTGATAGTGCCCCTAGCAGCGGTGGTGGGTAATGAGACGGCTGTAGATGTATCAATCGGTAATGGCGGTCGGATGGAATCGGGGACACGAGGATCGAACGAGTTTCGAGCGAGGACGTCGAACTGAAGAGGACTCCTTCGAACGATGCTGGAAGCCACATTCTTGGATGATGCTATGGAGATGAAGGAGGAAGAGTCGTAGAGCTGCTTGAACATCTCAATGTCGCCATGTTGGCTGAGGGCGCGGAGGACAGCGCGTCGCTCCGATAGACTGGTTGGTGCTGGCTTGACTCGGATGTAGAGAGTTCGGATCTTTGCTGGGCCGGCTGGGAAACGGAATGCTTGGGACATGATCGTGGCGTTCTTGTTGGTGTCGCTGTCGTCGATATGATATAAGAGGTACGTACCTGCGGTTGACTGAGTCAGTGTTCCTGGAGAATCCCAGTCCGCGATGTGGTCAATTGCGGGTTCAGTGGAATCCGTGGTGGGGAGAAGTGGGCAACTTTTGGAGAGAAAGTGCGGAGGAACCCCACCTTCCCCAGTTTGGAGTTGTCCCTTACCGTACTCACCGAGGTGAAGGTGTACCCACTTTCTACGTCCTTAATGCGTACTTGTAGGTATATCATCCCATTGGCCAAGCCTTTTATTTCCTTGTCTTCCAGTTCTCTACACTACCTCTTCTACACTCGTCTTGTCCCCCTTTCTTCTCGAGGCCAACTAATTCCATCATGCTTCTTCATTGGAGCTCTCAACTGCAACAGTCTGTTCCTCCTTCCTTGCCCGCCGCCCAGCTCGGAGGGCTCTAAGAATACCCCGAGTTGGATGCTCAGCGTTCCGCCAGATGACCAAGATGCATATGCTCAACACCAAATGAACCAACATGGCGCTCGCTAACCCAGCCTGTAACTTGCACACCTCATTCCCGACATCTACTACTTCCCTATCACGAGCCCGGCGGAAACATGGAGAAACCTCGGCAATACCGGAAACGTTGGAAAAGATCAGTTGAAGAAACGTCGATGCGAGGAACACAATCCTGCACCCCTTCGCCATGTACCACGCTGTCACGATGCCCAATATGGCGCAGAGCAGTGCGTGTATCTTCATTTCAACCAGACTGTTGTGACTGTTGTGATCCTTAGCCCATATAATCGGTTCTATCACCAGCACCGAGATTGAGGCCATATGCTGAGATGGGTCAGTTCAGTTCCAACGAGTCTTTCTTTCTTAATAGTGTGAGCAGCGGGACCGGGCCGGGGGAACTAAACTTACCCATAGAGTCACACACGACCACCAGAGCAGGTCCTTCTCCTTCCATATGGCCTGAAGAGCCCTTCGCACGAAGCTCTCGTGTTCCGGACGTGCTGCCCGACATCCCCAGCTGGCCTTCTCTGGCTTTGCTACTGCCGGATGCACATCGTGCTTTGTGTTCAGTAGTGTCCAGAAAACTGACGCGACGAACAGCAACTCGAAAGCCCCAAGGGCGGTCTCTTCTTTGCACAGTCTGGGGCTTGTGACTTCGTCGATTTCCCCCTGGACTTGGGCTGCTGCTGCTGCTGCCTTTTCAAACAGTGCTGGGCCCATATGAACGACCCGCACGCTTTCGGAACTCCAAGCAACATCGTTAACCCTATCACCCACTCCCAGCCTGGGTACTTGTACCACGCCGCTAAAAGTACCATGGCGGCGAAAACTGCTCCGAGAACTTTGCCGGAAAACTCAATCAGGTGATGCTTATCCTGAGCAAAAGTGTCCGCGGCAAAAGCGAGTATGATGAATGGACCCCACAACTTGAACAAGCAACCGATAAGTATCGGTCATATTAGCTTCTTTCTTTTCCATGACGATCAGAGGAGAACGAGGCAAGCAAGGACTGGACTCACCCAGAGGACCTGAGACCAGAACGTGACAAAATCTTTCGACAGACCAAAGAAAATTTCCCAACGACTGTCTCCGGTGGCTAAAGGTCTGGTTGAGGATCGGCCTGACGGTGGTGCATTCGTGACCATCGGGGGCAGCAGGTTCGGTGCCATTTGCTCCGTAATATTCACAACTGAGCCGTGCCACTGCAGAGATTCTGTGTGGTCGCAGTACGTCCTATCGCCCGGTAGTCCCTTGCTGCATTCCTGCTCCCAATGAAACAAGGGATATCTCCGTGGGTCCGCGGCCTCGGACCCTTTTCGATATCCCATCATCTGAAACATGTTGAAGAACGCGTCCGTCTCCCGGCTCCTCTGACCTGAAGTCCTCGAGCGATCGCCTGGCTCGTCATTATTGGGTAGGCGCTGCTTCCATCTCAGCCAGGCAACCCACACGGTCAGGAACCGATGGGCTTCGCTGCCCACGGGAAATACCTCGTGCAGCAGGTTTTGGAGCTCGTCCTGGTAATCCTCCGTGAGCAGGTCGACGTGCTGGATGAAGTGGGCGAGGGCGAACAGTCGGTACGCTCGTGACAAAATGCGGTAGCCGAACATGTAAGCGGCTGCTGCTTCTAGGGCTGCGTTGGGGTCCTTGGCGGCATTGCTGTCACCTTCTCCGCTGTCCCTAGCGCAAAACCATCCCGTCACCGGCGACGGTGAGCTCATTTTGCACGCGAATGGCATGTGGAGTCTGACCGTGCGCTCTGCTTCGTCACGGCGAATATCGGCTGGTTCTCCTTCCTCCTCGGTGGCGGCGATGACGTTAAACGTTGTACGCCAGTGGTCGCGGTCGACTCCGGTCTGATCGGAGAGGGACATGCAAGGAGGGTGTTGGGGGAGTCCGTAGGGGGCGTAGAGATGTTGTTCTCTTTCCCCTTCCCCTTCCCCGGCGGCATCATCCGACTTCGAGGCAAATTCCTCCAGCCTTGAAGGACTACACCGGTGGTTGTTCTGGAACTCGTAAATAGCAGAGAGCTTGCACCCGCTGCAAACGTACAGCCAGACAGCCCAGCGGTAAAAGTCGTCTGGGTCGTCGTCATCGTCGTCGAAGACAAAGTGGCCGGTTTCGGCCTCGACGAAGACATCGCGGTTACGTGGGCTGAGGGCGGTGCTGAAGTACTCCGAGTATTCGCAGAGGAGACGTTTGTGGAGGAAGAAGACTTTGGTTGCTGGCCCTGAGGTTGTCGTAACTGACGATGATTGTTGGTGTTGGTATTGCTGCTGTCGATGTCCACCTCCACCACTCCCCCCGCCGCCGCCAACGGTAATTTTGATTCTCTCGCAGAGGCTTCTGCAAACCATGGGATCCGATTCACACGGGATAACCCCAGAATAAACATGACAAGGACGGATAAAGGTCGGCCACACAATCTCCACAGGCTGGGGCTGGGGATTGGGGTCGTCGGTGTACTTCTCGTCTGACTCTGAGATACTTGGGTCCTCTGCTGGAAGAGTGTCCGCCGTTGAAAGTTTATCCTCCACCAAAGGAGTGGCTGTTGTCGCCCCATCATCAAGTCTGCCTCTTTTTCTCCTCGCAAGTTTTCTTAGGATCTCCTTCGTTCTCATGGTGTTAGTCAAACTGGAGTGAGAGGTTGTGTGATAATGGGTTTGGACAACAGATCGTTGACGAAAGATCGATCACCGATTTCTTAGGACGTATGCTCTTTAGAGAATACCGATAGCTCACCTTTAAAGACTTCTTCTATCAACTCCAACCGTTCACGAACTCTTCAGGTTTGCTTCGCATGGCATACCAAATCTGGCATTCGGTGCGGACCCCTGTGCCAGTATGATCAATATGCAGCGATCTATGCTATCGCCATGTTGCAGCACAGTATATTTCCGGTGGTGGTTTCTGAAACTTGAAGCTGCAAAATGCAAGATGGGTAGTGGTTTCTTTCCTAGACAGGTCGTCGGTGATGATCACGACGAACGGTAGAAGCGCCTTGGAATGATCTGGGTTACTTTTCCGCCGCGTGTCTGCCTTGCCCCTCCAGCAAAGTCTAGCTTACTGCCCTGCTTCAATCTGCATCAGCACCAATCAGGCAGACCACTCGGATCGTTTGTTGCCGTGAGGGCGTGAGGAATGTTTCAGCTCTCCTCAATCTCTTCTCGATTGGTTAGGCTTCATGCATTTTGATAGCCTCGAAGTCTTGATATCTTCAAAAAGATGTGGCTTTTTTTTTTCAATGGTCTTTGGGAGATCTTTAACAGCGTAGCAAAATTTGCGGTGTTTACTGATCTGAATGGGATGGTAAGCGCCAAGACCGGATGACTACAAACCATCAGCTTTGGCGACTTCTAATCAGAGGTAAGCTAGCCAAGTGACATTCATGCCTTGGGAAATGAGCGTGAAACGAGCTTATCATGGTTGGTTTTTCTCATGGCGTCAAAAAAGGACACAAAAAACACGGACAATGCCGCCCGTTTTCGCATACATGTCTACACCACTGGATATAGGTTTCAGAAATTGACGCGGGGTAGGATATAGCAGCCTATGGGTTGTGTGAAGCTCGTTGTTCTTGAGAACGGAGTTCCTGAAATTGAGTGTAAAAAGGAAGTTATCCATTCGTGCGTTGAACTCAAGCAAGGCCGCGGAAAGCCCGAGCAGAGAACCAAGAAACTATCTTCAGCTAACCACTGGCAGCTCGACACTTCCCTGTGGAGAACATCGCCAGACGGAAATCAACGACTTCCCCCGCCCTGTCCGTCTGGCCCGTCTCGGCTGGAATCTCGATGTTGCCGAAAGGCGGACAGACGTACGGGTGGATGAACGGGAATAACTTGCCCATCATCCATTACCTCGAGCTTACCCGATCGACACTTGTCGTCTTCATGTTCTTTGTTGTCGAGCTTCTCTGTGTCTCAGACGGAATTTGCCGTTCTCTTTCAATCTTCACGGTCCTAGGTATTGCCATTGTCAACTTTGACAAAGTGAGAGGCAACGCCATCTGCCTCATCAATGACCCAGGGCCTGAGTGGTTTTTGTTCGCCCCCAAATTCCCTCGGCGGAGTGTGGCACTTCCCCTCCTTTTATCCACCGCTCGAGCCCAAAAGGCAGACCAGGCCACACCATGTCACCGTATGCGATAGATAGTTCGATATTAGCTAAATGGCGTCTAAATTCGTCGGATAATTTGATTGAATGTAACGTATTGGCGTCGGGAACTCTCGAGGTGATGACATGATTGTCGAGCGCCAAATGGTGCACTGCCAGGGTCATTGGTAAGGGACCATGGACGGTACCGACGGTAAAGATGGTAGTAGAAGAGACAAGGGACTTTGGGGACGGTACGGTAGAGCTAATCAATATGAACCTCAAGTTATGACGAGAAGGACCAACTACCGACCGCTACCAAACTTTTGGGAGTTTGAGGGTGATGGTGACCTTTTAGAAGAGCTGTGCTTATCTAGGTGAGTACCTGAGTACCTGCTCGATACTAGGTACCACCTTTCCTTTGGCTTCCTGGCTGGATGTTGTGGGAGGCCAATCCAATCAAGCTGTCGGTTAGTTCGATGACGTCTCCGATGGTGATCTCGAGCAGGGACTGGAAGGAAATGCTTACTGTATACCTAGTGTACCTAGCCAAGCTCGGCCAGCTGTGAGGTTGCGGCGGGGATAAAAGAGCTGTGTGATTTAATATGTGTCGAGGTGAAGCAATGAGATAAATCGATGATAAATTTGCGAGGAGCCTTTGGCTGAACTCTCGCAGGGCATGGCCACCCTCTTGGAATAATGGTCACCCATCGTTCTTGCCATCATGATATTATGAGCGAACTGGAAGAAAAAGATCACCGACCGGGATCAATGCCTCCGTACAAGGCAGTAACTGCCTACTTGCCTGCCTAGAGGTAGGTAGGTACCTCTATTTGTGGATGATAACGTCGGTCAGATAGGGAATCGCACCTTCCCTCCCATCTAGGTGTCAAGACGGAAGGAACTTCTGAAGACAAGATCTTCCAATATGTCGTCCCTTCCCGGCCTCTCTACCGATTTCTTACCTCCTTCCATTTTCCACCACCATCGTCTTGTGCGACACTACCAATTCTGAGTTCGAGGTGCTGCACATGGGCGCCGAAGTCGGATTTATGTTTGGCATCCATCGCTGCTTGTCGTAAGAGGAGCATGATAAGAAAACGTTAAACGCAGAACCCTCCCATTGGTTTACAGTAGTAAGGAACGTAGAAAGAAGTCGAACTGACCGACCAGAATTGACGAGTCGGCGACTTCTTTCTCGCTACGTGCCTAACAGTAGATACGTGAAGCAGCTGTGCCGTAGTGTACACAAGCGTGGCAGCGTGACATCGCAGCAAGACAGTAAGAAAGAAGAAGTGAGACAAAAGAGACCCTGGATGTTGAAGATCCCGGGGATGTTTTTGCTGGCTTGATACTAGTACTAGGTGAGGGTAGCCGAGGGTAATGGAAGGTGAAGGTAATCGGTCGGCCAGCTGAAGAAGAGAGGTCATGACTGTGGGTAGTGATTAATATGGGAATACCTACCACGAGGAAGGGAACTCTTAAAGGGTACGGAGAAAAAGTGATGTGTTTGGGGGTGATGCTGGCTCGGTATAAGCAAGGTAAGTAACGCTCAACTGAAAACCGAAACAGTTGACTCGAGTAATAAAATGATGAAATATCAAGCTCATGATAACCCACTCGAACCTTCAAACACAAATCTGTGCTCCTGTCTTGGAGCAACACAGCAGAAGCTCCCACCGCTGCCATTCAGTGGGTGACTCGCAGTGAACCCCCTCTCGCTTACACACTCCCAGTGACTCCCTGGTAAAACAAAGCTGACGCCCAGCCAGAGATAGGCGACCAAGCACTCAAATGGAAGGGCCCAAGCGTACCCAGGGGTAAGTAGCCAAGTAGCCAACCGAAACATAGGGACACGTACGTGTACTGAAAGTAGTGTAGGTGGTGAAACAGTTGGAAAAAATCGTTGGCTGAGCGTTGGCCCGGCGGTTTGGTCACTAGTTCATGATGGTCCCTGTGGATTTCTTCGTGGACTCGTGGGGTGGGTAGGTGGTATTTGGGATTTGGGATTTTCACTGCGGAGTTCTTTGCGTAGTGTACTGGTAGGTAGTGTTCCAGGGCGCTGGTTCATCAGTTTCATGGCGATCGATATGTCTCTGTGTGTGATCCCCAGATTTGGTGTCAAACGAAGATTTGGATGTTCAGACATGGAAGATAAGATGTCTCGATGTTTCCTGACCCGCTTCTTATCTTGGAGGAAGAAAGCCGTGATTGACAACTTCCAGGTTCCTTGATCTGTTTTTTCGACCACTCAGTTCCTTCGGCTTGACGGCTTCATCGGGCGTTTATCATGCTTGTCTTGTGTGTATGAAGGACAAGGGGACAATGCACAAAGCCGACCGTTGGGAACGAAGCTATGCAGATAATTCCCAGGGGCTTTCAATCAATGAACGAAGAGGACTGGAAAGGGAGGCACAGCATCGCGGCCTGTAGTTATCAGTCAACCAACCCGTCAACATGGCCCAGAGACACGGCCAGGTGCATCATGTATGCAGCGACGGGAAGGTCGTCGACACGCGCATGGCCAGAAAACCCCCGAAAGCTTGGATAGGGATGCTGAACAGATGTATCAAACGCCACCAACGTACACATGGCCTGATGTCGTCCATGGTCGCCATGCTTGACTTGCCCTGGGGTTTTCCATCCCGCAAGCCTCATGAGCCGTCACGTACATGATTGATGGGGGAGAGGTTCATATAAATAGACAGACCAGTCTTGATTGCTTCGAAAACACACACACAACGGGTCCAGGCATCTGACGGTCCAGCCTTTGTGTTGTGAATGGGTGTGTATGTGTCTGCCTGTGGGCAAAGAATGGCCGGGCGAGATTGAAGTTCGCGTGCCGGCTGAAGTGCTGGGGGTGAAGGGTAGGCGCCCATTTACACATGATGAAGAACATGGCGGGAAGAACGGTGAAGGAGGAGGAATTTAAAAGTAGACCAAGGAAAAGAATTGGGGAATGTGCTCTGCATTGAACCATCGGCCCCGATCCCTTGATGGAGCAAGAATAGGGAATCAAAGTTGAAACATGACGGAACGGCACACCGCGAAAACATGGTGATAGGGTGCTTTCTTGCCGTCGTGCTTTTCGTGCTCTCGCGTCGAGGGCGGCCCAGGGAGATGGTACGGTTGGGAGCATTCCTGAATTGAACGAGAGAAAAGGTTCCTCGATCCGATCATCCGTGCGGGTGCGAATCCCCTCTCCGGTGAGTCTCCCCTCTCCTTCTGCTCAGAGTGCTCCGGTTACCCTTGTTGTCGACAAGAAGTGGTGGTGATGGACCAATGGTGTTGTCCTTCACGCTGCGGGTCGGCGCAGAGCGATGCAACGTAGCAGGGTTCGGTGGGCGAATGACAGGCGTGCATTGGCAGTTATATGGGTCAAGGCCGAAAAGGCTTCGAAGTCGTGTGAAATTGCAGATATTAGCTCAGGGTTAGCTAAGGGAAGGCCTTAGGGTTATAGCAGTCAGACGACTTTATCCCCAGGGTTGGCAGGTGCCTCCTCATGTCAAGCCCGCTGCCCCTCCCCTTCGGCTTTGCTACCAACCGCCCGGAGCAAAGTGCTCAGCTCAGAGTTTTTCTAGCGCAGGTTTTTGAGACTCGGGTAGACTGCCCAGAGTGTGATCAAAGCCTAGCACCCTTTCTTGTGATCTCGTTTCCATCGGACGAAGATGGCATCTTGACCACCCCAAACCAAAATTCATTTTCTGGAAGACGAAGACTTCCTCGATGACGGTGACTGATGGTCGGTGACGGTAGCCGTTTGGTGGATGGACGGGATTTGACACCGTGTGTCTGGGACGCCCCACGCTCCCGTTCCTACGCCGGGTCACCCACCGAGAAGAACAGGATGCTGACAGTGCGAAGCAACACGAGGACAGCCAGTCATTGGGCGTGCTGGTCCCCGACGGCTTGGTTCACCCGGAAAGGAAGCTCCCAGCACAGAGTCGCGCAACAGCGTGTTCCGTGACAATTCAATCGACTTCCAATGTGAGTGGCCGGCACGGCAGCCAGATGGAGTCCCTTGGGCCCTGGCCCTCGTGCACTCCCCACCAAAACCCTTTCTCCAGCCAACCACAGGGCGAACCAGCTGCTGGGCAAGTCTGGGCACCGCTGAGGAGTAGCAAGACACGGTACCAGTCCAAGGGAACGGGGGAGGACCAAGGAGAGTCGAACGGGAACTCGACGAGCTAGCGCGGGGACTGGGAATTGGGATTTGGGGCAGCTGGGTCACTGGGAAGTGGGAATTCATCGGCCATCATGTCAATATTAAAAAGGTCCCCATTTTCATCACTCAAGCTTCCTCTATTTGTCATTCAAAATCACCTTGTCAGCAACTACCAAGTGTAGAGCAACTTATCACTCATTGTGAAGACAGGGTAAAGACAGCCCCTGGGTCCAAGTAAAATCAGGCGGTCGTTATCCAGCCAGTCGGACTGTGTTGCCAGTCCACTAAATCCAGAGAAGGAGATATCCGGCGCAAGTCGGTAGTGTCTCTTCCATTGCCTGGGATCCTGTGGATGTCTGTCTGGATGATAGCCAGCTGCATGCAGGATCCATCATCCATCCAACCTTTTTCTGAACCCGACAGGCCGTGACACTTTTACAGATGCAGCTAGAGGCTTTTCGATACCTTGAATGACTGGTCTGACTTTTGAATGGAAAGTGGATTGATGCCCTTTTTGTCCTTTGGCCGTCCCTCTCTCCCCGTCTGCTCGTCAGCAAGGACTCAGCAAGCCCCCGTTCCCGTCACCCACCGCGTCGGTTCTGGTTGCTCCTCCTTTTCTAGCTTCCCATTTCCTGGCTTTTCACATCCCAACCAAAACCTGAACCCGCCATCGCCCATTCCATGTTGAAGGGAACACATACAACTCTGCATACCGTCCAAACGTCAATCAATCACTCAATTACCCGGCAGTGCCACCCATAACACAAGACTTTACCTAAACGTGTCGCCATTACAACGACATAAGGCCCGACTCTGCAGCCCTTGGATCGGCGCTTGGGGCCAATTCCACCTGCTTTGCCGCTACGTACATAGGTACCTGTTCTTCTACTGGCTCAGTGTGAGTGGCCCAACTGCTAGCGACCGACATCGTCCCATCGCTACCGACAACTCGGGGACTTGTCCCGGCGCTTTGGCTCAGGTCCAGAGGCAGAGAGAGAGAGAGAGGTCCTTCCTTGCCTTCTCCTCAACTAGGAAGCTCCACGCAAAACAAGGACAACTCCCGACCCAACGAACAGCCTACTATACATGTCTCGATAGCAAGGCATTAATCTGCCCTTTTTCCCTTTCGCACCCATTTGCCCTCTTACAAACACCCACACACCCCCATCACACCGACACACAACACGAGTACGAGCTTCCCGTCCGTCTACTGTTTCACTGCCCATTTCATTGGATTGACAGTACCGGCCGGGCGACTCAACCTTCTTTTGTTTGCGACGGGACCTGGGATCTCGTCCACTCAACCCATCCAGCTGGGTCGGAGACGGACGCCGACACCAGCGCTTCCCCAACCAACACACAACATCCAACACAAACCATGTTTGATCCCAACTACTCCATGGAGGATCAAGGGCAGCAGCAGCGGCCAGTTGCCGCTGCACCGCCGGCCAACAATGATGATCATATAGCCCCCGACGTTGACGGCTTCGGTCTCGACGGCTTCAGAGGGCCATCATTTGAGGACTTCCAAGATCAATTACTCCGCAGCCAGCAGCAGCAACGCAACTATGTACGGCGCCATCACGTTGCACGACGACGACAGCGACACCCGTCGCACCACAAGATTCAGAAGCGCCCTTCATTAACCACGACCCCATCGGCATCGTCGTCCATGACAACTGCGGCGGCAAGGACAACATCAGCGACATCCACAGCTTCAGCACCCGCATCCACATCCACATCCGCTTCGGCATCGGCGACAGCACCGGCATCAGCATCAGCATCAGCATTAGCATCAGCTTCAGCTTCAGTACCTTCATTCCCTTGGTCTGGACGGGCCTTATCTCCTTCTGCTCAGCATGTCTTCGAAAAGGCGACGCACGAGTTCAGGGTCCATAACCCGCAACAAGAGGCTCTGCAATTAGAGGCTCAATCCCTTGTGCAACAGGAACAGCAGCAACAACCGCGGAAGGAGCATGAGCAGCAGCAGGAGCCCTTGTCACCACCAATCGCCATGTCGCTGGTACCCGATACCGCTGCTACTACGACTGCCGATCATCAATCCTGGGCGGGAATTGGCAGCCTCGAGGTGGATGACGGAACTGAGATGGATGATGCATCTGAACTCGACAACGCGAAGCTTCAATCCCTACTTCCCTCTTCATTCCGCCACATTAATTATGATTACTCTCCCAGTGTCGCACCCACGATACCAAATGCTGCTTCTTCGTCGTCTTCAGCAAACACATCGGAAAGTAAGGGGAAACGACCCGAACGGAGGCAATCAAAACACAATGCCCAGACGCAATCACGGAGCATTCAAGCCCTAGTGGAGGAAATGATCGAAACCGGCACCCAGTGTAACGTTCGAAGCGCCCCTCTTCCAGCGCCATCAGCACCCGTTCTTTCGACATTGGACGACCTGAAAGTCGATCACGGCTATGATTTCGCATCAATGAAGCTGGAAGTCGACGAGCGCTATCGTGATGGAACCGTTGATGTGTTGGAGGAAGAACGGGCGCTGCTTGAGTCGATACAAGTGCGGCGCGCTGGTAGTGGACCAGCGGGTATCCGGAAACACACAGTCGAGGGGACCCTCCCTCTCCGTTACCAGCTGTCGGCCGAGGCAGCCCTGCGATGCGCGACCGTGGTACGGAGTAAGCCCCGAATGCGCAGGCGAAAAGAGCACGGAACAGGTAGTGTGACCTCGTCGGTTGCGTATTCGACCAACTCGTCTCCCATGGCACAGCTTGCACAACCTTCGGAGCAACTGCAGTCACAATACCTACCCGCGATACCATCATCGTCATATCATACGCCGCCATGATGAATATTATAGGTGTTCAGATTGATTTTTGTTTAGGCGCGGGAGGGAGCGCATTGTCACTTTTTATACCCCAATTCTACGACGGCATGGGTTTGGTTCAATCAGAGCCAATTTTTGGAGCATTTCAAGGAATTCAACTGGGATCCAATTCATCTTCAATGTCGAGCATACTCGAGGTCCAACATGGGAGCGGGAACCATTTTCATGCTTTTCATTTACGAGCTGTGGGATTCAGGGTTGTTCATCTGCAAGGGTATTGATGATTCTTGCCTAGGGTATGCGACATTCATTAGAGTTGAATGGGGGAGATCGGGACGGTCATTTCTGGTCGGGGTTCAGCACCCTGGGACGCCAAAGGCTTTTCTGGATAAACATACCGTCATTTTGCATAACGGCTCGGGCCTGGTGGTCGAATCTTTTTTGGAAAGATGTCGAGGAAAAAGGGGCATCTATGTACATGAAATGCTCTAGATTGGGGGACATAACGGGATTGTTTCATACAATTGTCAGACGGGCGCTCACAGCCTCTATTCCTTTGTCGATAGACGGGTACAAATAGCTCATCCCTTGGGGTGGATCGATATCGAATGACAAGTGATGACACACCGTCCCGAAGTTCGGGGGTCCATGTGACAAAACAAACTTGGTGTGCGCCTTCTTCCTCCCTGTATTGGAACCAGGACAGGACCCTGCTGACGACTAGGCATGGTGGTATGGCAGAACCTGCGCAAGAGGCTCTCGTCCCCGTTGCCGATGACAACCATCAATCGGCACAGTATAAAAAGGGAGAATCGGAGCAGGAAAAAAACAAGCATGTTGCTATTCGTATAAGGAACGACAATGCTTTACCCTGTCTCACCTTACACCCCAACGGCACATTACAGACCTCGGTGTGGGGCGGAGCTCTTTGTATCGAGGTGAGCTAGAAGGACGACGCCCTCTGGACTCCCTCGACTTCGCTGAATGGTTGACAAAGAAAGGGATCCTTTTTCTTTATGATCCTGGCGTGTTTGCCCCGAGCTCCCTCCGAGCTATACCATGTCATCGAAGAATAGTGCCCGCCATTGCCCACCATTGCCCACCATTGCCCACCATGTCCTCTTCGGAAAGATCTCGAGAGAGAATTGGAATGGATCGCACCAGCATTCCTCGCCCCTGCGAGCTCGCATACAAATGTCTAGCACATGCCTCTCACTCTCCAATCTTAGAGATGAATTTTGGCTTCATATTTTCTCGCTGCCGGGGCAAGCTGGGTTTGTTGACTTTTTGGCCAGTGCAGACATCCCCTTATGCCTCCTGCCTCCCTGTCAACAACTTTCTTCGCCATGGTTTGCATTCGCAGCATAGCAACAACATCCCGTCACCAACAAGACTATTATCAAACACACTGCCCTTATTCGGTTGGAACACATTATAGCAGCAACATACAAGCGCCATACGAGCCAACCTTATAGCAGCAACAGCAGCAACAGCAGCAGAACCCACCAACAATGGCTACCGTCCTAGGGATGTCCTACACAGTTGGCGATTTACCCCTCGGCGAGAACAAAGGAGTCGACAGCGCCTTCTGTTGGCAGGACGGAGCGGCGGACGACGCGGGATCGGCAGATTTCTTTGACCAGTTTGTGGTGCTGGACGACCATGGCCCGGACCACTCACCCTCTCCGCCTTTTACGGATGAAGAAGGAGGAGGAGCAGAAGGAGGAGGCAACGAAAGCTTTGAGAGCATGTGCCGAGAAGCTCTCGAGTCCTCCTTGTCGCCACGTCTCACCTCACTGAGGTGCCCTCCTCTTGATCATCATCCCTCTGCTGAGCAATCATTAGGCGTAGGGGACCACGACCGTGCGAATGCCACTGCTAACAATCCGGCTTCTGGACGTCTCGGTCGTTTTTCTTCCGCCAAATTCCCACCGCTGCACCGTCAAGTCCGAGCAGGATCGCACGTTGACCTCAGCAACATGGATTGCCAGTATAGTCAACAACAACAGCACCAACTCCTTGTAGCTGGACAAAGAGAACTCAATTCCATCCTCGGCACCGGCTACAACCAGGAAGGACCGGGCTCCGGTGGTTCCATCTCCGACTCAAAGCTGCTGAGACTCGAAGGTCTGACGGTGAACGGCAGTGGCTCACCGCGCATACATTTTCTGCCATCGTCTGCATCGGTCCCTCCATCGCCTCACCTTCAGCCTGGGTCAGCCTCCACTAGTCCGCGCAAGTCCCGGCTCGAGGCTTTCTACACAAAGATCAGGAACAAGGCGGCTAATCTCCATGGCATCAAACACCAGAAGCAGCATCCCGCCACAACAGCAGCACCAGCAGTGACTTCGTCAATGCCCTCAACCATGGGTACGTCACCGAACAAGATGACGGCTCGTCCAAGGCCACACAACCTCAGTCTTGTGAGGCCGGAGATGCCACTCTCTCTTCCGTTGACAGGACAAATGGCTGCAGAGCAAAACGGCAACATTGACGGCAACAATGCTCACCTGTTCAACACAAACTTCATGGACGATCCGTTTATGGACATCTCTTCCAACCTGTCCCTACCGATGCACACTCCGATTCAGACACCTCACCAGCAACATCAGAGCATCCCGGTCCCCGTCACCACCGCCGGCGGCGATAACTTGTGGCAATTCAGTGTCAGCGGACCGCCACCAACGACACCCGCCAACCCCATCGGCGGTGTATCATCTTCCGCGTCTGAATTGCACCCCCTCTACGCCACCACTATCAATGACAGCAACAACGACTGGTGGGACCAAGCCGTGGGTGATGCCATGGACACCGACCCCGACCCGTCCTCGTCCTCTTTGCACATGGGAATCAACGCCTCCAACACCCGCGAAGCCACATTGAATCTGCAAATGGCTCTGCAGCAGCTTCACAACCAAGCAAGCTTCGATGAGCATCATTTTGGACTAGACACCTCAGGGTTGGTGATGCACATGCCGCAAACTACGTCTCGGGTTTTGTTGCATCACAACCAGCAGCAGCAGCAACAACTGAACCAAAACCAATCCCAATCCCAAGCGCAAGCTCAAGCACACGCAGCCGCCCAGCTATTGCTAGCACAACAGCAATACATTTCCAACCACGGCGGCGGTATCCCCGACGGCTTACCTTCGCAACAGTCCTCATCATCAACCAGTACGACAACGACGACGACGACCACTGCCCGTTCCCGCCGCCCCAAACCCCGCGCCCCCAGCTCCGGCGCCTCGCGGCTTCCCTCCTACCAGACCTCCCCGCGCAAAGTGCGCGCCGCCAGTCGTTCCTCGCTGGAATCGAGTCCAACCCGTGGCTCCCAACAACCCAACTCTGGCAATCTCGCAATCCCAGATACAGGTAATTCCGCCAGCGGCATCAGCGGAAGTGGCCGTCAACGTTTGCATAGGCGGAGTGCTTCCATGCAAAATATCAACAACCACTCTTCGAATACCACTTCCGCTGGAGCAGGACTGGGATTGGGATTGGGACTAATGTCCCCCGCTGCAGTGCGCAAGCGCAAGTCTTTTACTACCGGAGGGAGAGGACACGGTTCATCCGTGTCTTTATCAGCCGGGTCGAGACTGAGTCATGCGGCGAGTCATGGGGATTTATTGGGGGCTAGTGCTAGTGCTTTTGCTGCTGCTATTGGGATTGGTGCTAGTGGACAACGGGTGGTTCCTGAGGACGGGGCTAGGAGGGGGTTGAGCAGTTCGGCGTCGACGAGTTCGTTATCTGCCACTGGGGATAATAGTTCGGGGAGGTTTACGCCGCTGAATGGGTTGAATGGTTTGAATGTTGTGGGCGTCAACGGGTTTCACGGACATCCTCATCACGGGGTGGGCATGGTTCAAGGGTACCCGCCTATGCCGCCGCTTCCTCCTCAGCATCAGCATCAGCACCATAGTCAACACCACGGCCTGCCTCACCACCCCCATCACTCCCGCTCCCACTCCTCCCAGCAGCATTCCAAACAACAACTCCCCGTGCACCCCTCCTCCTCTTCTTCTTCCAGCCGCCATCCCCCCTCAAAACCCACACCCCGCTCTTCATCAGCTTCCAAATCCCATTCTCGTTCCCGGTCCACTTCCAACAACCACTCCTCCAACTCCAACTCTCAACCTTCCTCTAGGGGTGGAGAAGGAATAGGGTTCGTAAACTTCACCCCCCGCGACCACCAAACGCTAATGTCGGGCGTCGCGCCCTCGGGGTCTTCCAAGACCAAGGCGCGGCGGGAGAGGGAGACGGCAGAGCAGAGGAGGAAGTTGAGCGAGGCGATGATGAAAGTTGTGGAGGCTGCGGGAGGGGATGTTAGGAAGTTTGGGGAGTTGGGTGTGGGTATGGGTGTGAAGATGGAGTTTGGTGGGAACATGAACGGTGGGGAGTTTGGGTCTGGTAATGGTGGTGGTGGTGGTGATAACTATGAGGGGATGCATGTGTTTGGGAACGGGAATGGGCATGGGAATAGGAATTAGGCGGTTAGGCGGTTTAACATGGGACTCGGGCAGGACTTGGGATGACGGACCAGAGGGGCTGTAAAGATTGGTGCGTTTGTGTGTGTGTGAGAGACAGGTGTTGTTGAGTGTATTGCATGACGACGATGTTGATGAGTTTTGATGCTGATGATCCGATTGATGTCTTGAAGGTATCGACTACCTCTGCCCCCATCCCTTCCATGTCGAGGTTCTGCTGTTGGCTATTACAAGTTTATTGTTGTTGGATATTTGTCTTTTTGTCCTTTATTTCGAAAGAAGAAAAGGTTCAGAGAACAGTCTCTTCCTGCTTGTACGTCCATCCAAAAAGTTATTTTAATCCACAAGTTTTCTTCGCTTTTTTTTTTAAAAAAAAAAATTCTCTTCTCTGTCGTTTTGGGATTGGGTTGTTACTTCCTGCTTACGCTTCCAATTTCAAAATGCTCAGAACAGATTAATCACCTGATTACGGTAGAACAGCACAAGCAGAAGAGATGTCCACACGGACTGGAAAGAGCAAGTAGTTGCTGCAAACACGAAATATATACTAGTCGAAGGTGATGATCTTGGTTAAGCTTTAGGTTGAAGAAACAATGACACATTCACGCAAATATCATCCCGTTGGTCTGAAAACCGTGATTGCGGATGATTTTTTTTTGTATTATTTGTGAGCTTCCGTGTTTTGGTACCCACCTGAACTCGACCTGGATGAAATGTATCGAGTATCGCTCGTTTTCTTTCTTCCCTTTCCTCCTTATTTCTTGTTGGAAAGTACAGTGATCCGTCCGTTAGAGCCTGTTGTCGACCGAGCGAGCACTGCTGACTCGAAGTCCTTCCCAACTTTCAGGTTCAAACAAGAATGGCGATGGCTGGGGATGGAGTTGTTGCAGTTGATTGACTGTAGATCATTGCGCGGGAATAAGGTGAAGTTGAGTGTCTTGTATTCACCAGTTGGAGAAGTATCAGGTCGTCGGTATAATAAATCGATGTTAACAACCAGGGTATGCAGACAAGCGCATAACCGTGCCAAGCACAACGGTTGCGATCTAGAACATCGCTGAGTGTCAGTTTCTTGGTTTCAACCTTTAAGCTTCCCGCAATGCACTGGATCTTGAAGCTTCCATCTTTGTGTCCGGTTCGAGGGCGGTGAGGCTTGTTGGACAACTTGACAATGATCAGAAAACCCCGAATTAAAGGACACAAAAGCACAATGACGAAAGTTACAAAACGTCCTGTAAGTTGTAAACCCACAGCGGGCTGAGTGAGGCCAAGCAGCAACCAGTGTTTGATCAGCGTGAAGATCCGTGGTTGGGCTAAGCTTCAAAGGGGTGCAAAGTTGATTGGATGGATGGGTTGTAATAGAGAGAAAGAGGGGACAGATCGTCGGATGTGAAATGACTTTCGTGATTGATGCGATGCATCTTTTTGGGAAAACCATCTGTTTCCTTGATGGTTTGCCAAGGAAACCCATCTCGAAGAACTTTGAAAAACCTCTTGGAAAACGTCATTGAGAAGCTGGAAAGGGTGTCGTGATGATTTGTTCAGTTCCTCCCAAAATTCTAGAACACCTAGGAAGAATAGTGGTATTACCCCTGGCTGACCAGCCAGCCAGCGACTCCATGGCACTCCATGGCGTCTATTTTTGCTGCACGCCAGATGGGTCTAGTGGTGGGGTTGGTTACAGCTTTGCCGTACCCGAAAAGCGGACAGCAGCAGCGGTTCCTTTTGCCCAGAGAAAGCGGGCCTTGAGGTTCGGTTTGTTGTTCATGAAGAATAGGTACCGTGGTGATTGAATGTTGTCAAAGTCCTTCGAGATGTGAAATGGGAGGATGTGAATTGCTGTGATTGTCAAGATGAGAAACAAGAGGCAGTGCAAGATGTAATCACAATTGGGACCCCTTGGCGGTTGGCGAAGAGGAAGATTCCCGACAGACGGCACTTGAAGCAAAAGAAAGACATCAGGGTCCTCATCGTCCTCGTGTTTTATACACGTAAAAAGACAGAACAAGTATAAAAGACGTAAGATCTCGACCCTCCAATTTGGACTTCGCCCGCCTCGGCGCCGTGGCCGTCGCTGTTGGCTTTGCGCTGTTGCAGCGGAGAACCTTGTTCGGTGGAACCCGTTTTGCCTGCTTTCGTTTTTTTTTTTTTCGAAACACCAGTGTCCGTAGATTCCGTCGACTCGCCTTTTTGCGATCCGTGTCTTGGGTTGTTGTATCAGGAAGTTTTTCCACCTTTATGGGTTTCGAGTCTCTGGGGGTGGGAGAGGGATGGCCTGTCATTGGTCGGCGCCAAAGGGGGCTGTGCAGAGCTGTTTGGAATTGAAGGTTATGTACGCGGTTGTATTTACTGCACCATTTTATACTCGGCATGTACCTTGCCTTTTCATCTGAACTGGTATTCCCGATGCCTTACAGAAGCGCTGGAGCATGTGGCATCTCGCCGACAGGCGTTTGTACATTGCGTTAGTTGTTGGTAAATGTTTGGTGTCTGTTGTCCAAAGTGTTTCTTTGTGACTGTCATTGTCTTTGACGAGCGCTAATTTGGGTGCACTATCGAAATGACTGCGCGCCAAAAGGAGGGGAAGTTGTTGTTGGCAATTGTCATGGATTGCCGAAGAGGTTGACATGTGGTAGTGTAGTGTAAACAGATGAAGGACGATCTCACGCTGCCTATCATCCAGCATTGCTCGTCCTTTGCCCAGCTTGTCATGTTGGTGCAGAATGGAGGCATTTGGGGCATTGCCAGCCACCGCAAAGCAAGAGAATATGCTTGGTGACGAAATACGATGTTGACCAAGCACAGTTCCAAGGACGACAAGAGGCCAAGTGCAAATGTGTGACTGGCCTTTGCGCATTCCAAGAGACAGCCAAGGTCTTGTTCACCATCTGTCGAGATGAGGGCGGAAAGACCAGTCTTAAATCATTTACTCAGGACTTGTACAACTCGCCGTTGGCATTCTTCAACAGTGCCACTGCCGTGTGAGGGAGGTGCCCCTGAAGGAAAGAGGAAGGGATCAATTGGAGGAAAGGAAGCCCCAGGGTCCTGTCGTGCAAGTGCGACGGCACAAGGGTAGGGCCTCATCAAAAATGCTAAGGCGGTACCTTGCAGACTGTATGTGGAGAGTGCAGAACGCAGGTACTCCGCTAGTGGGGCCACACCTCATCTCCCCGGGGCTGCATAATGCGGGCGCTACCTTGTGCCTCGTCGTACCTGCCTTGGCCAAGGGCGGGTCCCGATCTCAGTACTGGCCCAATCTCGTCGCACTCCCGTCCGTCCTCTGCTCTCCAGTTCTCTCCTTCGTTCCCAGGCCCTCCTCCCTCGTGTCTGGCCGTCTTGTCTCTCATTACGACACCACCCTCTTTCACTCCTTCACAACACTGCCTTCTTTCTCCCACACGTCTTTTGCAAAATCAAGGAGTTACGCCCCCAGTTGCGTTCTCCGTCCCCAAGCAGCATCGTGCCGCTGCCTCTGCCGGCCTCTTCAGTCTCTCCCCCCCTTCTTACTTCTTTCAGATACAATTCTGAGCACCTTCTATTCCTGTTCTTTGCCCATCCAAACCTCCTTCCTCCCTTGGTCTACCACGTTAACCGGACAGAAACTAAACCGCATCCGCAAAGTCACTCCGAAACTTTCCTTCGTCAACATCGTCCTCTTCCCTCCGCGACCAAACCCTCGCTTTTCTTCAACACGCTCGTTTCAGCTGTGGAAACTTGAAGAGGAATGAATGGGTTGGAGTAAACGACAGACTACCTTCGCTTTTCCCATTTCTGCCTCGACGACTCGACTCGACTCAACTCGATCCAACAACCTGGAAGCCGGCCTTTGAAACGACGACAAACAACATCGGCCCCATCGTGCATTGACAATCGCTCTCTGCTATTCATCCGATCTCGATTCTTGGCTATTGTTCTTGTTGGATAATAGCGATACATTTGGGTGTCTTCTTTTGACAATCAGTTCAGCTCAGCTTCACCGGTGTCGACTACATCTTGTTCCAACCTTCAACGAGTAACCGCCGACGACACAAAGACCGCGAATCGCTTCTTCCACCCAGTAATCCCTTCGGGGTATAGTAGTAACCAACAAGCTCGAAATCACATAAACCCGACCACAATGCGGTTCTCGATATCACGGCCCTTGGCGGCCCTCGCGACCATCGCAGTCCTGGTATCGCCCGTCTTTGGCGAACAGAAGCTGGCGTCCAAGGCCCTTAAAACATGTCAGGAAAACTCGGGCTTCTCGGCCAGTCTGTTCAACGTCGTTTATACCCCGGAAACTGGCAGGGCCAATGTCGACATTGTTGCCCTCTCGTCCATCCAAGGAAACATCATCTTCGATGTCGCCATCTCGGCCTACGGCTATGAAATCATTACCGCCCAATTCGACCCTTGCGAATCTGGATTGCTTGGTTTGTGTCCTATGACGGCCGGCAAAATTCCTCTCAACTTCTCCCTCCCCGTCGACAAGGACGCCGTTTCGCAGATTCCCGACATCGCCTACAACTTTCCCGATATCGATGCCAAAGTACGAGTCAGAATCAACATGACAGATGAAGAGGATGTTAGTCAATCGGTCGCTTGTGTCGAAGCTGAAATTTCCAACGGAAAGACCGTCGACTTGGCCGGTGTCAAATGGGCTACCGCCATCGTTGCTGCCTTCGCCTTGACTTCATCTGCCTTCGTTTCCGGCCTCGGTCACCACAACGCCGCCTCTCATGTCGCCGCCAACGCCCTTTCTCTCTTTGGTTATTTCCAGGCCCAGGCCATGCTCGGACTTACCGCTGTTCGTCTACCGCCTGCCGTCATGGGATGGACCCAGGATTTCCAGTGGAGCATGGGCATCATCAAGATCAATTTTATGCAGGACATTTTTACCTGGTATCAACGTGCGACTGGCGGCACTCCCTCGATGCTCTTCGACTCCATGGCGTCAGTTTCTGTTCAAGTTCAAAAGCGTGCGCTGGACATTGCGGATTTCGGTGTGAGCTTGGCCAGGCGTTCCATGTCGTATATGCCCACCACCATCACTGAACCCATGGATCAGCTCATGAAGCGTGAACTACTCAGGCGCGGAAACGTTCAGACAGAAACCGGCACCTACGTCGTGTATGGCATCCAGCGTGCGGCTTTACCGTGCCTCTATTGAATCCACCAACCTGTTCATGACGTGCTTGGTCTTCTTCTGCGTCCTCGTCGTTATCACCATCCTTTGCGTTGCCGGCTGGAAAGCATACTGCGAATTGGCCGCACAGAAGGGCTGGATGAAGCACGACACCTTCCTCGACTTCCGAAACGGCTGGTTCACCGTTCTCAAGGGCATTCTCTTCAGAATTACGCTTATCGGCTTCCCCGCCATGACCGTCATGTGTATGTGGGAGTTCACCCAGAAGGATTCGCCTGCTGAGGTTGTGCTGGCCCTCTTTTTCTTCTTGGGTATGGTTGGTACACTGGGCTGGGCCGCATTCAAGGTTACCAGAATCGCGCGCCGCTCCGTTGTCATGCACCAAAACCCGGCCTACATCCTCTTTTCCGACCCTCAAGCGTTGAACAAATGGGGTTTCCTCTACGTTCAGTTCCGAGCTTCGGCCTACTACTTCATTATCCCTGTTCTTGGCTATACCATTGTCAAGGGTATGTTTGTCGCTTTCGGACAACATAATGGTACTGCACAGGCGGTCGGTTTCATTATTATCGAAGCCGCTGCCTTGATCGCCGCTACTGTTATGCGCCCCTTGGATGGACAGAAACAAACTGGTTCAATATTGCTATTTGCGTTATGAACTTTATCAACGCCATCTTCCTGCTGATGTTCACCGAAGTCTTCAACCAGCCACCGCTCGTCACTGGTGTCATCGGCCTCATCTTGTGGATTTCCAACTCCATCTTCTCTCTGGTTTACCTGCTGATGCTCATCTGCTCTACGATCTTTGTGTTCTTCCGCGAGAATCCCGATAGTCGTTACCAGTACATGGCCGATGACAGGACGTCCTTCATGAAGTCCCAGACTCACCTTACGACAACCACCGAGCTGGATGCGCTGGCAGCAACCGCTCGCGGAGACAAGTCCGGGTTTAAGGGACTCGACCTCGATGACGATGCGGAATCCATGTCTTCGGATTCACTTCGTCGTCAAACCGAACTCCAGCCCGGCATGCCAGCTGGTGGAGCTGGTTTGCACTTCACCAATGCTCCCCCGAGGTCTCCGGTTGACCCTGCGATGCCGTTATTCCCCTCGGAAGGCCGCAACACGCCAGGTCCTCAGTATGGAGAGAAGCCAGGTGTGAACTTTGATCATCGGGCACCGTCACCAAGTCCATATGGCGGCCCACAAGGTGGTAACGCCAGCCTCACGCCACAGTACAGGGCTCTCAATAACGCGAGGTACGTTTTTATCTAGAATTGATGATTGGATCTGACCGAAAGCTAACGTTTGCAACAGCCCGTGGCAACGAGGTGCCGGCTATGAGCATTAATGATCGAAGTTCACTGGCAAGATATTCTAGTCTTGGCCACTTATGACCTTGGGAATAAATGGAGTTTTTGCTTTTCGGAGAAGCCATTTCATTACGGCGATACATTTTCCTCCTCGGATGGCGGTATATTTTAGGTTTGGTTTGTTGGAAGGCCCCTGCATTGGGTATGGATATCACAACTTCACATGTGGACGGGATAGAGGGGACAAAGGTTTCCAAGAAGGGAGGGTCTTTGTGTGTGCTTGCTGTGCCTCCTTGCCTCAAGTCATTGTATACCCCCTTGCTTTTGATGCTGATTTTATGCCAACCATTCACACTCTGCCGTGTTGGATACACGGGCAAAGAGTGTTCTTTTCCTTACTCTCACTCATCACAACGTTTTTTTCTGTTTCTGCTTTTAGTTCTATTTCTTTTTGTCTCAAAATATGCTAGGGCATCGCAAAGGCGTCTATGGGTGGTGGAAAGCAAGAGATAGGGCGGAGGTGGAGGAGGAAAAAGAAGAAAGTCCCCTCCGAAAGGATGGGGGGCATATACCATGCTACATAGTTAGCGTTGGAAGGGAGGAGGAGAAGAACAAGATCAACAAAAAAGGATTGGTCGTTCCATACAAACCAAACCATGACATATCTCGGCGCATGGCCTTGAGTGTGATACATCATGGATGGATAACCCAGAAATACTTGACCCCGAAAAGCCCTTACAAACAAACAAATCGAACATCACCATCAAACGTGTAACACCCACAACTCTATACCCGAAGGGCAAAACCAAGCATCCGAGGAGGGATACAAGCATAGCATAGCATATCACTTCCACTTACAGCTGAGCTGGGTGGGTAGAAGAGAAAGAATACCAAAGAAAAAGAAAAATAAATTAGCAAACCCTTTCGATGATCCATGTGACCTCTTGTCTTTTTCCATTCACACGATGTCTTCGCCTGATGTATCATGCATGTTAACCGTCAGTCGTCTTACCAGCACATCAGCAGTCCATCACACTGCGCAGAGTAAACAGGTAACTTTGAGGGTTGGTTCCAGTTGAAATCTGAACACTGAACATTTACCTCCAGCCAGCCAGCTAGCTGTCAGAGTACCTAAGAAAGCGTTCCGCTCGTCACAAACTGCCCCTTATCGAGTGTATCGAACCACACTTGAAGGGAGACGTAATCCTCTCACTCAACGACAAGAGCAACATGAAAATGACATTCAAGGGTGCGTGATTACGTTGATATTTACGAGTGTCTTCGCAGAGTAGGCGGGTGTGATAAAAGTGGGGCTCACATAAAATACCAATTTTTCAATCACCGTCAAGAGCACATGTATATGTGTGTTTGAACTGCACTATGAGCTATACGTTCGGGTAAGCTTGTACGGAATTAAACTGGGAGAGACAAGAACTTAGCATGAACAAGAGAGAAAAAAGACCTGCTTTCCGATTACCTCTACAATTAAGAAAAGAAAATGGTAAGAATACAGAGTTGGAAAGGTGAGTGAGGTGATCAGAGTCACGCAGTAAGAATCATCAATCGAATCGTGCAAGAACATTCACTCCACGGCCTCCTTCAACTTCTGGTACTCTCAACCGAGTTGATTTATTCGCTTCTTCCCCTCAAATACCATGACCATATGAAAAAAATAAAAAAATACTTAGCTGCCCGGTTCACCAGACTCTTCTCTTCTCCTTCCTGCCTTTCCTATATTTCCCTCGCCTTCCCCTCACATCACCCAGCTTTATCCAACATAACCCTCAACGCCCCATTCTCCACCCCCCTCACTTTTCCCTTCCCCCTCACTTTTCCCTTCTCATCCACCTCAAAGATAAACAAATCCAGCGGCCGACTGGCATAAACCACGCCCGTCACGCCCACCCAAGTCGCACAGTCCGTGCCCATTTGCATCCCCGGCTTTCTCTCGGGGAGACTCAAGTCTTCAAAGACGGCTTTGAACGCTACCCTTTTACCACCCTTTCCGTCTGACAAAGGTTCGGAGAAGCCCGTGGGGTATAACCTAACAGAAGGCTTGATCTTGTCGAGATACTCGTCTGTGATGTTGGACCCGATGGCGACGGCGTAGAAGGACATATCGGTTGAATTGGAGATCCAGTTCTTGAGGACGAGGCCGGGGGAAGAGGCGGAGGTGGAGATTGTGAGGGAGGAGTTGAGGCGTTTTCTTTCGGTTGTGATGGTGCCGTTGGTGTATTTGGGTGGGATGGTGCTGTTTGATGGGGGCGAGGAAGGAACAGGTACGGGGACGGTGATGTTACCCGTGTAGCGGTACTGGCCGCTGTAGATCCGGTCGGCCTCGGTGCGAGCGATGTATGTCATTGTTGAGAGGTAGGTGGTTGTTAAGGTATCGGCGATGTCCATGGCTAGACCGGCAGGCGGGTCGCCGGCGGCGAGGATGGAGAAGCCGATATCGAGATCGGGCATGATGGCGAGGAGGGAGGTGTAGGCCCCCAGAGAGCCCAGTTTGTTGAAAGCGTGGGTTATTTGGAAGGATTGGTCTGGGAAATATTAGTCAAGGGTAGGTAGTACGGGGGAACGAAGTGGACAGAAACATACTGAAGCCTATATCAAGCTGCCGGATACCCCAGGGCATTCCTACAAGAGACTTGGGGTCCGAGGTGAATGCCGATGGCTTCAACCATCGACGAGTGACAGCTGGTTTGAGCAATGTCGAGCGCATGATTGCACGGCCGAGCGAGGACATGTCGCCCGCCGAGGTGTACATGTTTCCGGTCCTATGGGAGCCTGTTTGTAAGCCCGCAATTCATGTGTATACGGTATACCGGGTACTCGAGAGTTACTCACGCAGCCTCCTCCGCCAACTCAAACGCCCAAGAAGTCTTGTAGCGATTTCCCGGGATGATCCCCAGCGAGTCATCCGGCGCCGACGTAAACGTATGCGTAAGGTTCAACGGTTTAAGCACCGAATCTTGCACCAGTGTCTTGAAATCCTTCCCAGTGATGCGCTCAGCGACATAGCTCAGGAGCGCAAAGCTGATGTCCGAGTAAGCCGGGGTGGACGAAGTCGGGAACGATGGTGGCAGCTTTCCCAGCCCGGCAAACAGCTGGTCTCTGTTGCAAGTAGGGTTGGTGCCGCATGGCGGAAATTCTTCGAGTGGGAGAGGGGGGAAGCCGATCTTGTAGAGATCTTCAAGGGGAGCTTCGTAGGCTAGTTCTCCTAGGAGGGCATCTTTTCCTCATGGTTTTGCACACCGTCAGTCCAGTCACTTACTTGCTTATATATCTTTGTCGTTCAACTTCAAAAGAACTTAGGGGAGAGGAGATACACATACAATCCCTTATCAACCCACTAGTCTGACTAGCCAAGCTCCCCAACGTCACCTCCTCCCAATCCGGCACCATCATCGACCCGCCCGGTGTCTTCTCCGCTAACGCCTTCAGCTCCGGCAAGTACTTGGTAACGGGATCATTCCAGAGCTTATCACCCACCGTCGCCAAAAAGGCCAGAACCGTAAAAATCTTGGTGATACTCCCTATCCTGAACACGGTATTGGTGTCAACCTTGCTGACGCCCGTCGAGTTGAACCCCTCCAGGTTGGGCGCGGTCCAGTAGTGCGACCATAGCGGCTTGTCTTCTTCGCTCCCCGAGAAGACCTCGACGGAATATGAGAAGTGGTCGGCGCCCGTGGTGTTGTCGTGATCGATGTATTTTTCGAAAATGCCGTCAAGGGACTTGGCGGCGGCTCGGATGGCAGAGTTTTGGAGCAGATTGGTAGGTTTGGGGAAGAGAGGACCGTAGAGGGGACAGTTGACTTTGGCGAGGGAAGGGGCGAAGTGGGTGGTGACTGCCGCCAGGAGGAAGAAGAGGGACCTCATTTTGCTTATGCAGGGATGGGAACGTGCAGCAGCGGTGCAGCAGTGCAGTGTTCTTACCTTCTACTGCAGACCCCTTTTCAAGATTCCGGTAATGATCTTTGCTTCAGGCGGGTGGGTTCTCAAAGGGATTCGCCTAGCTCTTTGCCAGTTAGGGATTTTATAATCTTGGACGGTCGAGCAAGTCTGACCTGGGGTACTAGAAGTCAGTTTGGCTTTCGGCCCGAACAGTGTCTACATTGAGGGCTGAATAACTTTAGGGGGTTGAAGGTAGTGAAGCTGCAGAAAAGGATGAGCACTTGGAGAATTTTGGTTTCGTCAAGATGTGGTTCCGCGGAGATCTGAAAATCTCGAAGTGGTTCGACGACAAGGAGAGTGCGGCTTTGGCACTGATATACAAAACACTGTCATGCTGAGAACTGCATGTGGGTTATCTCTGGACATGGTGAGGGCCGGGCTCTATGGAACTGGTTATTGTGTTGTCGTCCGCCGCTCCTGGTAGAGCTAATGTACAAAATTATTCACACGGGAAGACTAATCTAGATCATGATTTCTTGGATACAACACTAGAAGCAGGTTTCTGGTATATCTTGGGGACAAAGTAACATGCTAATCTTGGACTACGTTCCATTTCCACAATCAAGACTTTGTCGCTCCTGGGCGTTGGTATACAAAGCGGCCGAGAATACAACTTCACTTCCTGAGAAGTCCGAGGTCTAAATGTCCGCAAGTTTCCCAGATACGGACCTACACCACAGGTGCGGAACGTGAAATATGTGATATTTATCAGTGCCAAATGAACCGGGCATCTGGTTCTCGATACATGGTTCGCACGGATATCCCCAGACGTTAGTTTAGATCAGTTATTGGATGAGATAACGGACTTTCGATTACCCATTTATCCCCCCTCTCCCCCGGCCAGAGCTCTCCTACTATATCCATGGGGATAATCTAGGATGATTGTGCAGGTAATATCAGTTGTCCCCCATTCCGCTTCCAATGGTACCCTTCGGGCTGCTTGTACCACATCCATAGCACATTGTCCTATTACCTACTCGGAGACCATAAGGAATGGACGTGAAGGTGATCCGGTTTTAGTCACCAATGGCAAGTACCGGTAATATCAATTGACCACAAAAAAACATGACAAGAGGTGGAAGGGATGGAAGAGGCGTAAAGTCATGTATGTATTGTATTATGGATCGTTACTTCCCCTCCCATTACCGCCAGCAAATATCCATGCTGCACTATGTCCAGTCCCAAACCAGCAACATTATCTCCGGATAGAAACCCTTACAGCCAGCTCTTATGGTTGCTCAACTTGATGTAGCTCTGTCTTGGGTTGTCCATCTTTGCCTTGGTATCGCCGTCCTTGAAATCTACCAGCTCCATTTCCGAAGTGACCACATCACGACGGCTCCTCCTCTTGAGTCTCTGCCTCTTTTCGGTTGCTTCCTCAAAGAAGTAGTGATTTGATTGTTCCGAGTAGCCGATACGCCATGGCACATCCAACTGAGTGCCTTTGGGTCCTCCCCCACATGACCCGCTCAGTTGGCAACTTGGGGGAGAATTGATGGCCAGAGCAAACAAGTTTGCTGGATCCGTGAAGTCGGTGAGCGGCCGGCCCCTAAGTTGGATGAACAGATGAACCAAGCAAAACAGGTTCAGTAAGAACCCCAAGATCAGGATTACCAGGAACGCGCGTTGATATTCCTGAGCAGCACCCGAAGTGTACTCTTGTTTCGTGATCGAGGCGTTGAACTCATGCTCCCATCCTGGCATTCCTGGCAAAGTAGCATTTATCGCCTCTGGGGGCCAATAGTTAACAGTGGGCGTCTTTATCGAGCCAGATATCAATGTGGGGCTGACAAGTGCTGCCAAAACCTCTGCGAGGGATGGTGTTTTGAGGGGGAGAAGGGGATCCTCCAAAGGTAGTGCAGTCAGGATTCGATCTCGCGACGCATTCAGAGTTGTCAGTCCGGAATTCATATAAATGGCTAGCTGCCAAGCATCCGCCAACCACTTCCAGTCGGCCTCATCCGACTCCACAGCGTCTGGGACTGACTTGCGGTAGCTGACTGGGTCGCTTTCATCTTCGCAGTTTGCCGACATATGAGCGCCGGTTGTCCCTGAGATGTTGAGGTGGGTCGAACAGTTGGTGGAGAGCCACGACCGAATCTCGCACAATGTGTAGTCGTCCGTGAAATTGTTGTTGACGAGTGTATAGATAGAGCCTGACTTGTAGGTCCAGTTTGTTGAGCCTTGGACTGTTGCATTGATGATCACGTTGTACTCTGACGGAAACTACCCATCCCAACTTTGTTAGCAAGTTCAGTGGAGTCGGCTTGGAAGGTGCTTACCCTCTGAAAGACCGGTGGTCGTCGATGGTATTCTGGGCCCCATCTGAATATGTCGTCCACATCGGTCCGGTTGAGCCATTGAGTTTCGTTCGGGGCCCAGTCGTAAAGAGGGACATCGTTCAACCAATTCAAACCGCCTGTCACTTCACCTTTGAGTTCCGCGTCCGTCAAGTTGGAAAAGGGCCATGCCGTATAAACAAGAGGCGCAAGCTCCTTCCTGGTCATTTCCACGCAGAGAATATTCAGCGCCGGGCTAACTGCGCTTGCCGCTAACCTGTATTCTCCGACTCCGGAAAGATCGCTAGGCTGGAGGATCTCATTCTTGGGATCTGTTGCTGCGTCGTACACTCCTAAACATGGTTAGGCCGGGCACTTTTGTTTTCCTAATTGAAGAGGAAGCTTACCAGGGTGAGGAACTGCTAGAGTCACATTGTTGATAACTCTTTTATACTCCTCGTATCTTGTCATGGGGTCACTATATTCGGTATTAATCCACGTTCCTGTAACCGTGACATTGTCGTAAAGCGTTGCTGTTACTGGGGGCCTATTAGACATGTAACGTCCCTCTGGCTTCGTGTTGTTCCGGCCAAATTCTGACCATGTAGACCTAGATGTCGTTAGTATACAAAACGTAGCAAACGGCGGCCAATGGTAGACGACTTGCAGGAAGGCTTGAAAGTTATGGTATGCTTCGGTGACGGTTAGCTAAGGGTGTTCTTGAAACCTTCGCTTGAAATATAGCGTTGCCGTTGACTTACAGAAACCTGAAAGAGACGCAGCAAGACAACTACCTGCGCTGTGTTCATCCGCCAACAGGGTATCCGGCAGCTGGCAGCTTAGCTTGACGAAGCTCACGTTCCCATAGCTAGCCATGGCGTTATTCTTCATGAGGATCAGTTCGGGCTTGCCCCATTTCAATTTGGGGGCAACGAGGGCGTCCGAGGCTGTGGTGTATAGTACTGCGACGAGGGTGGCGACCATACACAAAATACCCAAGGGGGTAAATCCCACTTTCTTCCAGGCTTTGATATTCGTAAACATCAAACCAGGCGACTTGCGAACAGTTAGCAAGTATACTGGCAAAGATATCCTTTCAGGCACTTACAACAACCCAGTTCTTCATGCCGAACTCGCCCAACGTAACACCTCTGTTGCCAACATCGAAAGCCTTCTTGGTAAGAATCTGACCAACAGAGGCAACAAACACGGCAACGAAGGAAGTTTCGATCAACTTGGCGATCAGAGCAGTGAGCAAAGAAGCTGTCGACGGTGGAAGGGCCCCATGGGCGGAGGAAACTGTCCTTCCCCATTTAGGTTGAATAAAGGCGACACCTAGCCAGAGGCCGCTCCCGATAGTTGAGAAAATGGACAGGAACCACAAGGTCGTCCCAAGCCAGCTGACCTTGTCGCGATACGGCTCGCTCTGCGAATGGCATTCGAAGGGCGGTGGCCCGTAGGGTGGCTGTCCATAGGGTGGCTGTCCATAGGGCGGCTGTCCATATCCTCCTTGTCCATAGACTGGCTGTCCAAAAGGTGGTTGTCCAAACGGGGTGAAGGGGGTTTGAGCTGAAGACAGAGGTCAGTGATGGAGACATAGAAAAAAAAAAAAAGACCCCAGGTTCTCAACATACGTGAACTCATCAAGCTCTGGGCGTCATAAGCCTGTCCCCAACCCTGGAAGTTAATCACTTGAGGTGTCATGGGGGACCCCGGGTACATGGCCATGGGCGGCGGCGAGTACGAATGGAATCCTCCAGGGAATGTCGCAGGGTAAGCAGGATAGGTCCCCATGTCCGACTCTTTTGGAGCTTGAGGCTGCTGCTCCTGGTTCAACGGCGGCGAAGGAACACTCTGGTACTGATGTTGTGAGTTGGACGGCGGCGGCGGCGGCGGCGATTGAGATCCTTCTCCGCGGTCCTGGTCTCCATCATGACCCATGGCGCTCAACGCTGAATCCGGGGAAACAGAGCGAGCAGCTTCCTCACGTCGGGTAGAGCTGTACTCGGTGTCGACATGTTGGTAGTCTGCTGGCCTAGGTGTAGTCGAAGCCATCATGGGCGTCTCCAGCTTGGACGGCTTGAAGAGAGGAATGCGCCTGAGAAGTTTGTTCCGTTTGCCAGTGACCCACGAAGATTTGGTGTTGCAGGGTGTCTGAGGAAGACTTGAGGGGGAGTCGGGGATGGTTGTATCGATTGTTTCGTTGGTCATGGGTTCGACAGCAGTAGGATTGGGGGCCATAGGAGCCATTGTCAGCCCAGGCTAATCCACCTCGATCCAAAGCTGACACCAGAATGCCACCCCAGCCTTGTTCTTTTCCGAGGACGTCAGAATCAAAACAAGCCGAAATGCCGTGAGATAGTGGCACGGCACATGTGAGGGGAAAAGTAGAGATAAGTAAGCAAGGCTGCTCGGGGAGACCAAACCAAGGACGAATAGTATATCGCGGCGCGCAACCACCACGTTTGTGTAGTAGACGGAAATGACTTTGGGGTGAGACAGGACTTATACCGGGAGACGGACCGGGAGGGGGGGACCGGGGCATCAGGCAGGGGGGGAAAATGGTTAGGTAAAGCAAACAAACCAAAGTAGACCAAAAGTTCAGACGATATGCAGCCGGACGAGGCCGGGATTGTTGTTGGTGATGGAAAAACTCGCCTCTATGCTGTCTTCATCCACTCCTCTAAGCGCGGGGAAAGCCACTCGGAGACTGCGAGGTTTCAATATTTTAATATCGGGAAGGAGCTAGACTCTGTTTCTGCAACTCTGCACTCTGGAAACCAACACCAAATCACCAACAGCCTTGGTCTAAGGCAGGAGCGACACAATATGCATAGACACGGGCAAGAAACATTGTATGGCAAGAGGGAGCGTTGGCAGAGAGTGACTGCCCTTTCCGACCCATCATTGCACTTGCAACACTGCGACAACTGCGGCCATTGAGACACATGAGTGGTATTCATGCAGACCAAGTGTTGCGAAACAAGACTCTAGCCATGATAATTCCAAATCATTATAAGGCAATGCCACTCACCTTCGCCGTGTTCTTCCGTGTTGTTGAGAAGTTGAGAGGTGAGGCATCACCAACGGCATCCTTTGACCAACACTAGACACGAGGTTGATGAGGCACAATCCTGCACGCTAATACTACCACACCTCCGCGGAGGTTTAGTGTAGTGTAGCTGGCGGCATGGACCGCGAAACACATGTCGTGAGACTCCAACCCAACCCAACCCATGAGATGTCGCATGATCCCGCCCGACATATGTATCGGGTAGCAGACTAATCCCCCGAGCCTCAAGGCTGTAGGTAGGTACTGTACTGCGGGCCGACGATGATGGGCAAGGTAATCGGGTCACTGCACCAATTGTTCGCCAGTGTTCGGAATCCTTTCAAAGGGCTAGAAGCATCATGACCTCACAGCTGAAGGTTGCTGAACATTGGCGGCCTCTTGTTCAATCTTTGATTCGACTGCTCGTATGTGTCCCGCTAGACAAGTGTGTGTGTGTTGGTTGTTATTTTGGCCGTTGCCCGCATTTCGAATATTATCGGCTTGATAGAGGTGATGGAGCGAGAACAGACAGACGGCAAGTTGTCAACTCTCAACAATAGTGGAAGGAAGGAATGTCATGGCGTTGGAAATAGACAGTTCCAGATGCACCAAGACTCCTGCCCGCACGGGAAGGGAACAGACCCCGCCCTTGGCTGCTTGATTCGTTATCACATCTTATCGCGGCTCGCTCCACCAATGACTCAAGTGCCAAGCCCTCAGTTCTCCCCTTCATCCTTGCCTGCCGTCGCTCTTCTTCGTACGTAGAACAATCTGCCTCCCTGTTCGATGACGGAGTCTGCGGAAGTTCGTCCAAAGTTCAAGTCATTCACGTCACCTTCGTCAGATTTAGGTTCCGAGCTTTCTGTCTGCCACCTTCGCCGCAATTCCACTGCATCAGTGCACAAGTAGCGAAGTCAGCAAACAAACCGACTTTATTCTGAATAATACAACACCCTTTGAAAGCCACGTTCTGGTGGCTGAAACTCCCTCCTTCAGCTCTCGCTTTCTACCATGTGTCGATCCGCGTTTCCTAGACGGTTTCGTTCGTTTCATGCGTGCCGTACCTAGAATTAATTAGTCTTTGACCTTGGTTTTTTGAGAAGTAACACATCCATACGATTAGCGACGGTTCCATTTACGGTATATACCATGCTTCCTGTTCTCCGACCATCGCTTGGTGCTGCCGCTTCTACGGTGATCGGGCAGCGGGCCGGCCTTGCAGCTGTCGTAGGCACCCGAGCACTGGCTGTTACGTCTGCAGCTTTCCGAACACGCGCACGCCTCAACACTGCATCACCATCCACGACAGCAACCTCACAAACTAGCCGAAGCTTCTTACACGACCATCCATACCCATCGTCGCAGCAGGTCCGAGCCTACCGACGACATGTAACACCAAAACCAACACCAACGCCAACGTCATGGCGCCCGACGACAACTGCTCGCAGACCTCCGCCTCCATGGGGAGTACAAGGACAACAACACCAACAACAACGCCGTTTCGCCTCCAACGACTGGTGGAACCGCTCCTTCAACGAGCGCGTCGACCCCTACGGCGTCCACCGGCGCTACGCCGACCCCCTCTTCACGGACCAAGACTTCAAGAAAGCCGCGCGCCACCAAAACACCAAATACCTAGCCATCTTCTGCGTCGCCGGCACCATCATCTTCTACTTCATCAACCTCGAGACCGTGCCCGTGTCCGGGCGCACGCGGTTCAACATCTACTCGCGCAAGCGCGTAGTCGAGGCCGGCGAGCTGTCCTACCGCCGCCTGTTGTATGATCTGGAACAGCAAGGTGTCGGTGTCCTGCCGGACTGGGACTATCGCACGCAGCGTGTGAAGAGGGTGATGGCGAAGCTGATCCCGTTCAGCGGGATGCGGGACGAGAAGTGGGAGATTTTCGTGATTGACGATCCGCACACCGCCAACGCTTTTGTGTTGCCTGGCGGAAAAGTGTTTGTCTTCAGCGGGATCCTCCACCTAGCCAGGACAGACTCGCAGCTGGCGACGGTGCTGGGCCACGAGATTGCGCACAATGTCGCTGACCACGTCGGGGAGCGCATGTCGCAGAACATTGGCGTCAACATCTTGCTGTACAGCCTGGTGGTGCTCACGGGCATCTTCGGTGTGGGGGCGCTCATCGCGCAGTTTGGGGGCGCGTGGGCGCTCAACACGGCCATCTCGAACCCGATGAGCCGCAAGCAGGAGAGCGAGGCGGATTATATCGGCTTGATGATGATGGCGGAGGCGTGCTATGATCCGCGCGAGGCGGTGACGTTCTGGGAGAGGATGGATAGGAAGACGCAGGAGAAGGTGCCTGAGTGGATGAGTACGCATCCTTCGGTAAGTTTAGACTCTACATACCTTTTTCGGCTATTAAGTGCTGTAAGCTGTAATACTGACGGTGATATGTTACAGCACTCGAACAGAATCGAAAAGATCCAAGACTGGTTGCCAGAAGCCCTGGAGAAGAGGGAGAGGAGTGATTGCCGCACTACTGCCTCGTTTGCGGACCTGTTCAGACAGGCATTGCTGAATGGTATCATTGAGATTCGCCAGTATTAGACACTTGCTACAGCGACACGTTTGAATGGCTGTATGATTGCATGAACAAGGGTCTCAGAGGGAGGAAGGGATATTGAGCATAGAGAGCGAGGCGTTTTGGAATTTTGGGGATATCATGGGTCACCGGACATACACACACCACTTTGGAGATCACACAGAATCGGATATAGGTTAGACCCTAGACTTAGGACTTTCGTACGTTTATATCTACAATTGGGGGTGGGGAATGAGAACCTGAAGTAAGTAGTGGCACCCCTCACTCAGAGTCTTCTGCTTTATATACATATTAGTACCACAACAACATCCGACAGCCGGACAAACTCGTATTGTTTCTAATGAACTAACTGGCTTAGCCCATTCATTATTGAACTCGATATGGGATCTGGATCTGGATCTGAATGCAACGGTCCTTCCGGGTATCTTCGCTGAAAAACACAAGTAACGCCTCCTTTGTTCCTCTTCCCGGTTACCTGGTCGGGCAATCTCCATCTGGCTGGACATCACCACTGACTCCAGCGACAATCATGCCATAAAGCCACTTCCGTTCCCTTTCTTCCTTCCATATTATTTTGTGACGCGGATCATCACTATCTCCATGCCCACCAGAAACTCTTACCAGCATGAGGCGCCATAGGCCACCTCCAGAGAAATCATCAACCACACTTCCCCCCTCCACCTCACACACTCGACTGCGCTAACCCTTCTTCTTCCCAAACAACGGCAACCACCCCGTCGTAAGACTCCTCCATAATCCACCAACACCCTTGCTCTTTGTAGCGGTACTCTCCGCCATCTCCGAATCCCTCTTCAACAACGCCTCGCTCCCATTTCTCTCAAGCTCTCCTTTCTTCTCCCTATACTCTCTCCTATTCCTCACCGCCTCCCTAGCGACCCGCTCAAAAACGACATCGACATTCTCCCCCGTCACGCCCGCCGACGTCTCAAACCACGCCTCAGCCAGTCCCAGTTTCTTGGCGGCTTCTTTTCCTTCCTTTGTCGACAACTTCCTCTCTCCAATCCCGCTGAGTCCAAGGCCGAGCCCGCTCAGTGAGCCTGCGGTTGCGGCGGCAGTGGCAGCAATAGCTGCGCCGCCCAGGATGTCCACGTCGCTTTTGTTTCCTACAAGAACCATGGCGAATTCTCTGACTACATTCTTGGTAGTCTTTTTGAAGTGGAGGTAGTGCGCTTTGGATCCTCTGCCGATCGGTTTGTTGAAGGGGACCAAGTCCTCGCTGAACTGAGGGAGGGAGGCAAAGTGGTCACGGATGGCGGAGGCGATGGATGTGGCGTGCTCGAGGGAGGAAGGGTCGGTGACGGAGTAGAGGATCATGGCGCCGTCGTACTCAGTCAGAGTGCGCGTCCAAAGGTGCGGGTGTGTAGTGCGCGTGGTGGTGGACCAGGGATGGGGGAGCTCGAGAGTATGGAGGGTGTAGGTAGTCGACTTGTCCCTGCCGGAAGAGTGATCTGAGGGGAGGGTGAGCAGGTAGCGGTTGGGTTTCGAGGTGGAGGGGTGGTGGTGGGTTTTGGCAAACTGGAGCACATTGTGTGTCAGAAGAAACTTGTGCACGAGATCAGGAAGGGCGTGAGTTTGCGTTCAGAGCAGTTGTCGCCGTTGGCCTTGTCGCTGCTCGACTGTGTTCGCCGAGATGCGAAACGAGAGCGGAGATGGTTCGGCGCATTCCTACATACCTTTTGGACAAGAGCCGTCTTTCCTACGCCTTCGGCACCGAGAACGAGGATCATGATTTCCTCTTCTTTAGTTTCTTGCACCGATTTCGAGCCCTGCAGGTCGAGTTTGGACAGCGCATCATTTGCGCCACCGTCGGAGAGTCGCTTGTATTCTTCCGCGGGCGCATCTTTCCATCGCAGGACGGCGTTGAGGTACTGGAGCTCGTCCTCGGTCCAGGCGAGAAGCGAGTTTACCATCTCGACGATCGTCGCGAGTCGCGGGGATAGTCGGTCGAGTGGTGATGGGCGGCCGAATGGTGCGGGGTGCGCCGGGAGAGGGATCTTGTACCGGGACGGCAAAATATTTCTTGTTGGCCGCAAAGTGATTGGCGGTTGGTGTTGGATGGGAAGGTTTGCGAAAAAGTGAAACGAAGGTCAAGGCTTTGTGGCTGCCCCTGCTTTGGCGGAAGCGAAAAAGGCGTGTTTCAAGACCTTCCATCCGATCTGACGGTGGAGTGAAGGTGAGGCTGTGGGCACAGACGTACCCGGGGAAGTATCTTGGGTGGTTTCTGCTGATTCTCGGCCAGGTTTCTAGTATAGCTGGTCGTCTTGAAGGAATTATTTGTCCATACCAAGGGAACAGTTTGTTCATCGCCTCCGCTGGTTCTCGTCTCCGTCGTCGTCTTCGTCGTTGTCGTCGACGTTATGCCCGTGCCATTCGAACCGGCTCAAGCAGGCAGGCAATTCAGAAGTGCTCCGGCTAGAGATACCAGCGAGGCGTTTTGTAGACCGGAAAGTTCAAAGGTGCTGTTCGGTCAGTGGGCAACTCGACGCAACAGCATTTTGGTGTTGTTTCTACACCATGACGTTTCAACTTCATCAGCAACCAACGACCATTACCTACTTTTGTAGCTGTCGTACAGTATCGTGTATTCAATGTCTGCCTTGATCTCGATTCTCTGCCGTCTTGGTCCGCCTCGATCGGGTAGACTTGGATGGGCCTAGTTCACCATTACCTGGCTACCTGAGATAGAATATTGTCGTTTGTCGATGGTGGATGCGAATATTGGTAAGTAAGTACATGACCGCAAATGATTGTGTCACGCCCGACATTGCGTATTGAGCTGCTAGAGGGGGAAAAAAATTCATGACAGGAGAACAAGAAGCTGGGAAGAGCACGCAGATTGTTTCCTACCACATGGTATCAGTAACTTGGGCGGTCACAGGATGATGAATTGTGACCAATACCTTCACAAAATGACCCTGGGAAGGAACATCCAAAAGTGTCCGATGTCGGGTTCATCTATTACCACATGAGAGGAAGGAACCACTGTACTCATCACTCCATCCTCTACCGGGTGGAAGGAACTCTCTCCTCGTACGGCTATCTGCGGAGAAATGTTTTACTGTTTCCTGTAACCCACGCTGTGTGAGGAACAAGCCCGTCCCATCGTCCAAAGCTAGGAGTTGTCGGCATTGTCCTTTGTGATCTGTAGAGGGAGAAGTTGGTATTCAAACTGGACACTCAAGTGTTCTCATGGAGTATATATTTCTAGAATTAAATTCAGGGATTTATCAACGGGCAATGTACATTATTGTCCGGACATGGGAATATTTTATTTTTTGTGCATCGAGGTCCAAGCCTCTTGACTTGGAAGGACTCAGGTGGCTGGTGCCGGGAAATATCAAACGAGAAGATACACTTGTGACACTCTGTGATTACTATTCCACAAGATGAATAGCCGATAACGGATAACAAAGACGCAAAACCCGAGTTGGAGATGCATATTATGCATCTGTGTAAGACATACAGTTGGTATCTGTATGTAGACACTCATCATCATACCTAGACCCCCAGAGTTGCCACCTTTGCGGTGACTGCTATCTGTCCGACCAACCTACAGGATCTTGAGAAGTTGAGATATAAGCTCCGCGCTTGATGAATCAAAGTCATTCCTCCCGCCTTCTGCGTAGTCAAGCGGTATGAGATTTAGAGCCAGTAAACATTGCTCGGTAGGCGGTGGTGGTGGTGGTGATGCAGGTGTTCGTCGGCCTGCAGCTGGTCAGTTCGGACACTGCCCTGAATGAATTTTTTGATTTGTGGACCTTTGCACCCCTTTTCTGTACCTGCGCAAGCTTCCTGAAATCATGAAGCTCCCTTCTTCACCCGTGTCACATTAATCGCATGTCGTCGTCGTCGTGGTTGTTGTCGTCGTGGTTGTCGTCTTGGTCGTAGGTTTGGCCCCTTTGTCGCACCTACCCCTTTTCCCCAATACTGTCTTGAAAACAACTCTAAAAAGGCACGAACATTAGTAATTGACACCCAATGACGATGCTGGCATGTGTACCTTACGTTTGTACCACCATCAAACGTCGTGATCAGGGACCTGCAGAAGCGTGAGCTGCCCGCCTATAAATGGGAAACTTTCCGACATCGATCATGGGTGATCCTAGGAATAGAACCTAGGGATCAAAGGAAGCAGCTAGGCAAGCTGACAGTGTGGTAAGACAGACAGATAGACGACATCCCTATCCACTCATCAATGCAAATCCAGGACATGAACACACGGGAAAGATCATTACACCAGACTTCTCCTTCTCAGCCATCCACTTAGATCACTCGATGCCATTTGTACCTGAATTGCCAGCGATGCCATCTCCAAATATTGGTGGCACAAGCTACAAAAGGTTCAAGTTGAACAAGGACACCTCCCACACCTCCGCCAAGAAATACTTGGCGATGCAACGCTGGTGTCAACACCCCCCCGCAGTCCCCCAGAAATAAGATGTCTTGGGCCTTTTTAAGCGCACCTTGAGCGGGCCTTAACAGGGGGATGAAGCGCCAGCCCTACCCAAAGACGACCCTAAGCCCCCCATGTTCATCGTGGAGGACCCCTCCGACTGTTAACAAGGCTGCAACAGAGGGCGGCCTCCGTTCCCGTCATCTTCGTTTGGTTATTCGGTGTCGCGATGGGAACCGAAAGGTGTGATGTTGGCGAGGTTGGACAGACACTTGGCCCGCGGCTCCAAACAAACGGGTGGTCGTTACATCCTCGCGCCTTCCCCCCTCATCCATCGGGAAGTTGGGGCTGCCTGGAAGCTCGTCAGACTCTCCCTCCTCAATCTTCATCATTGACTGACCTTCGTTTCTTTCCCCTCTTTTCTCCTTACCCCCACCGTCGACGATACTTCTTTCACTTTTTGTTTCGCCACGGAGAAACGACAGCCACAATCGACAAATCTTCAGCTGCAGTCGAGGATCAACTGCAGCTTCTCAGCTCGTTGGCCAGCAGCGCTGCAGGTGTCTTGGGCGTGATCCAGTTTTTTCTCCAGCGCCCTCAACTTCAACGACTCCTTTCCTTCTTTTCGCCTTTTCCTTGATCTCCTTGACTTCTTGAACCTCTTGCCATTCTTCCTGTCGACGTTGCTATAGTGGACCAGACGCTGTTTGTAGAGCTAGCCGCCGATGGACTACCAGTATGCGCCCCCGTATCCGCACGCGCGACCCCCTCTGCACTCTGCCCACTCTGCAGGCTCCTTCAGCAGGATATCGACCGTATCGGACCTCGCAGATTTCGACCATGTACAGCCACGGCCGTCGCTGGTTTCCCTTCAGTCGGAATATGATCATGGTGGATCAAATTATCAAAGTCATGACATCGGGGGAGAGGGCGGACATGTCTACGCAGGAGCCCACACGGGCTGGTCTGCGCTGTCAAACTTGTCAGGCTTAGGCGGGGGAGGCGCTAGAAAGAGCAACTACGAGCCAGTGCAGTTTTCAGACCAGCTCTCCGTAAACCACCACCAACCACCACCGTTCCAGCGCAACAGGCACAGCCAGGGCCGGTCCTTTGCCGCCCGCGCTGCCCATCTGAACCGCCGACATGACACGATTCCCGAAGAAGATGGCATCGATCTCGGCCTCATCCAGTCCGCCGCGCCCCTAGGCGGCAGCCATCCTCCGGCTCCAGCCCTGTACCCACGCGTCGAGCCTGTCTTCGATGTTAGCGCAGCCTTGGGACCATCTACACACGCGGATGACAAGTTTGTTAGGTCGTTACAGGAACAGGAAGCACAGGGCAAACTCACCGGTGGTTTGGGGGCTGGAATCCGTACCGATGCTGTGGTGACAGAATCTGCGCTGCTGGCTACGAGTCCCATCTCCGAAAGAGGCTCTTCTATGCGACGCTCATTCACAAGAGCCGCTGCACATCTCAGTCGCCATGACACTGTCAAGCAGTTGGCACAGCAGGAGGCAAACAAAAGAGGAGAAGTAATTGAGGTGGTGATGGACGACGACATCATGAGCAACTCGGGCAAGTTCGACTTAAGCGTCATGGCTGGACCAGACCCAGGGTCAAAAAGTCCGTATACCCAAATGCGGCAGACGACGTTTCCTACATCCAAGAGGATTGAGAAGCAGGTGTTCTACCCTACGCCAGACTGGAAACCCTTTTCCATGACATGGCCATATTTGGTGTCACTCATCATCATCTCCATCGTTGCGGCCGGGGGCGTGGAAGTCCTATACCAACGATCAGCCAACCAGCCGTTGGTTGTCTTCAGGTCGCCCACCGATATAACACCTAGCGTGTACTTCTGTGTCAAGTTCTTGCCGACACTGATTGCCGTTACATATGGTGTGCTCTGGCAGATTACCAACTTCGAGGTGATGCGCCTTGAAGCTTTCTACCAGCTATCCAAGGAGGACGGCTCCCTGGCAGCAGAGTCAATCAACGTGGACTACTTTACCTTCTTCAACCTCTTCCGACCTATTCGGGCCCTCCATTACAAACACTATGCGGTAGCGGTATCAACCGTTGCAAGTCTTCTCGCCAACGCGCTGGTCCCGACTCTCTGCTCAGCCTGCATTATCCTTTCACCAGACCGTGACACTCGCCTCCTGAACCCTAACGACGAAAAGCGCATTTCCATCCACCACGTCTGGTCACGCATCCTCACACTCACGCTTGTGATTATTGCCGTATTCGGCTGCATCCTCTTCTACCAACTACAAAGTCGTCGCTCCGGCCTCCTCGCCGACGTCAAAGGCATCGCCGGTCTAGCTTCCATGGCCACGGTCAGCCACATCCTCATGGACTTCAAAGACATGGACGTGGCCACGCACAAGGACATCCACAACAAGCTCAAAAACCATCGCTACGTGCTGCGCAACTCTGCTCTTGCCCCCGCCGACGAAGTCTACAATAAACCGCTTTCCAAAAAGGAACAAGACCGCGAACGTTACACCGGCAGCCACCTCGACGAAAACCCTCACCCGCTCTCCCTTCGCGCCGTGGGCGCCATCCCCTTTATCACCTTCATCACTCTCTTCTCGGTGCTGATCCCCTGCGTCCTCTTCACGCCCGCCAACGTCCTGGCCGACCGAGCCCCCTGGGTGATCACCGCCTTGGCCGTCTGCCTCAAGCTCAGCTGGGGCGCCATGGAGACGGATGTGCGCATGATGGAGCCGTACTACATCCTCTCTACGAAGAGGCACGCGCCTCCCAAGACGCTGACCCTTGACTACAGGTCTATGCCCTTCGGCGGGTGGGTCGCGCTAAAGGGGGCCATGAACGGACACTGGCTGGTGAGCTTTGTCGGTTTCGGGAGCGTCATGGCGGAGTTTTTGACAGTGTTGGTCACAAGCTTGGCGAGTGTGGAGGGGAGGGTGTTTGTCGATGCTACCAAGGAGGCGTTATTGCTTGATGGGAGATCGGAGTTCCAGTCTCACAAGGCTAGGGACGACGAAAACGACACAAACTCAATCAACGCCGGCCAAGAAACTCCATTATCCTTCTGGATCTCGCTGTGTCTGGCGGACTTTGTCCTGCTGTACATGGGGGTGCTAGCCACCATTGTGTTCATTCGACGCCGCCGCGTGTTCTTGCCAAGGCAGCCGAATACCATTGCCAGTGTTCTGGCGTATATCCACCAGAGCAAGATGTTGTACGACTTTGTAGGCACGAATAAGCTGAGTAATGCCGATATGGTCAGGAAGCTGGAGGATCAGGTGGGCAAGACATATGGGCTGGGATGGTTTCAGGGACGGGATGGGCAGGTGCATTGTGGTGTGGATGAGGAGGAGCTGTTGACGGGATATAGAAGGGGGATGGATTATTCGAAGGCGACGAAGCCGTGGGCGGAGGGGGTGGAGTGGCTGTGATTTAGCTTGATGTTTGGGTTTAATGTTTGGGGGCCTCTTCCAAGGGGAAGTGGACTGGGAACACTGGCCGTTATAATGATGATTGTGATGATGATGCATTTTGAGTTGGGCGGAGTTCATAGTGGCTTTTTGGACATATATTCGTGATTGAACGATATTGGATATACCTACTTTCATCTTTCAAACCGTATATTATACCCGTCGTATATCACAGGTTGCTGGAAACTTACCTGTGAGTGACAATCTGTTGCCCTTCTCCAATGAACCGTCCATTGTTCGGTACAGGCACTTTGCATTCCTTTCACCAGTAACTCGGGCAACAACAAATGGCTCCCATGGATGTCTCTTTGTACAATTAAGAGAGGAAGTGCACTCTTTCCCTTCCTTCCACTTGGTACCCAGCGTACCTGACCAGTCAAGTTAGCCAACGTGACGCATGCTGAATCCCGTCCGTCAAACCAAGGGCATTCAAGACGAGCAAAACAGCACCCCCATGATCCAGAACGCGCACCTGCCTACACTACCACAGACCTTTCAACTCCGCGAGGTTTGTCAAAACCGTCCCAAACATCCAGCTCCCGACTACAGCCCAATCTCCTTACTTATATACCAACCAACCAACCCACTAACCAACCAGCCGATTTACCACTTCGCAGGCCGAAGGGAAGCAACACAACACAACACTCCATTAATAATACGAAAAGAAAGAAAAAAGATATGTGCAAAACCTACCGCCAACGAGTCTTTTGTCCAGGAGATACCCACAGGACCGAGATCGTTAGGACCGTTAGGACGGCCAGGAACGTCAACGGAGACCACCCCAATTCTGCGGAGGAGCTCGAGAATAGCAGCACCAACTACAACGAAAACAACAACTGTAAATGCCACATAGCCACCGCCGCCGACATTCTCTTCCTTCCACCAGTCATTGACTACAGCCTGGAAAGGACTTGTGCGGGGTGTATAGAGGAGGAGAGAGATTTGGTGATGAGAGTGATGGCTTTGAAGAGGGCTATTGCGGAGGAGGACGTGAGCGAGGCGAGAGCGGAAATGGAGGGGGGATATGATAGTACTGGGGATGGTGCTGGGTATGGGAATGGGCACGGGTATGGGAATCTTGCTGTGGAGTTTGTGCCGATTGGGATGAGAGTCGAAGTCGGACTTGGATTTGGGAGTTTGAATTCGGAGACAAAAACGGCGAAGACAAAGGCAAATGACAACGGAGACGGTGATGGCGACGCGAGCGCGAGTGTGAGTGCGAGGGCAGTTGAGTTGAGGTCGGCTGGGGTTCGGTGTAGAACTGCTGGTGAAGGCGTCAGTGAGCATGAACCGAGTTACCTACCTGAGCTACCTCTGGAAAGAGGGAACCAGGAGATGAACAAGTCGGGTGTTGCGGTTTCGGCTCCGGCTCTGGTTACAGGGCATGGTATCTCTAAACCTAATTTTCTACCTAATTTCTACGACGTCAACGACAGGAGGAGGACGGGGGGAACAAATGGAGGTGAAACAGCCGCCTCTACAACTACTAGCAAGAGGTTTAGTGAGCAGGCTGTTCACATCAACAACCAACAGCAATATGCTACATGTAAGCCGCCCCAACCCCTGATTTGACTTTATCCTGGACCTGGACCAGTCTTTTCTCGAGCTCAAGAGTACCTGACTGACCACGAAGATGTTCCTTTCACAGATATCATCCCCCCGCGCCCAACCTTGAGAAGATCTGCCGCTCATTCTGATATGAACAAGATGATGAGGGAGAGTTTTTATGTGTCATCTGTCTTTCGGCCTTTTGGGTAGAGGTTGAGGTGCTCAAAAGGGTGAGGACCTTGGAGCTAATGGTGAAGGGGCTTCGACCATGTATGGACTATCGACTATGAATCCTGACGGTTCAGCAGGTAGGATGCACGCACTTTCTCGGATATTGTCTGTTGCTGGTAGTGTAGGTGGTTTTGGCTTCTCTGGGCACACGTATGTCAAGCAAGTAGGTGTCGAGGTGTAAGAGTTAGTCTAGAACGCAGATAGTTAGATCCCGGCTGTTGAAAGACAGGATAGGTATGAAGCCAAAGATAGCTACACCATGATAGTAACCAAGACTAGTGATCAACTGCTAGATAATCTGATAAGTGATAAAAAGAGATCTCTTCACATCGCTCTTCGCCGACATCCGACACCTACTTCTACTTCAGAATAACTAGTCCAGAAGTTTCATCCCCACGCCGGTTGCCATGTATACGCGTCTCTCTTGTCTGGAAAGGATGGAAGATGGCATGTGGATGGATTGCGATCAAGAATGATGGGTTGCGATAACAACCCCCCCTCTTCCCAACCCCCAAATCGCGGGTCGAATCGCAACCCAAATCAGGCACAGGATGCAAAGTGAAACAAGGGCCAGTTCCAAAAATGAGTTACACAGAAGCTCATCATGAAAGATATCGGTGTTCAATCAATGGGCAACGGTAGACCGCTGAGTGATGATACACTACACGCGCGATGCGTACTTCCATCTTCCAGACTTTCTGGATTTCAACGTCCAAGACTTGGATGAATGGATGCCAGTTAAGTCTTCCACGTGTTGCACTCTCCTCGGCCTTCTTTGGTCAAATCATCAAAGATGAAGCCTTTGCTGAAGCCTTTGCTGAAGCCTTTGCTGAAGCCTTTGCTGAAGCCTCTGCTGAAGCCTGATCGTAACAAGAAACGACGAGAGGGTTGCGATGATAATGGACTGGACTGGAGTTGGGCCTGCAATGGCTGTGATTGGAAAACATGGAAATGGAGTGGCAGCCAAGGAAGAGAAACAAACACGCAAACACCTTGCATGCATTTCCCCATCTTTTTTGGCCCCCGTTACAGTAGTTTCAACGTGATCAAGATGCAGCACAGAATCCACATTGCAATCGCAAGCGCAATGGAACATTGTGATAGGAGTGTGAAAGAGAAAAAGCCGCCAAGAAGCCAAAAGGGAGCTTCCGTCTTTAGAAAGCCGCTCCGTCTGGGGGCGCTCCGATCTCCGACAGCGCTTTTCCCAAAGTCACCTAGCCAGCAAACACCAGCGGTGCCCGCTAGCAAATCAAGATGCGCACGAGGAACCTAAGAGGGGACTCCGTGCATTCAATGGTTCTTTTTTAGTGTATGGGTTTCAAGGATGGTGATCTGCCGAAACTAAACGCCAGGGCATTTGGCTGGGTGTGTTGTGTGTTCTTGGCCGTCGTCGTCAGGCCGGCTTTTTTGAACTCGTCTTCTTCTCCAATAAATATTTCATTCCCGAACGAAGCCGCGATGCCCGGCCCAAAGCTTCCCAATTCAACCAATCATGACGCGATAAGCTCTCCCCGTGGGCATCAAGCAATCAAGGTTTGAATGGTCGCCAAACGTGTTTGGGATAGAAAATTGATGAGGTAACCCTGTGCGGGGAAGGTTTGGGATATTGTTCAGATGGGTGAAACGTACCTGGAGCTCCGGGAATATCAAAGGAGTGACATGATTATCCAGTCACAATCGAGAGTTGGACGTTCTTGTAGACTACCACCAAACTTTTGTGAACCCACCATCACCACTTATCACCACCTCACCACCAATTGACGCCAAGTTCCGTTCCTCAAGAATCTTTCCACGAGAGATCTCCCGTCGGTGTACCTGAATGATCATCTCCATCAAATATGTGGGCGACTTTGTTGTGTATCGCTTACCGCCATGCTTTCCATGAAGAGGAGACATACTTATCTCACCCACCCGCTTCAACATTTGATGTAACTTTGGTCTCCATCATCCCTTCCTGATCTGCGTACCTAATCCGGCAATCTCACCCACTCATCCACCCACGACACCACACACCTGCTTAGACGGCTCCTACCCACAATTTCCAAGATGCAGGAACCTTCCCTTTCAGGATAAGGAGCCAGCGGTTGATCGACACACGCTTCAACAACGCTTCATCGGCCGAACGTCCGTGAGGACATAATCCCGAGGAGTTTGAGGCAGAGATATATAAAGAAGCCAGGGCCATCAAAGTCCAATCTGGTAATCTTGACTCCTGTGTCCTCGTCCTTCAGTTCCACCGTGTGATACCTAGATCCTCTTCAGATCCTCTCAAATCCTCCGTCTTTCTCTCTCTCATCCCCGGTTTCATTCTCATCTCATAACCCGCCAAAAACCGCCAAAATGGTCCAACTTCTCTCCGCCTTCGTTTCCCTCCTTTCGGTTGTTGCCGTCTCCGGCGCCGCCATCCCGGCCGCCGCCCCCGCCCCCGCCCCCGAGGCCATCGTCGATATTGCCGTCGAGACTGTTGAGACCACTGGCGACTTCACTGCCCAGGCTTGCCAGTACACCTGCGGTACCGTCTGCTACACCTCTTCTGCCGTCACTGCCGCGTTGAACAAGGGGTACGGCTATTACAAGGCTGGAACCACCGTTGGTAGCAGTACGTTTTTCCTTTTCCTCCTTCCTTCCTTGCTTGCTTCCAGTTCCTTTCACCCACACCATTCATTCCCCTCCTTCTTCAGCCCCTCCTTCAACCCCTTCTCCTCCAACGCATCAATACTAACACCCAACCAACAGATAGCTACCCCCACCAGTACAACAACTACGAGGGCTTCAGCTTCCCCACCGCCAAGCCCTGGTACGAGTTCCCCATCCTGTCTTCCGGCTCCGTCTACACCGGCGGCTCTCCCGGCGCTGATCGCGTCATCTTTGACTCCAAGGGCAACTTGGACATGCTCATCACCCACACTGGCGCTAGCGGTAACAACTTTGTTGCTTGCAAGTAAGCGCACCGTCTCTGGAAATGGGAGTTGGAATAGAGAAGAGTGATGAGATGTGGGATGAGATGAGAGATACCTTATGAATGAATGAAATGCGAGGACGGAACTGGAAAGAGGAAGAGGAAGAGGAATGATCGGACCATGGCGCTGGACTGGACTGACTGGATTGGACCTGGACTGAGCTGGACTGGTACCTTGATACCTATAGACATGGTCAGGGCGTGATGTGGTGTACATAGCACAAGTGCTTTGTGCAAATCTTGCTTGTCTGTCTGTACATATTGGACTTACCCTGCAGCGGAAGTTCGGTTGTCTGTTAGCATCAAGAAAGGGAGGAGACCTTCAATACCTCAAAACTACCGCCTTCGAATAGTGAATGCACTTACACATGATAAAAGAGATGGTTCAGTCATCAGCAGTCACCCCGTACTGCCCATCTTCATATAAAGCACCGATAGACACCCCCTTGTTATCAGCAATCAAGCCGATGAGCTGCTGACCGATATCCTTCATGTCGTTGTACTCTTTGAGCAAGTCGATATGTTTCTGTACTGTTTCCTCTGGTGGTTGACTGCTTGTGGGTTCATGTTGTCGGATGTTAGCCAAGTTGGTGCTTGGTGAGTGAGTGACGAGGGACCTGTTTTATAAAAACGTACCTAAGGTCTGAACTCTCTAGCGCCATCTCTCGTGCCATGCGAAATAGTTGGACGAGATCATTCTCGGCTTGGTCAAAGGCTTGGAATACTTTGGCGATGTAGCCGAAGTACTTGTCCTGATCATGATGGCCGCGACGTACAAGATCAGCGGTAGTCCATAATCCATATCCATGAATAGCCGTTCAAACCGAACAAAACATACCCCCATAGCAGACTCCAGTTGGTGTCGGTTCTCGAACTTGACCTCAACAATTGGGTCATCTCCGCCCATCGTTATAATGAGCATGGGTTCATCAGGTTCGCTTTCGTGCACTTGCAGCTTCCATGCCTCGGCGGGTATTGCCAAGATCGTTCGATGGCTTTGCTCTTGATAATCTCCTTGATAGCCCGCCATGCGGCTCCTGTATCCGAGAACTTGACATCCCAGCTTGTAGTTGACTTTGTGCCATGATGAGGCATCACATCCGATCGGGGTGGTCTGGTTGTCGAGCCAAGCCTGAAACGACAAGATGAGATCGATTTGAGTTTGCAAGACTTGACGAAGATTTTCAGGTAGGCTAATGATGGTGTTTGACGGTGACGATGGCCTTGAACATGGGGAAGATATTGCGGGTGGCATGATGGCGTTGCCGGCTGAGATCAATAAAAGAGGATGTAGTGTAGAAGGGAAGAAGGCGATGAGCAAACGACGTACATTCTGAGATGATGTTAATGTTAGTGGCACAGTTTATACAGTCGCGATTCACACAGTGCATGGCAAGATCATGATCCTTAGTATCGATCATGTTCAGAAACGTCGCGATGGTCCCTCGGCTTGTTGATTCCCATCGTAACTCGCTAGCAAATAAGCATAGCATATAGACCAATGTGGTTTCGCTGTCTACCTTATGTTTGATATTTCGCTGTAAGAAATCAAGTTTCCGTCAGACGCTGCTATTCTCCCTCCTTCGGGGGTTCCTTCGTACCCCTCAGATCATTGAGCAGATTATTGAGCAGTTCAATCGTTTTCCCCGGCGGCCTCAGATGTTGCTAACCTCCCGCATGCCTTTGACTGCTTTGAGCGCCAAAGAGATCATTGATGTTTAACTGCCTCCCTGCCAGCGAACTGCCTTCACTACTTCCACCGAACGCTCCCAGAGATGCCCATGGTGCCGGCGCCTGTGCATAATCTGCCACGGCAGACCCATTGCTCGGTACGCTCTGCTCATAATGGGCTCCGACGACCTGGTCATTAGCCGCGCTCAAAGCTGCCCTTGCCTTCTCCCAATGGTCCTGAATAAGACCCCAGTCGGGATGCTCCACGGGACACTGGCCCTGGGAGTCTCCTGCTTCTTTCTCCTCAGTGCTGTGTAGATGAAAGCCGAGTGCCCGCCCGGGTCCCGCTTCGTCGGCCTCCATTTTCAGACTTAGAAACTTCTCGTTGGTGGCCTCGTACATCTCGACCTTGGAGAGGTTGATAGTGAGATTCTCCATACTACGTCGATTCAGCACAAAGAGGTTGGTTTGTGGTAGTTCGTGACCGTTGGGGAGTATGATAGGGTCGCACTCGCAAAGGAACATGGGACCCTCGACATCGCGCAGTTCCCACGAGTTTGTTGTTTGCGACCACTCGTAGAGCCGGACGAAGGAGCAGGTCAAGGGAAGGTGGCGGAGACCAGAGATGTAGCGCTTCAGTACCGACATGTTGAGCTCGTAGTTGGTACGGGTGGTGTGCGCATAGGTAGCCGAACCGTCCACTTCTGGCACGTAGTTTTTGGGGTCGTACATGCGGTTCTCGGCATCGCTGGGCTGGACCGCGTAGCTCGAGTTGATGGCGTCGCTATCGTAATCGGATTGCTGGGCGTAGCGGGCGTTGCTTTCTCGGGAGCCGCCATTGTTGTAGGAGTGGTTGTTGCCGCGGCTGCGCCCCTTGCGAGGGGGTGGTCTCCCGCTCATGGTGGTAGTTATTGGGTATGGGGGACGTTCCAAATATCGAGAGGGCAAGGCGTGAGTGTGGGCTTTGTGTGCGCAAGTGTGTGTGATTGTTCGAGGGAAACGAACAATGTCCGTGATATGGATGGGCTCGAGATACGCCGGTGTCAATGATGTCGACGGTAGATACGGGTGTAGACGAGTAATTCGACAGAACGAGTAGTTATCGCCTCAGCTGAGTATCTGCGCACGGCGCTCGGATAGAGGTAGAGACGTAAAGGTATCGATGGAAAATACCGGTATTACAAGTTGTAGAGAGAGGTAGTGAATATTGATGAAGGGCAATTGGTGTTGTAGCGACTGAAAGGAACCGAACACAGCTGGAGCCGGCGGCCACGAGATGATTGATGTGTTGGGCGTCAAGACAACGCCGAGGTGCCTGCCGCGCGAGTATTTGGTGGGGTAAATCCGGGGAGCTACAGAGACTGACCACTCAAAGCCAAGTGATAAGCGTTAAAAGTGGGTCAGATATTGATAAAAGCAGGGGCAGTGGACAAGCTCGAGACAGCGTCATCGTCCACTGGACCAGCGACCCTGATCTCCCTGTGAGCTGGGCTGGGCGCTAGGGAGGTACCTATCCGTCACAGGGCAACCCCCGCCCAAGTTTCCATCCTGTTGTCCATTTCCAAACATGGCCAACATTTCCTCCGTGATCAACACCATGACTCGGCACTGGTAGATGCGGTTTTGTTTCCCTGGTTAGACGCCAACTTTGCATCCCTTGATTATCAACAAAAGTCATCGTATCGTCCTCCTCCACCGCTACCTCTATCGAGTCTACAGCATCGATCATCATCACCTCGACATTACCTTCCAAGCCCTGCCGAGTGCCCAACCGCCTTGGTAACATCCGACCAGACATAAACTACCTCGACCGACTACCACCTATTGCGCTGTCTTGGGTGCTGTGATATTTCCTACCGGATATTTCTCCCGACAATGAGCACAACGATCAAACCATCTCGACATATATAACAAAGGCCGCCACCATGCCCTCTTCCGAAGGGCCACCACCCCTTAGCCGCACCCGTACAGGGTCCGCCACTACCGATGCCGTTGATCTGGGCACAACCAACCCCCATTCGTTACACCAGGCTATCTACGCCCGCCGCGAAGAGTACACCCGTCCCCATCGGATACGCGTCAAGGTCGGAACTTGGAATGTTGCTGCTTGCCCTGGTACGGATAAGGACCTGGCCAGCTGGTTTGTCGATGGCAAGGGAATCGACACTGCGCTAGCCACGCTCGATCTCAACAATAACGGGGCCATCGAGGGGAATTCAGATGGAGAGGATGGGGTACACATACTTGGCGGGGATAAGATTGGCCTCTATGTGTTAGGATTGCAAGAGGTGGTTGACCTGAACACGGCAAGCCAGTACGTCAGTCGCGTGTACGCTGGAGATGAAGGGGTTACCCAAAAGTGGAAGACTGCTCTCGACGCCGCTCTTCCCCCAGGCTACAAACTCGTTGCCTCCGAGCAAATGACTGGCCTTTTGCTCCTCATCTATGCCTCTCCAGAGGTGGCGCCGACCATCAGCAACGTGAGCACCGTCAGTGTCGGCACAGGCCTTCTTGGCTATATGGGCAACAAGGGCGCTGTCGTAACTCGCATCATCCTGGGCGAGTCCACAAGGTTGGTCTTTGTCAACTGCCACCTTGCCAGTGGTATTGAGGGAGCATACAACGAGCGGCGTATTTGGGACGTTGGCCAGATCCTCGGCCGCACACGCTTCAAGCCCGTCAGCTTTGCCGGTGTGTCAGAGGACTATGAAGAGAAAATCGGTGACGAGGACTTTGCCTTCTGGTTTGGCGACCTCAACTTCCGTCTCGATGGTCTTCCTGGTGACGACATCCGACACCTCTTGATGTTGCACACAAAGGGAGAATATGGTGCTCCCAGGCCAAAGTTCAGGCGCGACAACTCTCTAGAGGGAGAACCTGTTATTGTGCACGCCGACAAGTCATCCGACGCCAGCGACCAGACGAATGATGATGAAAAGTCAACCACGACCCACTCCACAGGATACAGCAAGAAGACCGACTATGACAGTGATTCTGATTTGGATGCGCTTCCCGATCCTGACGACTTCCTGCCAGATCCCCACGATGACCCTACTTCACTGCAAGCAACGCTGGACTCGTTGCTTCCCCACGATCAGCTCACCCGGTTGATTAAGCAAAAGAAATTGTTCCATGACGGATGGCATGAGGGCAGCATCTCCTTTCTCCCATCCTACAAGTACGACGTCGGCACTGTTGGACTCTTCGACTCGAGCGAGAAAAGGCGGGCCCCTAGTTGGTGTGATCGAATCCTCTACCGCACCCGCAAGGATAAGGAGGCGTATGACAAGAAGATCAAGGATGCCGAGGACGCACGCAAAAAGGATGAAGAAATGAAAGCTCGCGGTATCGACGAGGCCGGAGATGATGACGAGGTGCTTTTCGACTATGACCCGGATAACGACGGCGATGAAGATCACGCTCCAGATGTGTCACGGCTGGAATACGATGAATACGACGAGGGCGAGGAAGGTGATAACCAGCACGACAGAGATGACTGGGTGGATAGGATACGCCAGGACATCTACACGTCTCACCAAAGGATCACATCTTCCGACCACAAGCCCATCATATCCATCTTTACCCTAAACTATGACGCTGTTGTGTCCGACCTAAAAGCAAAGGTCCACGCAGAGGTGGCCTGGGAACTAGATCGCGCCGAAAATGAGGGCCGCCCGTCCCTTACGGTGGTCAACGACTCGCGCGACATCCGAGGACCGGGACGTCCTGGTGGTTCTCAAGACTCCGCCGAAGAACTCGTGGACTTCGGCGAGGTTCGCTTCCTACAAAAGCAAAGCGCCACACTGACACTGGCAAATACAGGCCGGGTTGCATGCACTTTTTCGTTCGTCGAAAAGCCTTCTCCTGGCAAAGAAGATGGTCCCAGCCCGCCTCCGTGGCTGAAGACGTCCTTCATCTCTTCAGAACCAGCCATCGATGATTCGCAGCTACCAGATCTGGGCAAGGAAGTGACACTAGAGCCCGGTGAAACGGTTAGGGCACGGTTAGAGGTCAACATCAACGAAGTAGAGCAGGCTAGAGTGTTCAACAGTGGCAAGGATAGGTTAGAGGAAGTTCTTATCCTTCGAGTAACCGATGGTCGGGATCACTTCATTCCTGTGCGTGGTGTCTGGATGCCTACCTGCATCGGTCGCTCCATCGACGAGCTGATCCGGGTACCTGAAGGTGGTCTGCGCAAATTCGTTCACTCCCTGACTGAGAAGAACGGCGGTAAGGTCATGTCCGTTCCTGAAGAAATGGACGTCCATTGCGCCGCACCCAGAGAGCTGTTCAAACTCACCGAGGCCCTGGAAGCGGTCACAGAGCGCGTCTTGGCAGACGAGCAGATGCTTGAACAGTATAAGGTACCTAGAGCATCAGGTTGGCCGTTCGAACAAGACACTTGGCGAGTTACTGACAAGTCCCTCCGTGCCTCTCGCGCCGCCGACCTTATCGATGCCCTTGACGTAGGCATGGCTCACATTGTCGACGCCTTTCCCGCCGAGGTCCCTGCCATCGAGCGTCTTGAGACCGTTGCCGAGGTTCTCCAGCTCTTCCTCCGCGGCCTTACGGACGGTATTATTACCACGTCCCTCTGGTCACGGATCGAACAAGCTTCTCTCGTCTCCCTAGGTCAGGGAGCTACCGCCGCCTCCAAGCAAGAAACAGCCTACGAAGACGACAAGGGTACCATTCTCGACATTCTCTCCACCGCTCCCAACCACAACATCTCCTTCGTTTTCCTAACGGCCACCCTAGCCAAGATCACCACTGATCTTTCCCCCGTCACTAAATCAGACCTGGAACTCCTCAAATCGGACACTCCTGTGAGGCTTAGTATGCTGAACAGGCGGTCTCTCACCGCTGGACTTGTGAAGAGAAACACATCGTCTGGGTCGGCGGGGCAAGCAATGGCTGCGATAGCGGCCAGGCAAGCCAAGGAGAGGAGTTTCGCAGAGGTGTTTGGGGAATTGGTATGTAGAGTGCCGATGCAGAAGGGCATGAAGGATAAGGAGAGAAAGGCGGTGGAGGAGAGGCAGCGCGCTGTGCTGGAGTTATTTTTGCGGAGGAGGGGAGATTGAAACGAAATGACGGACTCCCTGAGGGGATACTCTAGATGAACATTTTGGAGTAGTACAGGATATATGGGCAGCATCCTTGGCGTACGGGAAACACTGATGGCTTCATGATTGGAAATGGGGGTTGAGCCTTTGGGTTTGAGTTGTACTACCATGTTTGTCGGCATAACGTAATACTGTATCAGTCAGAGGGTAGGTGTGATACCTTTGTCGTTTGTCTATCGGAGTTCTGGTTGTATCTGTTCATTTACACATGGGATGGTGCTTTCCGTTGGTGGTGATCAATCCAGTCATGGGAAAAGGTTGAGAAGTAGACGAAAGCGTGGCAGCGATGAAACATCGACATCACGCTGACATGGAGTGTCAGAGGATCAACTGCATTGCCTTATCCGAGCTGAGATGGATCAGGCACGCAGGTTCGCTTTAAGAACCATTGCGGTTATTGCGATGAAGCTCTACACATGGGCAAGACCGACAGACTGTCAAACGGGGAAAGAGCAGGTGTACGATGCGGAAGGAGGGAATCCACTCTATTTGCCTATTCACTTGAAATTGGGAAACCGCCTCGCAGTGAGCTAGTTTCAGGAGCGGGAGCCTGGAGAGCTGATCCCACTCATGATCCGTTCTTTGCTTGATATGACACAATTCGAGCACGAGCACGGAGAGAGGGTCAGACTGTCTTCGTGGAGTCACCGAACCTTTGATCCCATTCATTTACCATCGCCAAGTCACTCCAACTTCTTCATTGTTTCCATCCAAGGCAGGGTCATCTGGCCACCAGTGGAAATAGCTGGCAGCTGCCGTCTTCTCTGCCTCCCATCAACTCCGGTTTCAAATTGAACCTTTCCCAAATCACAAAGACATTCTAATCCAAAACCCTCTGACATCTTTACCATCTTACAAGATCAAGCCTTGGAGAAAGTCTTGTGCATTCACATCAAACTCGGACAAGCAACCCCCATTGGCGACACACAAACACCATGTCCTACGAATATCGATGTCTCATGCGCCGCCGCCTCGAGCTGTACCACGACCTCTTGACAGAACAGCTGAGGCCTAGGATCGAGGCTGCCGCTGCCGCTGCCGCTACCACTGATGCCACCACCGACCACCCAGACTCCGATACAGACCAGTGTATAGACGATGACGTTGATAACACTGACGACACCGACGATTCCGACGAGGATCTGTGCGAGTGGGAGCACGCCGAGAACAGTTCATCCGAGGAATCGTATGCCCGTGTTACTCAATGGCGTTGTGGGCTTGAGAGGAACGGCATTTGGGAGGATGATGCTTCGGACCATGGCGAGAACGACGAGAAACGATCGGATCAAGTGGAATTGGAGCAACAAGATGACAGAGTTTCTACCACCACAGAAGTTCACCAGTTTGAGCATACTGACAAGGGCAAGGCTATGGATACGAGTGTACACTATTCAGGAGGACCTTTAACACCACTCTCGGCGGCATTCGCATTGGATTACATCACCAAGGGCAAAGAGCAAGGACATATGGACGATGGGAAAAACACATTCAGCGGTCCAGAAACCACAAAGAGGGAAGGGGACAACACTGCAAGGCCTCAACAGATGGCATCCGGCTCGGAACCATCAAAGGACGACTCGCCAGACAAGTTCACCACACCACCCAGCTCTCCTTGCCGCGAGTATTCCGTCACTGCAAGCCCAATATCCACGGACGAGCGCAACCACCCAACATCCCACAGGCAACCCAACCTCACCTTATTTATGCCCATAAACTCGAGGCTTTTTCAGTTACCCCGTCGTTCCAAATCTCTACCGTTATTGAACCTCCTCCCCTCCCACTGCCCACCCACGCCACCCCCCGACACTTCCTCCTCAGCCGCTTCTACGTACTCGCTAAGGCCCTTTACCGTCACCCCAGCAGAACACAGATTTTTCAACAGACACATCGAACAAGTCGAGTACATGATCAGAGGAATCGACTATCAGTTTCAAATGCAGGAGTACCGGAATGAGATCCGACGACAGAATCGGCGGAGCAGGAGACGGGCGGAGGTGGAGGAGAGGATGAGAGAGATTGAATGCAGCAACAGGATGCCATCAGAGGACTGGAGCTGTAACAGCGTTGGTTTCGGTGAGGCGCAGTGGACTGAGGGAGCAACAGAGGAGACACAACATCAGAGCTGGGAGAATGATGCTGTTTCTCCGCAATCGAATTCGGCTGGCTTGCAGGGTGATGAATCTGCGGACACCGAACGGGAGGGTACTACCAAGCCCATATTATATAGGCAGGGTGATTGGGGAGAGACCTATGGTACAGACGGACACGAAGACGATGTTGATTCTGTTTGGCCCGATGGAGCTGGGGAGGATGATGGCTGTGAGACTGGATGGGGTAGTGCTTGGTCGGCCACACAGTTGGAACCCGAAGAGAAAATTCAGCTTCACCAACCTACCAACCCAAGCCCGCTTAGGAACGGGTATACACCCGATGACATGGTCTGGGAGGAGGCGGTGGCCGAGGTCGAATACCTGAGCTACTACGGTCATCAATCTAAGAGGGATGAGTGCGGAAGGAGGTACTGGCGTTTGTGAGAGGGGTAGAGGTGTACATGTATATGCGAAACTATCCTACAATCAATCAACAAAGAAAGGAGGTTGGCATGGCTGAGTTGCATCTTGGACAGTCGTTATAACTGAAGATGGAAGCATTGTATAGATACCCTAGCTGGCATACAGAAGAACCTATGTTCTGGCACCAAATATCAATATCGTCGAAGCAAGCCATCGGACAAGATAGTAAATGTGTTTACTGATACGCTATTTACGGACGAAAAGAAAATCACAAAAAGCATTTCTACCATAAAGGAGACTACAGATTTGCAAAAACACAAACGCCACCCCACAAGAGCATCATCCCAACCGCAACAGTAACGGTATTTCTCGCAGCCCCAGACGACGTTTCTGCAGGAGGTGACGGTCCGCCCTCTGTTATTGTCGACGTGACCGTGACCACACCATCACTACCACCACCATTTCCGCCTAAGGAGGTAGTTGGCGCCTGAACGCCTGAAGTGAACGGAACGCTGTTCGTGGTCGTCGCGCCTTCCCAAGCGACAGGTTCCATGCTAGCTGTTGGAATCGGTGTTGCTGTTGAGTTATTTGGGTTGAGAACACTGATGTGGATTAGGCATGCGGATGTGCCAGGTGGTCAGTCAAGGCGAGAGTGAATATGGAGGAAGGGAGGAAGGAAGGAAGGAAGGAAGGGAGGACTCACCCATCAACAACATGCACCACCCCATTCTCCACCAACACATCACTCTTGACCACCCTCGCCCCATTAACAAACACCTGCTTGCTACTTTCACCAGCATCACCAGCATCATCCTCAGCATCCGTCCCACCACCACCCGTCGTCGAAGTCCCATCAACAACCCTCACTTTAACCGTCCCCCCTTCCACCGTCTCATAATCCTTTTCAATCTCCTGCTGCTGCTGCCGCCCATCCTCATCTTTCTCTGACCCACCGCCGCCGGTCACATCACCACTAACATCCCCATCGCTTCCATCGCTGCTTGCATCACTACTACCGATACTCTCCAACAAATCACTATAAAACACCTTCCCGCTCGTCGTCCCTTGCACCTTCAAAATATGATAGCCCATAATATCCGCCAGCTCGTCCTCGTCCATGTCCGACACCACGCTGCCCACGCGGTCCCAGGCTTCGTTGGAGGGCACGAACATGGTGATGTCTTGGCGGGTGTTGAAGAGGTTTGTCAGGTTTGCACGGGATAGAGCGCCGACGGAGGCTGTTAGGGAGAGGCTATTTTCTGGTGAGGAGTCGTCTTGGCTTGTTGTGGATGAAGAGCCGGACGAGCTGGAAGAGGAACTGGAAGAAGAAGAAGGACTAAAAGAAGCCAGCGTATCATTCAACCTCGAAGGCAAAGACAAAACATGGTCGATGATGTGAATCGTTCCTCCCGAGAAGTTAAAGTTGGCGTGCGTTATTGTTGACTTGGTTATTTGTTGAGAACCGCCTGAGCCGGTGATGCCGGAGTAGAAGGAGACTACTGGCTCACTGTCGCTGTCGCTGCTGCTGGAGGAGCTGGAAGAGCGAGCAATAACCCTCTGACCACCAGATACATTAGCATAGGGAGTAATACCCGGTGCTAACAAGGTAGGGATAAACAGGGAGTTCCCGTCTATCCCGCTTTCGTCTACCACGTCGTTACCACCATCCCTCTTCCTTTTTCGTCTCTTCTTCGCTGCCGCTGCCGCTGCCCCTGAGGAGGTCCCAGCACCAGTCCCGGCAGTCAAATTCGAAGTATACCACACTCCCCGCAACACATGGTAATTCCAAAACGCCTCGACCAAGTCGGGGTCCGAGTTGAAGTCGTCCATGATGGCCGAGTTGCTGAACAGCCCGTCCAGCGCATGGTTGCTGGGCGCTAGGATGGTGATGTCGGAGGTCCCGTTGATGGCGGCGAAGAGGGCCTGTTGGGTCTGGATGTAGTTGTTGAGCGTCGAGAGGGTGTCGTTGTGGGCGTGCAGGGTTTCGGTTAGGGTGGGACGGTGGTCGGTGGTGGTTTGGGCTTTGACGGAGGTGATGGGTAATGCTAGTAAGGACAGAGTCCTTCTGGGTTTCATTATGGTATTTTGAGGATGATGGAATATGGCTTGGCAATGGCGGGGCTTGGGGGTGGTGGTGGTGGTGGTGGTGGGGTCGACCCAGGCGACGACGATTTGCTGGTGGTGGTGGTGGTGGTGGGGGAGGAGTGTCGACGGATGTGTGGTGGGTGGGGGAGGAGTGTCGACGGATGTCAAAGATGTTCACGATGTCGGGGGCTGACATGGGGAGTAGAGCTTCCGGTCGTGTATCCAAAACAGTCGACGGGGAGCGGAACAAGGAAGCCTTCAGGATGAGGATGATTCTTGATATCGTTATATTGAACCTATGGCCTAGTCTCGTGGGTCCTTTCAACAACTTGGGAAGCCTTCCATCACCCCGTTGTCATCCTTCTTCCCATCTCCCATCATCTCCATCATCTCCGTTCTTCGAAGAAGGCTGGCTACCTCTAAGTCAAACCCTTCCTGCGTCCGCCCCATGCAAAGCTAACTTCTTGTTTTAATGAGTGATCTCAAGTGAAGTCATCTTGATGAAGACATTCAAAAATTACAAAGTGAAAAAGGAAACAAAGGGACCAAAGCTTCCATATTACAGTCGTCGAGCAAGGGATGACCACATCTTTATCTCAATTTTCAACATGGTGACTTCTCCCAAATGAAGTCAAACTGAATGACACTCCTTTAGAAATCTGCTGAGGCGCTTGCCATTTAGCTGGCCACGGCAAGGTGCAAAAGAGGTCAGGAGAACATTAAAGCCACTTGCATTCCTCACACGACCTGCACATAGTCTGTACACACAGAGATGCCTCGAGGAACTGTGGCTACGGTAGGTATGGTGATAATGATGGCCCAGTCACGGTGATGGATATCGTCATATGAGAGTTAGACTTCTTCAACAGATTATGATTTGTCTCTTCCCCCATGGCTTCGGGCTCAGAGGTGGAATGAGCCCTGCGTGATGTTCGCATAAAAGCCGGCAGAATCTCAGGGAAAGTGTACCTTGTATGCATGCATGGTGGCTACCTCTACCTTGGGTAGGTAGGTAGGTGCAAGCACTTGTAGCTGCGGATAGCGCGTGCCTGCCTTGAATGGTCTGTTGATTGTTGCATTTGGCAGGTGTACCTTATGTCGCAGAAGGCGGTACGTTGATGTTTCTGATTTTTGTTCACCTTCCATCTCAGCAGCAAATTCAACGTTGTTCAAGCCCAGATGGAACTTTTGAGAAAGGGGCGATCAATGTGGACTGGACCTGATGATTTGAGAAGGACGAACTTGTGCTTGCTTGTTAGTTGGAATTGCTGGCTCAGAAAACTCATCCTTCTGGTTTGCAAAAAGAGAAGAACCGCAAGTCCTTTGTGCTTTTGACATCCGAGAGTTTCAGCCAAAACGGGTTTCTCCTTCTCGTGTTGCTCTCTATTGTCGGTTGGGTTCGGGAGGCGGTGATCAAGACTGATTTACTAATATATTTTTGGAAGGAACGGGCGGTGAAAGAACTGATGGAAGAAAGGATCGGAGAACCAGAGAACACCAGAATTGTTTCAGTCATTTTTCGTTCGCTTCATGAAAGCAATAATAACATCAAACTTTCTAGGCTCTTTCACAAAACAGCTCGAAAGATCTCCACCGTCATCATCATCGCCTGTTTAACAGAAGGGAATCGCTTCCCGCTAGACCAAATCGTCACCGTACGAAAGATCATTCCATTCATGGCAGAGTGACCATGCCTCGATAAACTCCAGGGGTTGCCTGCTTATGACATCCAAGTTGTGGGTTAGGGAACGGAGTCCCGGAAGAGGCTCCTCAAAACTACATGGGTGATCGCTTCTTCAACAAGCTCTTCCGTGTTCTAAGCCACGGCCAAGATCCCTGAATCAAGATATGACGATACATTGAAGCGTCGTCGAAAGTCCGAAACAAGAGCCCAGAGCCTTGGCTCAGTCGCTCTCGGGGATATCGGTAAGGCTGCCGGGACATAACTAAACTCGGGCCGGACCGTCATACTCCGGGTGGGGATTCCAAGAACGCGGGGAATGCCATCCTGGCTGTCTTACACCAAACCGGGGATGTTGCCCAGACGGCAAGATCTGGAAGGAATCCGTAAAACATGGGTATTTGCGTGTCGCCAACGCCTCGACATTTTCTTGATAGCCATGTTGGTGGCTTCAACGAAGCCGTGAGCCGCTGATGTCGTCCATATGGGGCAAAAAAAAAACAAGGAATCCGGGGAAGATAACGACTAGAAGAAATCGGGGGCGACACTCGAGTATAAATACCCACGATGACCTCAAACCTCAAGCGCTGATGATCCACCACGAGCAAGTTTGAGCAGATTCCAACTTCATTCCTCCTCACCCCATCACCATGAAGGTCCTCGCCCCTCTCGTGCTTGCCAGCGCGGCCAGCGCCCACACCATCTTCTCCTCTCTGGAAGTCGGCGGCGTTAACCAAGGCCTCGGCCAGGGCGTGCGCGTGCCCACTTACAACGGACCGATCGAGGACGTTACCTCGGCCTCCATTGCCTGCAACGGCTCGCCCAACACGGTCGGCTCGACCTCCAAGGTGATCACGGTCCAGGCCGGCACCAACGTGACGGCCATCTGGCGGTACATGCTCAGCACCACGGGCGACTCCCCGGCGGACGTCATGGACAGCACGCACAAGGGCCCGACCATCGCCTACCTCAAGAAGGTCGACAACGCGGCCACCGACAGCGGCGTCGGCAACGGCTGGTTCAAGATCCAGCAGGACGGCATGGACGCCAACGGCGTCTGGGGCACCGAGCGCGTCATCAACGGCAAGGGCCGCCAGAGCATCAAGATCCCCGAATGCATTGCCCCCGGACAGTACCTCCTCAGAGCGGAGATGATTGCCCTGCATTCGGCGGGCAACTATCCTGGTGCGCAGTTCTATATGGAGTGCGCCCAGCTTAATGTCGTTGGAGGAACTGGCGCCAAGACCCCTTCGACTGTCAGCTTCCCTGGGGCTTACTCGGTATGTGCAACCATTCTTACACGGAATGTCATGGAGAGAGGTGGTGAGATGATTGCTAACATGTTTTGTTTTGTTTCATAGGGTTCTGACCCCGGAGTCAAGATCAACATCTACTGGCCTCCCGTCACCTCTTACACCGTCCCTGGCCCCAGTGTTTTCACTTGCTAAATGTCTAACGGGATGCGAGTGGAAAAGTGATAGCATACTGGTGAAAAGGAGAAGGACACTCTTTGTTTCACCTGGTGACCGCGACCTTGATGGCATCACTTGGTCAATCAGGGGGAAGGTCCTCAAACTCCGCACATAGCCGACCATATTCTTGTACATAACTTCATTACCTTGAATCCGAACATAATACCTGGGTAAATCGATTCCTCGTCCATGCATGGCCGTTTTCAATCGCCTTCTTCTCTCCATTTGGCATTTGACACGTATGATTCTTGCTCATAATCATGCAAGTATGGAGGGGAAATGTAAATAAAGTGCCCATGGAATTTTGAACGCCTGCCAAACGTGCAAAAGAATTGCAAAAAGCTCAGTCGCCCAGTGAGACTTGGGGGACCAAACCACCATGCTCCAGCTGCAGACCTACGAAAACTGTACCACGGGATACCACGTACCCGGCAATGTTTTCATGGCACAGAACCGCTCGACCATTTGGCCAATTGGAACCGCGCTGGGAGTAGGACCTGGGGCGGGAGCTTATATGGTGCGTAAAGGGGGTAAGAGCTGAGGATGGGATGAAAAGGCGGACGGACTTGTACATACTATTTCCCTTTTCCCACATACACACTGTCACACACTGCCTCATAACTTTCTCCCATCCGCCTTCTTTCCCCATCCCTCTCCCATTCCTTCTTATTCTTCATGTCTTTCTATCTGCCTTCTCTGTCCTGTCCTAAAACACCCCATGCTCACCCTCCGTCTTCTTGAACCCCGGCGCCTCTTTCCAATACTCCTCATCCCTCAACTGATGCCTCCCCGTCCACTCGTGAATCCTCTCAAAGCTCCTACACTGATGTTCCACATCCCACAACAGCTTCGTCCCCTGTGCCCTCTCCTTCCTATCCATCTTCAGATACTCCTCCGTATACCTTTCCTCGCCCGTCTGCTGGTCCGTGTAAGTATAGTTCTTATTCCACCAGTACGTCATGGTCACATCCCCGTTGCACATGATGGCCTGTCTGAGAAAATCCAAGCAGTGCGCCCGGTGGTCGTGGAATTCTGCGTCCGACGTGTTGCGGAAATAGGTCTCTCGCCAGAAGGAACGCCGCAGGATGTCTAGGCAGTGCAGCTGGTGGAACATGGAGACGCCGTAGATGTAGGAGCCGGGCGCGTAGAAAATTTCGGATGAGGGGTAGCCGATCTTGCGGGAGATGGAGAGGGGGAGGCGGAGGACGCCGTCGCTTGCTATACGGTGGAGGCAAAGGTGAATGTTAGCAGGGCAGACAAAGAGGTGGTAGGTAAACAAAGTGAGCTTGGGGTGCAGGGTGTGGGAGGACAAAAGAAGGGGAAAGAGTCAGTCAAAGGCGGAAGGAGAAGGGGAGAAGAGACGGGAGACATACGCCCGAGGATGGACTCCCATGCTTTGTCAACGGCCGGTGAAGGGTCTTGCTGGAAGATGCGGTCGGGGTGGAAGCGCCTGTTTTCGTACTCTATCACTCCATCTTCTAGGAGAGGTGCTGTAGAAGTTTCGGGGCTCTGTTAGTTCGCGTGACTCCAATCAAGTCAATGCATGCTATGGGTTAGTTGAGTTTGTTTGTGGGCTTACAATAAGGAGGTTTCGGTGCTCGGTAGAATGGGGAGGCATGTATCCTCCATAGCGCTTGGAGATACAGGCATAAGAGCCCGATGCTCAGAGCTGTGTTGATGACGACGAGAATCCTCGCGGCCCTAGGCCACTCATCATCACGCAGTACTCTCCAAACTCTTTTTAGCTTTGGTTCTACAAGACAGTAGTGGTGTGCTTCGTGAGTGTCGGGTGTAGATCTGGAGTGTAAAAGGGAGTCTGAAGAAGAGGTCTCAATGTCTGGGACCTTTTCGTATTGCATCGTGATCTAATTCTTGAAAATGAATGACACGGCGAATGGGCAAGAAGAAAAAGAAGCACTGTGGAAAAGCCTTTGAGGCGCTGTGCTGAGCAAAAGGGTATTCGGTCCTTCAGTTCTTTTAACATTTTGACGCGGGAAAGCTCTTGGTTTTGGTGCTTCGGATATTGGCCCAAAGTGGAAATACTCCATCTTCATCGTCGGTGTGGTTGAAAAAACTCCGTGGTGTATCGGAATGTACAAACAGTACGAGTGTCGCACCTGGCGCTTTCTGGTCACCCCGCCAAACTTGTACAACGGCTGAAGCCGACACAACATCATCTGATATCCCGCGCAAAATCCCGACAACGTGCATCGGTCCTTCCAGATTGTACTCAAATCTTTTAAGGCACACCGCTCACCAGTGGAATATGGTAAATATGCTGCCTGTAATTTTCCTGCTGTTCCCTCTTGGGGACAAGGAGCGTCGTAAGCATCATGAAGCCATCACCATCGAATCTTGACCAATCGCATTTCACGCTCCAATTGTGTCGGTGTTTTCTCTTTGGAACAGCTGCGTGAGGCGAAGACGGACTTGTCCCTAAAAGGCAAAAACCCGTTGAAGGGGTGTTGTTTGTCAACTCGGCATCCCCGTTAACAACGACTTGACCGCATATTCTGTTCTCTGATCTGGTGGTCAACATCGAGTTAAGGTGGATGCAAATCTCCATTTAGTCATAATTTGCTTACTTTAAAGATCTCGTCGTCCTGGGCGGTTATGTCCTTGTTCTCTCGAAGCGGTCAAGACCAGGAGCAACATCCAGTCATCATCAGTACAGGCGGGCCGACTGGAAGATCTGAGTGTTTACTCTAGGATGGCGTCAACCTCCCATCTTAGCCAAGTCCGCCATCATCGTGGAGGTAAGCGTCGTTGCATCTCGGGGTCAACCACTTTCGGTCGTCACAGATTGCAGTGCAGTGTTCAGCATCCATGGTTCTGGATGGATGGAGTCTCGAGTAGGTTAATGGGTAGGATATAAAGACTCGACCTTACTCCCGTTACCTTCACCAAAAACCTCAATCATCCGCATCAGAACCAACAAAGCAGAATCACAACATCAAAACCCACCAACTCAACCATCACTCACCACATCAACAACTACCTACCACCATAAACAGTCGTCATCCAAATTCCAAAATGCACCCCATCACCATCCTCGCCCTCCTCACGGCCTTCGCCGCCGCTTCCCCCGTCCTAACCTCCCCTCGCAACACCGATTCTGCACCCGCGCCAACCATCAACAAGCGCGTCGACATTTACTGGGGATGGTTTGCGAGAGACGCCGAGGAGATCAACAAGGAGGAAGGCGCTGGCGCTGGCGAGACACGTGACTCTGATGCTATTGTTGCCGAGGGCGTCGAGGGTGAGCAGAAGTGAGCAGAAGTGAGGAATCTGCTTTTTTAAGCTGGTGAGTATGGAAGAGAACGGTGTTCCCGAGAAGCAATCCCTGATGCTGATATTTGGGATGTGACAGGAAGCGATTGGGAATGAATTTCGTTTGGTGTGATGCTGGAGAGCCGATATACTGGAGAAACTGTCTGTTTGAGAACCATGCGGGAAATGGGGATTGTTATGGATAAAGTGTCGAGACACTCTGGATTTGGCAGTTGAAGCTAGTCAGCTGTGTGGCCAACTGGAAGAGAATATGTAGGTGGAGGAAAGGAAGAGACTACTACCTCTCCCTAGGTATATAACTCTAGGTGCGACTCGGAAACCCTGTTTGGATCCTTGGTAGTATTATTCAACATAATACACATGGGCTTATTTTATTCTTGATGTTCATATTCGGATTGTGTGTAACATATCTTTCCACACCTTGTGCTTGTGATCCTTGCAATGGCTTCCTTCTTACCTCTAATATCAGTATTCCCATCATCCTGGTATGCACATCGCTGAGTGAACCCAATACCCGTGCGACCAGTTGACAGTCCCAAGGATGCGATCCTGACGAATCACTTGACGACTTCGAGGATGGCCATTGATGCGGCGGTTGAATTGATGAAGAGAGATATGGAGAGGGCGGTGGAGGGCATACAGAAGACGGGAAGGTGGACGATCTGAGGACCTGTGCGGTTGGTTCGTTAGGATAAAGATTGCGACGAGGTTCTTACACAATTCATATACTCCGGCGCACATCCTACCTCCTCGATATTAAGGTACGCAGCTATCCATGAGCTTATCTGGGCATATACGCTAAATTGTTTGTCCAAATCCAAACATCATTACACTCTTAGTCCATCTTTGCATTGATATCCTTCCATCCAACCTGTCCGAACGCACCGGCACATAATATCACTTCTCCGGAACAAACATCGACCCCATCCATCCGTAGGCTCTGTTCAACCTTCTGCCAATACGCCTCGCCATCGTGAAGGTGAGCTTCCCCTTAGGATGCGGCTCGTGGAACTGAATGGCCCTCTCCACATCCAAGTTGGTCGGACGGAACTGCCAGACGGATCCATACAGCTTCTCAGCCATGAATCCGGTAGTGGTCATGGCATGCAGGAAGTCGTTCCAAGGGACCTCGCCAGGGCTGGAGGTAATGTTGGGATTGTAAAACAGCGTACGGAAAACCTTGATGGATCTAGCATCGACGGCAAAAGTAGGCTGTTTATCATCGCTTGTGTCGGGGGCGGGGGTTTTCCCTGTAGTGGTGGGGTCCGCCGGGGCGATCGTTGTTCCACGGGTCTTAACCTTGATTTTTTGAGAAGGGACAGGCTCGGGTTTGGGAGCTGTGAGGCCAAAGAAGAATGAAGAGAGAGGGATGATCAGGTCATCCACATTCGCGACGGCTGCTTTCGCTCCTTTCTCATTTGTAGCTGGCGTGGAAGGCTCAGCCCACTCTGGTGTGCGTTGAAGGCTACGCGACTGAGTGAGGAGTTTTCTGACGAACGTGTTTTCAAGGTTGTTGGCGTCCTTGTACATGATTTGGTCGACAGCCTTCCAAAATTCGTCGAGGTTGTCTTCTGCACTCCTCAGAGCCTGCACATTCTCCTTGGTGCGGCGCTTGTCAACAGGGTAGAAAAATCTCTTGGATGCAGGCTTACCCAGCTGGACAAGCGAGTAAAACCTACCCTGCTTCTCACTAGCAGCCTGGAGAATAGCTGCCCAAGGCTTGCTATTTTCAGCAAACGCAGCCTTGATACCATCCTCATAGTCGATATTCAGAGTCTCAAAGCTGCGGGCCCATGGTTGGTAGCAGTCAAGCTGTCTCATGCACTGGGTGATGATAGACAGCTGTCCGATTAAGCCAGCAACGTAAGACGAAATCATCCGGCTAGCTTCCGTTTCTGTTTCCAGCAACCGCTCCAACTCGTCCACAACAATGGGCTGCGAAGCTAGGAACAGATCCATGCCGTCCTCCCACAGCGTCCGTAAGAGCCAGACCAGCCGCTTCTCTACAGGTGTCATCTTATGATTAGGGTTGAAGGCGACTGCGACCTTGTTCAGATCCCTTGATGACCCCTGGGTTCTGGATGAGAGATATCTCATGGGAGGCGATGACATGGCTGTGTGTTTCAGTTCGCCAAGGACACCCTTGGTGGCCTGGTAAAGGTAGAAACGAAATTTGAGCAATGCCTTCAGGTACTCCTTGGGCAGATCATCCTTGACTGATATGACCTTTGCATATTTTTCCTGGAGACCTTGCAACTCTTTTGCTTGCCGATGAAGCTCGTTGTATACCTCAACCTCTATGTACGCCGTGGTGACAAGACTGGACAAGATACGTGACCACAGAATCTCGTCGTTGACGGGATAGGATTTGCCCCAGCGGTCTTTAAGGGTCTCCAGGCGATGTTCCTGCAACTCGAGGGCTTTGTCGACGAAATAGTTGGGATCCTCACGCAGGGACCACAAGTGATCCTCGCAGGCTGCGGCTTACGCACCCAGAAGTGACTCGATGCGGCCAAATTCAAGTTTGGCGGGCACTCGATAAGGGGCTTCGGCAGCCAAGACGGCAAGCGAGTCGAACCCGGTGGTCTCACTCTCTTCTTTCATGTGTGGCTCGGGCCGAACTGGATATTTACTGCCTAAAAGCTGGTCTTCGGGGATCTCGTGAAGGATCTCTGTGCAGCATTTGACCAAGAAGGAAAGGAGGCGATCCTGAACGTCCAACACGAGCAGTCCCTCACCGGGCAGGAACTGCCTTTGACTCATGGCCAACTCGAAGTTGCTGGGGTGCTCGTCCCAAGACAAAAGCTTGCCATAATCATCAGGGTGCTTCTCATCGACGCCGTTGAGAATCATGGTGTACTCGTTCAAGAATATGGGGACCACGGCCTTGGTGACGAAGGCGAACTTTGTGTTGGTGGCATCGATGCCGGCAAAGGTGCAAGGATGATGGCGTCCCCGTGAGTTCAGCAGGAGTGGCAGTAAGCGAGGGCGGGAAAGATCCTCCTGGTTGATGTACGGCCATATGAACCAGTCCCTGTACTTGGTGCCCATCATGCGCTGTTGCTCAGACTCTTTGAGGAAGGCCTCGAAGTCGGGACGATGGTTGGGGGCCATGTTGGGCCATGCCTTGAGCAGGATCTGGAGACGCTGTGCCTTCTTCTTCTTGGCCCAGCGCTTTTGGATGGTGTCTTCATGTCGTTCAAGGATATCGTGCAACTTGGCGTAGGAAGCAAATATGCTGTCACGTCTGTTTTTGGCGGTGCGACGCACAGAATCCGGGGACTCGGCTTTGGGGATAGGAAGGCCACCTGGGCCACCCCCGCCTAGGGCCTTGAAGATGCTCGCGGGGTCATTGAAGTCGATGTCGTCAAAGTTGATACCGGAACCCCCAAAACGTTCGGCATCGGCACTCCAAGGGTCAAACTGATGAGTGGGACGGAGATCCATGATTTCACGCCTTCTGAGGGATGGTGTGTAAGTGGTAAAGGGTCTCACTCAGTCCAGTTGTGGTCGGAATCAGAAGCGGTTTCCAGGTTGGTCGTGTCAAAGCAGCGTCGCCACCAGGAAAGCGGGGCTCTGACAGCTGTGAGCGCCGAAGCTGTCTCCACTATAATGCCTTTTGACAGGTGTCCGGCATCTGCACTGGTGCACAAGCGACGTCCTCTGCAATGCGTGTATGTCGGACTTGCCGTTTGCACATTGTTTTCACTTGCTCAACATTGCCTGTTTTCTGGATAGGAGGCAGCGGCCCAACACGCTATGACCGAGGTTTCAAATGGCATTTCCTGAGTGCGAATCTGATTGATATGGCCTTATGTTGGCGATTGCTCAACCGCTACCACTTCCATGTTCTTTTTTGGACCCTCGTTAGGTAGCTTCCGCGAACACCGAGCCACCATCAACCTCCCCCTTTCTTGTTCTTCTTCTTCCAATCCCCTTCCCATCCCATCACAGACAATAATCAACATCCTATCAACCTTGATAGCCTCAGGTCCTCCGTGCCCGTTTCCCGCATACTCTTCTCCTTGTTGACCCTCTCCACCATCCACAGCCCGTGCTTCACCACCACCATCATCACCCCTCCTCCTCTTCGCAACTCTCTCCTCCTCCGCTTCACGACCGTCCCCGCCATTGTTAGCCTCATCCCTTTTCCGCTTACCACCCCCATCACCCTTTGCAGCAGCGTTTCCCCTCCCAATAACCCCTCCCTTTGCCGTTGTCCTCCGCCTTCTCCCCCTTCTGTCAGAGCCAACAACAACTTCCACATCCTCCACCCAGAATTTCCAGATGTCGTCCACCAGCCTGTATTGCTTCAGCTTGTCCTTCGTCTTGATTGCCGGTGCCTTTTTGACCACCTCGTCGTGCGTGGTGAGCGTTTGGGTGATTACGCTGTCGAAGGCTGTTAGGAGGCGAGTGATGAGTTTGTGTGTCAGGGGGCTTAGGGATTGAGGCGGTTGCGGTTGCGGTTGCGGTTTTGGGTCATTTGGTGCCGCGGGCGTGGTGGTTGATGACTGTGAGGAGGGGGTAGTGGTGCTGATGTTGGTTTTTGTGATGGTGGTTGATGGAGGAGAGGTGGATGTGGGAGTGGTTGCATCGGTAGTCAGGTCGATTGGGTCGGTTGCTTCGCTACCGGCGGGCTCACTGGTTAGGTCGACAGCGTGGTCCGAGGCGGCGCCAGGGATGAAGGGGAAGCGGCCGGCGATGATGAGCTCGTCGATTGCTTCGATTAGCGCCCTACCTAGGCTGCCGTCACGGTAAAGCGTGAGATAGTCCTTGGGGTACTGGGTTCTGGAGGCATGTTAAGCTGTTGTTGGTTTCAGTGTGTGGACTATCTGGGAATTCCTGCCCTTGTTTCCCTGCCCAACAAGCGAAACACGGACACTTGCATCTTCACGATTTTGGCCCTGCTGACGGGGTTTATATAGGTGAGTTTTCACAACGTTGTGGTACGGACGTTTGGGGAAATCATGGATAGATCGGTTGGGTAACGTGGATATATATGAGGACCATGATCCCTTGGATCACCGACTATTGACCCATTGCCATTGTCGAACCGCCCGCCCTGTGACACCGCTGCTAAGGTTTCGCAGGCCGCTCTCCAGGTTCCGCCCAACGGACCTTGATCTTTGTGTGGTCAGACCGGCACCGCGTTTGGAGGATCGGTGTCATTGCCAGCAGCAAATCGATTGATAAGTAAGGCAAGTAACTGGACGATAAGTTCTGTTTTTGGGCTGAGGCCGTATCTTGACTTCCGTTGCCGGATGTAAAGTGAATGAATCCAACTTTTTCTACCTTTCATCTCTTGAGAATCTTCTCGTTCCCGCAAAATCTCTTCACTTACCTTACTCAGCCACAGCAGTCTCCAACGGTTCTCCCAATCCAAGATCAACACCGTTAGAAGCAAACTGCGCAGGATCGTCGGACTCTCGTCGAGTGATGCGGATCCAGAAGTCTTCCATCAAGTACAGACCCTAATAGCACTCGAACGTTAGTTGGGCGTGATGAACCCTTTAAGCGAGCGACCAGCTCAGGAGACAGGCAGTCAGGTAGGTTGCGAGGAACCACTAGCAGAAGAAAAAGTCGAGAAAAGTAAGGTAGGTACTCACAGGTTGACAAGCCACAGCCGCAGGCTTATAAGCATCGACAATGCTCATATCGAACCTCTTGAACAGCTATTACACGAAATTGTCTGGTCAGTACCCATACGATGTCCGGTGCCCACACCGTTCAAATATCAAGGGACAGTATCCAGAGTCAAGTCAGCGGCTTACCTCGATAAAAATCTTATTAAACTCCATCAACGCAATATGTTTTCCCAAGCACTGCCACTTGCCATGATTAAACACCAAATCGACCGTACCATTCATCCTCGCCAAGTTTTGGGCGCCACACTCTAGCCAGCGTTCCGGCCTCCAAACATGCGCGTCCTCGCCGAAAATGTCGTTGCGCTTGCACATGGAAAGAATCGTGTACCCGACCTCGGTCCCGCCCGGGACGAAAAAGCCCGAAATTGTATCGCCCTCGGGCGGAACCACTCTCGGAAAATACTGGGCGGCGGGCGGGGCCATGCGTAGGGATTCCTTGATGACGGCTTGGAGGTAGGGCATGCGGCGGCCTTCGCTGTCTTTGACGATGATGGTGCTGGTGCTGTCATTGGAAGGGTTCATGTTGGAGATGGTACCGTCGGCAAGGCAGCGGTCGATTTCGGCTTGCAGACGGCGGTAGGCGACGTGGTTGGAGAGTAGATGGAGGATGGCGGTGCGGATGAGCGTGGCCGAGGTGTCGCTGCCGGCCACCATTTGCAGGACGGCCTCACCGACGGCTTGGTTGGGCGAGATGCCGTGGCGCATGAAGGAGGCGAGCATGTCGCGTTTGGGATCCTTGTCGTGGCCGTCGGGGGTGAAGCGTTCCTCGATGATTCTTTTGGCGACACTGTTTTTTTGGGGAGGTAGGGAGTTAGTTACCTGGTGGATCGGAGCTTGGATTTGATATGATGGTGGGAAAAAGAAAGAAAGAAAGAAAGAAAGAGAGACATAGAGAGCAAAGAGAAGGTTACCGCAACTCACCCGATAATTGGCCCCAATCCAACTGGTTTGTCTTCCGGGAAAAACACCCATCTAAGGGGCCGTCGGTAGAGCCATTTGGTTACCTCGGGAAACATACTGAAAAAGGGTGCTCTTGGGATGGACCCTTCAATCGACTCAACGTATAACTTGAGATCCGCGTCCTTTTCAAGGCAGCCGAATGTTTTCCCAAAGGCCAATGCACTGATCACATCAACCGTAAAGTACTGCGCCCTGCTTGCGAGGTCCATTGGCCGGAATTCCGCTGCAGTGGAAAGGTACTTGTCCTCAATAAGCTTGATGAAGGCAACTACTCGGTCGTCTACGCCTGCTTCTATCGAGTCATTTTCCTTGCCGAAGTACTGAAGTTGCGTAGTAGTTTGATGGTTAGTATCAATATTGTACTAGACATTCCTGAAATCTTGCTTTTGGGTGGCATCCTAGGTATGCTCTGTGGTTCGTTCGTTTTGGGTGAAAGGGGAAAGTGAAAAATAAAAACCTACGCCTGGCGCCATTTTCTTTCGCATCAGAGTATGAAAGTCGTCATCGGCAAGATTGAATAGGGTATCTCTATCAGGATCAAAGCGTGCGACTGAGTACCAAACGGCGGACCTGGTATACTTGGATCGTGCACCCATGATCTGACGCGTGGCATCCGGGTCATCTGTCAAGACAAGGTTGGGCGCAATGCGTACCAATCGACCTAATTCGTACGAAGAGTTGGTCAGTATGTTGAAGCAGCGTAGACAAATGGATATGTTCAACTTACCATACTTGTCATGATATTCCTTCGCGGCCTGAGGTTGCCGGGATTTGAAAGCGTCCCAGGCGAAGCCCAGCCGGGTGAACCCAGCGTGCCAAGGGCCAGGAATGTGTGAGAGACGAAACCGTATACGAAGAGAGTATACGATATATGCTGTGACAAGAACCACCAAGGCACCGGTAACTGCTTCATTGCTGATGGGCAGCCCTTGGAGAGCCGTTAGGATTGCCATGGCGAACCCCGATAGGAAAGTGATGTCGTTCCTTTTTCGGAAAATAGAAAGAAGAAAAAACCATGTACACGGGGATGATTGCTTTTATATCATACTCGGCACCAAGGTCTACAAAGTGTTCCACTTCGATGGGCCGTGGAATGTAAACGATCTTGATGTAGCGCCGGTCTGCATGACTTCAGAACGACATTAGCACCAGGAGAGGTTGCACTTACCTAACAGCAGCGATCCTAATGGTTCCTTGAGCTAGAAGGATGAGCCTAACAGAAACTTCTTTGCCATATCCAGGTGCACACATGGGAAGATATCGTGAGGGCGGAATTGTACCAGACTGTAAAACATTTAGATTGGTCGTGATTTGTTCTGAAGAACATGTTATGTGGAGGTTAGGGTGCTCTTATAAGGTGACATTCTCTTCAATACACCGTACTGGATGCACCCTAAAAGCCATACAGATGCATTAGCATGGGAGGACGACATGTTCATGTAACATCCGGCAAGGACGGGGAAACGGGTGTATGGACCATGATGAAGAGCGGGAGAGCCAAAGCTGGAGACTATACCTAGATAGTATAGTTGCCCGCCTTGTGTATCATGTTTGCGAAACCCCGTAGAATACGCACCCGGGTAGTGATGGGCAATGCAATTTCGTGATGTGTGTGAATGGGGTCGAAGTGTGCCGCAGCGTCAATTGCGATGATATTTGGTGATAATCTCGAGGCCCTGAAGACGTCTCATGGTACGTCGAGATGAGAACTTAAAGACTGTCTGCGGTAATGAATATCGAAGGCGGGGCTTGAAATCCAGGACGAGGGAGAGTTTTCAGAATGAGGCACGTCGTCGCCATTCATGGCCTCCATGGCCAGGGGGTAGATGTCCCAGAGGCTTGGCATTCATTCCTTGCTCACTAGGGGTCCTTTCAAGCCCTCAACTCCCAAAATAGTTCGCCGAGTGACTCTCTGTCAATGCCCTTGACTTGGGTATTCCACATCCTCGTCAACAATCCCATGCCTCATAGAAAAGGATTCAGAAAGAAAAAGCAGCTTCTTGTGCTCGCTCCAGAAAAAGGTGCGGTCCGCCAGATACAGTAGTATGTCCAGGGTAAGCGAGAGTGATGAAAAAAAGCTCGACATTCATTCCGGGCCATTGAGGCGCGCACGTGGCGCAAAACCCCCCAAACCAACATTTGCCGAAGGCGTGCTTTGAGGGCTGAAGAGAGAGAGTTCCATGTCGGCAGTATAAATTTCTTTGACCTCCCAGTGAATCATCCAGAAAAGATGCAGTGACAGATGGTTGTACAATCACCTACATCTGCTGTTCAAACAGATATCGCGGAGAAAAACTCGACAGGGACCGCTAAGTCTACGCGCCGTTGGTACAGCACAGCACAGTGCAGCCCCGAAACCATTCACTGCAAACACCACCAAGAAAGGGATCACCACTTCCGGGCGGGGGACGTTACTTGGGTTGTATTGAACGACAAAACGAAGAGGGGGGACGCTTATGCGGCAAAGATGTCACATCAACGTCCAGAATCTCGTGCGAGAGCGCTGGTATCGCGAAGCTGGAAGGTTTTCCGAGTCAACTGGCACTTGGGCTTTACTGCCTTTGGAGGGCCGCCAGTCCACTTCCGCATAGTGAGTACTAAAGCGAGTGTCATGTGAACTTCACACACTTGTGTGTGGTGCAGGACCAACCGTTGAAACATCGGGTGCTAAGCATGGGGGGAAGTAACAGTTCAATGACAAATTCGTGCAAAAGACAAAATGGATCGATGAGCAGGTCTTCCAAGAGCTCTTCAGCGTCTCGCAGGCCCTCTGCGGACCAGCCAGCACCAAGATGCTGTACTGTATCAACTTAATACAAGACGGATTCCTTGCTGCTGTGTTCAGCTTCCTGCTGTGGAGGTAGGTCGCACCATCACGCGCTCACCATTTATGTAGATTGTCGTGAACGGCAGACTGACCCAGCATGATTAGTTTACCGGGTGCTATAGGCATGTACGCCCTCGCTGTCGGTGTCTCGAAAATCGACGAAACTTTGCCAAGACCGGTGTATGCGTTGCTGTCGGGCCTTAACGCCGGAACGGTCGGTGTCATTGCGCTTGCTGCCGTTGAGCTGTCCGAGAAGGCGATCACGGATCGACTGACAAGAATCTTGGTCTTTCTCGGTGCTACCGCTGGCATGCTGTACAATGCGCTCTGGTATTTCCCAGTCCTGATGCTAGCATCTGGCATTGCGACACTCGTTCATGACTTGAGATGGATGCATCAGCCAGTTTCGGCGATCCTGGGTTTTGGTGCAAGTCTGAAGGGAAGCTCATCAGCGCCTGGCCTTTTGGAAAATGGCCGGGCTCAACTTCCAATGCGGGTGACAACGATACCGCCGCGCATCAAGGGCGAAGGAACAGTGCAGATGACGAAGAGAGCATCGAAATGTCCAGTGTGACAAAAACAACAGCGACAACATCAAGCAGCTCCGGAGCCCGGTCAAGACCAGGACAAGGGACGCCGCGGTCCAATCTTCCGGTGACCGAGCAAGAAGCCTCCGCGTCCTCCACCGCCGAAAGCGAGCCACGAACCATCCCAAGCGAATTTCGACTCGACTTTTCCTGGAAGATCGGTACTGCAATCATCGCCTGCTTCTTCGCCACCTTCATAGCCGTTATGGTCACTCGCGGCGTATTCCCAAATCCGCCTGGGCTTCCCCTCTTGTACCACTTATTCGCCAACATGTATCTTGCCGGAACAATCATCTTTGGTGGTGGCCCTGTCGTCATTCCTTTGTTGCGAGAATACGTTGTTGCCGAAGGCTGGGTAAATCCTCGTGACTTCCTCATCGGACTTGCTCTGATCCAGGCCTTCCCAGGGCCAAACTTCAACTTTGCCGTATTCCTGGGGGCCTTGACGGCCATTGGAAGCGGCAATAACCCGGTAGCAGGTGCTATCATTGCTTGGGTGGGTATCTTTAGCCCGGGTCTGATCTTGGTACATGGTACAATGGGGATATGGAGTGCGATAAGAGGCAAAAGATGGGTGAAGGCTGTGATCAGGGGGTTGAACGCTGCCGCAGTCGGGCTGATCTATACCGCCGTCTACCGCATTTGGAATGTCGGCTACATCGACGAAGGCTTCCAGTTTGGAAAGAGCTTGGGCGATGACCCGTGGTGGGTAGTGGTAACGGCGACGAGCTACGTCGGTGGACGCTGGTTCAATCTCAAGGCGCCTGTGGCAATCATGCTTGGTGCAGTCATGGGGATGATCAGGTATGGTGTTGTATCTGCATGAGCGACACTCTCTTACATTGCTGTCTATACCATGTTGACAGTGGCCCATTCCCCACCATCGTACCAATCGCTTGGGACATTGGTGATGTTGCCAATTCTCTCCATACAACCCGGGAAATCAGGCGAAGAAGACCAGCTGAGGACGAGTCCAACGTAGTTATAGTTCAGCCACGGAGTACGTCCGATACAGAGAAAGATAGCTTGCCCATGTACATCTTCTTCCCACTCTTGTCCTCTTGCCCGACGGATGCACGGAACATTGGATGATACCGAAGAACCAACCTGGGACATCAGTTGTCCGTCCGCACGAAAATGCAGCTTCTTGCTTGTCGTATTCTTTTGTGGATTGCGATAGTAGACCCATTGCTCATTTTTGTGCCGCGAGGTTTCCACGAAACATTGCTTCACGCGGCCGCGTATGGTGAGTTTCCCTCCAGCCACCGTGCCGTACGGATTTTGGCCGTCCACATTGACATGTGCAGTGACCAGTTCGGAAAGGAGCTCAGGTTTTTGAAGAGGGTTCCAGGTAACACCTCGATCTATCGAAGCCCAGGACCAAGAGGGAACAACCCGACCGGATTCGTCTGGGTAAGTCAGTGCCTTATGCGTGGCTCCTGGCATGACTTGCCAGAGCAGGTCGAGTAGAAGGCTTTCTTGCCACATTCCAGCCAAGTACTTCGTCCGTTGAGCCTGCGGCGTCTTGCTAGCTGCGCCTGCAATGGCAGGTAGCTTGTCAGAAGCGAATGTTAGTTGACGTTGGGTGTAGGCTTTCACGGTCATGCGCCATTTCTCTGCGTCCGGTGGTTCTTCGCCAAGTGTGCCAGTACGAAGTAATGGGTAAGGTGGCAGTTGATCCTCGCTGCGGCGATGTGTTTTGCACTCAAATATGATTGCTCCAGGGGCAAAATGAATCGTGCGCTGAGCCAGGAATGTCTCCTGGAAGCACCAACCTCGGGAGTACAGCGGGCCAACACGCTTTAGGGTTGCCCAGGCACCTGTGTATGGTGGCTCGAGCAGGCCTTGCTCGAGAGGGGCGGCGAGTAAATGGCGTTGTCGAGCTATGATAGGCAAACTCTGACCGTCTTCAATCTGGGAGGTTGAACGTTTTGGCCAGCCACTCTGGCTCACGAGGGCCTAGGAAAGGTGTCTGAGGATTCGGAGACGAAGCACCACAAACCACCACAAAGGCTTGGCTATAAACCATTCCCATCCGCGAAGCTTCAATCTCCCAGTCCATCTTGTTGTCTTGAATGATGCATAAGGAGTCTATCCATATGTGTTGGAGTCCCAACTCGCGAGAAACCCGGATTCCGTCACAGAAGGTTGGAGGGAGGTCGGATATCTCCACCTTTTCCAGTAAGGCCTGAAGGTTTCCCTGAAGAAGTTTGAATGGGGCACCACCACCCCAACAATGGCTCAAAGCAGCCCATCTGATATTCTCTGTTGCAGGAATCCCCATACGAATGCGGAGGTCATCGTTGTCTTTTCCAATATAGAGAAGTCGGGTTGGGACAAAACTGGTGTCCCGAGGTTGGCTTTGACAATCCTGATGCTCGATACAGCACTGTGCCACGCACTCTCGGATGAACTCGAAGCAGGCATCGGAGGCGACCGTTTCCGCTCTGTGGCCAGTAGGGTCCATTGTTGGGATGTTGCCGAAAGTAGGGCTAGAAACCAAAGCGGCGGTCGGGTCGGGATACAACTCTAGATCGACGCGAGGAAAAAGAGTGTGGCGGTCATAGGTAAACCCCCAACAGTTGACAACGAGAGGCTTGCCCTCGCAAACCATGAGGCCTACAGAGATAGGCATCTTGTTCAGTGTCTCAGTAATCCAACTCATGTACTCGTCGATGAAGAAGGCGTCAAAGATATCGCACAGGAGCCTACAGTAGCGGCAATGGCGCTTGGGCAGGCCAATTGTCGGATCTGGCTCGCGGGCGTCAAGTAAATCGCGAGTGGAAATATTCTCCAGAGTAAGCATCGTGATAGTCTTCTGGGCACCAGCGCTCGAGGTAGCAGCCATAGCGACTTGTCGAGTGTTTTCGTGGTGATATGGTTGCAAATTGTTGCATACCAAACAGAGGCCCCGCGAGGATGCCGTCAACTGTCTCTTCACGGAGCGGCCAACGTATGTTGCTACCTGGGCAGCCGTGCCAGCGCCCTTGAGCAGAGATGATGTAGCATCGCGGAGAGATGCCCAGGAGTTCTGCATGCTGAGAAGCGTTATTTCTCTTCAGCTGGTTGCCCTAGTGGAAAGTGTCGCTATTACCAGGTGGTATCTGTCGTCCAAAATGTTGGGAGTCTCTAAGAGCGGAGAGGAGAAGAGGGCCACCTTCGGATGGAACAAGTCGGGGTCATTGTCAGCTCTTATATGCGGATTTAAGCCACATCGTGACTGTAGTTGGCATTGCGTAGGAGACTTTTACCGAGCTCCAGGGCTGAACTTGTTCTCAACCAATGCTGTTGTACTGTAGCATCTCAGCTCCTCGAGGGCACGACGCCGGCGCGCTGGCTTGTCTCTTGTCATCGCACGCGTAGATTCGGCACAATAATAATCAGCATGTCAAATTGATCGACGGAATATGCCTAATTTTCCATTTAACTACCCTGTCAGCTTTGATAGAGTTAGTTGCAGAGACAAAGGGTGATGAGGTTCTTCTGGGTCGCGAGTCGGAAAAGTCAAGTTTGGAAATGGAAGAAGTTGCTCTGCGGTCGAAATTCAAGCTCGGTGTCTGCAGCGCTGCATGTACAGCTCCACATACTTGTAACAGGAGGGGTAAATTACATAGTACGTGCTGCTGAAAGTTACGGTGATGGCGGGGTGCGCTAGGTACGGGTCGGTAACGCTAAGATTTCGGGCCGCTATTCTTGGCTTCTCAAGACAGGCCCAGGTCCCTGAGCATCCCCACTGGCAGTGCTTTAGTGATACTGTACGGATATTACATGTGCGTATGTTACAAACCCTTACACCCTTTCCTGCCACGAGTGGTCTAATATGTATGTAAATAACGAAGGAGACAAACAGGGCAGCTTCATGTACCTAATGTTACAGTCACGTTAAACGCAGCGAAGTCCCCTGAGAATCGAGATGCAGACCGGTGACGACTTGGTGCAACAACTTTCTTGTCACATCGAAATCCCGTCCCGTTTTAGACATTGACCCGGAAGTTCGAGATTCGATTTCGATCCGTTCATGTCCTCTACATATCTCACCTTTTCTTACCTCCACCCATTGTCGATCATCCCGCCATCCAACTCCAAAATTCCATTTCCCGATCCCATAATGCCGCCCTTAGCTCGGCGGTGGGGAGCGTCACTGTTGATTGCCTGTGTCACATGCTTCATCCTCTTTACTTCGCACCGTAACTTCGAACTGGCTAAGCTCAGATTCTTATCGTCCTCGAGTTCCTCCACTGCTGTCAACATCGACCATGAAGCAGGACTGGAGCCGACCCTCGTCTCTATACGAGATAGACTGCAGAACCCTCCCCAGTACTCCCGTTAACCAAGATGAGACAGCTGCCAACAGGAACGCCCTTGAGACTACCCACCGTACAGACCACATTTGCCCCCGAGTCTGACAAGGATCGAAACGTACGCGTTGAGAGACAAGCTGCCGTCAAAGATGCCTTCCTTCGCTGCTGGAACTCGTACCGCACCAAGGCATGGATGAGTGACGAGCTAGAACCAGTTAACGGTGGCCGGAAGGATACATTTGGAGGATGGGGGGCAACCTTGGTCGACAGCCTCGACACCCTATGGATCATGGGCCTGAAGGATCAGTTTCACGAAGCCGTTGCTGCCGCTGCCAACATCAGCTTCGAGTCCACCTCCCGATCCGAAATCAACGTCTTCGAGACCAATATCCGGTACCTCGGCGGCTTCCTCGCAGCATACGACCTTAGCCGAGACAAGAGGTTGCTGGAAAAGGCCAAGGAAGTGGGCGATGTCCTATACCTGGCCTTTGACACTCCCAACAGAATGCCCCAGACGAGGTGGAACTTCCATGACGCCGCCCGTGGAGAACGTCAGGTTGCTCATGATGCTGTCCTCCTTGCCGAGATTGGGTCCTTCTCTCTCGAGTTCATTCGTCTCTCCATGTTGACGGGCGATCCCAAGTGGTTTGATGCTGTGCAGAATATCATGGAGGCTCTCCAGAAACAACAGCAAAAGACACGTCTTCCCGGCATGTGGCCTGTCGTAGTCGATGCAAGACGGCAGGACTTTGGCAGGCACAACCAATACACGCTAGGTGCGATGGCCGACTCCCTCTACGAATACCTACCCAAAACTCACGCCCTTGTCGGCGGCTTGCTTCCCATGTACGCCGACATGTACAAGGCATCCATGGATACCGCCATTCGCTACAACCTGTTCCGTCCTATGATACCTGATCAGAAAGACATCCTGATGACAGGCATGGTTCTTGTCGGGTCAGAAAATGGAAAGAGAGTGACACGGTTGCGCCCAGAGGGCCAACATCTAGCTTGTTTTACTGGCGGCATGCTTGCCCTTGGAGGTAAACTCGTCCAGAATGGCACTCATGTGCATAAGGGGGAGAAGCTCATGGACGGGTGCGTTTGGGTGTACAAATCCATGCCCTTGGGCATAATGCCTGAAGTCTTCCACGTGCTACCCTGTGACTCGATTGACCACTGTCCATGGGACGAAGAAAAGTGGAAACTGGCCGTCGTTGAAGCGGCTGGTTGGGGACTGTCCGACAACAAAGAGGGGGATTTGCATAACGCGGACAGAATCATTAACCACAAAAGGTTACCTAAAGGCTTCCTGTCGATCCCAGACACCCGCTATATCCTTCGCCCTGAAGCTATCGAGAGCGTCTTTCTCCTTTACCGCATCACGGGTCGCCGCGACCTTCCGGACTCAGCCTGGGCCATGTTCCAGGCCATTGATTCCAACACGAGGACCGAATTGGCTAACTCAGCCCTGCTCGACGTTACCGTCAAGCAGGGGAAAGCGCCCATGAGCCATTCCATGGAGAGCTTCTGGCTTGGAGAGACGCTCAAGTACTTCTACCTCATGTTCAGCGAGCCGGATCTTGTCAACCTCGATGAATACGTCTTCAACACAGAAGCGCATCCATTCAAACGCCTCGTTCCTCGATAGTCTCCATCACATCCCCGACAGTGTCGCGCCTCGAGAAAGGACGATGATGCGTCAGGGAAGTGGGATCTGTATACCTACAAAGAGAGCTGGACGATGCACTACCACTTTCAACTCAACTAATATATAATACAACTAATTGAACTGTTATTCCGCGTTTGAGCGTTCGTGAAGAGGGTCTGTTCCTGAGACTTGCATTGCATGGATTATAACTTTGCACTTTGAAATAATTCTGATGGAAAAGAACTGGCATATAACGCGAGAATTACGCGGACACTCGGACGTCCTTCTCTCCACTTGCACGACAGACAGTAGTGGTCGCTAGTCACCTTATCCATTCTCGCACCTTCCTTCTCAACCGCAATCTCCTCCGTTTGGTATTTAACCACGTCGTGCATCAACATTTCCCACGCTCTACTTCTCATCAACCATCTCCTCCTTTCGACCTTTGGTCAAGTCACCTTGAACATCAGAGCGCCCTTTCGCAACAACCCCTCCTATTTTTGATCTTTGGTCGAGTAAGCTCGCGCATCACAAGGCAGGCAAACCACGATCACCATTTCTACCGCCTTTCTTTTCAACCAACGATCTCTTCTTTCATCTCTGGCAAGTCACGCATCACCAGTTTTCACGCGCTTCTTATTTCAACAACGATCTCCGTTGGACAACAATCACCATGTCTCATATTCTCCTTCTCGATAATAGTCTCCTTTCCTTAATCGTTGCTCAAGTCACCGAACACGCTGATCGCCTCTCTCTTCGACAAACCTGCCACGTGTTTGAGGCTCTCGTCTCTCACCACCTCTTTCGCCAAGTGACGGTCTCCCCCATCGGCAATGATCTTGCCAGATACCTGCGCGTCGCTTATAGTCCTAGGCTAAGCAAACACATCCAGCAGCTGATCTTTCTGGAGCTGGACTGTCCCATCGCGGAAGGCCACAGGAACCAGTGGCCTTTCCCGCCTACCTCCGCACCCTGGGAAAGCCAGGTTCTTTGCGAAAAGAACGGTCTGTTTTGGCACTCATATTCGCCCTTGGAAGTTCCAAGTGGAAGCAGCGATGAACAACTGTACAAGGTACATGACGGACTTTTGCCTGTGTTTCTGGAGGCCATTGCGCGGATGCCCAAGCTCCGCACATTCGTCTCCATCCCCTGCGATTATGATACCTACTGGGTTCGCTGTGGAATAGATCTCGCGCTTGCCCGATCCAGAGATTTCCGAAGCCATCGTTGGCCGTACGCCTATCGGCCGCAGCTCAACACGGAGGAAAATGCCCCAGCAAGCAACATCTTCATGAAAGGGGCCGAACTTTACGTCCTTCCAGCTCTAGCTCAAAAGAACGTGGTCAGCAACAGGTGGCTCCAGCTCTATTGGCAGAGCAGTACTTACTTCATGTTCAAGGCTCCCCCATTTCCCCTTCAACTGACGCACTTGCCATGCCTATCCGAAAATCTTGGCGTCTTTGAATTTAACATGGGCACAATCGACAACCCCGTGGCGGAGCCGGAGCGCCGTCAACGCCATCTCGAGTTGCAACACAAACTGTTTTCTTGTCTCGCAAACGCCCAAAACCTCCGCACCCTACGACTCTCAGCATTCCAAAGATCCCCAATCTCATGGCCCTACGCTAAGAAGGCCCGTGACAATTACTTCTTCGATCTCCTGGCTGGACAAGCGACTGATCCTAGCCGCGGTGAGCTTTACCTACCCAAGCTCGTCTGTCTGCGCCTTGAGACCGTGAACTTCAGTCAGGCGGCTTTGATAAAATTCGTCGCGCGTCACGCCAAGACTCTGCGCCGCATTCACTTAGATGACTGTCGCCTGGAGTTCAACACCGTTAAGCGTCTAGCCAGACTGCCTCTGCATCTCGACAAGTTCGAAGTGACCTCGGTCACGGGAATGATCCGCAACATTGGGAGGATGGGAGATCAGCAACACCATTTTTTCGGAGGCCATTGGACCAGAATTTTCGAGTACATCGCCCCGGCAAGCCTCCTTGGGTTGATCAACAACCATACCTCACCAGCAATCGCGTGGGAAAACCTCGAACCCACCCGCTTTGGCCGCATGCCCTACCAGGCACACTTCAACTTCCTGGCCACAACTGAGGATGTCAGGGGATCTTACCGAGTCATGGATGCCAAGGGGATCGTTGTGTATGGTGGCAACGAATTCGAGCAACGCTGGGAAACGCTTGTTGAAGAAGGAAAGGGAATCGACTTCCGACAGCCCAGCCATCCGGAGATGGCGAATTGCTTGGGCGACGAACACGGAGATGGAACGTACTACCCTGATGATGGTGCGGTCCGCTATGCGACTGGTGAAGCACCTGGACTCGTCACTGCTGATTCGGTACTTCTCGAGAAGCTGAAGCGGCGTGCTTTGGAGCTCTCACTGTCACCCAGGGATATGGAAGAGGTGCAGGCGCTTATGGATAGCTGCAAGCGCGAGGAGGGGGGACGAGGTAATGAGGACTCGTCCTGAAGGGGACCACACTTCCACCACTGTCGAAGCAATGTCAGAACAAAGATCCATAAGCAGACTCGCAGCACCTGCTGGAAGACCTGAGCTATATGAGATGGAAAAGGATACACAAAGAGCTACTTGCATCGGAGGACAAACAGAAGGGACACAACAGGGCAAACATGCATTCAATAGCTAGGAATAATCGCACAGGTACGTAGCTCAAAGATCTTATCTCATGAAACTTCCATTCCAAGTGATTCTCTGTGACTACTTACAGCAGCATCCGAAGTTGCCTAGTGCTGAGCTGCTGATGGACATTGATATCCGCAGCAAAGCGGTTTCGGAGGCAGTCAACATGTCGTGCTCAGTGCGGGCCTTCAAAGAGCCACCTATGTGACTCTCATCCCCATCAAAAAGACAGATCTAACACGACAATGGGCAAGAGCATCACCGTCCTGCGTTAGTGGCCATCCGAGCCGTCCAAGGTGTGGAAAGAATCGACCGCTGTTGGTTAGCAAGATGTCGAAGTCGCATCAACGGCCAAAGCTCGGAAACTTCATGGCGGCTTGAATTTCATCCCGTTTGGCCAATCGGTAACAACGGTCAGCCGGGAAAGGCATCATCCACGAGGGGAACCGGTATGATGATGGTAGATCGGGTCGATGGCGCAATGCTCGCCAAGGCACATATCTAACCCTAACCCTTTACCACTTACACAACCCCCTTTCCCGTTGCAGGGGGTCTAGGAAACGGGATGGACAAAGAAATGGCATCTGATTGAAGTCTAGAAGCTGCATTTCCTTCCTCCTTTTAGTAAAGCTTCATGGCGACAAGGCAATCACGGTCCTGGAATGTTTGTGAGGGGAGATTTGCGGGGTTGAAGCTTCACGTCATCACCATTGTAAGCACGCAATCGACTTTCGGGATATCGCAATGGTCTTGGGGACGCCGCACCAGAACCGGCCACTCGGTTGGGTTAGCTTAGTGACCGGCTAATGATCACGCAATCGACACCAATCAGCAACACAACCACTATTATAAAGATGATGGTCTTCGAGATGGTTGCCAGAATTCATTTGATGTGTTGAATCATCAATCAATCAGTTTCATATATCTTCATTATACCCCCCTCATCTTTCCTCAAGAGTAGTGCATTGCATCTGCAGCCTTCATCAGTCACTCACATATTCACAACACTTCAAAGACATCTCATCCCTCCTGTCTTTGATAACTCGCCACTCCCTCACTCACTCACTCTTCACTTTTACACATACACACATACCCTCACACAAAATGGCTCCCGGAGCTCTCGTCGAGGAGGCCCAGCCTGCCGTCGTCTTCAAGCACAAGAACGCCTACATCAACAACGAGGCCCCCCGCGACATCTTCCCCGACGGCATCCGCACCTCGGGCCAGCACGCTCCCCTCTACGACGTTCTGAAGCCCTACTCCGAGTTCCCCAAGGAGATTTCGGGCCCGACCGTCTGGAAGCGCGAGGACTTCGTCAACAACCCCGAGCGCTGGGTTCACCCTTTCACCGATGAAGAGGTCCAGGAACTCTCCGACACGGCGGACGCCTTCATCGCCTCGGGCACTCCCCTGACTGGCATCTCGCAGGAGAACTTCCCGCTGCCCAGGCTCGGCAAGGTCCTCCAGAACCTCCGCGACGACCTGCTCAACGGCAAGGGCTTCATTTTGTTTAAGCGCTTCCCCGCCGACGTTTGGGGCGCCGAGAAGAACGCCGTCGCCTACATGGGCCTGGGCACCTACCTGGGCTACTTCATCTCTCAGAACGGGCGCGGCCACGTGCTCGGCCACGTCAAGGACGTCGGCGACGACCCGACCCAGATCCACACCGTCCGTATCTACCGCACCGCGGCGCGCCAGTTCTTCCACGCCGACGACGGCGACATCGTCGGTCTCCTCTGTGTGCACCGCGCGCAGGAGGGCGGCGAGTCTGATATCGTCTCTGTCCACAACGTATGGAACACCCTTCAGAAGGAACACCCCGACGTCGCCGAGCTCCTGACCAAGCCCATCTGGTACTTTGACCGCAAGGGCGAGGTCTCCGAGGGCCAGGAGGAGTGGATCCGTCAGCCGATTGTGTATATTGAGAACGGCAGCAAGGGCAGACTGTACTGCAAGTGGGATCCCTACTACGTCAAGTCCCTCACCCGCTTCTCGGACAAGGGCCTGATTCCTGCGCTCAGCGAGGAGCAGTTGAGGGCTATGCAGATTCTTGAGGAGACGTGCCAGAGGCTGGCGCTGCACATGGTTCTTGAGGTTGGCGATATCCAATTCTTGAGCAACGCGCACTTGTTGCATGCTCGTACTGCTTATAAGGGTGAGTTTTTGTTGTCTTTGTTCTTTCACATGGATGAGATTGGTACTAACTTGTTACCTTGTGACAGACTTCGCCCCTCCTGCTCCCCGCCGTCACCTCCTCCGTCTCTGGCTCTCTACCCCCGAGAGCGAGGGCGGCTGGGCTCTTCCCATGCCCGACAGCGACGAGAAGAAGCGTGGTGGTATCCAGGTGAACAACACTCCTCCCAAGGCTCCTCTCGATGCCGAGTAAAGAAAAGCACTGGCTTCTTTCTTTCTCTCTCTTCTTTTTCTTTTTCTCTACTTCTTCCTCACATGTAACAATTGGTTTCCACACTACTTTTCTTTTCTTTTCTTTTCTTTTCTCTTCATTAACTTGTACACATGAAACGGCGGTGACTGGCTGGTTGGAAAGACAAAAGAACAGGCCGGGGCATGACATACCTGCAAAGTAGTAGGGAGCCCTTTCGGAGATCGACATATGAGACAGAGGGAATCCTGGGAAACAGGACATGATATAGCATAAATGGCATTGACTTACGAACGCTTCACTTCTTCGCACGGTGGTTTCTTGTATGTTTCATTGTCAGCTTCACACTTTGACTGGACTGTCTGCCAACATTAGCTTCAGAGGAAGACTGAGGTGGTGAGTACATACATATACAAAGTCCATTTCCCCCTTGCTTTTCCCGCTCACTGCAGACATGTACACTGACCATAACCAACAGAATTCGAGTGTCTCATCTTGCCTCATCCGGATCACTGACTAACTCAGTACCGCCTGCACGCCGTCCATGTACGTACAGATACCATGACTACGGCCTCATGAAATGTCACTTCTCAATCAACTAGGATTTCCATCCATCTCCCTACTTTCTTCCGATCTTCGTCAAACTCAAATACACCATTCTGACATTTCTTCTACACCCATATATTTTCTCACTCCCATCCCGTCCCTACCTACAACTACGTGACCGACTTTCTTCCTATATCTCGCGAGTTCATGCGCAGACAGTTAATGCGCAGGGTTTAGTTGTTCTTTTTGGCACTTGATTGCAACTCCACAGGCCCGTAGTAGTTACTTTGTTCTCGGAGCCGGTTTCGCAATCACCCCAGAATTTATTCGGATCGATCTTGACCTCTTCGCAGGTTTCCTCAGTGGTGCGCACAAACACCACCCTCTGACACGTTAGACACAGCGTGTGAGAAATGTAATTTGTGCACATCCTGGATACCGTAGCTGGCAATAATATGGAAGAGGGCAGACCGTCTGTGGTGGTATAGTGGTATGGTGGTGATAGTAGGGTTGGGTCGAAAGTTATTAGACTAGAGTATTGGTGCTATGACGTGTTGTTATTGTTTTGCTTGAGTCATACCTTGGTTCTCTCAAGAGCTTTTTGTAAGTGGGTTGATGCTGTGAGGATTTGTCAACGAAGATTGATTGAGACCCCATGGTCCATACTTCTATACGATGACGCATAAGAGTGTTCTCAGAATCACCACCCTATCTTCCCATTTTAACAATTTTCCATTCCAGACAACAGCTCTAGATGGCTTAATTTCGTTCCATGTATCCTCCTATAAGTCCCAAATGCAATCTCAACCTCCAGGACCCATGCTTGATCAAGCTGAGGTCTCCCACATTCCATTTCTAGGAAGGCGTATCAAATCTTTGCTCGCATGAAAGACAAAACAGTATAAACTCAGTGTCCACCTCGTTGGCAGAGGTTCCGCAATCGCCCCAGGACTTGTTGATATCATTCTTGACTAGCTCGCATGGTTCCTCTTTAGCGTAGACGAAGACTATCTTCTCGCATGTCCTACACACCCGGTGCCAGATGTGGTCTGTGCACATTTTGATGCTACTGAAGCTATTTGGAGGCAGGTCGGCTGTGAGCGGTCCCGGCAGTAAGAAGGTTAAAAACTGCTGGAGCCAATATTATGGTTCAAATTTGCCTTGAATTCTCAAGAGATTTATGTGTACTCGGATGCACTGTGGATCTGACAAAGAGGTCTACATCACAATGTGACCCGCCATACTCGGTGACCAATTAATCTTCGCTGGGAATCACCGATTCATTCGCATCTTCCCACGAGTTATCATCTGACTTCATCCTAGCAGCATCAACGGACAGGACACCAGGAATGAATCCCGTTCTCGGCGAGTGTACCGGCCTGCAACGCCTTCAGCCGAAGCTGATATTCTTCCTGTTGGAAATGCCTACCCAGGTGCAACATCCACTCTGTGAGCTTGTCGGAGTCACGACAGATGTGAGTCGTCTTGGCCGAGGCAAAGTTGGCTTGCACCCGTTCCATGTACATCTAGGGGATGGTGCTAATGTCGGAGTAGCACATGATAGCCTGGCGAAGGTTATTTGTGCAGTGTTCTGTTTGTTTGGAGCATCAGCTTGACTCCCATATGGTCGAAGTCTCTACCAAATCCAAATACTCACCGAGATAGATCCAATACTTCTTGCATTGCTGATCCGTCATGTCTCGATTGCTGCGTAACTATCGGATAGCAAGCAATGAAGCTGGTGGTAAACTTCTGACCCTACGATGTACCCATCTTTCTCTCCTGGGGTAAGCAGAGTCTGGTTTGGCAACCTCTGGGCATCCTCCTTGGGAATCTTAATGACAACAATGTTGATGTGCAGATCTTTCCAAGCCTTGACAACTTCGTCGTTTGGTGGTCCCTGCCATTAAATGTTGTCTTCGAAGGTATCATGGAGGACAACCTCTTTCCTCTGTGTTGCCTTGATGACTGGAGAAAATACTTCTGGCATATCTTTGAGGACGTAACCTGCACAACGACTGACCATCAGTGTTTGTTCTTTACCTTTGAGGTGTTTTGGTAGCTGTGGTTGGATCTTACCGGTGAACTGAGACTCTACTTTGACATCTCGATGCTCTGTAAACTCTCGGAGAGCCGAACCCAGGACTAGAGGTACCAGGACAAGTAAACTAGACAGCAGTATGGCTGCCAGTCTGAGTCATCGAAGTTGCCGTCTCAGAGGACCATTAGTTTTGTGTTTCGCTCTTGAGGGTGTTCAGCCGTTCTGTACCGATCCTCTCTTCAGACTCTGCCCCTCGAAGGGTGTTGTACGCGATGCGAGCGTTGGTGTCTCGCAGTCACGACGTTGGCCACGAAATACTTGGCGAACATCTTTTTTACGTTTCCCGGAGAGGAGTGAGAAGCTGTTAAAACGAGAGATATGAACAGGACGGACGACGACCGGGCCTGAAGGATGAGAGGCAGGAAGCAATACAAACCGAACTTATCGAGCATCACCAGCTCCTTGAGCCTGGGAGATGGGACCTACTCGCCTCTCCTTGACCATCTTCGAGCTGAACCCAAACGCAGGCGGAGATGGGGGCAGCTCCCGGGAAGCAATAGCAATGATACTGCAAAGCACGTTTTGTCGCTGAGCGCTTGTAGAATGGCGTGCACGGTTCACAGAACCGATGTTGTCGTGATCATGGTGGAAGCCGAAGGTTTCCCCGAAGGACTCATCGGTTGCCTGCAATTGTGGGGCTGTCAAAACGGTGAGCTTCAGGGGATGCGAGGTGCTGTTATTAGTGGCCTCTGCTGCAATTCACCTATAGTGCCGCCAACGACATCCATCCACTAACAGGCCGTGACAGAGGAGATTACTCACAGTTTGCGATCGGCGGGCCAATGGTCTTACACGGTTTCAGACAAGGCGACCCTGGTGAAAGTAACGACTTGAGAAGATAGCGCAAAGCCGCAAACCGCGACATCGTGGGGAACGAGCAAAGATTCGAAATGTGCGAGAAAAGAATCATGATCAAGAATTGAAGAATTTGTCCTATCATCACTCTGGAAGGATGGTGCTGTCGGCGGAAAACTTCCTTTGTCGCCTGGCGGGGCACATTTGCGATCGTAGGTTTTGCGGGAGCAGAGCACACTTTCGGGAAAGAGCGAAGGGGACGATAGCACAGAGTTTTCACCCAGTCTGCAACACTTTGGATCTCCTGTCTCTCTGCACTTTCCCAGAAAGTTCCTGAAGCCCAAGGAGAAAGAAGCGGCGCTTCACTTCTTTCCTCACATCAAAAGATTTCAGGATCTCCCTATCCAGTCATGCCTCGTCCATCTTACAACCAACTGTGACTTGGAGGGCGATGACTTTGAGGACGATCCGAGTCAACACTCCACCTTGCTGAACGGTGAACCGCCACTCGGCAATATTCCCACACCAAAACATTCAATGACCAAACTCTACATCGCCATAATCATCGAGCCATTCTACTTACCTACTATTCTTCTTGTCTTCTTGATAACCCCCTTCACCCGCATCCTTTCCCCTAAACTCAAGTCCTCACCCGACAGGTCCTCACCCCCTCTCCACCGACCGCCTGACCTCAAAGACTGCGGCCTTTCTCCCACATGAAGTATAGGTTGTGACTGGGAGATTTGGATGGCCTTGTGAGTCATTGACTAAGTCTGATCTAGAAAGAGAGAACCGGATTGGAGGGTATCTGATAATGTTTCTTCATTTTTCTTTGCCCTGGATGGAGGGGGGCGTATGGTTTTAAACACTGGGTGATGCAAGACGAGTAGATTTGGCCTGACATGCCGTAGGGCTACAACTCACTTGAGAAGATGTCAGATTGCCAAGGCAAGTAGGTGCTGTTCTCGGTCAACCACCCGAGCTGAGTCTTGAACAATCTCGTAGGAGCTCAGGTTTCGCCTTCCGTGAACATCCTAGAGTTCATCCTTTAGAGCCAACGTCGCTGTCATCAACCATCTCCACTCCTCCATCATTTCCATCGAGATCCCAGAGACTCCGGGCAGCTCCTGCTCTGCATGGACCAGGCAGACATCTGTCCTGATTAGGGGGAGGGATGACTTCGGTGAGAGCAACTCGCCGTTCCAACAACCCGCAAAGCCCGCAAAGCCTGCTCATGATGCTCATGATGTCGAGTTGTCGTTGTTTCTCGGTTCACTCGCCGTGCCGATGGGACGGAAAACACGAGGGGTTACACAGTTCTGGGGGGCGGTCCTAGGAAACCTTCTTGAGTTTTGAGCGGGGTAAACGGCGAGGAGTCTCGTGAAGCAATTTCATAGACCTTGGGAGGAGGGTGATAGCGACCTGCGTAAAAGTAAGGTAAGCGATGCAAAGACAACCAAGATTGAGATAAGGTTTTATCGATGTAGCTATGAATTGGGTGTCTCGTAAGACCGGCTCCGAGTCGGCATCAATTGTTACCAGGACCTTAGGTAAGCGTCTCGAAGATTCTTGATCTCTGTGATCCCAAGTCATCCACTCCTTCTTTTCACGTTCTTGGGATAGAATAGCGAGAGATATCAAGACCATGTCAGTGATGCCTTCCTTCAGAATCCAGGGCTAGGTCGGGTATAGCCGGGGAGGAACGACTGTTAGTAAGGGCTGATAGGGCTGGTACCGCCTTTGTATGGGTTCATCTTCCCTTTTTGGTCTTGCATGCTACGTCTTCCGGGGGCTGTGTATTTATGCTGGAACCAACAGACATTCCCCGCTCCATGACAACCACTTCCACTCGATGAAAAACATTCCCAGTCGAAATCAACATTAGTCGTCATCTTTCACCGCCATCCTTTCCACAATCATCTTTTCCACCATGAATATTCCGTGGCCAACCCTGAGCTCTATACCACCAGCTCCAAGCTCTGGATTGCCGACCGAGACAACCACGGACACCACCGGCAAGGTCCTCAAAGGCAACTGCCACTGCGGCCGCAATCGCTTCGACTATTCGCCTCCACATAACCAAACGCTCGAGGATGTAGCTGTGAAATGCTCCTGCACGCTCTGCTCCAAGAAGGGGTACATTTGGCTTCCCTTTCCTTCAACGCCATCCGAGGGCGAATTAAAGTGGACACGAAATGATGGGGTGACTAAGTATTGGACTCCTTTTGTATGGGATAAGGTGAGTGTTCTGACTGTGTCCAGAGTGGTTTCGGATCAAGCATAGTGCGCGTTGCTGACACTGAACACCTTGAAGTTCTGTAGCAACTGTGGCACAGGACTGGTAGGCGTGCATTTGTATGGACCTTTGAAGGGACATGCGTTGGTCAATGTGCGGGCTATTCAGGGCGCCAATACCTTCTTCCTTGAGTATGAAGACACTACTTCCCTGTATCACAAAGGTCAATGTTTGCTAACCAGCTTCCCAGCTCGGTTATCAAGACGGTCCATCTTGAGGAGGAAGGACCCTTTGAACCATTGGCTTTGAGTCCAGATGTCCTGTACAATGGTAGCTGTCACTGTGGGAACGTTCAGTTCCAGCTGAAGAAGCACGGACAAGAACTGGAAAAGCCATGGCCAGTCAAAGAGGACAACTGCAGTTCGTGTGTGAGAGTAAGCAGCAACACCTTTCTCTACCTATACGCAGCCATCAACAGTTACTAACCATTGCGTCCACCCAATGTCAGGATGCTTTCGTCGGGATCTATCCCAGCAAGGAATTTGTTTTCATTCCCGAGGAATCATACAACAAGGCTTTCGAGTACAGGTATAATAAGGGGAGGAACGCTATTCACCATTGTTCAAGTTGCGGCGTGATGGTTTTTATGGTAATCCACGGGCCTCCCAACCTCGCAGAAATACTGGAGAAGTTGAAGAAGGAAAACCCTGAGCGGTATCGGGTGGCGAAGGGGATGGCTGAGCTGAACCTGAGTCTGCAACCCTTAAACGTGCGGACGCTTGAGGGTATCGACTGGGAGTGTATTCGGCAACGGGTGGAAAGAACTGATGAGGGGACCGAGGGCTATGTTATCGCTGGTTGAGCAACACTTCGGTTGGCCGCGCTGAGTGACGGAGTCCATTTGACGTCAATGTGTTAGGTTTCGATTGACTTCGGGTTTGTTATTAGATTCTGCTTAGTATCCGTGGTTTAAATATGACAACAGCCTTATGATATAATTAAAAACCTGACGAAAGAACAAAAGCCTGATAGGCAGTGAACAAGGAGGTGGTCAAGGTGAAGAGTCGGGTTGAAAAAAGAAGATAGGTAAGGTGGAAGCTCAAACCCGCCTAGGGTATTACTCTCGCACAGGTCCCGGCCGGCCGCCAATCTGTGCGCTACGAATACCCGGCTTACAGCGCTTGCCGGGCCGGGCCGGTAGCGCCGGCGGGTCACTTCCAGGTACCTAGAGGTACCCCGCGCCAAGGGAGGTCCCCGCCAGGTTATCCTCCGGTGGTGTGGACTTACCCCCGTCTTGTCTCAATAAAGAGTATCATTTCCGAGTGATAATGCTCGGTTCCGTGCACGGAGAGGTAGAGTTTGTGGTTCTGAGGCGCTCCGAAGGGACCAGTTATCCTTCCGCGATATACCAACGAGTGAACACTATTCAAAGAATGAATTTATTAACAATTTGGCTTCACGAGGAAATGCAAGGCGGAAGAGGATTGGGTTGGGAAATGAAGGAGACTGGGATTAGGTGATAATTTGGAACTTCGCATGCTTCTTCCCCTCGCTCAGTCATTAAGCACTATGTATTAGACACATATACCCCCCTAGTCGTGACCTTCATAACCTTCATGTTCCATAACCCATACAAATGCTGTGTAAACACGCTGATTACCTCCCACCAGACACTCTCCACGTAGTTGATCCAACCCACAAGCCAGTCACAACCAGCACACTGCCTAACAAACAACATCTTCACGCATCTTTTCTTTCACTCCGACAAAGGATTAAGCCACAGCAGTCATCTCCTTCGGAGCAACACTCAGATCAACAGGCGAACACCTCACATCCCTCGTCGAGTAAATCTGTCCCTGGGTCCAGTTCTGGTTCACCCACTTTGACTCGCTGCACTCCAACTCGAGGTTGACAGCCGCATATCCCGTGAACGTGGTACTACATTATCATAATCAGCCATCACGTCCCAACTCATACACGATCCAAGATGTTGTACTCACGGATACCTAGGATCCTGATCCCGACAAGTCCAGCTCTGATTAAACCTCAACTCGCCCGTCGGCCGATTAAAGTCAAACGTCGTCTCGCCCACGTCGTTACTCTTTACACCTTCAGGTGTATTAGTGCAGGTGTACTGTACGGTCCCGTAGAAGAAGTCGGAGAGCTGGCTGCTAGAGGCGCTGCAGACGGTTGTGACGGAAGAACCGATGGCCGGGTTCGTCAAATTGAAGTTCACGTAGCCCCACGAGTTTTGATGCGCCGGCGTCGTGAAGATGAAGGAGGCGTGGTAGTCGAAGGATGTCATGGCCCAGGAGAAGTGGCCGAAGGAGGTGCTAGCGCAGGGGGGGTGGTCTGGGTTTGATGGGGGAGTTGTGGTGGTGGTTTCTTGGCGGGTGGCGATGGGGGATGCTGAGGAGAAGGGGAGGAGGAAAGCGGCCGCTAGGGCGGTGGTGAGTGTTGTTGTGAGCATTTTTGTGACGTTGTGGATGAGGTAGAGCTTATTGGTGTGGTAGCTCTCAGTTGGGTGTAGGTGATGTTGAACTTGAGATTGGTGAAGTGTGGTAGAAGTAGTTCACGATGAGGTGAGGTTGAGGATGTATTAGTATTAAACAGAATGATACTAGGGGTCTTTTCTTTAGAAGGCTGGGAGAAGAGAGATCGGCTTCTTGTGACGCAGATCGTTATTTCTTATGTGGTGTAGTTTGTGGTGTTAGTCCAGGTCCTGAGTCGTGGGGTTCCTTAGCTGCTGCTTTATAGCTTTGCTATAGCAGTCAAATCAGTATAGGAGCAACGTGAACTTGGTACTATCACCAGTTTTTACCCAATGGTCAACAAATGATATTGGTAGCTGAACCCAAGTCATCTTGCATCTCGTGTTCTGATATGCAACTGTAACGTTATCTTGTTCCGCCTGGGACCAGTTAGATGAGTTAAACAAGGTGAAAAGACCCGGAAAGGCGGTCGGCCGTCGGTACTGCCGTTTGTGGTTTCCTTTCACTTTACTTTCTCTGTGGTCAAGTTCCATCCCAGGCTTTTTTTCCCCAGCGACTCCAACCCCAGCCACCATGTTGGACCGTCTGTGCCGCCTGGGCCGTCGATACAATGTCTTGATGGGTTGACGATCCGCGACGTAGTTAGGGCTGCAGATCTCCGAGACCCCTCCTCGTGGCGTGCCAGATGTCGGTGTAGGTTCGGGATTGGTGCCATGGTATACCTACTACCATGGGTTGAGCTTGTACAGACAAATAGTATCGCTACCTAACGTGTTCAGTGTTGTTCGAGGTGTTGTCGTTCCTGTTGTGTCCTGGTCCGGCCACAAGCATAAAGATGGTGATGGGAAGGTAACACGGCTGCTACCAAAAAGATGCGGTGTCTATCCGGTCCTTCTTCCTTTTTTGCTCTGGGATGCCTCCATTGGGGCTCGTATTCCCAGGTTGGTGCGGAGCATAGCTTGTATATTCCGCATAAAGGTGTGGGATGGATGTTACCATCGATCTGTTGCCCCTTCTGGTTCAGTGGTTGTGTTGTCTGATGTTTTGCCAGATCAAGATTTGTACGTAGCCAATTGTAAGACACACAGACGGGTGCCTGTCTTGGGCGCCGTGGATTTTGTTAGTGGTTGCTCCAAATGCTCCTATAAGCGGCCGAAGCGGGGTAGCAAGCCAGTGGTTTACAGAAAATGGCTGACGTCCTGCTTCAGTTCTGCCCCATCGATGCTTAAATCTTGTAGAGTGCCCAGGAAGATCGTCATCCATCGCTGCCAACCCCCGCGCCAGGACACGCCCTCCATTTCTTTCCCCAACCACAACTTTCAACGTCCCGTCATCATGGACGGACGGCTGGGAGCTGCCGGCCTATCCGTCAACATGCAAAGATCCGGCGCCATCAACATCGCCGTCATTTAGTCTCACCTATTTTTGTCAATTGATTTCGGAGGTAACCGTAAACCGTACTTACCCAACCTCACGGCAACCACCATTGGGCCGTCTCCGACCGAACTTCCCTTCCGTCGGCCTCCCGGGGGAAAACAACCTGCCACTTCAGCCATTCCACGCCACGCCCATGCCATTACGTGCAGCAGCCAGGCGATCCAGGGCGGCAGTGCCACACTAAGCACCGAAGCATCGTGGAACCCGAATAGAATGAATGGACGCCTTCCTCGCGTATACGACTCCGCTGGCCGCGGCTGGGTGATCTGGCCATCCACGGTACCGGCCACGATACACAGACCTAGGCTGGAGCTGCAGAGGTAGCCGAGGGGGGCGGCCCTGTGGCCTTCGCGCGCGCTGTCTGGTTACACACCAAGTACGACGTGGAGAGACAACGGGAAGACGGACATGGTCGGAAAAGGAGGTGAGCAAGAGACAATGACGACAGAATCGTCTAGACCGTATGTCGGTCCTTTGACATTCACCTCACCGACTATGCCCAAAATCCGTACCTTGCAGCTCGATACTGTCGCCAAACTGAGCCATCTAACCTCAACCCATTCTGTTGTTTGGATCACGACTTTTTCACTGCAAACACAACAGTATCGCTCGTTCATCATGGCTGCTGTCCATCAAAGAGTGGCCCAAGATATGCACTATACATTTTTTTTAACGACTTCTAAGTTACAGCAACACAAAACACCATCAATCTTATCACGTCCAGTACCCATATCACACCGACCCATTCACCCCAAAGTCTACCGAGTCTGGGTTTACCACTTTCTCATCTGATGTTTCATCCCTCCGTTTACTTCTTCTCCATACCCTCCATCGGGTTTCCGGGAATGGAGTCGAGCCCTGAGATAGGCCAGTCAAATTAGCAAATGCCACTCATCAACGGCCAGATCTTCTATTGCAGACTCACATCCATCGATTGGCTCGTCCACGAGTACCTCGTTGTACTTGCACTTGTTCATGGCCGACACGCTCTGCGTCTTCAGTGTCGGGCAGTTGACATAGCACGCCGAGTCCATGGCCCGCTGCAAGGAGTCGCCCTTCCAGCCAAACATATAGTCGCCGTGGGATCCGAAACCGGTACTGTTTGTCCTTGTTAGCAATCACTTCATCTTCCACTTCCCATCTTGTGAGGGCAACGTACTGATCACCCATAGACCAGACAAAAGGCTGGGTGCCATCCTCGGGCCAAAGCTCCTTGTCGTTAAACATACTAGTGTCCCAGATGGTCTCGTACATCAACTGGGGTACCCGTACGGGATGGCTAGCCGGGCAAGGCCCGCCGCTCTCGAAGGTCCCGGATTCCGGATACGTCATGTGGCTCATGTGATCCGGCGTGTCGAGGTTCTTGCCATCCCAGCAGGTTGGGAACCTCACGTTGGCCATGATGCCGGCCGGGCACGGCTTGGTTGGGAAGTTCAAGGACTCGGGGAAGCGAGTGCCAAGGTCCTGGAGACATGTGTACGTGATCTGCCGGAACCGGGTAGCCTGCTGCTTGCTCCGGTAGGAAGCCTCGCCGATGAGCATGCGGAATCCTTGCTTGAAGGCGGTTACCTTTGACGTCTGCTGGTAGTTGGCGAGCCCGTCCTGCATGTAGTACACGGTCATGCCTCCGGTGGAGCCTTCGAAGCCAATGTTGGGAACCTGAGGGACCCGGTGGTAGGAGCCATTTCTGGCACGGAAGAAGAGCACGGCGGTCCAGTAATTGGAGAAGTCCTCCGAGAACTGGCAGGTTGTGCATGTGGCCTTTTCTCCAATGTCTTCTCGGGGGTCCATGGAGAGGCTGAAAGCATTCTTGATCGGATATTAGTCACTTGAACAAGGGTCGTCAAGGGAAACGGAGACTTACGCCGCCGATGATCTGGTGAAGATGAGGTGAGGGAGAGAGTCCGGGGTTGACGAGCGGATCGACACGTTGGACGGTGAGCTGCGAGCAGCCAAATCGGATCAACGCCGTCGAAGGCGCCACAAGCGCGAGCGCGGTGAGTGAACTCCAGTGCATCTTGTCTTCCCTTTGTCCGAATCAATCAAGGGGTTGTTGATGTCGTGTTAAAAAGACTCTTTGTCGACAACCTTTTCTCTGAGTTGGGGTCCCTCTTGGAATGGAAGACGATGACGAGCAGACACTCGAAAATCTGTCTGAAGAAAAGACACAGCAGGCAAACCGGGTAACACATGTGGTGATGGGGACAGCATGAGCCTTTATCCTGCGAGATCCTCCTGGCCTCATCTGTTCCCATTTCCCTCCCATGGTTCTTTTCATTTACTCCTTACGAGCCGCAGCCGTACCATGTGCCGGGCTACTAAAAGGGGCTCTAGAAGAGACGCGACGATCACTCACAGCCCACAAAGTGCTGTGGGTCCCTCTCCCGCCGCGTTGTCCCATTGCTATCATGGCCAAGCCCTTTCAAGGCGGCTACAATATTACGAATGATGGCGATAATGCATCCATGATGAGGGGTGGTGTTTTGGCATCAACTGCCGGCTGTTAACATGGTTGCTATGCAATCTACGCTGACTTCTAGGCACTCTCCTCAACCTTGCTTCCTACAATTCATCCGCTCAAAACGACGATAGCCCCCGCCTCGAGCGAAGTGGAAGTAGCCATCGAGTGATGGGCATTCTCTGATTGGCGAATGCAACCCGGAGCCGGGAAATATCAACATCCCTTTTTCCCGGTTTGAAGTCTTGATTAACTCCAAGATTACCATGTCTCCTATCAGGCGGGAAGTATAGCCCGTATATTGTGTCCTGACATCAGTCAATCGGCCCGCCATTTTTTATCATGGACTTCGAAATACTGCTGTTGGCTCAACTTAAACGCCTCGTCTGCGCTAGATCGGCCAATGCGCGACGCCTGGATTTATTTTCGCCATGTTTGAGGGATTCTATTCGGGTTCACACTCAGACAGACACTCGCTGCTTCTTACATAGGTCACGCATGGGCTCGATTTTGCATGTATTCCATCTCTCTACCAGGTCTTGGCAGGTTAATAACTGAGGAGTTCATTGCCACCATGAAATTACCAGCAGCTCAGTCTGTTGAAATTCCTGACCGGTTAATGTCCTGACAAGATCTCGACGGTTCGGTCACGTTAGCGAACATGCTGGTGGTTGAAAGTGGAAAGTGGGCGATTCGTCCCAATTTGCTGAGTCACAGCCCTTTCAGCCGGCACTTTCTTGCCATTCTCCTCACAGGCACAGAAGCTCGCCCTCATCGTCACATGTTGCTCGATAATGATAAGGGTCTGGCTGACAATGGTGTCGCATATGGATGATCAAGTGGTGCTGGTTTGCGAGAAGAGACCTGGCAAGACCCCTCACAAGGAATTAAAATGTAGTGTCACACCGGAGCTCGACTGTGACAAAACGATAGCAGTGTTCAGGCCCAGACTTCAAGAGCTCAACTTAAGCCTTGAGTGAGACCCATTACAGCTGACAATATCTCCATCCACGTCTTCCCCGTCTCATCCATTCTCACCAACAAACTCAGTTACCATGCAACCACTGCTTGAACCACGCAACCGCCGCATTCTTCCCCCTGATCATCGCCTCCCTCTCACCCTCCTTCCTCTCATCGCCCCTAATGAAACAAGCATGATGCACTTCCGGGAAATGCAAATACTCAAACGGCACCCCCACCTTCTGCAGCGTCACGAACGTATGCAACTTCAACTCCGCCGTATACGGCGGATCAAACTCCGGCGCCAGCATCTGCACCGGCACGTTCCTTGACACACTCTCGATATCCGCCTTGGTCAAATAGGTAGGATGACCAGCCGTGACCGCATCTACCAACTTCCTCCCATTATCAGACTCATGCTCAGCAGCAGCCAACCTAAACACCGCCCACCCACCATAACAGTACCCCACAGCGCCGACCTTCTCAAACCCTAGCCCCCCTTCGGCAGAGGCAGTTTTCAACGCCCTAGCAAAAGCAAAGATCTCGGGCTCGCGCACTTCGCGCGCGTTCTCCTTGGCGAACTTCTTGAGATCGATCTCCGCCCACCGTTCCTCGATCAGCAGCTCGGGAGGGACGACGAAGCCGTCGAAGAAATCGGGCACGAATACCGTCGCGTCCGCTTCGGCAGCGTAGTGGTCGGCTAGCAGTCGGACGTTGTTGAAGGTCCAGCCGAAGAGGTCGTGGATTAGCAGGATGGCGACGCGGGGGTTGGTGCCGGTTTTGTAGACGGCGTTGGTGGTGCCGGGCAGGGGAGAGGGGAGGACGGTTCCGCGGGGGGTGCCGGACCAGGAGAAGCCGGTGAGGCAGCAGGGGGAGATTTCCTTGGGGAGGGATTTCTTGGGGGTGGTGGTGGAGGAGGACATGGTGATGTCTGATATCGTGATGTTATGATGTAATGCTGGAAGGAGGGGGAGGAGTATGGTGTGGTGTAGTTGTGCTTTGGGAACTTCTGAATAATTGAGGTCAACCAAGGTAGGTAACTAAGTAATCGTCTAGATGCAGAACTGAGGGATGGATGTAACTCGTCTGATGCTCAAAAGCCAGAAGAACCCAGGTTTGATCCGCCTTATATAGGTACCCTACAGTATATACCCAACCGATGGGCATCCATCATCAAGGTCAACCAACAACCTCCTTTTTCAGCCGACGTCTCACTCACACACACACACGAGACGCCATTTGGTGCTATGGACTTCTAATTCCGTCAGATTTGTCAGACTCAGTTGGCCGTTTCGGTCCCTGATTCCTAAAATGTCACTCTGTGAATGTCACTCTGTGCTTACTTTACAACCAGCAGTCAAGATCCGCGGACCGCGATGAAGAAACATGGTTTAACTCCGAAGGGAGTTAAGAAAATTGAATCTTACTGACTAAGTGGTTGGTTGGTTGGCTGGTCATGTTCTGTGTGACAAATGCAGTTTCCGTTCGCAATCGTCAATGCAAATGTCGAATATGTTGCGAGGGGAAAGAGTATCATAAGTATCCTAGTTGTTGAACATTTGCACGCACACCTTCTCTTGACACTCCGGTACTATGTCAGGTTAACTACGAACCTGTTACTCTACCAATCACACACAGAAACATAAAAGCTTTGCTTGACTGAGCAAGCAAAACACAAAAAAAAACATCGAGAAAGGAACAGAAACAAGCAGAAATAAAATACGCCAAGACCGACAAAAAGAGTGCCCAAAAAGGCAAAAGGAAAGGCATCTTGCCCACAGCCAGAATCGAAACTGACGACCTCATCATTACTAGTGATGCGCTCTACCACTGAGCCATGCGGGCGTTGTGATTAGATGTTTTGTTTCATTCGATGTTTTTCCTATCAATAACATCACACAGTTCCAGCGGAAGCAATGCCCCCTTCTCCCCTCATTCTTTCACTCGTCCGCCAATATCCTATCACCGGCCACAATAAACCATCCACACCCCTCATAACAATCATCACGGTAAACTATCACCACCACCCTCCTCCCCAATCCCCCGCCCAATCCCCCCTTCAAAGCTTACTACCCCTCCTCCCCCGTCCAACTGGCCCATTCTCCTCCTCCCTCACCCTCCTCCCATCACTAACCACCTGCTCCCGCTCCATACTCGTCGGGTCTCCCTCCAGAGGAACCCTTTTCCCGGACGAAGTCCGTGGGTTTCCCCCCCAACCACCCGATGAAGTGGCCGCCTTCCCGCCCGCGGGATCATTTCTCGGTGTACCATACGCCTGTGTTCGATTGTGATCCGACTTCGACAATGACTTGTTATTTGAGGAGGACGAAGGCGAAACCTCGGCTCCCTCAGGAGTGTATTCAACATTATTGGGAGAATCTTGGTTGGTCTCGGACTTGAGAGAGATGGGGTCGCCTAATTGGGAGGGGTTGGCGTCGGGGCCGTTGAGCTTTTCGGCGGCGAGTTGGCGGAGTGGTTTCTTATCTTGGGAGGAGGGCATGTTGGTTTGTTGTGTTGTGTGTGGATGGAGTGGATGTGTTGAGTTTGGTTGTTCAGCGGTAGGTAGTTTCGTTTGGTTTTTGCTGTCGGAGTGCGCAATTGGAGTTATTGGAATGCGATAAACTGTTCGCGGAAGAATCGAGGTTAGACAAGATAGCAAAGGTTAATCGCGTCTGTTTTGTAGCGCAACAAGTTTCAGTCCTTTTTGTGTTCAACTTGGTCATAGTCAGCCGAGGTTAACATCCCGAGAGCAACGGTTGTGTCATGCTAGGTGCGCGTCACTGCAGTCTGCACATATCGTGATGTAGTGTATGACGTTGTTGATACGAAATGGTCGCGCGATCTCGACCGTGCCGATCTGTCGGGTTCACCGTGTACGGATCGTGCCGGGATCTTGAACAGCCCCCCGGCTCCGAACCGAAGATCCGGCAAGTTTAGCACACGTTAGCGTTCGGTATAGCTCCGTTGCATCGGGTTGTGCATTGATCGTCTGAGGCTTGATGGGCCGACGACAACGGTGCATTGAGATTTGAACTAAAGGGAGAAAGATGGTGGATTTTCGAAGAAATTTAAAGTTAACTGCATGCTGCTGGATCAGAGAGACACCCTTCCAACAGTACAACTGAACCTTCGTCCCCGCCTTGCCGTTCATCTGATTTCCAATCACGAAATCACCATCGACAATTACTCCTTCCCCATTCCATCTTCCTTTCTCACTCACTCCCATCCATCTATTGATACTTTCTTCCCACACTTCCTCCCCACCTTTTCTTTCCTTTTCAACCCTCTCCAACCCACCTGCCACTTGAAATACATTGCACCTTCCTATTCCCGTTCCTTCATTACTCAATTCTCAGCCAGCAGCAGCCCGACTCCCATACAACTCCTCGGCCGCACTCTTACTAACAGGTTTATTCCTAATTGCCTCCTGCGTCTCGCTGCCTCCCAACTGCTCAATCACCTTTTTGCTGTGTTCCTTGGACTCCTCGCTTGTGTCTGTTGATGGTCAACACGTTCCTGTTAGTTCCTTCTTCGTCACAAAACAGAGTGATGAGATTGTTGGATTGGAAAGTGGACAAGAAGGAAACGGGGGGAAATAGAAAAAGAGGTTCGAGGGAAGAAAGGTGGGAAGAAAGGTGGGAAGTAATGTGGAAAGCAGGTTGGAGGAAGCAGAGAGTGATGGACTTGGAAGGAACGAACAAACGAACACAGAGGGAAGGTGAGGAAGACGAAGACAGGGCAGAAAAAGTCAAAAAGAAAAAAAGAGAGAAGGAATGAAGGAAAGAACATACTCGGATTCGCAAGATTGGCTTTATGACCTCTAATCTCGTTGGAAGTGTGTTCCTTCCCTTCGCCGAGCTCTTTCATGTCGTTAGACATGACAGATTTGGCGCCTTGGGAAGACATGTTGCCGGATCTTTCTGCTCGGTGTGTAGATGTAGTGCGGATGATGGAGTGTTTTTGGTCAGCTTGTTGTTGTGTTCAGATTGCGTGTGTGTGGTCGGTTCGACACTTATGTTGAGGTTGGAAATGGCTTTGTGGGAGGGATTCTGCCTCGACTTAAAGGCAGACGGGCTCATGGAGACATGATATATCTTTCTACCTTCTTACCTTCTCTTGTTTCGTGCTAAAATGACGTCTGCCAAAACCTCCTGACCTCCCATATTCGGCTTACCGGCTTACAATTGATGTGTGCAGTGCACAAAGTTATTCCAGTTTCGTCGCAAAAAGGTTGCTTTGTCTCCCAATGTGAGGGACGGTCTCATATTTGACGTCATCTGTGGCCCGTCTTGGCGCCCGAGAGTTCCGTCACGGGTGATCAAGACCATCACAACACTTGTGTTTGACTTAGCGGGGCGATTGGTGAGAAGCATTGGAAGAACCTGACTGAGCGTGGACATTAGGTTTCAAGAAACCAGAAACTTCGGAAGTCAGGTGACGATCGGATAAGTAAACATCAAAAGCCCATCAGAAAACACAAAAGACAGGTCAAACAGTGGTGAAAGGATGATGAGCAGGTCCATTTAGGCAGAACTCAAGCTGGTATTAACAAAAAGCCACATGGTATCATTGGTATAAACATCCCTTCCTCATAAACAATCCCTCGAATCCTCTTCCTTCCGTACATCATCATCAACAATTCCACATTACCACTCCCGAACAGGGTTCATTATGCATTCATCACACGCTCGGCGGCCACCTTTAGACCTGCTTTTCGGGATCCCTCCCGCTGATGCTACCCGCCGTGCTGTTAGGGGCAGTCAACCAGGAATGACGGTATCCAAGCTGCGAGTGACCTCAACATAATCGTACGCGAACTCGCCGAGCTGGTCATCATCGAGACCGATCTCCTCCTGGTGCTCGTCGACACGAAGCGAGAGGCCAGGCACGAGGTTGAGCAGAAAGAGGATGACGCAGGTCATGACGAAAGAGTAGGAGAAGCCAGCGACGGAGTCGGCGAGCTGGTAGGCGAGCTGGATGTAGTGGTGGTTGACCCAGCCGCCGTCAATGACGGAGGAACCGTCCAGAGCGGCAATGTAGTCACTGTGATGTGATGATGTTAGTGTTGTTGAGCCACAGAGAGGAGAAGCCCAGGGGGAAAATGGAAAGACATACGCAGCAAAGATGCCAGTCAACAAGTTACCGACGATACCGCCAACACCGTGCTCAGCAAACACATCGAGCGCCTCATCGATACCGAGCACGAACTTGAGCTTGGTAGCAAAGTTGCAGCTGATACCGCCGACAACACCGAAGATGACAGCCGACCAGGGAGGAACATAACCCGCAGCAGGGGTGATGGCGACGAGACCAGCAATGGCACCAGAGCAGAAACCGACGGTGCTCCACTTCCTCTCCAGACGATAATCGAGCAAGACCCAGGTCAAGCCACCGACGCAAGCGGCAATGTGGGTGACGATGCAGGCCATGACGGCGCGGAGGTTAGCGGCGAGGGCGCTACCGCCGTTGAAGCCGAACCAGCCAACCCAGAGGAACACGGTGCCCAAGACGACGTGGGTGACGTTGTGGGGGCGGTACGGGAGGCCGTTGACCTTGTTGTAGCCGTTGCGCTTGCCGAGCATGAGCGAGTAGGCGAGGGCGGCGGCGCCGGAGCTGATGTGCACGGGGGTGCCGCCGGCAAAGTCGAGTCCACCCATCTTGAAGGACCAGCCGTTGGCGTTCCAAGTCCAGTACGCAATAGGATCGTATACAATGGTGGTCCAAATGAACATGAAGACCAGGGCGGGAAGCATACGGCCGCGATCAGCGCACGCGCCAATAGCGAGACGGGACTGGGGGGTGTTGGTTAGTGTGGGATCAGAAGAAAGGAAAGAAAGGAGGAGAGAAACATACGTGATGGCGGCGAACATGCCCTGGTAGAGGCAGAAGAGAAGGTCGGGGATCTTGGTGCTGCCAACGCTAGGCTGGGCGAGGGTCTTCATAAGACCAAAATTGGAGAGGTTGCCGATGTAGGCGCTTCCGGTGTGGGAGAAGGCGAGTGAATATCCCCAGAAGAACCATTGGAACCCTACAATGGCTATTGACATGAGAGACAGCCAGATGAGGGCCAAGGCTGACTTTCTTCGTGCAAGACCGCTGTAGAAGAAACCGACACCGGGAACCATGAGCAGCACGAGGGCTGTACATGTCATTATCCATCCGAAATCACCGGCCTGGTGTTGTAAGTCACATGTTAGCCACTAATGTTTCCCCTTGAACACTCCTTCATGAGATGGTTATGGTGCTGTCATACAGAGTAATAGCGGTTGAGGTCTTCGAGAAGGGGGTTGCCTCCATCGTTGGCGACACCGATAACCCCCTCGTACGTCTCGACGGGGCCGGACGACATGTTGGAGGTTGTTTCGATCCTAACACCGATCGGTATAAACTTATGTCGAGGTCAAGTGAAGATGTTCGATGGTGTGGTATTGTGGCTGACCAAAGCACTTGTTGCTAAAACCGTACACGAACCAAGTCGCCGGTGCCGTGTAAGTGATGTCGATGACTTGACTTGAGGTTGCAGAGAATATGAGTGTTCGAGGAGAGGGATCTGCAGGGTAAATAAACAGACCCAGGACCAAGGGCGAGGAGCCGTGAAACATGTCAAATGTGTGGCATTCATGTCGACCCCATGCACCTCTCTGCTGCAGTTATCAGTGTTGATACCCCTTGATCCCCTGTTGATGGTGTCGAGGTAGGGCTCCATTCCGTTTTGGGAAACCCTCCCATCGCCGCCAAGACCTCAGCTTTGATGGATGAGTGGGCCGTAGAGATAAGAAATCCGGACGCCATGTTCGACGGTGGGGGTTCAACCCGTGGGATTCCGATCCATTTTTGGCCACTGTAAGCGGTCGTCATGTGTTTGTGCCTTGTTCTCCGTGCTGGGCGTGTTGCCCGAAGAGTGTCGAAACAGAGAAAGAAAGACCTTCAGTGGAGAGGCAGAGATAGGGAAACACAGCATTCGCTGACGACTTCCTGTGAATAGCATCCAATCCACAAAATCATGGACTGGAATAGCCGGCTATGGGTGTACAAGAAGGACCAGAGAATCTTACATTGAGGTCCCCAAAGACCAATGACGGCCCGTCGGGCAAAAGACAAAGCTTCGGAGCTATGTAACCGAATCTGTTCAGGTATTAAAGTGGTTACACCGTTCCAACTTGATGAGGTGAGAACAAACCTTTGGCGATGTCTTGTCGTACCAGACAAAGCCTTGAAGCTTCGAAACAATCAAACCGTGAAATATCCCTTTTCGTCCCTTTCACTTTATCGATCTGGCCTAGTGATGCAGGCGACCTTTTGGGTTACATGATCATCTCTGCAGTTTACTTAGGAGCCCTTTCCTTTCTTCATGGAAAAACATGGAGTATTTGGAAAGTTGATTCTATACCTATTGTGGCTCAATTAAGAAACACAGTAATCCGGGGTACATACGTTGTCCCTTTTGGTGATTCCATAATTTCCATTGGCGGGTAGGTAGTACCACATGGGAGATGTGCCTCGGCAGCGACGGGAAAATCGGGCTGCTGCCAGCAATTTCTTGCATTCCACGACATGAGCTTGGATGAGGAAACTGCCGTTTGATGGTGTCGTGAGCATCTGAGTCAACGTCAACGTCTCTCGATCCGAAGAGTCTCCGTGATGCTTCTCAGCAAGGGAGTCACAGAGAGATGGATAGACGGCATATCGAACGGCAGGCTCCCGCCCGTAGGATCCCGATGCCTTAGACAGCTGGCATCTGGCATCCGGTTAGCACCCGACGGGTCGAGTTGAATGCGGTCATCGGTTGGGTGTGGTGGACTGATTCGGATCAAGCAGTAAACGAAATGCTGATAGTGATGAAAACAGAGTTGGAAAACAACCAGTGTCGTTCGACGGGAATTACGAGAATGCATCGCTCCCTGGTCCTTATCAGTTTGTCACTTTGCCTGTTATCAGTGACTCCACTTCAGCCTAGCGGAGGGAGGGTCAGGGTTGGGGCAGTGGCAGTGGCAGGGGCACCTAAGCGCGGTCTGGAGGATCCACCTAAGGTTTGTTTCCCCGTTGGCGCCCCACCTACCTGTTAAGTATCAAAGTCAACATCATCGAACATGTGCATCCTGATGAATCCTTCATGTTCCAATATTGACGCTGAAAACAGAGGGGGGTCTTCGTTTAAACGAAGCCACAAGTGGCCGGATCCAGCATATTCATGACTTCTGCAATGAGACAAGCCACCTCCATGAGTCCATACCGGTTCGGATAAGACAGGGAGACGTTCTTGCCATTGGCGCTGTCCGTTTCTCTCTTATCTCTGGGCAGGGTGGGTCCCGTCTTGGCTCTCTTGGCGAAGTTGAATCGATGATGGGAAATGTAAATGTAGATTTGAAAGATAGACATCCGAGAGAAAGAAGCTATTCACAGGGAGTCAGACGTGATAGTTATAAATACAGACAGGGAGTCAGACGTGATGGTTATAAATACAGACAGAGACGACACCATAAGACTTCGGATTCAAAAGTCACACTCTTCGCGATGCACGACATCCTCAGCCTCACAGTCTTGAAGCACCGATACACAGCAGGGCATGGATGGATGTCTTTTGTGTCAAGTTCTTCAGGTTCGAGAGAATGGCGCAACGAGCAATCAAGCAAGTGAATTAGAAAGCTTGAAACATCCAAAGGGAGAAGCCGATATTCGGAAGGAAGGGCCAAACCACTATCCTTCATCATACTAATCATCAACCGATACAAACTTTGAGATTCTTTGTCTTCAGGTTCTTCCAACTTCTTATCTCGCTCAAAGTCAAACAAGCCCGTCACCGGAATGCCATCTCGTTCTGGAAACCTTCCCCAGCGAAAGAGGCGCTTGCCATGAATGATAAAAAGATAAGAAACCGCACTGGGGCCGGTGGTGACCCGACCAGGACCCGTGCCTGATTGCCCTCGCTCCACTTTGAGCGACCCGACGCTAACAGCTTCTCCACTCCACTGTGATCCCGACCTGGCTAACGCTTATTTTGTGGGTTCGCCTTTTTCGGTGTTCTCGTTTCGAAGTTGGGCATGTGCATTTTTTTGCTGTTCAACACCGTCATCAACCACAGTGGTGAGAATCACGACACAATGACAGAATGCTGCTGCTGTTTGTTTTGTTTTGATACACGCATGACTTCATATTGAAAGTCTCAAAAAGTCAATGGGAGTCCATCCTTCTCTTATTCCCCTTGGCCATTGCCCCTTGCCCGGGTTGTTACCTCGAATTGCTGCGTTTATCTCGCGCACACTACACTTCTTTTCTCACTGATCTGAACATCCACACTGCTTGCGGTCCTCCTTGATCAGATGGAAGGGAGATTTAAATGACAAACATACTTACTGAAACCCATGATCTGACTATACCCAGGCGAAAAACAGTCACTAGAAAGTGAAAAGGTAAAGCAGTCTTTATTACTAAACTCATAAACATTAGGTCTATTTCATCCCGTCATCAAAGTTCGTTCCCCCATCACCAACCCCAAAGTTGCCGTGAGCAAGAGGTTTTTGTATCCAACGGTAGGTACCTCTCTCTATACAAACCCGCATCGACTACTCCCTCCCTCTTCATCACCTCACCAGCTTAATTAAACATCAATCCATCTAGCCATCCACTTATCCACCGTCGCTTTAGCCTCATCCACCAGCCCGAGCTCCAACAACAACTGCACGCTCCCTCTAATCCCGCTCTCCAGCGCCGACGCGATCCACGCGTGCGTATAGCTGGTATGCTCGCCCACAAACACCAAGTTGTTCCTAGTCTGGAAGTACTCGGGCAGGTAAAGCTCATGCTGCCCCACAGTCGGACTAGCCCACGCCGCGCTCTCCAGGGGATCCATTGCCCAGCACTTCCTGTTGAACTTGCCCGTGTATTGGCTCCTGATCAGCTCCTCGCCGTGGATCTCCGCCATGGCGTCCAGCACGTACTGCACGTGCTCCTCCTCCGGGACGGAAACCCAGCGGTCGCCCCAGTCCGGGCCGGAGATGTAGGAGCCGATGATGGAGGCCGGGCCGTCGGTGCCGTTGATGTTGTAGGAGGGGTAGCAGATGGAGCCGATACCCGGGATGTCGGAGGAGGTGGAGCACGAGCCGTAGATGGGCGACGGCAAATGTTCCCAGAAACGCGTCTTGAACTCGAGCGCTACCTTGCAGGCGGACTGGTAGTTGAGGTTCTGGATGGCGTGAGCGAGCGTGGGGGCCGTCAGGTCAAGGGCGGGCGAGAAGCGCCACTTCTTGACGATGGAGAAAGGGGCGGCGATGACGGCGTAGTCGTGCGTCGAAGACTCCAGCGCGTCCTTGTAGCTGCTACGGCTGTGGAGGGTAACTTTCTCGGTTTCGGCGTCGAAAGCCACGCGCTCCACGCGCCTGTTCAGAGTGGTGGCCTTGTCGACGAGCGGGTGGAAGGATAAAGGCAAGCGGTTGAGACCGCCGTCGATGGTCTTCCACGTTGACGCGGAGAAGTACATCCCTTCGTACAAGGCGTCCCAGTAGGAGTGGGCGCTGGCGCCCAGGAAGGCCGTGTCGTTGAGCGAGCCCCGCAGGTAGTTCACCATGAAGCCGAACTCGCTCCATTGGTCACCCGGGAGGCCGGCGAGGCCACCGCTCACCCAGTTGGCGTGCGCTTTGAACATGTTCTGGGCCATTTCGGCAAAGAACTCGGTTCCGGGGAGGAACGTGTCGACTTTTTGCGAGAGCGACTTGGTGGAGTTGTTGGAGACGCGGGTTAGGGCAAGGGAAGCGTTGGCCGACAGCTCGGCGCGAGTCGGGGGAAGACCGGTCTCGGGGTTCTTGATGCCGTCGTAGTAGTACAGGCCGTTGGGGTTGGACTGGTACCAGGGGATAAAGTCGACGCTGAGGTTTTTGGAGTGGCCGTTCAGGTTGTTCATCTCCTCGGCCAGCTGGAAGACGAGCTGGTGGTCGCTGACGTTGTACGTCTCGTTGCCGAGGGTGATGGTGTCGGGGAACCGCATGGGTCCCATCTCCTGGTAGCTGTAGTCGAAGGGACCACCAGACAGATACTCGGTGTGCACGCGGCCGCCGAGCCGGTTGCCGCCCTCAATGATGCTGACGTTCTTCATGCCGGCTTGCGTCAGGCAGAGGTAGGTCATCAGACCGGACATGCCGGCGCCGACGATGGCAATGTTCTTGCTCTTGGCCTTCTCGACGTCGACGGGAGAGATCTCCTTGTCCTCGAGTAGCTTGACGCCGTCAAACCAAGGTCCCCATGGGTTGATACCGTTATCGGTGGTCATGGGAATGGCGACAAAGTCAGAGGGCGTGGTGGCGCGCGCCTTGAGGTCACGGCGCATCTTGATGGACTTGAAGTCGAAGGACTGGGGCTTGCTGCGACCGACTAGACGGCCGTTGGCGCGGCTCCAGGCTGAGATACAGCCACCGGACTGAACATTTTCAGGAATCACCCAGACGAGACGGTCGTGATGAGCATCGGTGGGCTGGCTGATGGAGTGGTGGGATTCTTCTTCACGCTTGGACTGGCAGGAACCGTAGGTGTAGCTGATGGCGCCCTCGACTGATGCTGAACGCTCAACGTGGATGTTGGAAAGCCGAGAGTTGAGTGATGATCGAGTCTCAAGCTTGAGAGGAAGGGAGGGGGTTACTGCGGACTGAGCCGGTAGGGCGAGCAGTGCCGCACCCGCGGCAGCGGACCACTTCATGGTATATGAAGACTGAACAGACTGAAGGGAAAGATCTCTGGTGATCCTATGGGGATCAAGGGACTTGAAAAGAAGAAGGGATGATGATCAAAGAGTCGATGATGATACAACTTAATGTTGGCTTCCTGTAAGGCGAGGGAAGACATCTCTTATATAGACCATCATCCAACCACCGAAGAGTCTAACCCCGATGAGACCCGTCATTATCTAGGCCCGGCCCTAGTCCATTCCTGCTGATGAGGCTTCATATCGAGAAGGTCGGTCCGTTGTACGTAACTGATTCACTTCAGTCAGCCAGCCAGCCAGGCTCTCTGCACTGCCTAGACGCGGCTCAAGGAGAAAGCAAGTGTAAAGGTACGGTATCGGCGTTGCCTTCAACGGTTAACGTTCCGCTCGAGAACCCTTGCGGCCTAGGTATGGGAGAACTGATAATCGGTCGATGGCCGAGTTCCGAGTAGCGTACATAGGTACCGTATCTTGGAATCCCGGTGGTCGGATTCGAGGAGTGGAGTGGAGGTTGGTTGGGACGGATATCCAACTGCAACTTCACCCACACACCCTGATATGGTTAAGGCTGAACGGTTGGGATTCTGGGTTCAAGCTGACAATCCATGCGCACGTGGAGATCCCATCCCTACATATATTGTTACCACATTCGGTAGGTATTATGTGGGTGAGATACCCCTAGTCCGGTGTAAGTCCGATCTAACGGATAAGTGTGTGTTCCTTTCCGTGGAGAACCCCTGTAGGTCTATCAGTCGGTGTCGAAAAGAAGTATCATTATGGATCTCTTTTTCTTATCAATCATGTTTGCCAAGCCGTCAAGCGTGAGAAACTCGTCGTTCGTACGCCCTTTGCTTAACCTCAAGGCTGACACTCTTCAGTTGCCGAGCTCACAGCCGGCTGAGCACGGCAAGCCCGTTAGTTGGTGGAAGCATCTGCCTCATGTCTCAATGACCACCAATATGTCAGCTTATTCAAGTTAACTTTTTGCTTCGCCGCGAATATGCACCAAGGCCACCACTGAGAGCCGTCACTGACCGAGAACATCGAAAACAGAGGACGTAAGATGTCGAGTCCGAAGAGTTGGAATCCTCTCTGTGGGTCAACAGACAAAGAACAAGAAGCCGGCCCTGTAATCCGCTCGGTTCAGAGCGTCTTTACCTAATTGCCAATGCCAATGATGCCAGGAAAGTTTGAAGACGAAACGAAAGGATTGAGATGCAGACGATAGTGCTAGCAATGATATGCGAGGAACCTTTGAACCGCGGCGCTACTGCGGCCCCCATGAGTGCCAAGACTGTGGCCGATGCCCAGAACAAGCTAGAAAGGAAAGAAAGTGAAGTGAACATTGTTGCGTGTCCTCGTGTTCCCGGCGTCCCGGGGTTCCGGGGTCTCGGACTCGGGTGCGAAGCGATAGAGAACCGGCTTGTCGAAGGCGGGGGTGAGATTTGTCCGAGATCGGTACCACTGGGTGCAATCGCGATCAACAGTCCAGATTGACCCACATTTACTCCGATGCTCATTGAGTCGCGACGGGCAACAATCCAATCTGGACGATGGGCCAAAGTCGTCTTTGGGGAAAACACCATTTTCAACTTCTCATAGCATTTCCACCCAACACCTCGCCAACAAACGCTTTCTGTGCCATGTTTACGTGCATACCGAGAGATATTGCTCGACGAACTTGCGCCGCGAAGAGGAGTCCTCATTCCGGTCCTTTTTGGTTGAGATACCGCGCTCCGGTTTGTAGTCTTTGACCTAACGCTGCACCCAAGGGAACAGTTACCGATTTCTGGATTTGTCAGTTCAGAGGATTAAGCCCAGCTAGGAAGTAAAGAAGGAGAGGCGGGCTATCGGCAGACTATCCATTTTCCTATATCTCGACTACATTCAACCGCTTCGGCGATGAGTTTTGAGATATTGTGTTATCTTACCTATCATTAACACCGCTAACCCAAGTCTGGGCCTAAGTCCGTTAGTCCAGAGTTGGTCTTTCCGAAAACCGCTCTAAGGAAATGGTTGGTCATATTCATGGTCAAGCCTCAGGGCATTGCACTCCGCACCAAATACACTTCCTCAAAATCGGGAGGGAAGCCTTTTACATCCGAGTTGACAAAGAAGTACCCGTACCTACACACATCTTTGGACAGAGCGTTTTATAGCCGTAACTGTCGCGATATCAAGAATGAATACCTGTCCAGGTTAGTGAATCTTGAGGACGAATGTTTAACAAAGGCAGGATAACCTATGTGGGAAAAGTTCGAGTTTGCGCGTGGTATATGGGCTGGGTGTGGATGAGCTGAGCTACCTCTTTCGAACCCTAGCAGACCTTTCGGGTGCGGTTTCGTTTCAGTCCCATGAAAGCTCGGCGAAGACAGCTTGGAACGTGCTGAGCAACGGACTGAGGCTGGTCATGTAATGACAAAGAACATTAAAGTCGGTATGCCTGGGGGCAGGAAAGGAGAAAACAGACTCGGATCTCGACGTCTTTCGGATCATCTATAGCATACAACACCGCAAACTCTCAATCCAAGATCCAGGTGCGACACTCTTTGGGTTTATGGGGTAGATTGACACTTGATCAACCTGTTTGGCTATGCTGAATGTTGAACTCAACTTGTGAAAGCGTCGGGGGTGAAGGTGAGGATTGGATTTTTGGGGCACGCCCACAGAACGTCTTGCGGCCAGACCTCAAATATCGCGGTGCTTTGGAAAGTTGAAGAAGGTTGGTCAAGTCCCGGTATCATGATTGTTGGTAATTTTGCGTGTCGTAGTCGATGTCGATGTCGAAGGTGCCACGCGTGAGGCTCTGCTCAGTGACCTGTCATATCTTTGTTGTATCCAGCCTCTGCCCAACTTGGAAGCAAGATATCTTGCCCAACACCAGCGGTCGTTTGCGGGTGTTTGCGTCGCGACCTGACACCGCTAAATCTTTCCCTGGATAATCAGATGCTTGCCTGCTGTTGAATGGCACGACCCCAGCCTATCCTACTGGCCTGGTTTCCGTCTGGCTGTTAGGGTCGTAGAGTTGGTCACAGGACCCATAGCTGCCCAGTCATGTTGACACGGAGGTCACCCAACGTCCAAATAGAAGAAGTAGGGGCTGTTTTGAGTGGATCCAGCTGTGAGATTTCGGCTTCGTGTGATGATGATGGGGGTCGTAAAGACGATGCTAATGACCTGGGACTTTCAGAGGAAAGGGGGATGATCTATATCTGGTTAGCTGTGAAAAGACAGGAATTGAAGAGTAAGCAGAGATAGATGGTAGATCGGAGCCGGTTGCTAGGTAGCAGGAGAATTCCTCCATCTCTCTCCACATAGCTCCGTTTGAAAGCGGCTCAGAATGTGGCGGCGTTTGTTGATTTCCACTTGGTCGCGCTTCGGTAAGCACCGTGATCATCGTCGCAGAGCCGCAGAGCCACAGTTGCTTCCACACCAACGAACAAGGATGAGAAATTAGCGGTGTCCGGCTCGATCAAGTGACGCACTTCCATTATGGCCGAAAGATTTGAAGTGTGACGGAAGTTGCAACTCGTTGTACCACCCCAGCGTGTATTCATCCCCAGTTGCCATTATTACAGGGGCTCGAGGCGGTCCCTTCAAGGACTTGGAGTAACATGAATTGATGATTGATGAGATGAGGCTCTGTCGTGGTACGAGAAACGGTCCGTTTTATCACAAGGCCGAGGTAAGCAATTAAAATGAGAGAGCGAAGGGAGGAGGCAGGATGCGATGTTAAAGCTGTCAAGTTGGGAGAAGAAACTCCGAGGGAATTGGGGAGGTTGGAAGGGAAGGAATGCCTGCTGGGAACACACCAACCCAACCTGGAACGCTTCGAGTGCGGGGTCCCACTTTGGCGAGAACCGAATGAGGCTCAAGAGCTGTTACTACTGCTGAAACTTTCAAGTACTTGTTAGGTAGCTTATTTGCTAACTTCCGCCTTGAGCAAGTTGTAGTAACATAACTTCGGCCGCTCTACTGACTATCACCACCTGTAAGCGCACTAGTTTCTGTCACTGTGCATCCACCCAGTACCTGCGCCAAAACGGTCACCTTGCAACCCCAAGGTCAGCACGACGGGAAACACTTCTCGGCAACTTAACCTAAAGCTGAAAGAGAAATGGAACTTGACGCGATCTCAACCCGACATCCCATGCGCCCTTGTTCCACTTGCCTCTTTGGCCGCCGCATTCGTGTTCGTCAATTTTCTGAATAATTTCCAGCCCCTGGTCGTTGAGCAGAGCCGCAACAAGGGAACTCCTCCATCTGAACCATCATGATGGCATCCTGAGGCAAGTCTCCTGGGGCCGATGTGCCTTCGGACAGGACAGCAAAATCACCATCTTCGCGGCTCTGGCCTCCTCATCTTATGTATGAGACAGTGAGTTCTCATCTCAGGCACATAACCCAAAACACAAGTCAACTAACGTGCGACAAACTGGGCGAGAAGTGGAAATGCTCAGAATCGTTGATGGTTGATGTTTTGTGCTCAGCCCTGGGAACGGAGCCGGGGTCAGAGGGATCCTTCCCAAGTGGGAAACTTGCAATTCCAAAACCAACTGACAAGTTTCGTGGTGGGGACGGCGGACCCCGTCCGGGTCACTTTCATTCCTCCTTCGCTTGCTCTTGCTTTCAACATTGTTTGTTGGGAAAGTTCAAACACCGAGGCAGGTATAAGTTCGCTCGCTTGAGCTCTTGCTTGGCGAGCGAGCTGCTTGTCTCCCGTACAGTGGTCACTTGTCTATTGCCTGGCGTTGGACTTCCTTGTCGTATACATTTCATCTCAAGTCATTGCTTCTCCGTATTTGACTCGCATTCATTTCCTTCTTCCGCCTTCAACATCACCCTGCTTTCTCCATGGTATACGCCCATTGACAAACTCCTTTGAGGTCCCGCCAGCATATCACAGAGGACATAGCTACCGACACCGTGGCACTGCTTAAGCTGCCGTACGAGATGGTCAGCTATTTGCTGGACCATCTCGACCTTGACGATGTTTGGCAACTGAGTCTCACCTGTCGGCGTCTGAGGTCTCTGGTGACAGAATCGCACATAGCAAAACGACTGCTTGAGGTACTGTCTTGCCACACGGTACCCCTATCTTTTCTTCTATGGACTAAGCTGACTTCTACGCCTGCGACACAGACAAAAGCACCGGCAGCAACAGAGACTAAAAATGCCCTCATTGTCAAGAACTATGCCCACGAACTTCGACGCTTGTTGAAGCGCCGCCAATCCATCTCTTCGGTCACCCCCTACTTGGCTGCTGTCGTTGGCTTTGGCGAGGACTGGATATACCAAAATGGCGTATTGTGTTACATCCAACAGGGCCAACTTCGAATATTAGACCTCCATGGGTCCGCAGCCGCTGAGATCGTTGTCAACATTCGACTTTTTCTTGACGAAGCGATTCCAGGATCTCGCAATATACGCAACTATCGGTTTCGGCCTCTCAACATTTCGAACAACATCGTTTCCTGTTTATATTACTATAAGCCGCGCTGCACAACGGGATGTGACTTTGGTTCTGTCTATGCGGGTTCGCTCGTCGTCTTCAGTGCTCAGACTCGCAAAGTGCTTACTACGCGACGTCTAGAAAATTTCGATCCTAACGGGCTCACGGTACGAAACAACGACGGATTCTTATTTCTCATCGAAAGATCTCACTATCATGAAGGACGAGCGGCATTATGGAACTCTTACAACTTTTCAGCCAACGCTTGGCATGACCATACTCACTTGCTGCACCTCGACTTTCACTCATCTGAAATAGGCATCACCCATTGCTTCGAAATATTCAACGGTCACGTTTATTTTCTTTCAAACTATAGCGAGCTCGAAGAAGAGGAAGGCGATTGGGTGTCACCTTATCATTGCCTAAGATTTCCTTTCGCTTTCAATGCTCCGGAAATACTCGGGCATGGCCAACTGTTGCGCAGAACACATCTGGATGGGCCAATGGACCATAGATGGACGTTCCTGAAGATGTTCAAAGATGAGGCAACGGGCAAAACCAAGATTTTGGAGTCGCGAAAAGAATGGATCAAAGGGAGTTCATCCACGACACGTACTTACTATACAACCACGATCAAATGGCCTGACAAGAAAGAGAGTCATGGGGTACATGACTCCCTGGAAAATGGATCCTATCGAAGCAGCACCAGTGGAAACGATTTCGGTGGAAACAGCACAAGCCCAGGCTACGCGAGTAATCCAGGCGATGAGCCTCAACCAGAAGATGGCACGTCGGGACCTGGCGAATCGGACTCAAATCATCGACGGGTTAACAGGGCACCAAGAATCCTACCTCCCCGGGACTCTCAAGACATCCATCCTGGAGATGACAGCTCCAAAGGACCGATATTCCCTCGCAGTAAATGCCCGATCTTGTCATACCATCCGTCTTGCCAAACGTTCCTTGATCTAGTGGACTTATCGCCGTCGAATTCGGACAAACTGCAGATGCGTCTCCGTGGAGGTACACGACATCGCCGAAGGCCAGAAGAGATTGAAGAACGGAGCCGTTCTACGGATGACGAAAGCTCGTTGTCAGTTGCAGAAAAACACTTCAAAAAAGTATACAAAATGTATAAACACGAAGAACCCATCACTTGGCCACCCGATCAGGACCCCAACTCCCCTAACACAGCTTTAGCCCAACTCTACGAAATCCTTAGCCCGCCAAAATACGCGGGCGAAATCACTGGCGATTGGGATGAGCGTTCGTTTGTGTATGCTGCGCAAGCGACTGATGGCAGTAAGGAGAAGGCTCTTGTGTTTATCTCCTTTGATCCGTCCATTTCGCTCGCGGGAACTTTGCCATACCCAGGTCCAATGGTCCTTGGTCGACCTCAGCCAACAACCGACAGAAACGCTCCAACAACTACGGACGACAGGTCTGCTGCTCCTAACAGCCATGACGATGAACCAAGAAGGGGGAGGCAGCTGGAAAGAGCAGGGCACACTGCAAGGGAAAGGCAGGCAGTGAGGAGGAGGCACGTGTCAACGGCAAGGAATGCACCGGCAGAGGCAACACAGGTGCGTAGCACTAAGACAGACGCTATCTGGTGCACTATTGAACCAGCACAGTATCAAACCATTAAAAAAGGATTTCATTTCTGCGTCTGAAAGATAGAGGATCACAGGGTGAGGCCTAGGCGTGAAGACCGGGCCGTAATACATTAATGGTATGGTATTGGCCGGCAGAAAGCCTAATACTCAGTGTGTATCAACAATGGCGATTTTGCTATCACTAGCGGACAAGTACAATAGCGATTCATATTACAAAAGCCGCAGTTCCATTTTCCTGGGTGGTTGTGTGCGAGGCGAGTTCCGGGTATGATGTTAGGAGCATCCGCGGACTTCCGGAGGTGCTACTCCAGGCAAGGCTGCGAGAGCTCTATAAAATTCCGTCACTACAGGAGGTTCAAATGGAGACTTTAGAGCCTCATTTTACGTACATCACGGCATCTCATGATACACAACAGGTAAGCTCTCCCGGTCTTCTGGGTTCGAGTAGGGGCATGCGGCCAGGTGGTCATCTTTACCCGTCTCTGCCCTACATCAAGCCGCTCTGTTGTTCCAAACAATCCATCCAGTAGGGGAACAACACGGTACAGCCTCTTTAAATGACTTAACAGCCCTAAAGCAACACAGTGGACTCAAATAACACAGCCTCATCACCTTTCACCCCACGCCCCGGATTGATGATCAACTCTGCATTGCTAAGAACGTGCCTTAGTGCTTACATCTAGAATATGGCACCAAACACCGTGGAATATTCATGGCGATCCTAATTCTAGATTGCTAACTACACAGGAGCTAGTTGTCTATTCGTCGGGCTATCCGGTCCAAGCGAGCTGAAGCAACTTTGATTGTCGCTGCATTAGTTCACATGCAGACCTTTTGCCCCAGGCGTATTTCTTCAACACATCATTTATGTATCCTCAACCAATTGGAGGAATGAAAAACTCAACGACCGTGCGAATTTTCATGTGGTCTGGAGATCGTAGCCTTGTGTTGTTATTTCGGACTGGCTCGAGAGTGGTCTAATTTGATATCATGCAGTTTGCATGGTAACCAAACACTCAAATTTCCATCCCTGACAGATCAAATCAGATCAATAAATCTGCCTTGGCCTTATAGAATGACAACAAAGATGACAACAAAGATAACAATAAAACAGAACACACCAAAATCAAACAAAACAAGACAAGACAAAATAACAAGCTTGGTCTAGCTAGACAACCCACCCATATATCAGGAGAGAAAAACAACCAGACCTCTAAACAGTCCACTGGCCAACTTACAACATTGGGCCACAGAAAGTGGAAATTCTTCGTCGTTGTCAACAACGAGACACTCAAAAACAAACACTAAAACTCCCAACGCACTCCACAACGGGATGAAATGTCTCTATCCAGCCTCCTTCGCTAAACCCCAAACCCCAAATCGGTGTCACAGTTTTCGTATCCATCCATCATAAGGCTCCGGGCGGGTCTGGGCAGTACCAGACTGACATCCGCTCCAATACCCTCCTTTCGATCCTCAGGCGTTGAACACTTCCTAATTGGCTCCTGTATTCCCGGCTGTTGGCCTGAATCTTTTTTTGAGTAACACGAGTTTACCGTAACGTACACTGCAGACAGACAGACAGACAGGGGGGGTTAAGAGCCTCAAATCTGCTCATACATATCGAAATGCGGCGTCGTCTGTTATTGCCTAATTGGGGAAAAGAAAACGGGACGCGGGATACAAGCTCACCGTTCGAACGATATCTCTGACGGGACAGAAAAGAGGGCCCAATTGGCGAGATAAAGAAATACGGGAGACAAATTACGTGGTTTTCGAGGATATACTTGTTGGGGTGATCGTGAAGATTACGAGAGCGAAGGCGAGTTGGTAGAAGCAAGGGTAATAGTGAGGAAAGAAAGAGAAAAAGAAAAAAGGGGGAAAAGACACGAAAGGCTCGCTCAGAAAAGGGTTCGAGATTCCCAATTCCAATACAGTAAGCATTTAGAGGAAACCGTCTACGTTCAACCCGACATGACGGCTTGGATCTAACTAACTAAGTGTGCCTCATGGCGTGCAACTGAAGCTAGACCGGAACATTTCATGAGCTCTTCGTATTGGGATGTAGACAATGTTGGGAAGTTTGATAACTCTAGATACGGACTTGGAAGATTAGGGGGAAAGGGGGAAACGAGTAGTGTGCTAATGATACTGTGAATGTTAAAAGTCCCTCCGTTTTGTTTCCGTTGCCGATCCGGAGTATATTGCTGTAAGCTCTTGAGTAACTGCTTCCCTTGTCAACCTTTCGAAGGTACCTAGGTATGGTGAACGGCAAATTCGGGTGCTTTCCCTATCGCAATGTGTTAGGGCGGAAGAAAACAAAGTGGGTGAAGACTGTAAAGCGAACATATGCCATAAGTGGCTCGACCATCACACCGCTCGGTTTTGTTTCCAGTTATGGTGCATTGGAATGAGTATTCGGATGAGTAGTCGGTGCCTTCTCTTTTCGGCCTCTTTGCCAATTATTAGGTTCTTCTAACCCCTTGCCATCCACCGGGGCGTCTATCACCTCCTCCAGGTCCCCTTGTGTCTCTTGCTGGAGCTCTCTGAGCATCTCGCTGCCCCTGACCACCAGGCACGTGCCTCTTCTCAGCCTTTGCCTGAGCAGCCTTCATCTCAGCAACCTTCGCCTCAGTAGCATCCGCAGCAGCCCTCGCCAGCTCACGCTCGCGGTCCTCAGGACTCAGCAACTTTCCCTTCGCCATATACCCCTCCAACTTCCACAACTTGATCTGCAGTTCCGTCGTCGCCTCCCTCCCCACCGCAAATAATTGCGCCTGCCTCCAAAACCCTGTTTCCTCATCCACCAACCTCTTCAACTCCTCCTCCCCAAGTAAAACCGTAGCATCATAAACAGGCAGTCTGGTATTATACCTCTCCCCTTTAATATCCAACGTCGACACCCTCTGTGGCGGCCTCATCGTCCCCATCCCCATCCCCATCCCCTTCCCTGGTGCCCCGCCGACATAAACCAACGCACCCCTCAACTTCCTCTCCTTTGCCTCCTCATACCCGCCCCTCAGCGGAGTCAAGTATTTCCTTCTCAAACTCCCCGTGCACTTGCCCGTCAAATACAATAGCTCATCCACGATCCTTCTTCTCATCAGTTTGAGAACCAAAGAATCCATATCCTCCCTCCAAACCGCTCTATTCAGCACATCCGTCAACCCCGTCCGGTTCTGCGCATTCCGCCTCAACATCTTCCTGTTACTCCCATAATACGGACTGCCGCGTATCACGAAATCCTGCAGCAGCGCCTGGTTGGCAAGCGTATACGCTGAGGGGCCCAGCTCCTGGTCCCTCTTCTTTGCCGGATCGGGTGCGCCGTGGGGAGCCAAGTCGGCGGGGACGAACCACGGCTCGTCCGTTTCGGGGTGTCGCAGGAGGTTAAATTTCTGGAGGAAGGGCTTGGGTAATAGCACCTCGGTGGCGGTGCAGGCTCTGAGGGGCGCGGCGAGGGCTAATGCAAAGGGGCTGGATTCGAGAAGCTGGGAGAACTTGGAGACGCGTTGGCCGGGTGGACGGGAGAGAGGTTTTTTCTCTTTCCACCGGTTGCGCGAGGAGTGGTAGGCTGGGTCCATGATGGGTGAGAGGGGGAGGGTGAGGCCCGTCTTTGTGAGGACGGATTTGCTGGTGGAGTCGATTTGGTAGGGCCGGGAGGAGTCGAAGAAATCGGTCGAGGGATCGAGGTCGAAGTTGAAGTCTTCAGAGTAGTCGTCTTTTGTGGCGTCTTTTGGCGTTGAGGATGGTGGTGGCTCGTTATATGAGTCTGGGTTTGATGATGATCGGAGAAGTGAGGTTTGGTGGAGTGAGCGGCGGGATATGTAGGGCGCTGTGGCGCAGCATTTTTGTATTGTTGACTTCATGCTATACTCTCTGATTATTTTCTTTCTCCGTAAAGAAGATCGGGTTGAGGTTTGCAAGAATTCCTTGTGATATCCTGTGGTAAAAAATTGAGATTGAAAAGTTGAAGATTGACTTTTGAGATGCGAATGATGGATAATCTCAAAGCTTCTTCCAATGAAAGTCTGTGCTTTGCTGTTAGTGCACCCCTGCAATGTCTAAGCAGTTAGGACACGCCAAGAATGGAGACCGTCGCGACTCCACGTTAGCTCCCAGAGGAGCTCCAGTTCGTCATTTCCCTTTGCCTGCCTGGAGCTTTGAACATTGAACTGTTATCGCGAGTACCTTGAAGGTTCGGTTTCTTTCCTAATCATCAACCTTGCCGAAATCTCGACGAAATCTGTAACTTTCCGTTTCCTAGCGACTCAGACCACCATGAACTCCCCACGAGCGGCAATGCGCATTCTGCGACGGGTTGGCGCGCCCGCGACACGTCGATGCTTCGGCCAGTTCACCGGCTCCGGCTCCGGGGCACCTTTGCGGCCCATGGGCAACATTCCCATGCCATACATCACAGAGGTCACGGTATGTTCTACAATTTACCATTGTACTATTAGCGTACGAACACGGGCTAACTAAACAGTCTGGCGGATGGCGAACATGTATGTCTTGTGCTCGACTCTCCGGAACTCTAGCAGGGCGCTGACCGAGACCGCAACAAAGCCGACATCTTTTCCAAACTACTACAGGTTCGTCTACCTCACTTCCAGAAGACCATTGCGCGACCATATCTGACAGCAACAGGAACGTATAGTATGCCTCAACGGCGCGATCGACGACACCACATCGGCCGCGATAGTCGCCCAGCTCCTTTGGCTCGAATCCGATAACCCCGACAAGCCCATCACCATGTACATCAACTCCCCCGGCGGCGAGGTTAGCTCCGGCCTGGCCATTTACGACACTATGACATACATCAAGTCGCCAGTCTCGACTGTCTGCGTTGGCGCCGCCGCCTCCATGGCCGCCGTCCTCCTCATCGGCGGCGAGCCCGGGAAGCGGTACGCGCTGCCTCACAGCACGGTCATGGTGCACACCTCTCGGCGGGGACCCGGGGTCAGGCGTCAGACATCTTGATCTACGCGAACCAGATCCAGAGGATAAGAGAGCAGATCAACAAGATTGTGCAGTCGCACATCAACAAGTCGTTTGGCTACGAGAAGTACGACCTCGCGGCCATTAGCGATATGATGGAGAGAGACAAGTACCTGACGGCGGAGGAGGCGGTGGAGTTGGGCGTTGTCGATCAGATTCTCGATAGAAGGGTGAAGGATGAGGCGGAAAAGAAGGCGAAGGATGGTGAGACGCCGGCGCCGCAGCCGTGAGCGTGATACTCATGTCATCCCTGAGATATCCATGGTGGACGATACCTATGTCATGCACCTTTCCTAGCAAAGCGGCATTGAACGATATGGATAGCGACCCGGATGTCAGATCAGTGCCTACGGTCGAATACCGACCGAAGACTTGCGGGAACGAATGGTGCATGGCAAGAGGCATGGCATTTCCCGGGACAGCCCATCCTCAGTGTTCCGATGACGGAAGCTTGACATTTAAGAATGTGGGGCCCGAGTCTCATAGCGCATGTTGTGGAACCTGTCTGAGTAAGATGGACGGTAAGCCAGATCCGACACCGTGATTGCATCTTTTTTCAAAAAAAATTGAAGCCATTGAAAGATGAGGATGTGTTGACCATAGAGGCCCAACATTAAGAATTCTCTCCCAATATTTACTTTTCCACTTTTCTGTGGTTCATCTCAAGCTTTTTGTTCAGACACGTCATGGCCCTCGCTGAAGTGTTCAATAACAGAAAGCCATCGACCAATCACAGAGCTCGCATATCTCACCTCCCCCTGGTTGACATGGGGAGCTCTGAAGCTCTTTTGCGGGGTGGACATGGGACTTGGCAGCGATCCCTGTGGCCAGTGACTCGCTGTCGGCGTCAGAGGAATTTTGTGTCCTGGACGCCGACTTCGCCCAGGCCGCCCGGAAAAGAAATGAGTCCCATCGCCTCTTCTCCGGCTCCGTAGCTCGTCCCAAGTCTTCCTCTTGATCTTATTCCTCTTGTTGCGATTCTCTCCCCTTTCCACCCTTTCCTTCTGCCAGCGATTCCTTGCACGGCAGTTTCTCCCCTCACATCATGCTCGCTCCCTCCTTTCTGAGGGCTCAGGCCCCCAGAGCTCTGGCTTCTGCCCGTCTCTCCCTGTGAGTTTGTGCCCGGTGACAGTGACAGTGACAGACAACCTTGATGTCCAGGCAAAAAGTGAAGCTGTTCAGAACATCACATACTGACCAAGTTCTTTTTCCCCTTCCAGCCGCTCCCTCTCCACCACTCCCCGTCGCTACAATGCCCAGGAGAAGCAGCTCAACAGGGTGTCTGCCACCATCACCCAGCCCAAGTCCCAGGGTGCTTCCCAGGCCATGCTCTACGCCACCGGTCTCAACGAGGACGACATGAACAAGGCCCAGGTCGGTATCTCTTCTGTCTGGTATGACGGTAACCCTTGCAACATGCACCTTCTCGACCTCTCCGGCCTCGTCAAGGAGTCCGTCGCCAAGGCTGGCCTCGTCCCCATGCGCTTCAACACCATCGGTGTCTCGGACGGTATCTCCATGGGTACCACCGGTATGCGCTACAGCTTGCAGTCGCGTGAGATTATCGCCGACTCCATCGAGACCGTCATGAACGGCCAGTGGTACGACGCCAATATCTCCCTCCCCGGTTGCGACAAGAACATGCCTGGTGTCCTCATCGCCATGGGCCGCGTCAACCGCCCCTCCATTATGGTCTACGGTGGTACCATCAAGCCCGGCTGCAACATGAAGGGCGAGAACATCGATATCGTCTCCGCCTTCCAGGCCTACGGCCAGTACATCTCCGGCGAGATCGACGAGAAGCAGCGCTTCGATATCATCCGCAATGCCTGCCCTGGCGGTGGCGCCTGCGGTGGTATGTACACTGCCAACACCATGGCCACCGCCATCGAGACCCTCGGCATGACCCTTCCCGGTTCCTCCTCCTTCCCCGCCGAGTCTCCCGAGAAGAAGAGCGAGTGCTTGGGCGTTGGTGAGGCCATCAAGAACCTCCTCCGTGAGGACATCCGCCCCACCGATATCCTTACCCGCCAGGCCTTCGAGAACGCCATGATCGTCGTCAACATTCTCGGCGGTTCCACCAACGCCGTCCTCCACTTGATCGCCATTGCCGACTCCGTTGGCATTAAGCTCACCATCGACGACTTCCAGGCCGTCTCCGACCGCACTCCCTTCCTTGCTGACCTCAAGCCTTCCGGCAAGTGGGTCATGGAGGATCTCTGCAAGATCGGCGGTACCCCCGCCTTCTCAAGTTCCTCCTCAAGGAAGGCATCATCGATGGCTCTGGCGTTACTTCCACCGGTAAGACCATGAAGGAG